ATGTCTGTTTATAAGAGCGGTTACTTAGGATCTGCTAGTATCGTCTTCTTACTCCGATGCTTTGTTATCCCCTATATCTTCGTTAAGGTCGCCTGCTTCTTTATATTACTACCGTTATTACCGTTGTTATTGTTAGACTTATGCTTTCGCTTCCCTAAAGTCGGCTAGACAGTCTTCGATCTAGTAGGAGCTTCCTTATAATCGGGAGTATATAGAGCTTGCTTTAGCTTTTCTATACGATATTAGCTTTTTACTATTATGCGACGGGACTTCAACCTCTACTTACGAAGCGGTAAGGACAAATTACCAATATCCTTAGATAGAGCCTTCCTTTTAATCTTAATCTACTCTTTGATTCCTCGTATCTGCCGTATAGCGGTAGCTAGAAATAGGGACTTTCTTAGGGACTCGTATGCTCTCTTATAGGGGGGTAGGTCGCTATATACGAGACTGACGCTTGCTATTAGCGGGCACTGAGTACTAATGGATCCTGTACGCGGATTAGACAGACCTGCGGCAAAGTTAGTAGAGAACAGTTTACGGGCATTAACCGTTGTAAGATACCATCGACTTTAGCCTATACATTAGTAACTTCTTGTGCTTTATAACCGCTTCTAGGAAGCAGCGATCTGACTATACTAACTTGCTTGCGCTATAGAGTTACGAAAAAACCGACAACCTTCGGAAGCTTAATCTTTGCGACTCGATATCCTACCCTAGCCTTCTCTTCCGTTAACTAGAGTTTCTTACGCAGAAGGGTAATCTAGCGATTAGGGTATAAGATAGAAGAAGACTCCTTAGCTCGTAGTTTAGTACACTAGTCTAGCACCTGAATTTCATTAGCTAAGATATATATGTTTCGATTTTGCGACAATACTAACAAATGCTTTAACTATATAGTTATTTAATGCAGCCTTAATAATGTAGTCGGCGTCGCTCCGATAAATGTCGCTACTATTAGTAATCCTATCGAGCGTATCTGCTATCTTAGTAAGTTAAGGATCGGCTATCTTACTGTCTTCGCTAATAGCCTAACTAAGGCAGTAGCTGTAAGGCCGTACTAATATTATAATACTATAGCTATAACGACGCTCGTAAGTAAGACATTCTTGCTGTTTGCAAACTTCCGTCTTAATATCTCAATTACTAGCAATGTCTACTACGAAATGCTCGATATATAGTGTCTTAGCTACGCGACTAAGACATTTAGTAGGATTACGTAACTTATTGTAAGTAAAAGAATGTTGCGTCTTTAAAGCTGTATGTTGCATCTTAATGCTACGTCTTATACTACAATACTATAGCTATCAAGTTACTTAGGTAATTAGGCTAAGGGGCTTAATAATTGTCTATTTAGTACGGATCCTATTACATTGCTCGGCTTTAGTTAGAGATAGGTACCTTTATCTCGACCTCTATTTCGTAACGCGTCGGGTCTATTTAATACTTGTTCTCCTAAGATTTCTCTTTAAAATCTTCTAAAATTTCACCTCTACGTATATAACCGTCGCCGACTTTTCTACCGAATCGATGCCCTTCTAGTATCTGCCTCTATTCTCTTTCCGGTCTATTTCGGAAAAGGATATCGTTGTCTAGTTTTATATTAAACTATAGAAGTATTTTTTGCACTTTCTAAACAAAGTAAAGAAGTATAAGTCTCGTCGAATCTCTTATACTTGAGGCTTGTTCGAGTCGAATTATATTCTTAGGAGAATTCTAATGCTTCGTTGTAAACGCGTTAAGGAGCACTTTCGATGCTATAGAAGACTATTATATAAAGTTGACGCAAGCAGAATAAGCTTTAGGTAAGTGAATAGTTATTAGGTAATACGACTTAGTCTAGAGTATACTCTTAGTTGTACCGAGTTCTATAGCGGGAAGGAGAGGCGTATCCTAGTTAAAGAGGTTAGTATAACTAGCTGTCGTTCGTAAAGCTAGGCATAAGTAAGCGGATTCTAGTATAACAATTAGTATTATCTAAATACTATCGAAGGCGTAGAGCGCTTAGATTTCGTTGTTTGTTTACAGACAAGCGGCAGCACGACTCGAGGCGTCCCTCGAGTCTATACTCTTAGAAGACTCTACGGAGCGTCCTCCTTAGAGTCTTTAGTACGGCTTCGTCTATATAGCGTAGGAGCGACGTCTTTCCTTGTTCCTCTTATAAGCCTCTACTCTCGCTATAGTTACTCGATAGGCTGCTACCTATAACAGATGCCTAGCATTATACCCTATTATAGACCGAACTGAGACATGTCTTCGTAATTCGGACTCTATTTAACTTGACTATATGTCTTACTAGGAACGCTGCTTTAATATAAAGCAGCTATGTGCTGCTATACGTTCGCAACGTAATAATCCTCTCGTAAAATAGCAGACCGTACTATAGCGCTATTATCTTTTTGTTTCCGTCGTAGAAGCGCATTTGCATATCTCATTCCGACATCGAGTATAGCTACGGCCGCGGTCTAGCATAATAGTAATAAAGCATTCCGTAATAAATTGCCGGCAGAATATAGTAACCTTAGTCTAGCTAGCTAATAGAACTCTAGGATAAGGAACGTTATACGACTAGACTACGCCTCGCTATTCGGAAGGCCGACGCTGTTATTCGGAGCTTCTAAATTAGCAGAAATATATTTACCGGGCTCTAAGGTTTCCGAATACTAGTTTTAATTGCACTTTAATAGTTAAACCTCGAATCTAGTCCTTACGGATTCTTCGATCGCGGGTACCTAGCTTTCTAGTGCTAAAGATAAACCCTATAGGCATATTCAGTATACGAGTAAGCATATTTAATAAGATAGCAAGATTAGGGTAGGGGGAACCGGAGATATCGAATTTGTAATCTGCCTCTCGGGCAGGGTAAAGAGAAGATAAGCAAGCTAGGCACTCGCGGTCGACATTTGCAACTAATCTATTATCCTATTAAAGTCTCGACCGACCTTAGTTATACGGCGCCGACTATCCTATACGTACCGGACTAGTCGCAAACTAAAAGATTATTACTATTCGAAGGTCTTATTTATCTATAAAAGGGCTAAGCCGGCTAAGGGCCCGAAGTTAATACTTATACCGGCCGTAGCTCGGAGAACCGCACTCGCCTACTCTTCTACTATTAAGGATAAGGCAAGCTGCTAAGCGGTCTATCGACTGCTACTAGTACGACTTTTAGCATCTGCGACGAGTCCCTCGCCTAGGGTAGAACTAACTAAGCTAGCGAGCGAATATAGCGGCCTAGGAACGTACTACCGCAGCAGCTCTCTAGATGTTATAGTTAAAGGATTTAAGGATGCGTATACTGCGATAGCGGAATGTAACTCCTCGATGTCCCTAAGGCGATATTGCTAAAGTATATTATCCTACTTCTTTAGGTATTTACGATTCTTCGCCGACTTAAGCATACTCCTATCCTATAGAAAAGGGGCTAGTACTAATTTCGATTCGTCCTTCTTCCCGAGCACTTCGTCTAAGAAAGAGGTAGTAACGAGATAGTAGTAATTATCGGTCGCGAAGAGGATAAGCGACTCGGAGAGTATACTAAAGACAGGATACTTCTTAAAGTTAACAAATTAGATAGGATAGACGCTAATACCGCCTAGCGGAGGATTCGTTAGGAAACTAGACTTTAGATATCGTCCGCGATACGGTTCTTTATAGAAAGTCTCCTACTGCTAATCTGTCTAATTAGCGACACTATACACTATTATAGGATACGAAGGGCTTATAGACATAGTTAGCGGAGCTCGACCTATAGTGTTTAGAAATCTTTTCTACCTCGCATCTTACGAACGTCTCTGCTTTAGGAGTCGCGCCTCGGATAGAGCGCTCTTCTAAGTATCTCGTAAGGGAAGATAATAGAAGAATCCTTATTAAAGCGTAGCTGCTCTCTCGTTTAAAGCTAGTATAGTTACCTCGTTGCTCGGTAGCGTACGTTTCGAGTAGTCGGCATTTTAATCCTTAACGACTTGAGATCGCTATTCGGTATAGCTAGTCTTCTAGAAGAGTCGCGCGGAAAGAGCTGCCGTCCTTAGCGCGTTAGGTTTAGGCTTTCGGGCGCGGGCTTTCTTTGCTTATAGTTAATCTAGTCTATATAGCGCAATCTTTCGCTTTCTAGTTCCTAACATATTAGTTCTAGTAAAGGTGTCCGTCGTATAGCAGATTGTGTAACTATGTCGTGCGATTCCCGGGTTTAGCTTTAGCGTATTAGTCGCGTTTATAAGTTAAACAAAGCGCTTCGTTAACTATAGAAGTTTTAACGAAGGAAGTAACTCCTATATACTACTCGAATCGACTAACCTGCGATCTATACCGAGAAATTTTAGTAATAGTAGACGTACTATTATTGCAACGACTATAGTATTTTAATACAGAACTAGACTAGCAAGCCCGACTTTAAGACCTCTACGAAGAGACATAGGATAAGCTCTTATAGTCAAGCTATACCGACGTCTTATTATATACCGCTAGCCTTATTAAGCTTCTTAATAATCCTAAGCTCTTCCTAATCGCTCGCTAAGTTATTCCGGAGCTTCGTATAGACTAGACCGAGACTATACTTCGAAACAAGGCAAGGTAGGAAGTCCTTAATAGTACTAAGGAGATGCGGATAGAATAGGAGAAGCGATATTAAGCTTAAGAGGCGTTCGATAATCCTATATATACGGCGGAGAAGCGAGTCTTCTTAGAGGCTAAAATATATCGTACTCGAGTAATACTACTATATACTAGTACATTTAGCAACGACGTCGATAAGGAACGCGTACGAGAGTAGCTTAATGCTTGTCTATTTCAAAGAGGGAGGTCTGAAACGTCTTAAACTAGATAGTATACGGCGTAGATTCGCTATAGAAGCGAGTCTTTAACGGAGCTAAAATGTATTGTACTCGGCAACGAGGTCGGTAATGCTTATCTATTTTAAGGAGGGAGATCTCAAATATTTAAATATATAGTATACTCGAACGATATCTAAAACGTTTAAGGAGGGAGATCTAAAACATTTTATATATACCCCGGATATACTCCTCCGAGTCTCGGTTGCCTTCGTATCGAGTAGGGCTTCTACCTACTACTTAACCGGCCTGCTTTGATTCGATGCATGGCCAACGTTTTTGATTGTATGTATTAGTGGGCTAGAATTTTCGACCGAAGCTGTGCTGAGCTCACTCGGCGCACGCGCACAGCTTTCGGCTCGAGCGCTTTCGGGCACCTGAGGCCAGGAGGGCAGCGTCAGGTCCATTTATCTGAGCTGGTCGTTACGATGTTGCCATGAGGGCCATATTGAGGACGATTTCAATTCCTGAGTCTAGATTCGATTCTGTGGTCCAAGCATTCCTATGTCAGAATCGGAGCTGCAACCGTTGTCCAGTCCAAATTGAAAACAGACGACAACTACGCTCAGAGAATTGGAACTCCGAAGCCTTTCCAGCACTTGGTCCAGCTCTATGTGATCTGCTCGTTCGTCGCTTCGTAAATGGCTGCAGGAGACAACAACCTATGCCTCACCTCCAACCACCAACTCGCCCTTCGTCCCACCTCGCTTTCCTCTCTCTTCTCAAGAATGCCGTCTTCTCCCCTTCCTTCATCCGCCTCACGAAATCAGCCGTCTCCTTGTCAGTAGCTGTATCATCTTCTTCCAACCAGCTCTCCTCCAGCCCTCTATTCATAAGTTCCTGCTCTTGAACACTTGCATTCAATCTCTGATAAAGTGCCATAGGACTGAACTCTCGCAAAGCATCCTCAGTCTCATTCAATTTCGTTCTGTGTTGCTGTTCAAGAGCTCGAAGTGCGAGCAATCTGGACTGTGTACGTTCTCGCAGGGCTGCAAGTTTCGCTTCTGTCTCTTCTAGTTGTGTCGCGATTTGCAAATTGCTGGAGATTAATGGTGTAAGGTAGGCTTCGGAAGCTGGTACTGCTGGATGAGTCGTGCTTGGATTTAAAAGCAGAGCATTCTGCAGACTTGGAGTGCTCAAGATGTGCTGGAGGTCGTTGGCTCTACATTATTCTTAGCCTTTCTTCTTGAAGTCCATCGTCAATTTACCCACGATTTGTCTTTAAGAGTTTCCGGTAGCCAATTGCCCTCCATGGGAGGAATTGAAGGCTGCGGCGGACCCTGCTGTTGCTGCTGCTGCTGAGGATAGTAATGCTGGGCGCCGTCGAGCTCAGATGGTTCAGTTTGGTATTGTCCAGGAGGTGGTGGCGGGAGTGGAGGGCCTCTGGCCGGCGTGCTTGTGCCTGATGCTTGCTTCGGAGGAGGAGCTGGCGGGGTGGAGTAGTAGTTCGATTGCGGTGCAGGCGAATATGGCTGAGGCGTGTAAGACATGTTGGTCTATCCTTCCACTTGGGTCGCAGTCAGAATATGTTACAGGCCTTGTCGGCGCATGTTGTTTGTGCGTTCATGTGAAAGCGAAAGCGGAGGAGTTGATGAATGGCTCGAAGGTGGGTGCTTGAGTGCACAGTCAGTGGACAGGCAATGCCGCGTGGCTTCAGGCTATAGTTACTTCTACAGCTCTCCGGTACTCGCAGCCTACTGAACAAACAATCCTGCCTTGTGTATTGTAGTACACTCTCACCAGCGCAGATGACTACCACGCACTCTCATCAATAGCATGTTTCTTGCAATGCGACGGCGAAAGAAACAAACAAGAATCGTTGCGCTGAATCATCATCGACGCCGACGCCATTGAAGATGAGCCAAAAGAAGGGAGGATGGGGCTCTGTATTCTCAGGCGCAATAGCCAATCTCGAATCGAAACTCGACACCGTCTTTGCCGATGATACAGATGCCTCTGCTACAGCAGGAGAGAAGGCAACGCAAGAGCAGAAGCAGACACAAGCTGCAAAGACAGATCTCGTCCGGAAGAATTCAGATAGGCTGGCCGCTCCTGCATCAAATGCCTCTGCCGCAGGTTCTAGGAACGCATCGCGGACAAGAGTCAACGACAGACTGGCGGAAAGGCTTGCTAAGGCGACAGCAGCTAGAACGCCTTCAAGAGCAAGCACGCCCGTCAATGTCGAAAATGCTAGGCCGAGCGGAGAATTGAAACGGGAAGAGGAAGCATCTAAAACCGTGTTCGAAATCGAAGCAGAGCGGCCGACTGTAGTGGAAGATATATCAGAAAATGCGACAAACGATGCGCATGTTCATGAAGCTCAGCAGGAAGAGGCAGCCGAACGGGAGAAGCCATCGGCTCTTTCAGCATCAACCTTGCCCATCAACCCAGCGAAGATATCTTTTGAAAGCTCGCTAGGCAGACCTTCTATAGACTCTGCCCGAGATGAGGCTTCAGCAAGGACGTCGCTTGAAGCTGCAAATGGCGCAGTTTCTCCTCCGAAGAATGCTCTTGAACTCCAGGCCGATATGACGCAGATGCAGGAGGATTACAAGAAGGCCGAAGCTCAAAGACAAGAAGAGATGCATATCTACTTGGAACGCATCGATGCTCTCCAAGCAAAGTTGACCTACCTCGCAAAGGAGACTGTCGCTGCCGCCAAGGAGGCAAACGCTGCGACTGGATCAAGCCTCGAGAAACAGCTCGCGGAGAAGGATGAGAAGATTGCTTTGCTTATGGAAGAGGGCGAAAAGCTGAGCAAGAATGAGATGCAGAGGTTACAGACTATTAAGAAGCTCCGTGCGAAGGCTGCTGAGGATGAGAGGGCGACTGGGGAGCTGAGGAAGAGACTAGACCGTGCTGAAGCGTCAGAGGCCGATCTCAAAGCCAAGATACGTAAGGCACAAGCTGCAGAACGTCAAGCTTCTGAAAAGATCAAGCAGATCGCGACCATCGAAAAGCAAGTAGATGAACTCAAGGTCGATCGTGAAAATGCCGCCGAACTAGTTCGAAGCCTGACGGCTCAGCTAAAGGAAGCGAAGGAGAGCGCGTCAAGAGCAGCCAAGGAAGCAGCAGGCAAAGCTACGGAAGCCGAGAAGGCACAGATTGCGAATCTACAGAATGAGCTTGAGGATGCTCAGATTGAGAAGAAATTGGCCGAAGATCGAGCAGCTGTGGAAATCAAGAAGTACAAAGAAGAAGCCGATCGGCAGCGTGAGAAATTCGTGGTCCAGGAGCTGGAGTTGAAAAATGAGATCCATGGGCTGGAGTCGAGACTGGAGGCAATGAGAGCAAGGTTGGAAGAGTCAAGCACTACTACCGGAACTGGTGATGGTGAAAGCGCTATCAAGCTGATGAGGCAAGTCGAAACGCTTCAGCAGCAGTATGCACTTGCGAAGAGCAATTGGGAGACGATCGAAGGTTCTCTCAATGCCAGAGTCGCAGCACTCGAGAAGGAAAGGGACGAGACTACCAAGCGCGAGACTGAGACACGTAAGAGGGCACGAGATGCTGCTGCAAGATCAAGACGAGCTGAAGAAGATCTCGAGACCGCCAATGCTCAGGTCAAGAGCCTTGAGCAGGAATTGCAAGGCCAACTAGAGCAGCTTAAGGCGCTAACTTCACGTGTGGAGCAAGCTGAGATTATCAACGCTGATAGTAAAGCTGACTTCGAACGCCAGCGCAAGCTGTGGGAGGCAGAGCTCGCTTCTCGCCTGGAGGAGGAAAAGATAAAATGGCGTCGCGAGCTTGCCGGACCATCAGCGACGCTGGAAAGGCTGCAGTCGCCAACCACATCTACCTCTAGGAAAACCTCAGCAGCCGATTTCCCTGGAGTTCGTGCGAAACCTCTACTCTCTCGGCTCACATCGCATGATTTGGCCGGATCTCACACGGACTCTTCACGACCATCGAGCGCTGGCAAACGCAGCAATATCGGGCCTACACCTTCAAGCATCACTGCTCGTGCACTAGCCTCGACACCGACAGACCCAAGCCCGGGCATTAGTCGTGTAGAAAGCACGATCTCCTTTGATCCTGGAAATATCCCTCCGACGCCTTCTATCGAAACCGACCCTGGCCGTCGAAGCGGGGATGGAGACAGCTGCCCTCAACGTACAATCGCTGACCTCGTCAGCACATCCACTGCAGGGCCCGCCGCCGGTCCCTCAGTGCAACTCGTTGACCGCCTCTCAGGCCTCGTCCGCAAACTCGAAAGCGAAAAAGCAAGTTTCAAAGACGAGCTTCGCAGACTCACGCAGCAGCGTGACGAGGCTCGAAGTGAAGTCGTCGACTTGATGCGCGAAACTGATACGAAGAGAGACACTGAGAGTAGGATCGAAACTCTTGAAAAAGAAATTTCTGAGATGAAGGAAAGGTATGAGGCGTCTCTGGAGATGTTGGGGGAACGGGAGGAGGAAGTTGAGGATTTGAAGGACCAGATCGCTGAGCTTAAGACCATTTACAAGGAATTGGTTGAGGTGAAGGTTGGGGGAGGGTGAGGGTGAGGATAATAAGGATTCAGCAGCATAGCATAGACACCATGACTTACTCCTGGCGATGTAACGCGATTATGCTGGAGACAGAAAAGGTTGTTCGCAAGCGACCTCCGCACATGATCTAGGTATTGTCGACATGGCTCCTCGGTCAACAACCAACGTGGTTGTCGCGGTAGATGATGAGACAGCCGATTCGGGCCGCGTGGTTTTCGGCATTGATGTTACTGGCATCTACCTTGTGCTTGATGCTGCAGAGCAGGCAGATATCATCAAGAGAACGACTCGCTTAAATTCTGTTCTTGCTGCGAGCGTATGTTGGGCAGTTTCGTTGCTCGGTAAGGTAGGCCTAGAGATTGGACTAGTGCTTTCGGTTAACGAACTCACGTCTAATGGAACCAGGTCTATGGGCTTTTGCCTTGATGTGAGAAGAGCTAAGAGTAGGAAGCTCATGACTGGATGGGAAGCCTTGAGCTGTTTCCTTATCGTGACTGTCTTCGTAAGCCTGCCAAGTCTATCGAGCGAACAGATGTTTCACAAAAACCGATGGTATCACTGGCCTGGGAAGCTCCATCGCTTCGGTCTCCGTGCCGTTGGTGTCAGAACCCCAACTTTCAATTTCACGGCAAAACCTCGCCGCGTTCGGGTTTCCTTGTCAACGGATTCGGCGGCGTGACAGTAGCGGCAATCACTCAATTTTTCCAGAAGCGAGGGGTGCTGTAGATCATGAGAGAGAACATGGGGTTGGAGATGGCATGTCGAGCAGTACGCTCGTGCTCGTGTTGTTGGCACTGCGTCGCAATATCGCGAAAGATAAGGTGTCCGTGCACGCCAGCAGATCTCATCATACCACATGTATGCGCAATATGTTCTCATTATGCTGTGACGATGTCCAGGTTTGTGGAAAGACCGGGGGATGTCGGAGTTCTTTCTTGCGAATTTCGGCATGTGAAAATTGACTGTAGAGGTCACGAGTCCGGGTAGGTGAGCGAAACTGCTGTATCGCGATGAGGGTTGAACAGCACCGGCGTCATCTGAGGGAAGGTGAGAATTCATCATGGATGCCAAGTGGGGTATCGTGGTTGGTACGCGTGGTTGTATCCTAGGGATGTTGGAATACAGCTTTCTGTAAATGCAGGCTCTGTACACTGTATAATACACTGGTGGACACCAGTATACATATGTCGGCCCCACCCGGATACTAAGATATCTGAGGATTATCGAGTAGCCTAGCCGGCTGCAGGCAGGATATCAGCGTATCCGATAACTCCTCATTGTATGTACACACCAGCTAAATTTTCCGCCCCTGCGTACATAGTGTATTACAGAGCGTGTACCCATACACATGTATGTGTAGCTCCATTACTATTGTATCCGGGGTTGCGTCAGCCCACTTTACCCCTCGCCCGCGCTCGGGGATTTAAACTATACGTAAAATCGCACTTTCTTAGTAGGCTATACGTAAAACTCGACGACAGCAATGTTGTAGAGCATATATAATAGGAGACTAAATATAAGTAGAATAAGAGATAAGAAACAGTAGATTTCCGGTATATTAGTAACCAAATTGCGACCGTAGGACCTCTCTTCTCGGCCTTATAGAGTACGCGAATACTGACCTTCTTAGCCGATAGCCCGATTTAGCCTCTATTGCGCGGTACGCGCCTAAGGTGGACGCGCCTACTAAGGATTACATAAGAAAACGGCGGCAGTAAGGTCTACAGCTACCACACACTCGGACAAGGCCATATATATAATATTTGGACTCGCGGTTCCTTACTGCACCTACCTAGATATCCGAATAGGACTGGAATGTACGATTATATCGAGATTTACGTATAGCCTACTAAGAAAGTGCGATTTTACGTATGGTTTGAATCCCCGCGACCGCGGGGTGAAGTGTGACTGACGAAACCCCGGATATCGGTAGACTCAGGAGGTTGATGATCGTGACTCGCGTGCTTGCTGAAGCTATTCATGATAAATGCATATATGTGCAGGCGAAGTCTGAGTTCCTGCATTGTTGGGCTGGGCAGTGGTTCTGTTGCTTCAAGAACCAAGTATACTTTGGGGTATGTGGACGAGGCGATGGCTGGACACAGTCATGTACTCCTTGCTTTTCCCAGGACAGAGATCAAGAGTTGCAGGTGTGAGATTTGTGTGGGCTGTTTCGATAAAGACAAGCTCGGGCAAGAGCCTTTGACGTAGGTGCAGCCTCCTTGACATTGCTTTCGTCAGGCTTGAGCTCCTGCATCGGCCTCCTGCATCGGCTCACCGATTCAGATACCACGCAGAGACCTGATAAGAAGGCGCCGATGTTGTCGTGGAGGGCTGAGGATCGCGCGATTGAAGCTGCAGAAAAGAGGCTTTGTCTACTGATGCCATGACCTGCTGCAGCGCGGCAGGAACAGGTAAAAAGTAATCGGTAGGTGCAGTACCGGTTTCGAAGGCGTCACAATGACCTGCATTGAGCAGTTGACCTGCTTGAAATTCGCTGTCTCAGACCGCACATAGCAAGAGCGTCGTACTGCGTGACTCAGTGAGGCCTGCAAACTGGGCCATCAGAAGAACATCAGGCTTGGCAGATGGGAGAACGGTGAGGTCACTGTTGTCGCTGTCTCCTGCGCTCACCTGCACGTACGGGCCGATAGCAGGTTTGTCGAACAGAGTCGGGAGGCGTATAAAGTCCCATACCAGCGTCCGAGCGCCTGACCCACTGTAAGCTAGGGCCGTAGACCTTGCAGAGCGGCGGTCGGTATAGATTGTATACGCTTCCGCTCCGGCGCGTCTACGCGCCGGTCTTTGTTTAGGTTATTGTTTTCTACCTCGCTATCGCACCTTACTATCGCTATTTTAACTATTCTACTATCGTTTCTATCTCTTCTATTATTTAAATTATGCCTTTAATCTCTTCTAATGCTATATTAATTGCTAACTACCTCGGAGGAGGTAGGGATAGTATACTAGCGTCGTAGGCATAGGGTAACTTCGCGCTAGGTATAAGATTACGATAAAAGTAGAGCGTAGTTAGAACGCTAACTTTTCGATAAAAAAGGAAGAAAGGGACGATTTAGTTAATTCTAGTAATAAAAACGCGTTAGTTTCCTTAGACTATCGCCGCCCTCGAAAGTCTCGAGTTCTAGTAAAGCTAGACTCGTATTACGCGTCCTTACTATATATCGATAACCTCTACGAGTAGCGCGAATAAGCTATTCTATACGGCTTCGACGACTCGTTTAAGGTACTAGCGAAGTAATAGTACGCGTTATTACTATATATTAATAATATATAGACGAAGAATAAGGACTATATCGAGAAGAGTAGGTTAGAAACGACGCGTTATATTTGCCGCTTTCGTAAATAACCGTACTAGAAGTCGGATAGGACTAAAGGGTATAGTGCGCGGCGCTTTAATAAGAAGATTAAACGCGCGCAAGGTTGTCCTATAACTATAAAGGTATATACTATATATAGTAAAGAAGATAAGGAGTCTAGTAAGCCGGAGATTGTCGTATATCGAGTTTAGCGGATAAGCCGTAAGGATTACTCGGATTACTACTAACTCGACAACTTTAACCTCTTCCGCTAGTATAGTGCTTTATTAACTACTATAGGGTACGAGGTATACTATAGATATAAGCCGAGTGCGGTATAGAAGATACTAAAGGCTTAGTACGACCTAGTAGCAAACGCGCTATTTAAGGCTACCGGCAGCAATTTTATAATAAAATACGACGTGCTAAATTCTAGTCGCGCCTTCCGGAAGGCATATAAGGATAGAAGGCTCGGCAGCGCGTCGCTAGTATAGCAAATATAGAAAGAAGATATATTCGAGTAGTATTAATAAGGTTAGTTAATCTTATTATTATTATTATTAAGGTTAGACGTAAAGTCGATAGAATAGCTATATAGACTATCGCGTCCGCGTATCCGGACTCCGATTAACTAATAGATTAACGTATAACCCCGCTTAGCTTATCTAGTCTCTCGAGGAAGCTATTAGACTCGATTGCTAGCGAATTCTCGATATAAAAGCTAGAATTTTAAAGATTCTCGAAATCTTTAAAGTTCTTCGCTTAAAGCGGCAGCGCCGTAGAGCCTTAGCTTCGAGCTAATAAGATAATTTAGGAGCCCCGGCACAAGCTCGGTCCGGCTTCTAGCGCGCCTTAGCAAGCCCGAACCCTAAATCTTAGGATTCTTGTTTGTTTTAATTCTAGTTTTTTATTATAATAACTGCTAATATATTATTATAGAAGGGCTATTTTGCGAGAATATAGAGGCCGTACGCTAAATTAATAAAGAGACTACCTACGGCGTCGTATATACTAGCAAAACTAGTATAGAACTACTAAAAGCCTATCGTACGATCGCGTTTATAAACGCGATATATAAGACTAATTACCTTAGTTAGTTCCTTTATACTATTATAGTAAAGGACAAATATAGCATTTCTCGTATAGCGGTATATATACTTTTACCTACTAACGATAGCGATATTATAGCGGAGTTTTTACGTACTATAAGTAGGTAGATAGGCGGTGTTTAGGTACCTAAATTCCTCCTTATAGACGACTTAGCGGCTAAGCGACGCGCTATTCGTATAGCATTTCCGACGATAATATACCTTCTATACTACGTCTACGTTTAGCGCACTATCGATAGACGCTTTAGCGCGAAAATCTACTAAGAGACACGTAGATACCTTCGCGCCGCTGTTATTTATCGCTACTTACTCGAAGGCGCGAAAGAGTCGCTCTAAGCCGCTATTAATAACCTCCCTTAAAATAGCGATTACGAGTTAAACTACACCTATTTAGTATAAGACTTCGGTAGCGATATTCGTTTATAGGCAAACTACTATCGCGTCTATAACGTGCCTACTATTGTTAGACAATATAAGGATACTAATATAAACGAGAGCTTTTACGCGTATCTTAAAATAGATAGCAATAAGTCGCTAATAGCGGCTAACTTTATACTAAAGAGCGTAGCGATATATATAATATAAGAGGGCGAGCTTAGAGACCTTCGGTCGGATATTGCTAGTAAGCGTTAGGTATTAAACGTATACCTACTTACGCGTAGCGACGACGACGAGCTCCGGACCTAGCTTCTACGCCTTCTATAGCCTATTTAGCGCAAGATTAGTACTAAGATTAATCGCGTTCTCGACAAGTCCGTATACTAAGACCTAAAGCCGTTATTAACTAAGAAGGTAGGCGCGCTTACCTACGACTATAAATTCTTCTGCTAATATTATATCCTTTACGCTAACCTCTAGTATTATTACCTTATACTTAAACGCGTTATTATTAAGGATTATTACTAGTAACAATAGGTTAATATATTCGCTAGACGCGCTCTCGAGGTCTACGAAGAAGACGCTTCTAAGTTAATAGCGGTATAAGAAGACGCCGCTACTAAGGCAGCAGCGGCGTACGCGTCTACCTATCGATTAAACGTCCGTAAAGTACTTACTAATACGTACGAGTTAATCTTCTAACTTAAGCGCTTATAGGACTAATAAGGTATAAACGAGAGCGATAAGCAACGTAAGGTTATTATCTCGAAGATACTAATAGTCTTCTATAAGAGCGGCGATAATATTAGGAAGGGCTTTACTAAGCTAGTTCTTACTTACTTTAAGACTACGTATCTAGACGCTATTCTCGTACTAATAAAAGCGCCGCCGAAGCTATTATAAGCGCTATTACTAAGCGACATTATATCGAGCTATTACTATCCGAAAGCGACTAACGATATAGCGCCGCTGCTAAAGAAGTAGAAGGATAAAAGCGTAGATAAGAGCGTAGATACTACGAGTAAGAAGAGGTCGAAGAAATAGGTAGAGAAGTTATATATACCTAACCGAATACTAGCGGCGCTAGTTCTACTAAATCTTAGTAAAGAAGCGGCGTTAGTAGTTCTAGGCGGTACCGACGCGTTCTCTACGCGTTTTCCTTTATAAGCCGCTACGGAGGTAACTTATAGCTATTAAATGCCTTCGTCGACTCCGCTAGCGCCGTATAGCTACTTTTATTACTAAAATAAGTAGTAGAGTAACGATCTAAGTGCGATATAGGTCTATAGTAGTATGCCTTATATACCGCTGCCCTCTAATATATATTACCGCTATTAATTTGTTAATAATTGCTAATAATACCTTACTTTTTGCTATACCGCTGTTTTACTAATAAACTTTAGCTTTATTTTTAGTAATATACTTAGTATCTATTAGTAGAGATATAGGGGTCGTTAAAATCTATTAAAATAGTATGAAATCTATTAAATTGCGACCGTACGACCTCTTATTCGCGATATTTAGTATACTAGCGGAAATCGTACTACTACTACTACTACTACTACTATTAACCTAGTAACTGCGACGCGCGGCGACGACGAGATTACGTTTTCTATAGTTACGCATACTACGGAGCGGACTTCTATATCTTACCGAGTCCGCTACGGCAGGCCGAGCTTATTCTTAGTACAAGCGACGCTCGGACGGTGGTATGGGACTTTATACGGGCCCAGGAGTCGAGCTCCTGTCGATCCTTGCTATGTGCGGTGTGCTAGGAACAGCTTCCCCGTCCGCGGTCACCGGGAGCCAATGGACTGGTACGAAGTCGCACGCATGGAAACGTGCAAAAGTGGTTGCACAAGGCGCGCTGCCATGATGCCATGGTGGTAGCACAACCACGACCACAGTCGTCTCCAACAGATGAATGATTTTCTAACCACTTGAGACCACTGGAACTCGCTCATGGCTGAGTGGATATTCAACGGCTGTGAGCTGCAAGACGGAGAGATGTTCGCGAATCGCGATCACGGTCAGCCATGGAGACGAGAGACAGGACAGGGAATCAGTCTCAGGCCTTCTGCAAGGCAATGTCGCAGAATCCGGCATTATTCAGTGACATGTCCGGAGTGCTGCATTGGCGGCCGAAAGTGCATAACCAATGCCGGACAGGTACGATCTCTCTGTGCACGGTTGGGGGCGACTGTTTCTTGACAAATGGACCATGGTGAGTTGTCGACATCCAGTGGCAGAGATGGTTGAATTACTGTACCGTAATACTACATTGGGCCACGCAAGACAGTTTTGCGTGCCACTGGTTTTTGCTGCCAAGAGGAGGGAGGACATAATTCAAGGGGAACCCGGAAAACAGACCGACGCACAGTGCACTCAGTCAATTTTTTGAGCCGATCCCAGGTTCAAAGTTCGAATCAGGGGTGGGAGGGTACTGTAGGAGGATAGTCAGGGGCGCGGAAGTGTGGGACAGAAAGCTAAGGGTGGACGGCGCGGTGATGATGACCAGAGATTCGATGGGCCGGTTAAAAAGTGCGAAAGAGTTTTCCGTGCGGGAGGACAATTTGCAATTTTGCAGTCGAGTGGTGAATAATCATCATCAGAACAGCAGAGATTGCTTTGCTTGGTGTGTGTGGACTGGCTGTGCCTGTACCTGCACCGCGTCTGCGAATCACGTTGCTGTCGCTGTGAATCTGTGATCGTAGCGACGCGAGCTTGACGCGATCTGATAGGGTACGCGGCGGCGCAAAAGGACTTCCTTGTCGCTGCGCTGCGCTGCGCTGCGTGTTGCTTTCGGAGCACGATCGCCTATGCAGATGGAGATGCAGGGGTGCTGTTTATAGCATGCATCTAACGGAAGTCGTGCTGCTGCCTCTCGCTGTGCACCGGTCCAGCTTTGGCTTTGACCCGGCCGCCTCCTTGTTTTTCATTTCACTGCGTGTACGGCGCACGGTAGCGGCTGCTTCAGTAGTGCTTCTCCAGACTCCAGCACCGCTCGCTCGCCCGCTCGCACCACGCACGTTCACGCCGGGCGCGGGCGCGGGCGGGCGATTCCCTTACGATCTCCTTCTTTTGTCCATCGTGCTTGCTGGCATCGGCGCATCAACGCACGGCGCATTATTATTGGCCACGCTGCAGCCAACAGACTCTTCGACAAATCCCACATCCACCGTTGGCTTCATTAGTGCACTTTCCAGGGGCTGCCCACCTCTGAGAGGCCACGCGAGTTGTGCCTCGCAACCGGCGCACATCGATTCCTGCACTGCGCTGGCACTCTCGCCCTCGCGAGCCACCAGCAGCAGCAGCAGCAGCAGCAGCAGTCCGCGACATCTCTGCCAGGCGAACCGTCGTGCATATCTGCCGCCTCTCCCGCCATCGCCAGCGCCAGCGCCGCCATCATCACCAGATTCACCACCACCATCTGTGCGCAACCTTCTGGAATCCGCACCACCCGTGCGCTCATATCATTCATTCATCACCCTCGCCCCGGCCCTGGCGTCGTGTCTCACTTAATTCCCGCCTAATTAACACCAGCTCGTACCCTCGAGTCTTGCCAGCATCCCCTCGTCATCTGCCTCGACACAAACACGCGCGCGTACACCCTTCCAGAATTCGACTCCCAGCGTGTATGTGTCTCGACTCTCGAGACTACTCTCAACCGACAAACCCAACAAGCCAACGTCAGCAATAATCTCTGATCTCTGATCCAGAGGAATCAACCACCCGTACCCGTACCGTGCAGTGCCCGCGAAACACTTCTCTCTGAGTCTCTGCCGAACCTCCTTTTGCGCACCTCAAAAGCATCGACCTGTCTCATCACTCCCTCTACAGGACCCACTCCTGCTACCCGACAAGTCAAGCCACCGCCTGCACTATCTCGGCACTGTTCTTCTTGATCGTCTGCTAACGGCACACCATCCCTTCGGCTGCACTTCCGCCAACCGTCGTGTTGGAGCCTCCCTTCGCTTGGCCAACGCACCTACCTCATCGACACCATCCAACTTTCAGGCCATCTTCTAGGTCAACCGTCGTCTACACTCTTTCACATCCCACTCGACGCCCGTACCAGACCTTGAAGCGCTCCAGAGTCCAGTTCCTTGGTTTTGTATCCTTACCCATACCCACCTCCACATTACCTACCATACCCATCTAATCCATAATCTTGGCCTTGACGGTCTATTATTCACTCCAACAACTGCTGGCCGCCTCTGACCGGACCCTTTTAGACCACTGTAAGTCCAGATCGTGTCCCATCCCCTCATATATCTTGTACTGATAGTGACAGACCTCGCAAGTCACCGCCGACAAGCTCTATGCTCCGATAGTACCCAACTCAGCTTACGAGCAACAGCCTCAATCATTGAGGCCCTGAAATCCATCATGACTATCGCCTATGACATGTCGTACCGCGGCTGGTCCAATGGCTCGCAGTCCTCTGCCGTGTGTCTCGAAGACAAGTTCGAGATCATGAAGGACATTGGTGATGGCAGCTTTGGAAGCGTGACCCTGGGAAGGACGAGAGCCGCTGGCGCGCATATCGTCCGACGAGGCACACTTGTAGGTCGCGTCTTTGTACTGACCGGGGATTTGTCCTTCTAACTGCTCCTTCTAGGTGGCAATCAAAACGATGAAGAAGACATTCGAGAATTTCTCGCAATGTATGGAACTTCGAGAAGTGATCTTCTTGAAGTCACTGCCAAATCATCCACACCTTGTTCCGGCCTACGACATTTTCTTAGACCCATTGAGCAAGAAGCTCCACATTGCCATGGAATACATGGACGGCAACTTGTATCAACTGATGAAGGCGAGAGACCACAAGCCACTGGACTGCAGCAGCGTCAAGAGCATCTTGTTTCAGATTATGGGCGGTCTGGACCATATTCACGAACACAACTTCTTCCACCGCGACATCAAGCCTGAAAACATCCTGGTGTCCACATCAGCTCCCGACACTGGCAACGCATTCAAGCGATATTCCCAACTTGTCACGCCTCCTGCGACACCACCAGCTTATTCTATCAAAATTGCAGATTTCGGTCTTGCCAGAGAGACACACTCACGCGTCCCGTACACGACTTACGTCTCCACGCGGTGGTACAGAGCTCCCGAAGTTTTACTGCGAGCGGGAGAGTACTCAGCGCCTGTCGACATCTGGGCAGTTGGAGCCATGGCAGTAGAGATTGCGACTTTGAAGCCTCTATTTCCGGGGGGCAACGAGGTCGACCAAGTATGGAGAGTGTGCGAGATCATGGGAAGCCCAGGAGCTTGGGTGAACAAGCATGGACAAAAGGTGGGAGGCGGAGAATGGAAAGAAGGCATCAAGCTTGCGCAGAAGCTCGGCTTCTCATTTCCCAAGATGGCGCCTCACTCTCTCGAAACCGTTCTACCTGCACCTCAATGGCCAGCAAGTCTAGCTCACTTCGTTACGTGGTGTCTCATGTGGGACCCAAGAGTTCGACCAACTTCGAGACAGGCCTTGGAGCACGAATTCTTCCAAGATGCACTCGACCCACTGCGACCAAAGAGCAGTGCGCGACTTGGCCGCAAGGACTCCACACTGGGCATGAATGGATCATCAGAGAACATACTATCGCTCACCACAAAGACATCCTCCTGGTTCAGGAAGTCACTGGGTGCTAACAACAACCCGGCACCTGTTGTTCCAGAACATACCCAACAGAACAACGCGTCCAGGCCTGCTCCGATTCACGCAAATACCGATGCTTCGACTGCGGGCAGCAAGACGCGACCGAACGCTCCCAAGCGAGCAACATGGACGAATGGGGCGCAGAACGCAGCACCAATGCCCATTCTGCCTTCAATCAGGCCCATCTCTCCTCTTCCTGACGCGTCAACCGCTCACGCCAGCACTCGACGTGCGCAGCAACCGGAAGATGGTGCAGGAAAGAAGATTGGACGCCAGCTGTCGGTAAACTCGCAGGGCAACCACTACGCGGATCTGCACCGTCAAGAGGCCGAACGCGCTCTGACCGGCGCAACTGGTCTCAAGTCGCCAACCGGCAGCCAAAGGGAAAGCTTCTTCTCACACCTTCGCAAACGTGCGAGGAGGCTGTCAGGGAGACATCAAATGACGCCAGGAGCCGAGGATATCGAGGCAAATGTCGGATGTGCTCCCTGGGCCACGAGCAACCGACCGTCGGCCCAAGAGCAGCCCAGTCCAATTGCACCTCTCGCTGCAGACCCATCATCTGATCCCAACTTCGCGGAGCTGGACAAGGCCCTTCAAAACGTGCGTTACAGCCTTGACATGGCAGCGAATAATGCGAGCAGCACCAACCATCAGTCGAAGCATTCAACTCGCACGCCGACCAACCCAACACTCAAGCGACATCACTCGTTGCCATACCCTAAAGAGGAGAGTGCAGGTGCTTTCACGAGTAGAACACGACAATCTCTGCGGCACACCCCGAGCCGGTACGAGACACCTTGCGAGGAGGACGAGCTTCTGGACGAGGCCATCGCGTCTGCACACCGGGCGGCGAAGCGCCTCGACAATAGTCTTGCAAATGCCAACCAGCAAGCGCGCCCACACCTTCCGCAGGTGGCATCGGAGCCTACATACCACGCTCCATACCTCACACCTTCGCCATCGAAGGATCAAATGGGTGTCAAGTTTGGGTCGCATGATTATACTCCAACAAAGCCGGTGGACATTCCTGCTCCAAGGCCGGAGCAGAAAGGTGTAGTGCAACCTCAATGGCCGACCCCGCCTTACGATGAGAACGACTGGGCTGCCGCTGCCGCTGCCAGCATTTTTGCCACGCAAGCCGCTTTTCAGTAAACGCAATGTATCACGGCCGTCAGACTCGGAAGTTCTCATGCCATGGCGTTTGGCGTCAAGGCCTGTCACACGTTGACTTTTTCTTATGTTTTCAAATAACCGCATTGCATCGGCGTTTTTCAAGCGGTACTCTCTCATTACTCGGCTGCGAGCACAGCCTCGCATCGCATTCTTATTGCTGGCGTTTCCGGTAATGGGTGCAAATTCGAATATTTTGCATCCTCAAGCGGACTACATTTTGTACAGGATCTAATACTGGATCATCTCTTACGCGTTATTTGTCAGTCGGAGCTCGAAAGCGCCACAGGCATCTCCTTGGTCTGGAACAACGTATTTCACCATCTGGTTCACGGCGCGAACTGGGCGCTTTGTACAAAAACATCAAGGCCGGGAAAGGCAGGGCGAAGGAAGCATAGTGTTGATTTTTACTGTTCAGAGCTCTACATATGAGCTGACTCTGTTCACTGCTGGCAGTTGTCAAAGAGATAAATTGGTCAGCTGATACCCCCAAGAGTGTGCGTCTGCAACCAGACCGCTCCATTGCTCATAAATTTTATCCGCGGAAGCTGGCTGGAGCCATTTTGCATGGCTAGCCAGATAAAAAGTACCACTTACAATATTTTTACTACGAGCATTTTCTTCCCTTCTCACCTCGTCTCTCGTAGTAGTAGTTCTATTATGCCATGCTTGACGTCTGTATGCATGCTCACGTCATGCGCGGCGCGGCGCGAAATCGCGTCTTCTGAAGTCGTGAAGCTTCAAAGCTGCTGTTGAAATTTGGCTGTTGTTGAAATTTATCCTAACTCTTTAACCTCACGTCCAGCAACAAACACCACCACGTCCCAGCCCCTCATACTCTCATCCGCATACGAGAGATCTTGTTGCTTGATAATACAGCTTCCGAAGAGCTCACGCCATTACAATGGCGCCCTACACCAACATCCCCCTCTCACCCGCCGAACTCTCATACCTCCATACCTCACTCTCCCAAGACCCCCCAATCCGCCCCGACGGCCGCGCACCCACGCAATTCCGTCCCCTCGTCGCCGAAACAGATATCTTACCCAGCACAAACGGCAGCGCACGAATCTGTTTCGCCGATGGAACGGAAGCGGTGGTTGGTGTGAAAGCAGAAGTTGAGGAGAGTAGACGTCGAGGCGGGATACGAGTTTCTGAGGGAGGAGTTGGAGATGTGGATGTGGATATGGGCGATGACGATGACGAAGAAGGGGAGAGCGGGAAAGGCAGAGGCAGAGGTGAAGAGTCCTGGATCGAAATCTGTGTGGAGATTCCCGGGATGAGAGATGATGATTCCCTCCCGATTTTTTTGGCACAAATGCTATCCGAAGCTTTGCTTGCGGACAAAGGAATGGTTCGGGAGCGTTTGTGGATCAATGAGAGGTTTCATTGGAGGTTGTATGTTGATGTATGTAACGCATCCAAGCAACCAACCAACCAACCCACACTTTTTGTTTTTGTTTTTTTTTTGAACGTACATCGCTAACAAAAAGTGAGTGCTACAGATCCTCCTCCTCTCACAACCCCTTTCATACCCCTTACCTCTCCTCTCATTAACAACCCATCTCGCCCTCCTCTCAACTCGACTCCCCGCTCTCAAATCCCAAGGCGATGAAGATCCCTTCTTCGATGATGATTGGGAAGCTGCGGTACATCTCTTCCCTCGAAACGAAAAGGAAAACGCAATCAAACCCCCAATCACCCTTCTCATCATGACAGTCGACAACAACATCCTCTTCGACCCATCGCAAGAAGAACTCGCAGTCGCAGATTCCGTCGTGGCGATCTCCGCAGCGCAGGATTTTGAGGGTGGTGATGACGATTTGAGAATTTTGGCGTTGAGGATGATTGATCCGCCTTCGAGACTTACGGGTGCTGGGGTGGCTGGTAATTCTAATGCTACTTCTGCTGCGGAGACTTTGGTGGCGAGGGAGAGGGATTTGGATAGGAAGGTTTGGCAGCCTCCGAGGGGGGGTGTGAGTAGGAGGTTGATGATGAGGATGATTAAGGCTGTGGTGGAGAAGGATGGGGTTGGACGGGAGGTATTGGATGGGTTGCAGGGCGTGGAGATTTGATGAAGGAGTTTGAGGGATGAAGATGAAGGTTTGAGATGATGATGATGACTGGCGTAGCGCTCGCTGGTAGATAGAGCTGATCAGCGGAAGAGATTCGCAGAGACTAGCAAGACGGCGTAGTCGAATCAAGCAGAATCATGGCAGCAACGAAAGGCACTGCGGCTCTATAAGACGTACACTCATGCTTCATCAGGCGTATATTATTACATGTCTTTATGCTGCCAGACACCGTACTGCGTCTCTGATGCCCCGTCTAATCTTTCTATACATTATGCTCCTCCCGAATCGTCACGATCCTCAGCGAAATATACGTGTCCCCGTCTTTTCCTACTCTTGACCAATGCTTTGCGAAGAAATTGAGTAGTGCTGTATGCGCGATTAGCGATCCCCTTTCAGGTGTGGTCAATCACCGGATTGTGCTTTTGAAAAAGCGCCTGCTCAGGCTCAACTTTGGTGGTCTTAGTCTCTGACATGTTCGCAGGCTCGGAAGGTGCCGCAGCAAATTTTGAATTTTTGGTGTCTTCTTCAGGTTGGTTCTCTGACTTCGCTGGACGTCGTTCTACCTTTGCGACATTCCAGATGTAAGGCGGTGCACCGTCACTTGTTGTGACGGCGAATTCTTCGTCTTGCTTGACCCAGTCGTGTTTCAGTACCCAGCCGGCTTTCTTGCATAGTGCTGCGACTACTTCGTCACACTTTCCAAGAAGTTGAATGTCGAACTCTACATGCCGTATAGGCTCCATCGATATGTAGATGTGTGGTACGTGGTGCGGCACATAGTTCGGCATCTCGCTGACTGGGGCCACCTTCAAGCTGGTGCCGATCACGATCACCAAATCGGTGTCTTTGGCATCCTTTTCCGTGAACCTTGTGAAAAAGTCCTCGGGAAGTTGCTCGCCGAAGAATGTGATGTCTGGCTTCATCACACCTGGCTCTGGAATATCATCATCTTCGTCGGAGTCGGCAGAGGTGTATTTTGCGCCGCACCTTTTCTGAGGCTTCTGTATTGAATGGAGGTCTTTCTCGCACTGTTTACATTTCGGTACCCTCTTGTTGCGAATATCATCTTCAATTACGGCGCCGTCAACTTTGTGCTTACATTTTCGGCACGATGCTGTCTTGAAGCTGCCATGGCATTGAATGACCTTGTCCGGGTTGATGCCGGCGATACCCTCAAGGTTGTCGATATTTTGTGTATAATTGGTCTGAAGCTTTCCCATTTGATCCAAAAGTTGAATGAAACCATGAGTTGGCGTATAGCCTTTGCTGCGATCAGGCAATATTTCGCCGGCGAGGCTGTAGAACAATGTGGGATCAAGATCGAACATTTCAATGTCAAAGACATCTTGCGGCTCAGCAATGTCATCACGACCCATTTGCTGAATCTTGTCATAGAATCCTGTCCCTTTCGATCTGAAGTCAGGAATGCCGAGTGAAGTCGAAATGCCTGCGCCGGTGATGACCAGGATTTTGCTGCTTTTCTGTAGAAGTGCCGCAGCATGTTCCAGGGTATTATACTGTGACAGCTTCTCACGCTTATAGAAAGCGCGTACAACAGCAAGTCCTAGCAGGCGGAGAAAGGTGTCATCGTCGACTTCAAGTGCAGGATCTATGCCAAAGGCAACCCCGAGCTTTCGAACATCCATGCCCGAGTTTACAGTCTCGTCGAAGAACTTCTCGATGCCAATATCACGAAGTCGAGCTCGTAATCGCGCAATGTCGTCGATGTCCATTGTTCCATCTGTCACGTGTTAGCAGGGATCCATGTCAGGTGTTGATGTACAGCGCACCATCTTCGAACGGCCGAGCTTCAATTTGATCGAGATAGTCTTCGAAGGCCGAGTGACTGTCGTCGACGTCAACATTCAGTGTGTCCTCTTCGTCCACCTCGTTCAGTTCAGGTTGCGATGTTGAGTCTGCTCGCTTGCTAGCTTGACCCCCGTTCGTTGCGGCGCTTGCGCTAGATTCGAATGTAGCACTACTCTCTCTAGCAAAATGTGCGACTTCCGAGTTCCTGCGTTTCTGAGGTCGATGGATAGATGACTCAAGATCGATCGGCTCTGTTGGCAACGCGGTAGGGACGACCATTTTGCGGGATGTGATGTCCAGAGGTGTGGAAGTTGTAGCGAATGCGAGCGACTTCTTGAGCCGATGCGGCTCGTATTTTCGCAATCTCGAGTTGCGAGTTGGTTTGTCTTTCCTCACGTAGGTTTTGAAGGTAACGTCCGTAGAAGCGATCTGCAGCGAAGCCGATACCAAGAACGATGATTGTGACTGCGATTTTATTATTTGGTGTCAGCCTCAGCGTTAGCTCGTCAAGTATACTATTGATAGTGTTTTTTTATGAATGCCGCGAATGCCATATCGCACAGTAGTTGACTTACAGAGAAGAAGGTCTGAATCTGTCAGATCTGTATGTGTAGTTGGCAGCGTCACTTCCTGCATGATGTTGAGGTAGTCGCTCTCGTCTGAGGTGGTACTGAAATCTTTATAAGTATGGTAAGTGCGGCGGCGATTAGGAAGGTTCGAGCGGACGCTTGCTGGGACACTAAGCCATAATGAGTAATGAGTCCAATTAATGCGTGAAGCGATCTCCAGAACCGCACTTTGATTCCAGGCCTCCAGCCACAGCTTTGGTCGCATCGCATCGCTCTTTTCGTGGAAGGCCTTTGCAACGACGACCCCATTCTCTCTCCGTTTCAGGCCCTTCCTAGTTCAACGCCAATCGAGGGCAGGCACAACACGCACTTTCCACGATCGGACCTTTAACGGTTTACATAAGCCGCGTAGGCCACCACTTTTCAAAATTCAAATAGGCTTTAAATGACGCACCAACCAACTAACCCAGGGCAGACACTGCAGAAATCGACCTGTTGTGTGGTTGATAGAATTTATGCGACTACTATCGCATGAAAGCCACTCGTGACTCAATAATGTCGCTGTAGTGATGTTGTCGTATAAAGTCGACGGTGGATCGTGCGGCGTTCCACCCCGGTAAAGCTTGATGATTATAACAGCGATATCGACATCTGCCGCTCTGCGTCATTGAAATGGACACTAGTTCTGCTGTTCTGAAGCAGCAGCGAATGCATTCGGCGCATTGCAAGACTTTAGGCGAAATTATATGAGGAGGGTCATAATCTATGGCTGTCCAGAACATTTCTGGCTTTGTTCGGCCGCCCAGTGATTGTGAGAAGAATCTGGCACTTCGAATCATGTGCTCACAATGGAAGCGAAGCAGCCGGTGGCATCCATCCACCTCTGTGGGATTTGCATCTCCGTGTGGCTTTGGCCGGCACCTGGGAGCAGATCAGCTTCCGAAGACGTGCGTAGGAAGTGTCGGCGCGGCGCCATGAGGCCCTTGCTCAGTGGTGTCACAAGCAGCAAGTGATATTCCCGACAGCTGAGAGTACAGATACATATTACTGCTCTGATCGCCACACCTCGCACACCGGACAAACCTCGCCGTGCTTGCGCTTGCGCATTCGTCCTTCGTCCTGAGAGCTCTAAAGGAGGTCGCCTCATTCGTGGCTGCACTGGAGTTGAGCCGACTGCCGTGATCCACCGTCTTAAGAGCATTGCGCCCGCCCGTCTGAAGTCCCACGCTTCGCCTGCTCTCACCCCCGCGCCTCGACTTCGACCTTTTCGGGACTGATCGCAGGGCGCTTCTGTTCATATTGAAAATCAGCCCTCTCTGGCATACGGCTACGATTGCATGATTTAGAATCCAGGATATCGACCGCGATCGACGAGAGAAGATGGCTATCATCAAGAATCCTTTCCGCAAGCAGGACGAGAATATTCGACCTCAAGTCACACAGTTCGATTCTGACAAGAAAGAGGCGAATGGCGTCAAGCATATCGACATTGACAATAAACAACCCACTGAATATCAAATGAGTGGTATGGCGCAAAACGGCCAACTCGTTCGGTCTGGACACTGACGACTAGCTGCAGAAGTGAACGACTCGGGAGTATTTCTGCCACCGTCTCCTACAGAGAAGAAGAGCTTCTGGGGAGGAACGACAGCGTCGCGATCGACTACTTCGTCATCTTTGCACCGATGCGCTTTTGACGAGAATGAACCTTTCAACATTTCCAGAGAATCATTCGACTCTTATCGCAGATCTTTCGTATGTACTTCTGGTTACATCTGCGATCGCATACTCACAAAGCTCGTAGGACATTTCGGCACGTTCGCCCGTCATTCAGCCTCTGGAAGGACGACCACGCGCATCGCTCGACAGTCGGACCTTTCAGCCTCCACGTTCGTCAAACTCCTACCACCGACCTCTGCAGGTGCCACAAACTCAAGAGGAAGATAAGTTTGAGGATGTGAACCTGGAAGAATCAAAGCCCCAGCCAAAGAAGCGCGGATTGTTCGCGAGAATGGCAGATAGTGTCCCCGGCGTCGGTAACGATTCGTCGGAAAGACCGACCAGCCAGGACAAGAGCAGCAGCTGGCACCATTTTGGAGGCAGGAAACGTGGACAGAGCGGACAAGGATCAGAACTGGGCGCAATTCCAAAGCGTGAAGAGACGCCGAAGCCCGAGAAGCAGCAACAACCACAGCAACGGACACAGGCGCAGACTCCAGAGACGAAGACAGAAACGAAGAAGGATGCAGTGCAGACGCCTGAGGTCAAGGTGGATTCTTAGAGAGAAAGCAAATTCTTCGAGGCTCGTGAACAACTTTGAATAATGACATTGATGTGGATATAAGGCGTTAAGTGGCTGGGAATGAGCACAGAGAGACATGCGAACAGTGGTCTGATCGACCGGGCGGACATGTAATAATGATACAGATGCATGGAAGGCTTCAGGCTTCAGGAATGAGACGGACAGTGAAGAAAGGATAGCTTCTGATCAGCCGCTGTATATACTCAATAGTGCATGAATAATGAACGAGAATGCGAACTAATGTATATTATATAAAGCGATGAAGCGTGAAGATATGCCTGCCCTGCCTCGGCAGGCACTTTCAGGCGCGTCTCACGAATTCGGCGCGTGCCCAGGAAGTGGCTGTATGACTTGAAAACATCTACACCTAAACATAGTCAACAGCACTCTTGAACATCGAGCATGCTCACGCTCACGCACATCTTCTGCCCTGCATAATTTGATATTGGATGGCATTGGCATCGATCCGCGCATAGTCAATACGGAAGCAGTACAATTCCATCTAGTCAAGCAGAAATACCAGCATCAATCTTGGAAGTTCCGATGGTACGTGCGTTGTGCTTTGCGCCGAACCATTGTCATGGCCATTGCGCGCGATAGCAGCTGATATTCGTGGATGGCAGAACTCGAAAGCACTGCGCCGCCTGGCAGCAGACCATAATGCCCTCCATACTGCTGAGCTGCCACCATACTACCTCTTTCCGCTGCACGCAGACCACGCCGATTCCCTGAGCGAACTGGACATACTGCTGGCCGGGCCTCCTGCCACACCTTTCGCAGCAGGCGTATGGAAGCTACATCTGTCTATACCGCCTCAATACCCACAGCAGCCTCCAACAGCCAACTTTCGAACCCCAATCTTCCATCCCAATGTTGATCCCCAATCCGGCGGCGTCTGCGTAGAGACACTCAAACGCGACTGGGACAGCAAGTTGACACTGCGAGACATCCTGGTCACAATATCATGCTTGCTCATCTACCCAAACCCAGACAGTGCGCTCAACGCTGAGGCTGGCGCACTTATCCAGGAAGGCTTCGAGGCATTTGCTCGGAGAGCCGAACTCATGACCAGCATTCATGCCACCATACAACCCGCTATAGCGCAATTGGTCAAAGAGGCACAAGCTAGAGGTCAGGAAGTTGTAGCACACGAGAGTGAAAATGACGAGGAAGAACGAGAGGCGCCCGTGCGGAGACGTCGCACCATCGCCAGAGTACGAGGGAAGATGAGGGCAGATGCCTCGCCTACAGCAGCGCCGCCACGCAGACGCGAGCAGCTTTGTCGGCATGCAGAGCCGCCGAGACCGCCACCATTCGTCTTGCAGGCTGGCGATGATGATGTCTTCGGCACGCAGACAGCGTTGGAACGTTCAACACATCAAATCCCCCCAACGGCAAATAGTGTCAACGCAATCGAAGAGGACTCCGAAATGGGCGACGCAGATCAGGAGAATGACAGCGCAAGATCACCAAGTAAGCTCACGGCCACACCCAGGGATGCACGCACACCTCGGCGGCCTCATGGCGCGCCAGTCCCTCTGCAAGATCTGATACTCCCGGAGCAAGACGAATTTGATACGTCGATGGAGGATTCGAAGACGGATCTAGAAACGGAGTACCCACCCAGCCCGCGCAAGAGTCCATCCAAAAGCGCTTCAAAACCGAGGACACAGCCTGTCGACTTCGCCCGGCCAGAAAGCAGCCGAGAAGCTGCACTGAGGCATCCGCCAGCAATTACACCGCCAAACATGACGGACAAACCACTAGCAGAAGACTCGCCATTTGGCATTCGTTCTGTATCTCCACGAAAGCGACCCGGACGAGGCCTCTTTGACAGACCAGTGAGACAAACGACGCCAGAGTTTGAGTCCAGCTTTCTCCAAACCAGCTTCGTCAGGCCAACAACACCGGACCGCATAGTCAAGACCAGGTCGCCCAGATTGTCAAGTGCGAGGCAATCAAAGCTGCAGCGTGAGGCTGAAATGAATGAGAAACTCTGGGAACTTTGCGGAGGCGACATCAAAAGGTGGAATCGAGGCGAATTCGAAGGCAATGTGTTCAAGAAGAAAGCAGGGCGATGGTGAATAGCTCAGCACAGCCTTCTTGCCCAATATATGGCAGCCTCGAGATCCTGGCCGAGCTTCATGAAGCTGATGTTGCAAGGATCACAGCTCCAAAGAGGAACTTGCTATGAATCACGCAGCCACCGCAGGGACAGATCGCAGGGTCGAGCGGTCCAAAGAGCCGGAAGGACAACCTGTGATGCATCAAAATGATTGCGGGAATGCTTACATTGCAAGCAGCTTCTCTAGATGCCTTACTTAATAGAACACGATCTTCCATACTCTTCCAACCATTATGCCTTTGAACGTTATTATTGTTAGCGGCGGGATAGTAGGCTGCTCAGCTGGGATTCGATGTAATGAAATATGTATGAATCATAGAGGCCATCGAAAATCGAAAGAATCATGCCTAACGTCTGATTCCGATTGGTGTTGGCCCGCAAAGGTCATCCATCATGTTCGCATCGATGAGCGTCGTGCCGCTGAGAACGCAGGAAGTCAGTGGGAGTGGCATACAACTGCAGGCAACTAATCCAGCATCAGGAAACTCTTGAAGAGTCTGCTGAATCAAGTGCCAAACTCCGCTCCGCCGTCCACGTTGCGAGAGAGGTTCAAAAATCTGCTCGTTTCCAAGGAGATCGATGGACGAGATTTTTTTTGGAAAGGACGCGGCTCCTTAAAGTTTTTGGATAGGGGAGGCTGGTTCTTTGACTAAGAGGATGTTGAAGCAGGCTTTTGAAAACGCGGTTCTGGATCAGGATGCTGAGTTTGGAATTCCGGGACATGTGGTTTGGTTGGATCATTATGATGTGAGGGAGGGCTATGTGGCAGGAGAGAATGCTGAAAGTGGGAAGTTTGTAAGTTCATGTAGGTAGATGTTTCGAGCTCATCATGCCGCTCTTCATCATGCCGGCTTTATTTGGTTGAATCCGTATATCATTGACTGTGGTCTGGTCTACCATCCTCCGCCTGCGGCATGTGCTAGAGCAGATACTCTATCCACGTCTCCGCCACCTTTCTCTTTCCCGACGTCGCTTTCTACTATTCTATACGTAGTCTTCAGCAGTATGTCTAGGCTCACGCCTGTTATGCTCTCCCAATGCTTCAAAAAGTCCTTCACTCGTCGGTGATCTATGCCATCCACAATTTCGGAATCGCCGGCGCCAGATATCACTGAATCCCGTGCAGGAGAATGCTCCATCTGCACGTCACCATCCACGTCTGTACTTTCGTTGCCTGACTCGGCGCTCCAGTAAGCTTCGTCAACTTTCGACAACCATTCGCGCTGCTCGGGAATCATTTCTTGGTCGCTGCCATTCTCAATTCCAGTGCCAGGTATTTGTCGTAGAGTGGGCACGTCGCCTACTTTGATTTGTCCTCCGCCGTTTGTGCAGCCACCAGGACACGCCATGACTTCGACGTAGGCGTAGTCGTTGGAATCGCCGCCAGCGGATGCCGCTCCTGGCCGTCTTGATGTTCCAAATTTTCTACCTGTCGCACCTGGCATCCGACTGGCTTTTACTGGTTTGAGCTTTCGAACGAGGTTTTGAATATTTCGGAAGCCGTAGTAGCGAGCTGCTTTGAAGACTGGTTCGCCATCTGCTAAAACAACGCTATATTCTGACACATCATTGTTGCGGCCTCGCTGTGACCTGATTTGAGAGCCAACGTGTTGTGCTTGCTTCGTCTTGAGAATGTGCCAAAGATAGCCTCCAGATGTACCAATTGCGTCCATGTCCTCTCGTTTTCGTTTCTGACCTCGAGGTAGTCCAAGAAGAAATTCATTCACGGCTGGCTCCGGAAATGGAGGTAGATCGCCGACTGGATGTTTAGGAAGTCCTGGGAAGCTGATGTCTCTGCTCTCAGCAAGCATCAACAATTCGCGAGCAGTAATTACGCAGTCCACATCGCGTACGGCATCTCCTTCTTGTCCGTGCCAGAGATGGGAAGTGAGCTCGGCTCGTGATGCTTCCAGTTTCTTGTCAAAACAGGGCATGATGGCGAGATGCCATAAATTCTGCGGCTTGACTCCAAACTGCTTGGCAAGAACCGACTTGAGCAGAACACCTGTCAACGCTTGCGGCGACTTCAGCTTGCTCAAATGCGGCAGCATGTGTGGGTGCGTCTTCTCGGCATAGCATACCCACCCAGGGCAGACCGAAGTAATAACAGGCTTCTTTTGTCCTTCCGGCAGTTGTACTAGAGACTGTTCCACCTCTTCAGCAGCCGCAACAAGACTTGCTTCTCGCATAGCATTTGTGTCCACAACCCATGCGAAACCGCTCCCATTCTTTCCGCCACTCCTGACGCCCAAAGGACCACTCAGCAACTGACTGATCATGTACCCAGCCTCTCGCTCTGACACACTGTATGTTGCAGCCAGACTGGCTCGTGCCTGAGGACTCACGCTCGCCACAAAGATCTTGCCGTCGCCACAACATTGCTCTTTCTTGCAGCCTGCGTCCCCATTCACCCTAGGTAGTCGCATCTCATGGTATCGGTCCAGTGTATCCAACACTTCCCCATGGCTCTGTAGCGAGACCAGAACCGCTTCGGCACTGGTAACACATCCCGAGCATGCCAGACAATCCGTGAGCGAGATCTGTGCCGGCGCAGCAATCGTCCCACTATTCACCTTATCCTCTGTCGTAACTTCATACGGGTTTCCAGAATCCTGTGGTTGCTGCTGCGGGAGATTCTCGACAGGCTTGATGCACGCGACGCCCGGATTAATGAAGTCATTTAGGTCGTCGGCGGAGAGAATGGCAGACATTGCGTGAGCTCGCCTCCTCGACTGGGACACATAGAGATATGTTGGCGACCAGCGCAAAGAGGAAGTGACGATCACACGCAATTATAATGGGTGGCGGCCGGACCAGTAGTTGGCGTAGAATTGCTAATAATTGCCTGGATAGGTACCGAAATCGGCCAAGCGAAAACAGCAAGGCTGGAAAAGCAACCGAACCAGCCCCGCGGAAGGGAGAAGAAAGAAGAGAAGGCTTATTAGTAAGAGTGTCACATGCTTCGAATCTCGACCTCCTCCACAACGATCAATCACACCTGTGACGACAAAATTCTACCTCTACACGACCGCAACAATGTCGCGCGAACAATATACCCCACCGTCGCTCTCTCAGCAAGGCCAAGCTTCTGGCTCTGGAACCGGTGGCTTCAACATCACAGGCCAAGGCAGCACATTCGAAGACACCTCGAAGCCAGTCCACTATCTCTGCGGCGACTGCGATAACAAAGTCGTGTTGAAGAAGGGCGATCCGATCCGATGTAAGGAGTGTGGATATCGCGTGCTGTACAAGGAGAGGACGAATCGGTGAGTTTGCGACAACGCAGCGCATGGAATTTTTGAACATGAAGTGCTGACACCCTGCGATAGCATGATTCAGTTCGAGGCGCGATGATTGAGGCAGGGACTCTGAGATATGGTGTTCGGCGAGTAGATGACGGTGCAGGCCGGCTGGTCTGCGATATATGACATGATACCATACGAGTTCAAACAAGATGATATGAGCGACAGCGTTTGGAGTAAAATTTTGCTCGAGGGGACAGAACGCAAGAGTTGGTTTTTCAATCAACACATTTTCAAACACACGCCGCAGTCGATGCGGCCGGCTACTTGAGCTATGATATGCTGCGCCAGCAGCTGAATGCGAATTCGAGCAAGCCCATGCCTCAAGATGGGAGCACACCAAAATCAACTCCCGCTATGCATGCGGCCCGCGCTCATGGCCAGCTCGATTTCTTCTCATCCCCTTCTTTACTTCAATGCCGTCAAACCACATTTCTCTTCGTCGCTTATCATTACGCATGGTTTGAAGTATACTCAATGCGCCTGCTTAACACGTCTGCTTGACCTATGCAAGCTGCTGTTACGCCGCCTGATGCGTCGCTGTTAATGGATATGAACGCCGTGCAGTCGTCTAGCTTCCCTTGAAAGCATCAAACCGCTTGTATGTGTAGCCGATGAATGGCAGGCTGAGGGTCGAGTCGTCGCCACCCATAGCCTCCGTCTGCGCACGAAGCTGAGCCGAGTTATCGACTTGTGGGATCTCGTCGATCGGGAAGTACTGAGTGTCGATGTTGCTTTGCAACTTCGGCTCGAATGGAGCACGGATCTTTCGAAGACCATCCCAGTTAACGCCGTGGAAGAATGGATGTGCCTTGAGCTCTTGCGCGCCATGGACTCTACCCAGGCGATTCTGAGCATCGCAAATCAGACTACGGATGAAGTGTTCAGCTTCAGGGCCCAATTGCTGGTCTGGAGGGAACTGAAGATGGCGCGGCCAGTCGACAATCTTTCGGTACGTGTCGTGAGGCTCCTCGGCGCAGAACGGGGGCCATCCGACGAGACATTCGAACATGATTGTGCCGACACTCCACCAGTCGCAGCCAAAGTCGTAACCCTTGCCGCTGAAGATCTCTGGTGCAATGTAGTCAGGCGTGCCGACAGTGGAGTATGCCAATTGTCTTCTCGACTTGCGCCAAGTGTTGATTTGGTTGCGGTTGGACACCGTAAGCTGGATCTGGTCGATGGAGACACTGTTGCGGTTCTGCGCCAGGGACTTTGACTTGGATGAAGACATTAATTGTTGGTAGTATGATGCCGAGTGTTCCTTCGAAAAGCCTGTCGATAGGCCGAAGTCAGTGAGCTTGATGTGTCCGCCACGGTCGAGGAGGATGTTGTCTGGCTTAATGTCACTGTAATCTCATCAGTGGTTGTTGGTATGATCATTCTCTGAATACTGACCGATGAATGAAGCCAAGCTTGTGCACCGCCTCGATAGCCAACGTAATCTCTGCCATGTAGAACCTCGTAATGTCCTCTGAGAAGATTTCGTACTTGATCAACATTGTCATCAAATCACCACCAGGCAGAAACTCCATCAACATGTACAAGAACGTGGTGTCCTGGAACGATGTGTGGAGCTTGACCAGCCAAGGACTGTCTGCATTCGCAAGAATGTCACGCTCGGCACGAACGTGCGCCAATTGATCCTTCTTGTGCTATACCATTGTCAACACTCGCCCCATGATCATCCATCGAACAACAAAGACCAAAGTAAAGAAAAGGTGAGACTATACCATTTCCTGCTTGATCAACGACTTCAGCGCATAGATCTTGCCATCGTGTTTGCGCTGCACCAGACGGACTTCACCAAAGGCGCCCTTGCCGATGATCTTGAGTGTGTTGTAATTCTGTGGCTTCTCGCTGGTTCTTAAAAAACGCAAGAAGTTCGCCTCCGACTTCCGCATAGTATTTCTCTTGGTCTCTTTACGGCCTTCAGAAAGTTGTGGATCGTTCATGATGGCTTCGAGTTCTTTTGATCTGGGTAAAATTAGCATTGTGCTCCTTCAACGCGAGCTCGAAGGAGACATACCGCTCATTGCGGGCACGAGCTCTCTCCACATTCTCCTTGAAGAACTCTTGTGTAAGCATCTTTTGTACCTTGACCCTCTCAGTGATGGTCGAAGAGTACTTGTCTGGATTCTTCTGTGGTGGTTCATCGTCGTAGATGCTGGGTTGCTGTGGCATTGCCGGCATTGGGGCGTTCAAATGGCTGTTGGCGTACGCTCCGCGTGGGTCACCCGCAGTTCGGGGTCGTGCAGTAGCCGGAGATGGTTGTCTGTTGTAGGGACTGGCTGATCGAGGAGTGTTACCACCCAGATGCTGGTGCTGGAACTGGTGTGCGAGCCCATTTGTCACGTCATTAAAGCCACCTGGCGAACGGTACCCTGCTGCGGGTGAAACGTTGCTAGAGTACTGCTGATACGCAGTAGGATTGTTGTAGAAATAGCCTTGGCTACTGATGCCACTGGTCGTCTGCTGCGCACCCCAGACCTCTTGCTGACCCGCAGAGTTTGGGAAAGGCTGTGGGAACGTCGAAGGAGTCGTTGGGAAAGCACGGCCTTGCTCGGCGGCGGCATTGGGTTGGTTGGTGAAGCCGAAGTTGAGCTGCAGGCGATTCGGGTTGCGGCTATCGCCTGACGGCTGTTGCGGCTGCTGCTGCTGGTTGTAGGACATGGCGGACACTGACAATGAGAGTTAGCCAGCAGTGGAGCATCGAAGAGTGAATTGGCTTGCCTGTCGCAGCAATATCGGCCAGCTATACGTCCGAGTGCAAGAGGAGCTGTTTCAGGGCCAGGAGTATGTCGATAATGAATGCCTCCCTAAGCTTTCACAGGGGCTCGAGACTGTCCGGTGGAGTAGCCAGACTCGTCAAACTTCGGGGAGGAGTGCCACGCGAGCTTGACTGGTCGAGCGTCAAGTGCTCTGAATCCAACGACAGCCAAGCGCAAGTGAAGACGTGAAGGAGCTTCGCAAGAGTCGGGTTCTTAGTAGAATCTTGCTAGAGATGCCCGCTCACCGTACTGTTTCTTGAAGTCTGGAGGTCGCGACCCTGACAGGGCAGTTGACAAGGTTTATACGGATAGCGCCCGCGGTCCGTGCCTTTATCGCCACTTCCCTGCCTCAGGTAGGGCTCGGTTTAGCAGCCACGCCTTCTCCGAGGTCTGCGAAACACCACCTGGCAACACTACAGTATAGACTTCTCCGCCGCCTGCTCGAGAATAATAGGCTTTAATAAAGGCCTTGTGCAACGAGATATGTCAAACGAGCAACCTCAAAGATTACCCTTACAACAGATGCTTGGCGCCTGTGGAGCACGGCAAAACAATACCATATAGCGGAAGAACATCGGCTGATCAGATGGCGGTCAGTCCAGGCTGTCCAGCATTGTAGATGCCTTAAGCGGAGAACTGGAAGCGTGTGTGTGAGGACGACTGTTGATCAAAATCGGAGACACATCTTCTGAGCAATAACACAGATCGTTTGTAGTGACCACTAGCGATAACTCTCGACTACATCCCGCATCATCCAAGATCTTGGAGCAGCCGTGAAGTCCCCTGCAAAACTCTGGCCTTGCGCCTTGAGCTCATCAAGCAAATCGTGCTGGCGAGACCAATTTGTACATTTTGTACCTATCTGACAAGCACAAACGGGTGTCCTATACGATTCTGCTTGCGGTCGTTCGTGAAAAGCATTGTGACCTGTCGCTCGTGGAATCACATGCAGCTGATCAGAGACTATATGTAGTTTTCCTTGCAATGTGTTTCGGACATTAGTAAGTACATGACTGCTTTCAGAAGATCCATAGATACAAGGTGTTCATGGCATACGGCGCACCGTCTGGGGCAACCTGCTGCCGAGCCAAGGTACGTTCATTCGAACCAATATCCTGGATACCAAACTGATCTCGAGGCAGCAATTGCCGTAGAACAATGCAGGTATTCACGCTTGCCACTGAGCTGGATGATGAATCTGCGCCTTTCAAGATGGCAAACTTTCTGAGCCTGGACGAACTCGAGATGAACCAGAGGGGGAGTTCTCGTCCAGCACAGCCTCGAATAGGACTCAGCACATTTCTTTCTTTACAAAAGAGCATATTGACGAAGCCTGAGATCTTGGAACAGTTGCAATTGCCACCACAGCATCGAAATGCGAGTCGCTCACCTCCATCGTGTCATTAAGACGAAGATGCTGGAACTGACCTCGAATCCTTGGCTAGGATTGGACGGGTGAACATGAGACAACGGTCAATACTCTTAGCTAGGTGTGTGGAGACAGGCTGTATAGTCTTTAGAATTGGTGTTCGCGGCTCGCAGAAGCAATGTGTGAAAGTGTATTCCGGGCAGCGGGAACTCGCATTGCTGCATGCAATCGGGCTTCAGGCCTCACATACAAACGGACTCAAGTTGGCGCAGCAACGACCGCGAATGCACGTCCCGTCCGGTGGACAGGACTCGGAGCTCTTTGGTTCTAGAAGCTCCTCTTCGACCGTTCGGGAATTTGTGCCTAACAGTCATAGCAGCGGGCTCAACTCTCAAGCCGCTATCTTGTCGGCGTCTAGCAACAGGCCCTGACATCTAACATGGCTGCGACCAACCAAGCCCAAAATGTGGCCGCCTTGGTTGCGCTGACTGACTGGATCAACCGCCTCAACCTGGGTCCCGCCGTCCACGTTGCACCTGAGCAAGCGGCGAAGCTCAGCAAGAAGAACAAGAAGAAAAGCAAGAAGAAAAAGAAGGAGGCTGAGATCACTCCACCAAAGTCCGCCGAGGCAAAGCAGAAGACGAAGGAAGAACTTGCGGCCGAGCGAGAAGCCGAGATCGTGAATGTGCTCAATTTCTTCGACGAGCGCTATCACTCCAAATCCACCAAGCTCGAGGCATACCAGACTTTCTGTGAGGATCTCGGTGTCGAAGTTGGTCCATCCATCAGGAAGTGTAAGAAGGTTGGTGGCATAAACCCCCTGGGATTGGATTGCACAACGCTAATGTGCAGCATAGATCCTGAGTCAAGTCTTCGTTAACATCTGCGATCTCGTTGTTGCGAAGCAAGGAAAGACGCTGGTTCACCGCTTTCCGACCGCCACCCAGCTTCGGAAGTACTCCAAGGCAACTGAAAAATTCTTTCCGCTCAAGAGAGCCAAGGAGGATACGGTGCTTCACGAGCTCCTGATCCACATGCATCGCTAGAGTTGGTAGCGATCTCTTGAACAATGAGCACCCTTCTAAGTTGGCTGCATGGAGGAACGCGGCTGTCACGAGCGTGTTGACTGACGGGTGAAGTGGCTGCGACGAAAGTGATGCTGAAATAAGGCCTAGTCGCACTGCTTGGAGTGGAGTTTGGGTGAAGCGCGCCTGCCACAATAGTCGCCAGTGCCTGTCAGCCGTTGAATTTTACGCAGCATTAGAGAACATCTGACTTTTCTTGCTGTGACCTCAACTTCTTCTTCTGTCCATACACGTTCGACACTGTACTCGCACCGCACCGCACCTGTCTCGCGCCAGCAGAAATGGGTGCACCAGACGACTTTCCAGGCACGGTCAACGTGAAGCGCACGTTGTGGCGCCTCGAGGACGAGCACTCTCCCCAGTACTGTCTCAACTTCAGAGGAGAGATGTTCCGCCCTTCACAAAACAATTTCGCACAGATGCCTCTCACCGTAGTCTGCGAACAAAAAGTCAAGTGCATAGACTGGATCAAGCCTGAGCCAGGCGAACTCCGCGTGCTAGGCAACGTCAGGACAGAAGAGGCCAAAGAAGCATATACCGAGAGAGTCATCGAGCACTTCAAGGACAACTACGAAAGCCGTGCCGATGAGCTTGGAAAGTTCCAGGATCTGTGTCAGCACGTAGGCGCCCGACAAGGCCAGACGGTCGAGGAATGCAAAGCTGTGAGTTACCTACGTTCGCTCAAGTCAACCAAGTCAGCTACCAAGGATCCTCTCAAGCGAATGCAGGAGCTAGGCCAGCGCGGTGTTTTCATAAACATATACGACTTCCTTGACGCTCGCGAAGCTGAGGCCAAAGTGTACCGTTTCCCAGCCATCGAACCACTTCGGTACTACTCCTTCATCACGGACAGGGTCTACGAAGACTTGGATCTCACGCCTGGGCAGTCGTGGTATCCGTCGCCACCTAGCCGCACGAGGCAAGCCGAGAGAGATTCCAGATAGCCTCACATTCATGCTGGTCAATTTGTGCAAAGCTCGAGCTGGCATAATGTATGACAAAGAGCTGGAGAGTGTGCAGGTCAGGGCAAAGAATCTCATGAACTCATGGTCAGACCTTGGTGGCAAAACTCCAGAGCCGACGATTGAGGTCCGCGAGGAAACTGTTTTCAGACTCCCTCCCTGGTCAGCGACTGCAGTGGCAATGACCTTACCAGTGACTGTGGCATCAGCGACGATACCTCAGAACCGGTGACGCCTAGCGATGAAGATACCATGGGACTAGTCGCCGACCTGATGAAGACGCTCGACATCCCGGACGGAGTATGAGATGGGAGTCGGCAATCTATGTACCAGGGTAACTGAATGAGCATCCGGTTGGCGACATTGTGGTGTGATCATAGGAATTCCTGGCAACATGGCATTGCATCAGCTATCGATGTCGTGTCAGGCCGAGGTTGCCATGGTAATAGGATTCTCTTACAGTTCTCCAAATCATTGACATTTGTCCTACATTCATCAGTGCATTGACCACTATCTTGTTCTGTTTGCCTCGATTGGGAGACTTAGCTGCCAAGATCCAGAAATCAAGGCCGTTGCAATTGGCATTCTGTACGGGGCATCCTCGATTCACCAGCCATGTCACCAGCCATGGGAAAACAGGAGGAGATGAGTAGGAGCTCGGCTTCCGATCAACGTGAGGTGGAAGGGTAGCGGAGGCGCTGGATGTGACGGAATTCAGCTCCTGGCATGTTCCACACAAGATGATATTTCAACCTCATTCGTGCTCAACGAGAGCAAGTGCTGAGCTATGTTTCACCTATGCCTTCTTGCCACTTAACAGCTCCTCTGCTTCCTTGTTCCTTCCGCTCGCTGTCGTTTCGCTCTCGGACGGCTTTCGAGCCGAATCACTATTGGCACCACTCACGCTGTTGCGAGCGGCCTCCTTGAGCCTCTCAGTGTCCTCCTTCCTCAGGTCGTCGGTCTTGTCCTTGTCTTCCTCATCGTCGCCAAGCGAGACTATAATAAGCAATTAGCAAGTGTCTCGAGAAAGCAACCTCAAAAGTGAGTCCGTTGTAATAGCCTTGGCTGTATTCTTGTGACAGAGCCATGTCCAGCGGCATCTCCTTTACTTACATGGATCGTTGTCGTCCTCTGGGTTTGGCGCAACGCTCGTTAGGGGCTTCCACTTAGCAGCCTTGTCCGAGCCAGCAGCGTTTCCAGCTTGCTTTCGCTCCGCGGCGTCGACTACGCACCTGTTAGCGATTTTCAAATAAATAGCAACGCTTTCATCACGCTCACCTTCATCTACTGGCCCGCTCTGCGGAGGCTTGGGCTGCGGCTTGAAGAGATCAGGATTGGCAGTCTTACGAGAGGACGTCCTCGGCGGCTGTGGCGGTGCTGCAGGCACGTCAGTGATCTTTCTCTCTCTACCCCTCTCTTGAACATTCAGCACTTACGAGCCTCGTCGTCCCTCAACTCTAAGCGCTCGAACTCGCCTTCGTCAAATTCGCGTGGATCAGCATCGTATCTCTGCGCCTCAGTGCTCCGTCGCTGCTGCTCTGCAGATCGCCTTATACCACGCAGCTGTTCTGACTGGCTAGGGCCAAAGTTCTGTCTTCCCGGCCATTCGCTAGTGTTCTGTCGAGAGCCGGCTTGCGAAGACGAGTAGAGATCCTCGTCTTCGTCCTGGCCGTCGATCTTCTTCTTGAAGTTGTTGATCCAACTCGTAACCGTCTTCTGTGTCTCCATGAAGCCCTGCTGGATGTTTCTTCCAATCTCTGGTAACTCGTCATCAAAGAAGCTGCGCTCGTGCTCGTCGTGTCCATCGAATCGCTGCTTGTTCGGACGACGTGCGCCTGGCTCTCGTTGATTGTAGCGAGTCTGCGAACGTTGACCAGCACTGTTGTATTGCTCAGCCAGTTGTCTCGCATACATCTCGTCTGCCTCAAGCTGGCTCATAGGGTTGCGCAAAGCCGGTCTCGGTGGCTGCGCTGGGGCGGGAATCTGCTCTTCTGGCTTGAAATCTGGATCCGACATGCCCAGCAGGGCATTGAAAGCTGGCTCCACTTTGCCGCCACTAGCACTGAGAACTGCTTTGACAACTTTCGTGTCAATTGTTGGGAAGGCCTCAATCAAAGTATTCTCTGCCTGCTGCATTGGACTGATCGGTCGTGGGGGCTTCGTTGGCGGGATCTCTTCGTGACCATCTTGGAAGGAAACTCGTGGGCGAGGCGACGGCGCTTTGGCAGGTGGTTTGGTTGGGGTCTCGTGGCCTTGTGGCGAGACCGTGCCTGTTTCTTGCTCGTCGTCAAAGGTCATCTCTTCTCTTGTAGTCACTGATTCTTCCGGGCGTATTGGGGAGACTGGCGAGACTGGCGGACTGTCCTTAGCCATGTCGAAAGGGACTGCTCCAGATGCGATCGATTGTGCGAAAGCTATGCGAAGTCTGTGTGGGTGTGGTATATCGAATTTCTTGGAAGAGAAGGTGTTGTTGGCAATTCCAGGCAGTTGCTTTGGAGCTGCAGCTGCATCCACTGTGACGTTTCGGCCAAGGCAGTCGCAGCGGTCCGATGAACCCTGTCGATCCAACATTCCTGGCGTGTAGACGTGCTATTTTCCGTTCTTCGTTCAAGCATCGGCATTGCAATGGGCAGGGTCCACCATTGGCCATATTCGCACGTTCTGGGACTGTGATCGCTAAATGAGTCTCGGTGAGGCTTTGTTACCACTGGCTCAGTGAGAAGCGAACGGTCATAACCTGGCCGTGGCCTTTCACACCTTTCACAACCAACAATCTCTCCGCTGCCGCCGCCATGGACCATCCGAGCTCGTTTATTCCGGCTCTTCACAAGCCGAGCTCACTGCTACCGATCGCGCGCCACAAGCATGCGCTCCTCTACACGGTGGAAAAGTACCCTGTGACGGTTTTGATTGGCCAGACTGGGAGTGGAAAGACGACTCAACTGCCACAGTATCTGGAGGAAGCAGGCTGGTGCAATGATGGCAAGATCATTGCCGTGACTCAAGCAAGTACGACCTCTCGAAAGTTCCATGTGATGGTAGTTGACAGCTGCTTACAGTGAGAGACAGCCGCGCCGAGTGGCAGCGACTACTGTTGCAAAAAGAGTGGCTGAGGAGATGAGATGTCAGCTGGGCCAAGAAGTTGGCTATTCAATTCGTTTTGAAGATGTCACCTCTGCTGCAACCAGGATCAAATTCCTCACGGATGGCCTTCTCCTCAGAGAGGCGTTGGTGGATCCGCTCCTCTCGAGGTATAGCGTAATTATGGTCGACGAAGCCCATGAGCGTAGCCTGAGCTCCGATGTTCTGCTTGGTGTTCTGAAGAAGATTCGAAAGCGAAGGCCAGAGTTGAGGATTGTTATCAGCTCAGCTACGCTACAAGCCGAGGACTTCTTGCAATTCTTCGCCAACACCGAGGACACACAGGAAGCCAGCGATCAAAAGACAACAGATATTGGTCGCATCGTGAGTGTCGAAGGTCGAGCATTTCCCGTGGACACCCACTATCTCTCGGAGCCCTGCGAAGAATATTTGGAACGAGCAATCAAGACTGTCTTTGATATTCACACGACAGAGCCCGAGGGCGATATCCTGATATTCTTGACAGGGAGGCATGAGATCGAAAGAGCGATCGAAATGATTGCAGACAGATTGCCTTCGCTTCCCAAAAACTCTGGCAAGATCTTGCCATATCCACTGTACGCAGGTCTCACGACCGAGCAGCAGATGTATGTCTTCGAGCCAGCGCCAGAAAACACGCGCAAAGTAATCTGCTCCACAAACATAGCAGAAGCGAGTGTCACAATTGATGGCATAGTCTATGTCATCGATTCTGGATTCGTGAAGCTCAGAGCTTTCAATCCGACTACTGGCATTGAAACGTTGACCGCGACGCCTGTGTCTAAAGCATCAGCTACGCAACGAGCAGGTCGAGCAGGCCGGACAAAGCCCGGTAAATGCTACCGGCTGTATACTAAGGAAGCTTTCAACTCGTTGGAGGATGCCACCGTACCAGAGATCCAACGCTCGAACTTGGCACCGACCATTTTACAGCTCAAAGCTCTGGGCATTGACAACATCGCACGTTTCGACTTCATCACCCCACCGCCTTCCGAGCTCATCATTCGAGCCTTGGAACTTTTGTATTCCTTGGGTACTTTGGACGACTACGCAAAGCTCACAAAACCACTAGGAACAAGAATGGCCGAACTTGCACTTGAGCCAATGCTCGCCAAATGCCTCCTCACCGCCAAGACCTTCGACTGCCTCTCCGAAATACTGACCATCGCGGCGATGGTCAGTCTTCAAGGCAATGTGTGGTTCACTCACGATCTCAAAAAAGCCGAAGAAACGGCAAGAAGGAAGTTCGCGGTCGAAGAAGGCGATCATCTGACATTACTCAACGTCTATCAAGCTTTCGTCACCAAGGGCAAAAAGGAAGCCAAGTGGTGTCAACAGCACTATCTCAACTTCAAATCAATGTCCCGAGCGGTCAGCATACGAAATCAGCTCAGACGCTACCTGGAGCGGTTCGGCATCGATGTCACTGAGTCATTGAGTGGCAATGATGTCCTGAAAGCAGGAGGACGAGCGAAAGAGGAATCCATTCGTCGATGTCTGACAAGCGGCTATTTCGCGCATGCCGCGAGGATGCAACCGGATGGCACATTCCGCACCATCGACGGCGGCACTGTACTGCACGCACATCCGTCAAGTCTGATGTTCAACAGGAAAGCCGACTGGGTGATATTTACGGAAATCATGGAGACGGGAGACAAGACTTTCATTCGTGACGTGACCAAGATCGAGAAGAGCTGGTTGCTCGAGTACGCACCTGATTTCTATAAGGTGTCTGATACAAGATAGGGAAGTCGTCGTAATATTAGGGTAACTAATAAGCGCCTGATGTAGCGCCATTGGGTATCTTACAACAGGCACGCCTCACAATGCACCACCTCACCATTCCACTTCCAATTCCACTTCCAAGCTTTGAAGCACATTGCCCTCAAAATTTCCTAGAATCAATTCCGCCAACCACCACCTCCTGTCAGAAATCCTGGTATCTTATCATAGATGATTCCCTCTACCCTGTCCAGCCCACTCAGCGGCGATTTCTGTGAGAACGTCGCCCATGATTACAGGACTAGCCATGAGTCCGTGACCCTCACCCTCCAAAACGCGGACCTCACAACCCCCACGGCCAGTATCAACCCAGCTGTCCCGAACTGCGACAGCTCCGAGACTATCAAGCCCAAGAGCCCTTCGGTTCATTTGCTCTGCCATCCACTTGACGTTCGCAAGTGGGACTCTCTTATCCTCACTGCCATGTGTGATGACAACCTGTGCACCGACATCCGTGTACCGGAAGCCAACGTCACGATGTCGCTCGAGGCAAACCACAAGATCTGTCGCGGGATTGCTATCTCGAGTGGCGAGATCCCAAGTCATTTGCGTCAGACGACTCGTATACTCCATCTGCCGTTCCTTCTCGGCATGTTCGGCGGCATTGAGACCAGACGAAGCCTGCTGATAACCTGGGTCCATCGGACCTGAAGTGGCTGAGAGTACCAGAGAGCCTCGCTTGAGAAATTGGTCGTGTTCTTCTTCCTCCTTGACTGGAATTGGGAAGTGGTCAGTAGGATTCGTGGCGGGCATGTACCGGTCCATGAGCATCATTGATTCTCGACGATTGTACTCTGGTCGATCCCGGCTGTTGGGTTTCTGCTCCTGCATCTCAGGAGGATTTGTGGCCCTGCGAGGCGAGGACTTATTGGCAGTAGACTTGACGTTCCGTTTTGATGCTGGCTTTAGCGATGCTGATGTTGCCGTCATGAATGATGAGTTGGCAGCTTTCAAGAAAGGTGTTGGCAGTACGCGTAGAAGTCGCTGACTGCGTGGCAATGGATTCGCCGGAGGTGCCGATGCTGTTGGATGTGAGATTGCCTCGAGCTGGCTGGGTGGTACCCAGGGTGCGAGTAGATGGACTTTGCCTCGGACCAAGTGAGGAAGAATCAGCGCTGTGGCAAGTGCATAAATTGCGCCTGCCGAATGAGCCAAAATACTGAACTTGACAATTCCAAGATGTTGGCAAATCGCAAGTACATCTTCAGGCCAGCCTAAAGGTCCAGTCTTGTCGTTTGGAGGATACGGTTCGCTGCCACCCACGCCTGGCCTGTCCAGAGTGATCAAGCGCAATCGCAAAGTCATTGCAAGTTCATCATAAAAGGCCGTTACATATCGAGTCAGACCCATGCCGACGCATACGAACACTGCAGCTCCCTCGGGATCTCCGATTTCGGAAAAAGCAATGGTTCGGCCAGTTAACGGGTGCTTGACCTTTCGATTCAAACGCGGCGCGCTCAAATATTCAATTACAGCATCTTCAATGCTGTCTCTGCGCGGTGAGTCGGAAACATCGTCTGCTTGTCGCGCCAAACGAGCATCACTCATAGACTTCCGGCGATTCTTTTTCTTGTCGAAAGCCAGCGGGAGATCTGGGTGGTGGGCTGTCCACCGGTCCTGAGGGGGGCGTTTCTTCTTCAACGTCGATTTAGCGTGCTGTGGAACAGCCAGGGTAGATTGGTGCCTTTCTGGAGGTGGAAGTTCCGGTGCTTTCAAGCCAAGTGATGAACTGCGATTGGGCGCTACAGGTCGTGATCGTGATCGTGATCGCTCCCTTTCAAGCGCGTGCTGCAAATCTTCTTCCTGCAACAAGTCGACCGCTTGGGCATAAGAGTAATCCAAAGATAGACGCCCGGCAGGTGAATGATCTGCTGACCGCGATGGAGCGGGTCTGTAGTAGTCCGATTGCGGTCGCTTTACAGCCAAAGAAAATTTTTCGTTCCTGCTACTGGGATCAGAGGAAGCAGCTCTGTTGGCGGTAAAAGCTGGTCCATTCAAATCTAGAGATCGGATCCCATCACCCCTGATACCCAGAGTCGTGTGCGCCTTCGTAGGGTCTATAGGCTTGCGATTGGCTGTTGTTGCTTTTCTCGACCCTCGCTTAGCTTCATCGGGAGGCGGAGCTGACCGCTCGTAAACTGGGATATGCTGTGATTCAGATGCCTCCAAAGGCGCCAAAGAGTTTTCGACCGAGGGAGGATAAGAAGTTGACTCCTCCTGACGAGATTTTCGTTGTTCTCTGAGTTCTTTGATGCGTCGGACAGTCTCGTCATCGTCGCCAAGGTCTGCCCATTTTTCATCCGGTATAGACTTGGAAGGCTTGTAAGGCATTCGTTCAGATTTGCTGGAAGATGCAGCGTTGCGCTTGGACTTTTTGTGCTTTCGCTTGCCTGCTGGACTCCTGCTCGGGTGACGCAGAGACGATGTGCGCATGGGAATGGAGTCCTGAATCGGGCTGGGACTCTGCAACGACGCGTTACCATACACAGAAAGTCGTCGCTCTGAAGACGCCTTGGACACTCTGCTGTCACCTCCCTCGCTCCGCTCTCCAAAAGAATTGGTCCGCAGCAGTTTCAGGCGCTCGTCGGTTGGCGGAGCTTCGCTGATCGTGGCGTCGTTCAGGTACAGCCTGTTGGGTTTAGGAGCTGGTGGTTTCGCAGGTGTTTTGGCGATGATTTGCTCGGCAAGAGACATACGTTTCTCTGTGAATGATGCTTCATTCGTCAAACGATTCGCGTCTTCCGCCCTCAGCTTTTCCTGCGACCCGACTCGCCGCAAACGATGCTTTCGCGATGCCCTCCCTCTCAGGCTCACCGAATCATCGGCGACTGTCGAAGTCTTGCTCCTCACCCAACTCTCCGAGCTCAACTTGTTCCTGCTGTTCTCTGGACGATCCACAGATGCAACGCCGACGGAGCTTCGCCGAGAGCTCGGGGTATGGAGGATGGTGGGAGGCTTCTTTGCATTCGGGCGCTGCGCCCTGCGATGCGACAAGCCGGAGGGTGGTCTTGATGTTGGAATGATCGGCGGGAGGGCAGCATCGGTCAGGCCATGTACATCGTCCAATTCGAGATCTGCTCCATAAGTGACTCCGAAGCCGGGAGTTTCTCTGGGCTTGTGTATGGATGCCGTGCTGGCCACTGACCGCCTCGACGATTCTGCGCGCGAATGCTGGCTGGCTGTCTCGGAGAAGAGCTCGTGTGGCTGAATGCCCGGCGGCAATGGCGCGAGGGTGTCGAAGGAATCAATAATCGACGTGAGGACTTTTGGATTGGCAGGGCGAGATTTGATGCGGTTCGGTGAGCGCTGCTGTGAGCGGTGGTCCGAGTGGAAGTCGCCTTGGTTCTGCTCTGCATGGCCGTTCCACGGTACCAGAACTTCCATTTTGTGGCTGCGGTGCGTGCAACAGCGTTGCCCTTTAGCATGCAGACAGTCGCAGTGCCTGACTAGAGAGCGGCCCTTTCAGGCGCAAGTGGATGTCATCCAGTGTTCTACCTCCGGCCCATCGTACATGTGTATGAAGCCAATCTTAGTCTTGCTGTCGAACGTAGCACTGCCGACGTTGAGAGTGCGACGGTCGCGCATCCATACACGTGGCCGACAGATTTTGGTGCTCGTGTTGGTGTCGTTGCGCACGGTCGCAGATCATGTGCGACGCAGTGTCATGGACTCGGAGCAGCACGACGCCGGGTATTAGAATATCTCCACCCGGCAGCCAAGGGAGCGTGCACTAGAATAAGTTCCGCAGTACCACTGTACGGGAGGGAGGGACGGTCGTCAATCCCGATTGGTTTCTACCAGCATCACGTCTGTCTCCTGAGCCCCGGCCAGTGTCCCGTGGCCGAATGCGACTCTGTCGTCAATACATCCTTCCGTGTCGAGCGCTCGCTCTCCGAGACGCGTGGCTGAAGGAGCTGGAAGAAATCTTCATTCACATTTTCACACTGAGGCCTTATGAAATTCATATTCTACCGTGGTGCAACGTGTGCCCGAACTACCAACGACCGCGAAGAAACAAGCAAACGCCGCTTTTGAGGCTAGACATGGAAGACCAACGGTCCCTGAAATTACCTAGTATACCTGGTATGGCCCTGCAATAATAATTATAATATAGATACGGTGACCCAATATAGCTTAGATAATTAAGTCTTCTTCCTTTCACGATATTAGGATTTCTCGCTGCCCTACGCTTGCCTGCTGTGTTCACCGCACATGATCTCTTCTGCAAACTTTCAGACTCGTGATGGAGGACGTGCGTACGAAACAACGGTCATTCTATCGCAGTGTGAGGAGAAGTCTCCGAGGATTTTCAAGACTTCTTGCTCCAGGACACCGGGTGCATCTCCACGTGAAGGCTACACGACGTGCTTGGTCCATCACGACTGTACACACGATCGCTCTGTGACTCTTGGTGCACGGTCTCATGGATTCTACGGACCGACTGTTGACAAATCCATTTGTGCTCGATTGCCGAGCACCCTTCTCCTGAATCCGAAGATGTCTTGAGAACAGATGCTCAGATGAGGCTAAACTGGAGGCAGTACTTTGACAGCAGCTCCGCAGCCAACTCATACCTATCGTAAGGCCGCCACGTCGCCCACGATTACGCCATTGCATCACTTCCTCAGGCAGCGCCAAGCCATTCCTCGACCTGGTTGAAGACGCCAGCAGCAGATACTTCGGATCCTCTCTGGCTATTAAACTTCGGCTTTCCATGAAGCCATTGTGCTGTGGTCGGATCCCATCTACTCGAAGTTATGGGAAGTCTTTCTATGCCAAAGAGCTGTCCGGGAATCTCATCAAGTCCACTTCATCCCGACCTCTCAGCGAGCGCCGAACCATTTCTCCGACCCACTCGGCGTAGTAGCGCTCGACGTCTCCTGATGACCATACGCTGACAGATTCGGATATCTGTTCGTTTCCGAGAACGTCGGTAGCTTTGGATAGCCAGCCATTCGATCTGTAGGCTCTGCTGAATCGATTCTTTCCGAGCGGCGTGGCGAACCAATCGACGCATCCGCGTCCTCGACGACCAACAGATCGTGTGGATTGATAAGCCGGCCACAATTTGGACAATTTGCCCCCTTCTGCGAGGCATGTTGGACGACGCAGTCAAAGCAGTAGACATTTCCGCAGCATCGAGTCCTGGTCGGATTGACAGGCGCTTGATGGCCAAAGGCGCAAACTTGTCCCAGGACTGGCGATTCAGATGCGAAAGTCGACTGCGCATCGTCGAGCTGTGCTCCTTCCATAGCTAGAGCGGTGCCTTGCTCAGTTTGCTGCCTCGCTCTGTTGGCCATGAGCCGCGCCTCGATGTCAGCTTTGCCTTTGTAGCCCGTCCAGCTGTATGGCTTTGCTTTGCCATTGCCGCTCTCTTCGATAGGCAGCTGAGGTGACTTCTTGAGGATGCTCTTGAGTGGTTTGGTCGAAGGGCGGTCGCTTGGAGTCCTTGGCAGGTACGACATTGCGATGCTTGATGCTTGATGCGTTGTAGACAGACAGCGACTGTTGTTTGCGCTACGATGTTTTGATGTTGCAAGTTCCAGAAGTGAGTTGCGCTGTACGCGCTGCTTCACTGTTTGCTTGTCTGCAAGTGTTGCATTCGGCGCATGCATGAGCGTTGGAGCGCTACTTCACTGATTCCGGTGAGTTGCCATGAACTTAGGTTTCTGACTTTCTTGATTGCACGACCACTTCAACCATTCGCCGTTGGGGGCTTAGGTCTCTTCTAATATACATACACCTTTGGTCGTGTCTCTGCACAATGGCATTTTCCGCACACACTGGTGCGTGCTGTCTGAGCCACTTCCATATACGAACTTCCTAATGCAATCACAACCGGCCTGCCGTTGTGCTTTCTCGTGAACGCCGTGCTGGAAACACTCCACCGCTCCAGATGTGCACAGAGACTCAGAACCTCCAACGCCAGATGCTGCGATATCCAAAGTAAAAACGATCAACTGCAATCCAAGAGAAAAGGAAATCATTAGAGATCCATCGAGCGCCTACCATGGACCTCACGCATCGTGTGCTTGTGAATCCACTCTATAGGGTCGAAGTGTTCCGCATACCAACTCTCATCTCTGATACTGACCTCGCTGTCCTCATGAATGTGACGAGCCACGAAAGTCCTTCCTTGCGTCATTCCTCCGGGCTTCGTGGTGACCGCTTTGTCTGGCACTGCTATGGTCGAGCGCTGCACAAATGGATCATGCGTGCTGCCATCACTGCTTTGATGCGGTGTTGGGACGTTGTTCTCGTTGTCAGACCGGGATCTCGATTCCGAGCTTGGACGTCCTGCAGGAACATCATTATCAGAGAAGATTGTCGACAGCTGTGGTCGGGATGCAGCTCGACGGGGCACGAGTCTCGTTGGAGTGAATTCGGGAGACCTAATGACTGTCGCAGCAGAATCGTCTGAGTTATCCTTCGTCAGGCCATGGGAAGGATGTCTCGTCTCTCGTGGAGGACTGATGGCAAAATCTTGCTCGCTTATTCTGTCATGTCTCTGGCCACTGTGGCCGTTCCCGTTCGAACCTCGACTAGAGCTTTCACGAGACATGGCAGTTGCCGAAGATGTCCCGGCATGAAGCTTGCGATCAATTAATCTGTGGCTGACCTCCCGGGAAAGAGTCGTACTGCTAGGGCTCATCCGGCTGCCTCCACTATCGCTCCGACTTCTAGGCGCACGCTCTTTCCCGTTCATGACTTCTGCCACTGGAAGTGGCTGCATCATCCACATCACCTCCTCTCTTGATGCGATCTTGGTAACGGTAGCAGGGTGCATGTCGTTCACTGGTGGATTGCGAGAAGCATAGTAGCTGGAGCCGTTCGATCTCGAAGAGTCTGCAGTCTTCGCCCTTTCCGGCCGTCTCAGGCTTCCTGCATAGAGCGATGCACCCATATTGCTTGACGAGCCCCACAACTCCTCGTCCTCCCGCTGATACACCCTGTGGTTCCATCTGCTATCTTGACTGCCCAACCTTTGCGGGAGATCTACCGAACTCGTCTTCGTGCTTCCATTGTTACTGGTCCGGCTTGGAGCCAGACCGCGCTGACTGCTGTTACCAGTCTTCTTCTTGCGACGTCCGTGAGGTCCCAGTTCGATTTCACTTTGCCAATTTGGGTTGGTGGTAGATGCCTCGCCGGGGTGAACGTATACGTTCTTCTCATCCTGCTCAAGAGCGAGCCGGTCCCTTCGAGACTCTGCGGCCTCTCGCTTCCTCCTCTTCTTGACACGAGCATCTGCACAGGGAGCGCAGGAAAGGTAGTAGAATATTGCCGATTGAATGCCACGATGTACTGCCATCACTGGCGCTCGTCTTGATTATGCGCGCCGTCTCCTTGGGTGTAACGAGGTCATTGAACCGAAGTGTGTCTTCCTATATGTGTTTCTCGAAATGCATGCTATTCCGAAGGGTAGAGCGTGCGGTTAGGGAGCGTGGGTATGGTAGTTGGCCGCGCTCTATGGGCCGTTGTTGTCGGGGAAGACAAGCGGAGGAATGCAGGTGGTAGAGAGACGGCGGCTGTGAATGAATAAATGTAAGGGAAAGCGCTCTTGGTTGCTCCTGGTAAGCAAGTGTCGGAACCGTGGATTGCTGGTGGGGTTGCGAGCTTGCGCGACTGCCACAAATGAGGGAGATTCGGGATTCTGGATTCGGACAAACAGGCGTACTCGACGCTGCTGCTGTCGTGTGACTGCAGGTGTATGATAGGAGTGGTGGAGGAGTCGACCGAGCGTTTGACTGCGCCTCTCCCTTGCCGGCGACTCAAGTCTGTGTCCGCGAGAGGGAAATGAGACGCCAACGGACGCTTCGATCGACGGGGCGAGGCTGGTTGCGCTACGTTGCCTCCCAAGCCGTCTTCTTGAACTAATGCCGGTGCAGTGCAGTGCAGTGCAGTGCAGAGCGAATGGGCGCTGTCTCGCCGAACGAATTGGCGATATATATGTACAACGACGACAACACTCTGGCAACAGCCTCGCAAGGGACCAGCGGCACATTCAGCCCAATGCCAGCTGCCAACATCACTCGGCCGGCGTTACGATGCACTCCACCAACGATCCTGGTCCGCGGGCGGCTGTTCAACATCCATGATTGCGCCAATCCGACCCTTCAAGGATCCAGCACGTGGCATGGGCGTCGAACGAACGACCTGCTGGCTCGTGCAGCCTGTCATCATCACCGTAATTCCATCCTCCATGAGAACGTGCACTTCCTACAACATTGCTTCGTCCTTCGATGCACGACTTTGCAGAAACATACCTTGACCGCCATTTCTCTGCGTCCGGGTGACCCGCCCCCCTCAGAAGCTCGACAGGCGAACAGTGGTACGGGCAAGCCAGACGCAACAGCAAGGCGCCCGAAGTGGATCTTGAGGTCAGCAGATATATACTGTTCCCATAGCGAGGTGTGCGAGAGATGGCAGACGTGTCGACAGCCGACAGCTCCAACGATAGCGCCGGGATAGGGCTTCGCCATGCCTTCAGCGACTTCCTCCCAATGGAGTTATGCCTTGCGGAGTTATGCCTTGCACGTCTGGATGTACCATTCTCTTGAGGCTTATTCGCGAATGTGACCTTTGAGAGTAATCAAAGCTGCGGTCCATGAATAATGGCTAGACAGGATGTGCCTGCAGACTTAGAGGAAGCTGCGGCTTTGATTCTCTTTGCCGGTTCGAGTAGCTATGACGCCTGAATGATTTGTCTACCACCTGAGACCTCTCTCGGTCGAGCTCTAAGTCCATTCCGGGCATTTCTCACAAGAAGACTCGTGATTGGAACGGCAGTCGGCTGGATGGCGAACCAGGAACTCGACGCTCTCCGGAATTTCTTTCAACGTGCCATCGATTATAAAGCGGAGGGCTGGGAAAGTTTGCTCGTCCACACCCACGCACCTGGCTGGGGCAGAGACCGGGCTTTTTGCCTGACCAAAGATACGTAGTTTCCGGTTGAACTATCTGAAACTCCTCCGGACACCGAAACGGCGGAACATGCTTGTCGATGTTCCATGTCTGTGCTGACTCGAACGAAACTTTTTCTGGACGACTACCTGCATCTGTCTATTGTACGGACATAATTGCTGGATACAGACATTCGTCTTTTGGAAATTGGAACAGGATTCTTTGCGGCCTTCTCCGAAAAGTTCTGAAATCTCGTCTGATCACCGCCTGGTAGTTCTGCTGACAAACTTGCCATGGCTTTACTGAGTGAGAGGGCAACCTTTCGCTAATTTGAAGGACAAGGCTCTGCTACTTCGAAGGCCATGGCTCTATTCCGTGAAAAGACAACGCTTTACTGAGTTGAAGGACACGGCTCTGCTAATCTGGATACAGCATCATACAGGACAAGATCCAAACCGTGCAACGCGGTGAGACCGTTTTGAATGCAAAATTTCACGGCTACTATCTTTGACGTGTGCATTAAAATGAAGTAAGTGAATTGCAGCCACTGCAAGGGACGCCGTTGTTGGGCAGGGCTGGGTACCACCAGAGCAATCCTCCTTTGTATTACCTCCATATAAATCATGTCAACTCGGGGCGTGACACGCAGAGAAGCACCTTGCTCATAGGCGTTCCGTATTCGTCTTGTTAAGCTTCGTTCAACCGAGCTGTTCTGATATCCGGACCAGAAGAGGCAATTGCTGTTAAAATGCCTGCAGTCGAGGATGTCCTCGTCGACATGACTTCGTTGACGTGAGTTCAGTTCATCTGGCCGTGGTCCGAAATTGCCGGATCGCCAAGTTTGCAAGACAATTGATGACTCGAGATCGCGACGTCTACTGCAACACAAGGCAGGACCTTGACCAGAACGTTTCTCGATCAGAAGACTGAAAGTACGTGGCAGTTTCATCCGAGACCGAGGAAGGACAAGGCAAGAGTGGTCGCGTACGTCGGGAGCACCCGCTAGCTGCGCTCTAAGCGCACCAATCGGCAACCATTCATGGGTCCGTCCTTGCTCTTGCAAAAAAGTTCACAGAACGACTGCGAATCCACTTTGGGTCACTCTGCAAAATGGCGCCGGCAAGAAAGAAGCAACGTGGCTCCGATGGAGGCGCGATAGTCACGCAGACGCATACCGAAGAAGTTGACACCGGGTCACAAGCAGAAATGAAGACACAAACTGCCGATGGGCAGCAGGAACAGAAAGACGCAGATGCAACACAGCAAGGTCGCTCACTCTTCGTGCGATCGCTTCCTGTCTCAACCACTAGCGAGTCCTTGACCGGACTCTTCTCGGACGCATACCCAGTCAAGCATGCCACTGCCGTGATCGACCCTGCCACCAAGGAATGTCGCGGCTACGGCTTCGTAACTTTCGCCGATGCTGAGGATGCCGCCAAGGCAAAGAAGCAATTCAATGGTCATGTACTTGACGGCAAGAAGCTACGAGTAGAGGTGGCCGAGAAGCGACACAGGAATGGAGAAAATGGAGAAAGTGTACCGCAGAAGAAGAAGGAGCAGGAGCGGCAGCCATCGCAGCCATCAAAGCTGATCGTGCGCAACCTGCCGTGGTCAATCAAGGGCTCGGAGCAGTTGACGCGGCTTTTCCAAAGCTACGGGAAAGTGAAGCAAGCCTACGTTCCAAAGAAAGGACCTGGTCTCATGGCTGGATTTGGTTTTGTGGTCATGCGGGGAAGGAAGAATGCCGAGAAGGCGATCGAAGGAGTAAATGGTAAAGAAGTAGATGGCAGGACGTTAGCGGTAGATTGGTCTGTAGAGAAGGATGTCTACGAGAGTCAGCCGCAGGACCAAGAAGAGAATGGAGAAAGTGTCCAAGTTGGAGCAGAAATCGAGGAGGATCTCATGGAGGATGAACAGGGTCGTGGCTCCGACAGCACCAGCGACGTCTCAGGCACCGAAAGCGATGACGACGAAGAGGGAGGTGTGGACGATGACGATGACGAGAGCATTGAAGTCAACCTAGGTGATGAATCGGAGCAGCAGGTTCAAGACAGATCTGAGGATCGGTCGAAGACTCTGTTCATTCGCAATCTACCATTCACTTGCACTGATGAGGATCTGGAAGACCACTTTCAACAATTCGGCAGCACTCGCTACGCCCGAGTCGTGATGGACTATGGTACGGAACGCTCCAAAGGTACTGGATTTGTGTGCTTCTACAACAAGGAAGATGCAGATGCATGTCTGCGAAACGCTCCGATACGCCCAGCCGCTAGCTTGCCTGAGAAAGGCAAGGATGTCAAACCGGTGCAGGCACCCCATTCTATTCTGCAGAATGACATGGCAGACCCGACAGGCCAGTACACACTTGATGGCCGTGTTCTGCAGGTAACACGAGCTGTCGACAAGTCCGAAGCGAACAGGCTAACCGAGGAGGGTGTGAACCATCGTTACAAAAGAGACAACGACAAGCGAAGGCTCTATCTGCTGTCCGAGGGTACCATAAGCTCTAAATCCAAGCTCTGGGAACAGCTGCCGCCCTCCGAAAGAGCTATGCGAGAAGCAAGTGCAAAGCAACGCAAACAATTGATCGAGAGCAACCCCTCATTGAGTCTCAGCCTTACGAGGCTTTCAGTGCGTAATATCCCGAGAAGTGTGGACTCAAAACAACTAAAGGATCTGGCGCGAGCAGCTGTTGTCGGGTTTGCAACAGAGGTCAAGGACGGACAGCGGAGCAGAATATCGAAAGAAGAATTAGCGCGAGGTGGTGACGAGATGCAGGCCGCGGAAAAAGCTCGTAGGGAAGCCGGCAAGGGCATTGTGAAGCAAGCCAAGGTCGTGTTCGAGAGTGCTGGTGGTAGCAAAGTGAGCGAAGAGAGTGGAGCTGGTCGAAGTCGAGGCTATGGTTTCATTGAGTATCACACCCACCGAAACGCGCTGATGGGTCTTCGATGGCTGAATGGACATGCCATCGACTATCAAGTCAAGGATAAGGAAGGTAAAGGCAAGCTCAGCCGAGAGGAGATCCAGGATCGGAAGAAGAGGTTGATCGTGGAATTCGCAATTGAGAACGCGCAGGTTGTGAAACGGAGGCAGGAAATGGAGCTGAAGTCCAGAGCACGTAGCCAGGCTGTCAAGCAGGGCTTGACATCAGAAGATGCACACATCGAGGGAAGTGAGCCGTCCAAAGCTAAGCGAAAGGGCGAGAAGCCGAGCTCGCGGAAGCGCAAGAGAGACTCCGATGCAGTGCGGCCTTCGAAGGCAACGGTATCCAGGTCGGACAAGAAGACGAAACCAGAACCGAAGAAGCCGGTCGATGAGAAGTTGGCACGGCGCAACCAGATCATCGGACGAAAACGAGCGATGCGAGCTCGTCGCAAAGGTGGCAAGTCTTGATAGGTACATTTACATCCTTTGTTGCACACAGGTTAGTCTTACAGCATCAGTCAGACCATTGTGGGCGTACAGAAGTACTACCCGTCAACGCTCAAGCGCATAGAGCCACGGGGTACAGAGCTCGGGCGCTCCACGCTCGATGCTCGAGACTGGACGACTGTCTACGACGTGTCGACCACCACTCGCCGTGTGTGACGGAGTTGCGCATAGCGGCGAATCTCCCAAATGCTGGCCAGATGGTGTGGTGTGTCTCGATACACCTTCTCGACATCTCCCACTGAAGCCGTGGCGGCCGAGGCTTGGATGATATCGTATCGACACCGAGCGGCTGGTATTCTGGTTGCTTCCGGTACAAGGATCAGGATGTCATGCGTAAAGCACGCAGCCTCGCATGTCAAGTGGCTATCACATTTTAGGCGATTCTGGCTTGAAGCAGCATGAAATTTCTATTTGCCACGGGATCTTGTGGGACAGAATCTGTCACGGCGCACAAAACCAGGTTCGCTCGAGCGACAACCAGGGCCTCGCGGCAGCGTCCGCGATGGATGGCTGCACTACTTCTGCAGATGTGTGTTGCCGCTTCGACAATGTGCAGCTGCTCACTTGCCGCTTGCCGCTAGCTCGAGCGCATACCGGGCTACAGGACAGACGGCCCGGGTATGTACGACATGCGTCCATACCAGGGTCCCTTTGTCACCTGTCACGGAACGGGAAAGAATGCCAGGGCCCCTATCTGCAGACGGGAAGCTGAGATCAGAGCAGATCGCGGGATCGCGAAGTCTACAAAGCATTGTTCGGCGGCAAGCGCGTCTTTCAATGCCCAGAAAATGATAGATCGAAAAGCCCCGAGCTCGCGCCCACGCAACCCCAGCGTACATACCTTGCCCAGGTCGTCTTTGTGCCGCCAGTCTTTGTTTCCCTACGTCTCATTTCTCATCATCCAATACTTGCCTGTGCGATGTCTTAGTCGTGAAATCTGGCAGTGTTAGGCTCGACCCAGTCTTTGAACGTGCCACAGGTCTCCGCACGAGCAACCAGAACATGCCATGCATCGCCACTACAGCAATTCGAGCCTCGTAGTGGGTCGAGGCCGATAGACGTGGACAGCATCACGCCCAAGCTCTTGCTCTGGACTTGACCCAGCACTGTTGCATGCGTCATTCATACATGCGATGCTGCATGCGATCTCGAAGGGTGAACGCGCTCAGAAGCATACCGAACCAGGAGGCCTTGTCGTCGGCCGCATACTGCTGTGAAGATGTGGGAATACGTACTGTCGAGCTACAGCAGTCTCGTGCGTCGAGGGTCTGTTGATGATAACGTCCGAAGAACATAAAAGGCCCAACAGAATGCCACTTTCTGTTGACTATCAACCATCAGCTTCTCTCAACAACTGTATCAGACCTCTTCGTTGGACTTCTGCTTTTTTTCTGTTTGCGTACTCCCTTGGTGGTTCACTGCTTCGATCTTCGAACTTCTGTAATTCGGCCAGATTTGCTTGCGGGCATCAGGTTAGTCAATGGATCCAAACTGCTTTCCTTACAGACGGGACCTAACACGACTCGCAGAGCTCAATCAAGCTACCAACCGAGCGAAGAGACCACCTTGAACCTCTTCAGCTTCAATCGTAAACCATCTTCCAGATACGCCATGTGCCAAGTAAGCTCATCATCACAAGCCTCAATTCTTTACTAAAACTTGCAATGCTGACCACTCTCTTCAAGTTCGAGGTTATCCACTTCCACTGCGGCCACGCCGGTAGACGTCTCATCAAGCACTGCCACTTCGCTCGCAACGACCCCAATCACCAATGCTTCGGCGCCTGGTCTATCAAGCGCGAATGGGTCAGCGCCAATCAGATCTGTCAGCCTTGCTCGCAACAAGCTATGATGCGTCGTGCCCAGCAGGCTCAGCTGAGGCTCTGATCACGACGTCCCGAGGTGCTTACAAATGGCTTTCCCCCGGGAAAAATGTGTCGTTCGAGAGTGAATGAATAATGGGAGTTGGGTTTTCGGTTTAGCGTTTTGATGAAAATTTGGGCTTGTTGGAGTTCTTGATCTCTTGATTGGATGGACATACCCAACTGAGTGCTTTTTTGTTTGCAATGTAACGCGATCACTGTTTGCGTGAAACATGAGAGAGAAAATAAATGAATGAAAATTGTACTTCTTGCTGCTTCGAGATCATATCGTCCTAAAGTCTGCTAGAATCTGGTCTCCCAAAAAATGTCAGGACATCTTATAAACCGTGAAAGCGAAGGAACATCATGAGAGACTATTGACCTTCACCCGTATTCGTTGCTCCTTCAACTTTGCCCTTGATGTTGTAACGTTTGCTGAAGAACGTGTACCAATCATTGAGCACCTTCTTGTGTTCATCCGAAAGGTCATACCAATCTGGTCTTGCCTCTTCGGCTTTCAGCGAAGATTGTGCCAGAGCGCGAGAAGCGTCCTTGCCAGCGAAAACTACGAGATACATGTCAATAAATTTACATCTATACTGCTGTACGTTGCGCAAATCACCTTTGTAAGATCCCTCCGGACCATAAGCCTTGTTACCGGTCACGTCGAAGACCGTGCCCTGATGGTTGAAAGTCTGATCAGAATCTCATCGACCTTTGGCAGTCAATGTTTGGAGACGTACTTTGATGGCCACATATGTAGGGTAGCCCTCGTGTGTTCCTGTGCGACGATGAATGAGCACAAAGGTCCACTCAACACTCAACGAGCCGTGCACTTACCGTCACATTTTGAAAGGTGGTCGAGGCTGATGATGTCGTCTTTTGGAGGGTCAAGGGTGACCGGTGTCTTGGGCTCGAATCCAGGCATGTTGTTGATATCACAACGAAGTGCATTGAGTGACTTATGGTGTATTTGGGGGAGATGTACTGGATAGGCAATGATTTGATGAGGTTGATCGGGTCATCGGCAGTTCGGCGACATGGCACGAGGACTAAATTTAGCCGAAAGTCTAAATCTGAATGCATGGCATGCACGACCTAATGAGTAATGACAGACGCTTTCTTATTCTGTAGAGTTCATCACAAATATGGGAAGACATCTGCAAATACCATGCACGCCTATACTTATGCGACACGAGATCGACACTCTCGTCATGTCTACTCCCCACACCCACTACTCCGCTGTCTTCTTTGGTTTCACAGGCGTGTCATCAACCAACAACCGAATCAAAGAATGCACGACCTCGGCAGCAGCAAGAGTTGTCGTCTCGCCAGGGTTGTCGTAGATCTGGTTCATGGAAGTCAGCAAGCATTGCATCGCCAGGTACTAAGCGAGTATCAGAACGACATACTGGTGCAACCTCAACGACATCTGCCCCGATGACGTGCATACCGCTCAGACCATCTAGAATCGTCAAGAGTTCTCTCGTAGTCCAACCTCCGACCTCAGCAGTGCCGGTAGCAGGAGCGTAAGCGGGATCTAAAACATCGATATCCACAGAGATGTACACCTTCGTGCCCTTCGTCCGTTCTTTCAATCTCTGGATGATACCTTCCGTGCCAATGCGGTCCAAATCTCGAGCTCGAAGAATGTGGAATCCACAAGCTTTATCATTCGCGAGATCGTACTTGGGATTGGAGACTGGAGCTCGAATTCCAGCATGAATAGAGGTGTTCTTGATCAGGCCTTCTTCGTGAGCTATGTGCAGAAACGTGCCATGGTTCACACCGGCGTAGTGTGAAAGGCCGCCTCCAAGAATATCAGGATCCCAGGTATCCAGATGACTATCGAAATGAATGACCGAGACAGGTCCCCAATGATCGACTGTGGACCTCAAGGCCGGCAGCGTGGTCGTATGATCCCCTCCCAGAGTGATGATTCTTGGTACGGAAAAGTAGGTTGAGTTGGCGCTCCGTGCTGAGATGATCTTGTGTGCCTTTCCAAGCTGCTTCAGCGCGATAGTGTTGTCGAGAACCGTGAGCGGCGCATCGCCGCAATCCACAATTTTCAGACCTTGTTGGAACGAGTTCTTGCCTGTGTAGACACTGAACGCAAATTCTGGAGAGATTCGACGAGATCCTTCGCGGATACCTAAATGTCAGTCAGTATTTGTTGCGAACGAATGCAAGCTATGGTACTGCACACCAAGGGGTCCAAACCTAGCCCCAGGTCGCGCTGTAACTCCCTATCTTAGTCGTAAGTCCAAGATCTCACAACACGGTCTTTGTTTGGAAAAGTCTCACAGTATCGAATGGTGCCCCAAGAATCGCAATATCGTAAGGCTCAACCTCTTCTCCCTCGGCAGCCAAACAATGTACGTATGGTAAGTTGGCGTAAGTCGTCAAACCCGCAAATTTCGCCCTCGAGATGTCCATACTAAGTCCAGGTGCAACATCAGAGTCTAAATCCATGGCCCCCAATGGACTCTGAGCCACGTCCGGCATCACTGGCGGGAAGATGATTTCCCTGGCCATAGCGGCCGCGGCCATGAGGAGCATGGGCAGTGTCATGGTTACAATGGAGAGAAATCACATGTATGTCGATTGTCGAAGCCATGCAGTGACACTGATATACACGATTTTGGTATCATTGCCAGGTCATCAAGATACGGTCGCGCCCTTTCCCGTTACATAACCAATGCCGCATCGGGATTCGGATCTCTTCTGGGCAGGTCCTTCCGATGTATTAGCGGAAATGGTCCATTCTGCTGCTGGACTTGATCGCCATATGGTGCTCAAGCAGAGAATCATCACTTTCGAGAAATGGCGATTTGTTGAAAAGTTCACGAAGACTAGCTTTTGTCCCTGGAATCTTGCGGTACAGCTATAGGTATAGGTACATATGCTCAACTCGCCTGGGCTGTGATGGCCAGGAAACTCTCGATACCCAGTTGCTAGAACTTTTTTGCATGGTAATTGTGGTTCATTGGAATGCAGATGGCTTATCCAGTGTACAGTCCTGTCCGATCCTGACCCATTTTCAGATCGTAGCCTATCCTCAACGCATTCCTCGATCAGTCTTCATCTACAGCCATGTGCAAACACGGCATCGGCGTAGCGACGGAAGAGAGCAGTATGCTCAAGCAGTTACAGTCCTTGCCATTGGTGTGTGAAGGGGCGCTCTTCAAGCCTTTCCATCTCCATTGACAAAAGCACCACCTTCGATGTCCTTGCTGTACTGTTCCAGTCGTCTCGCCTCTTCTGCTTCCTTCTGCTCGGCAGTCTTCCGATTCTTCTTGAAACGCTCGTCACCGGTTGAGATTGACGCTTGGATCTGCATGGGGCTACCAAACCTCCGGCCGTCGATTGCCCTGGCGAACGCGCTCGCAGCTTCGGCGGTTTGAAAACGAATAGTTACGACACCTTCTTCTTCGAGGTCGAAGATCTCGATGTGTTTGACTGTGCCGTATTTTCCGCCCTCTTCAAACATGTCGTCATAGATATCCTGGCGCACATCTTCATCCGGCTTCTGGTTCTCGAACTCCTCGAGCTTGAAGGCGTTCTTGACTACGACTACCTTATCGTAACGAGAGGAGGTTTGTGGCATGGTTGAGATGTCATCGTCAGACCACTCGCCGAGGCGTCTGTACCGAGTCAGCCCTCCCGAAAATGCTTATAAGTGCAAGATAGCATACTGATTCATTTCTTCGGCTTTGCGCTTCAACTTGGCTTTCGATGGCCTAGCCTTAGAAGGGCCACGCTCGGGTGCGACTGTGTCGTCATTTGATTTCTTGTAGGTCGAATCTGCCTCGATCACACTGATAGTGCTGGTCGGCTGACCGAAGTCGCGCGGCCACAACATTCCGTCAGCGAGCATGACAGCCTGTCTGACAGACTCCGGACGATAGAAGACTGTAAGCGATCAGTACCTCATCTTAGCACATTTCTCTATCAAGGCAGACTTACTTATCAAGGCTTCGCCCTTGAAGTTGCCATTGGCGTCGTTATACAGCTTTACACGCTTCTCGTTGTCCTCTGCGCTCTCCGCGATGATGCCGTACTTGCTAAAGACTTCTCTAACTTCTTCAGTGTCAACATCAAGCGGTAAACCAGAAACGAAAACAGCGGTGCTTTGGCGTGGCTTGTTGGCAGGCGGGGCGGCAATGGCTTTGGCAGTGGCAGTGGCGGTGGCTCCAGTGTTGGCTTTGGCCTTCTTATTCGAGTCCAGCTATCACGCGTTAGCTGTACCGTGCTCTCTCGAGCTGTGAATATGACGATCGCAAACTCACATCATCCTGCTGGGCAGCCTTGCGTTTCTTGACCGGATCAAATGCTGGTGCATCGTCGTCGACTCCAGCGACCTTGTATATCTCTTGCTGTTGCTTCATAAGAGCTTCGTCCATCTAGTGCGCCGGGCATCATGTTAGGATCTGCAACCAGTCGTGGACTTGGTGGTAATGGTAAGGCGCAGGCCAGTGCCTGTCTAATGGAAGGACAGTCATCTGGATGTGCGTACCGTCTTAGACCACTTCGCCGGGCCTGGAAGCCACTCCCACTCTTCGCCATTCTCATCTTCGAGCAAATATGACTTGGTCTCCTTGGAGAATGCGATGCGATTGTCGGCGTCGAAGTCCTCAGGGTTGCTTGGAAATGGTGCGCGTTGAGCCATGATTCGTACTGCGCCTGCGAACGGCGGTAACTTCGAGGTGTTGTCGGCTATGTGAGGTTGATGTCGCAGTTCAAGTCGAGGCTGCAAGTGATAGCGACTACGGCGTATAACCGAGCACGGTACGACTCTGCTGGTGTACACTTCCAAAGATCGCTTGGCGAGTGTTCTGTTACATTCGCATCGAAGAAACTACTCTCATTTCTCGTGAACTAGCTTGGTGGTGTTCACGACGACCGCATCGACGTGTTGCGTTTCGTCTTGCATGGGAACTCAAATGCACCGCAGCAGCCAACGACGTCACATTTTGCTCCTACGCCACGAACGCGTCGTAGCAGACCAGAACTGCCTGTATCCGAAGCTGCCGCTCGCGAGTTCGACATCACCTAGACTATTGGCAGCGATGCTTCGGGTGCCGCTATCGCCTTCATCTCCTCCTTAGCATGAGTAGTATGGCACTGTTTGGGGGCTTTCGCTGCAGTGCCGAGAGATAGTAACTTCGTCAATTCTTCTCTCTGCTCTGCTACAACAACCAAGCTAAAGACTACAGGATACTCTTTGTGAAGCGATCACTGGTATCGTTCATTCAGACACAATGCGGCTTCCAACAGACCATCCTAAGCTCGGCGGAGAGACCACCAGCCAAATCCCGCATGCCAAAAAGCCTAAGCCAAGACGACATGCCCCGAGAGGATGGCGAGACGAGGCCTATATACCAGCGAAAGCGCTGCCAACATACACTGGTCCATATCCCGTTGGAACGATGGAAATCGAGGTGCCTGCCTCTGCACCACAGACTTTCAGCCACATCACGCGCAATAAACGACATATATTGCAGCTGGAGACTGTCTTAATGACTATCTACTATCCGGCATCAACCGATCAAGAGGACAAGCTTCCAAAGCGAGGGTCGCGGTTCTCAAGGGAACTCTGGCTTGGAAGACCACGATTAGGCATCGCCGAAGGATATGGCCGGTTTGCAGGGATTGGGCTTCTTGGTATTCCCATCTTTTGTACGACTATGTTCACAAAGCTTCCGGCATTTCGCAATGCGCCTCTCGCCCACTACTGGACTCCTCCGGCAGATACTAAGACAGAGGGTCTGAAAGCCAAACGCGAATATGGACCTGCGCCGCCCGGAGCCCCAGATACCCCATCTTTCCCTTTGATACTTTTCAGTCATGGTCTCGGAGGGACTCGAACGATGTACTCGTCGGTGTGCGGTGAGTTCGCTAGCTATGGCTTCGTTGTGGTTGCCGTAGAGCATCGCGATGGAAGCGGTCCTCGTACTTACATCAACCATGCCAAGCACGGCGAAGGCACTGCTACAGATCTGGAGAGACGCGGCGGAGTTGACCATCATCAACGGGAGAAGAAGCAAGGCTACGGCATCGTGAATTACATCTTTCCGAAAGACAACCCTATGGATACCTCTCCAAACAATGACAAAGGTGTAGACACTGAGCTTCGCAAAGCCCAAATCGACCTTCGCATGGCTGAGTTAGAGGAAGCATATAGTGTGATGAGTGAGCTGGTAATTGGTAACGGCAAAATGATCGCGGATCGCAATTTGCGAAAGAAAGGCTACATCGGTTCAAGTCGGCATGGCCTAGAAAGCATTGACTGGTCCAGCTGGAAAGGCCGTGTGCGAACGGATCACGTAACGATATGCGGCCATAGCTTTGGCGCTGCAACAGCCACCGAGATTCTTCGACGAAACGATCGATTCGACTATGTCTCGCAAGGCATCATCTAGTAAGTATATCGAAGATCGCACAGGCACGATTTCGCCGAGTGACTGCAGGTGGGGTTGCTTTCGGCCTTTGCTTTCGGAGCGCGAGAACTATTCTTCTGAGATACACGCTGACCCTTTTGCCCTTCACCTATAGTGATATCTGGGGTGCCGGAACCAAGCCGCCCAATGACAATGAGCCTGAGCATCGAATTCATGCGCCTATCATTGCTATCAACAGCGAGGCCTTCACCTACTGGCCCTCGAATTTCCAGCTTGTTGAATCCTTGGTGAAAGAAGCTCAAAGCGAGCCGTTTGCATCACCTGCATGGCTAATGACGATTCGAGGGACTGTCCACATCTCTCAATCTGACTTTTCCCTGCTGTACCCGCATATCTCAAGCATCTTCTTAAAAATGGTAGCCAATCCACGAAGAGCTCTAGATCTCAATATCAATGCTTCTCTAGAGTTCCTGGACCAAACACTACCCGAGGATCTGGCCATTGTGAATCGAGCATACAAAAATGAGAGTCTACTCGAAGCTGAGCTCAGCCCGCTAGAGAAGATCCCAACCATTGAAATGCATAGGCCAAAGGAGAAGTACATTGCTGCGCGCTTGAAGATCCGCCACGAATGGGTGTACAGGATTTCTCCGAAGCTGTTTCGAGCGCTGAAACGCAAGGAGGCTAAGAGACATGGTCGTTCACCACAGTTGGGTGATGAAATATGGCTGCACTGCAAGCCCAGCAAAGCAATTGTCGAGGACTATCTTCGGAGAACAACAGGTCGCTCGGAGTCGGATGTGGAACCACAGAAGACGAGAGAGTTCTCCGCAGAGGGCGATAGCGTGCGACCGCAGGAACCGCCAGACGGCGGCGAGCCTGCTTTTGTGCAATCAAATCTGAGCCCGGTGACTTGAGAGGGGTCGGCGCAGCGCGTGGTGGCGGAGAGCAACAGACGCTCCACCATCCAACAGCAGTGGTCTGCGTTACACTAAGCACTCGACTGCAGAGGCGACCACAAGCGACCCTCAAGCGATGCCTTCCATCTTCCATGGCACAAGGGTGCCGGATCTGTGCCCGAAGCCCTTCAATCGAGATCCATCGGATCATCGACGACATCAACATCTGACATATCATCCTCGTCAATGTCCATAGGATCCCAGCTCGGGTCGCGCTCCTCGGGTCTCAGCAGTGTAGCTTCAAAGCACCTCTGCAAGACCTCGTTCTCCGTATCCCATGGACACCAGTCGCGGAGAACCTTCCAAACCTGAGGGCCACTCTGCTTCCGCGCCTCGAACCTCTCGACTTTCTCCCGAAGCAATCGATCATAATCCGAGTAGACATGGCGGACGTGTGCTACGACAATACTAGTGTAGCGTTTGGAATTCCAGATTTTCGAGAGGGACAAATTGTATGTGAAGCCTTTGTCGATGATGATGTCCAGGAGGCGTTCGAGAGGCACGTTGGGAATGCGAGGGAAAAGGTCGGTCAGAGGACCCCGGTTCCATTCGCGTTTGCGCGCGCGTTGCTCCTCTGGGCTGAGTTTCGAAAGGTCATCTTGGGACTTTGGCGCCGGCATAAACTGATGCGGACGAAGCGTGCGACTGATGCACGCGCTGAAGGTGAGAGTGGCAGAAGAGCATTCGCGAAGTGGAAACGAGCAGCTCGCTTGCGGCTTTGTTCCGGCTTGGCACTAGAATATTCTTTGGGTGGAACCGGTGTGATATGAAATACATGTAGTGGATGGCAGTTCGATGCACAAGAACTGGATTTCCACGAAGAATGCTCTTCTGCAAGATCGGAACCAACGCTCTTTCCCCGTATCAAGTGCCTGCCACTATTTGTTCCGATGCTCTTGCCTGGCCTCAATCCCACGCAGTCAAGTTTTCGGGACGGATCGATGGGGGAGAGGTCTCGATCTGATCTCTGGCCTTGGGACTCTCCTTCTCCTTGTCGACTTTCATGATGCGGCATTGAACATGTGATTTCTTCATCCTGAAGACGAATGGATTGCGGCCGGAGATACTGCTCGGCAACCGCAGACTCATCAATCTTCGAGGACCAATTCGCCTTGCAGTATGCGCTCGAAACACCACAGATCTAGTCGCCAGGCATCGCAGATTGTGTGCGTGTGTCCACGAAGGCGTAGCGGAAGATGTGTTGTACCTCGTGGGCTAAACATACCGCCAACTGAACCAGCGAAGATGGCTAGACACCTGCGAAGTCCAACACCGGCTTGAGACAAAGTGAATGGAGAAGAACGTCTTGAAGATCTACTCTATAGCTTTCCTGCGAGCTCTCGTCCTGGCTACGGGCTCTGCCTACTTCATGTACTTCCTCAGTAGAACATGGGAGACTGCATATACTCCCACTCCGAAGGCACACATCCCGGAGATCACGCCGAATCCGAGAAGATACTTTGGAGCATCGCTTGATGGAAAGAGATATGCACCGTATATCTGGGCCAAGTTTCCAAGAGCGTTGACCAGTGCCAAGGAAACGGCTCTGGTTTCTTGTGGCATGGACGCGAATGTGCTAGAGGCGTAGCTCAAAGCACAGCCGTTCGTTGACCACAGACCCATGGCCATAAAGACCAACAGCACGTACCGTGCCGTGAAGTTGTAGACTGCACAGACGACGATCGAGCAAACCATGGATATTGAGAGCCACACAGCGATAATAGCTCCTCGGTTGTGCTGATACTTGTCCGAGAAGTATGCAGTTAAGCCCACAGCAACGAATGCAGCACCGTAGATGGGTACGACCATGTACTGCGCCATGTGCGACGTATAACCCAGACCTTCAACGAGAGTTGGGTAGAAATAAGAGAGCGTGGAAGATCCAACGATTACCATGTAACCTGCAACCATAAGCCAAACCCGCCATGAACCGAGGGATTGTTTTAAAGCTTGCATGGAAGAGAGTCGCTCGCCACCATCTGTCCTGCTTGTAACATTGTCGGTTTGCAAACGAGAAACGGCGAGTTCGCGTTCTCTTGCAGAGAGTTTCTTGGTGTTGGCCGGGAAGTCGAGCAGCAAGAAGACCGCGATGAAAGCCCAGCCGATGGTAGCAGCTCCTTCAACGATGAAGAGCCATCTCCAGCCGCGGATGCCGTAGTGTCCTTCTAGATTTCCGGTGATGGCCCCAGCGAGGATACCGCCGAAAGCTCCGCTTAGCACTGCTGCTGATATGTATACGCCAAAGCGCTTGGACTGTTCAGCCTTCTTGTACCACGATGAGAGGATAAGCAGGACTCCGGGAGCAAAGCCAGATTCCAGCATTCCGACAACGACACGTAGCGCAACCAACTGACCGAACGTCTCGACTTTGGCCATGCAACATGTTACGATGCCCCAAAGCGCCATGATCGTTGGCAGATATATGCTCGGCTTGGTCCTCGCCAGGATCAAATTCGATGGAACCTCAAAAAGGACGTAGGTGACGAAGAAGGCAATCAAAGAGATAGAGTATTCGTTGCTGTCCATGCCGAGATCATGGGTCATTCCCGCTACTTTGGCGTTTCCGATGTTGGTTCTCTGTTCAGTTTTCGTCAGGTCTGCCCCCATACGGCAACACAAGTAATCCCACTTACATCCATGTATGAGAGGAGATACATCAGCCAAATGCAGGGCAATAGATAAAGGTCAATCTTCCTGACCAGAGCCTTCTCCTCGGCGGCCTTCTCTTCATTTTCCCTGCTGCTTTCTTCGACAAACTCGATATCGTTCCTCTTCGTGTCATCTATCCATGAAGACGACATGGTGGGCTGGTGCTGTGACGAATCGGTGTCGTTGACGCTCATTGAGATCTTGTAAAACTCTGTCTGGGACAGGGGAGGCGGGCTTCGAGCAACCTAATAATAATTGCTGAGGGAATGAGGAAACGAGATGCCACAATAGTCATCGAGTCGAGGATCAGGTTCACGATCATATACAACTTGCATTCAGCTCCTGCAACCGGAACTCCAATGCAGTGCTCTAACGACTTCTCTTCATTCACTGACACGCGATCAGCCGCATTCTCTCCACTGAGAAGAACCCGCCTTCTGGCGTCTCCGCGTGGCGTGGCATACCCCATGGTGGCATGGTGACAAGGATTGTGACCAGAAAGCCAGAGCCATTTTCTGGTGCCGACTCTGCCGAGATTTCTCCCAGAGATGCATGCATGGGCCACATCCTCTAGTGCCGACCTCGAGACGAGAAAACATGCTGGAGACGAGGACTCACTCCTCCGCTTCCACCTCACCTTGGGAGACCCCACGTCACTGCACATCATGCTTGCAGTACGGACGCGTGCATCCATCCATGCCTTACGAGGACAGGAGCAACACTCACATCCCTTCGTCTCGTTGCCATTATTCATTAGCCAAGCCACACGTGAAGGACATTTCGGTCCTTCTCACTGATTGATTACACACATACATAAGTGTTGATTCCTTCCACTTTCGTATTGTAAGTCAGCTCCCACCCGCTCTTCTTCCTCTCGAAACTACCTTTTGGTTCTGTAAAGCGAATTGTTCTCACAATGGTTAACGCAGTACCTTACGACAACGGCGGGGCGACGGCGAACGGTCACGATCCCACAATGGCAGAAGAGGCAATGCCCAATTTGTCCACTCTCCCACCTCCAAACGCCGACTGGCAAATCTCCTTGAAGGACAAAGTCATCGCTATCACTGGCGCGAACAGAGGTAAGCAAGCAGTGTAGCAGCTGAGCATGAACATCAAAAAGAACAAGACCACATCTGACATTGCTATGCTTAGGCATCGGTCTCGGGATCGCCGAAGTCTGCCTCGCCAACAGTGCCAAAGTGGTATATTCCCTCGACCTAATGGACCCCTCAGAAGACTTCGCCACTCTGTCCAAAAAGCACCCGGATCGATTCAAATACAAGAAAATGGACGTGACGAACGAAGACAGCGTCCATAAAGCCATCGACGAAATCGTCGAAGCAGAAGGTGCGATCCACGGCATGATCGCAAACGCCGGCATGACCAAGCACCAACCCGCTCTGGACTTCAGTCTCGCGCAAGTCAAGCAGCTGTTTGAACTCAATGTATTCGGCTCCTGGAACTGCGCGACTGCTGCTGCGAGGAAGTTTATTGAGCTTGGGATCAAAGGATCCATCGTCTTCACCGCATCCATGACGTCTTACCGACCGAACCGAGCGGCGCCTTCAGCTCCATACGGAGGCACCAAAGCCGCCGTCAGAAACATGACCCACACGTTAGCCATGGAGTGGGCGAAACATGGGATCCGAGTCAACAGCATCTCCCCAGGTTTCGTCAAGACCGCCATGACATACTACGTCGAACGCGCTCCGGATTGGGATTTGAAAATGCAGTACTACGGAGGCATGCCGCGTCTTGCGTTGCCGCAGGAGTTGGGAGGTGCTTATGTCTATCTTCTTTCAGACCAGGCGAGTTATACCACGGGGATTGATATTCCCATTGCAGGGATTGTGGGGGCTTGGTGATGAAGTAAGTAATATGCCGAAGTGGACATATGTGATTGGGAGGAGAGGAGTGGAATGAACGAATGGCCTTTTGATAGAGAGATGTTCTTAGATGACTTTTTTTTTCATTTATCATGATACCACGATAGCTTTTTTTTTCGTTTTTGGGAAGGGGAATGGAATTTATGATGTCGATATCGATGAGACTTCTCACACACACACACACTCTCTCTCTCTCTCTCTTTTGATCTTTTTCTTTTGCAAGAATCACTACTGAGATCGAGTCTCGACTCGCCAATTCCCAATAGCAGTCGCCGCGATTGCCATAGCCTACCGCTGGCTCTATCGACTTTCTCGGAAGGTCACCTGAGGGCGTGCTCGCGGCAGCTGCGTGCATGGAAGGGCCGAATATGCAGGTCCACGACTCCACGTCCAAGACAAGCTATTTGCGGAGCGGAGGGGAGGGCATACACCAGGGTTCATGAACGCCTCGTCTCGTGCATTTCTCGAACAATCCCTGAGGTCGACTCGTGCCAGACTCCAAGAGATTATGTACTGAGACGATGCGGAGAGCCCACGTGGAGAGGGTTTGCTTATTAGCTTTCCTTGGTTTTTTTGCTGACGTTACATTGCATCGTCGGTCGTCATTGCCCATGTACAATATATCGCCATCGTAGGCAGAATACCTAGCGCTTTCCGAGCCGATCGATACTTCCCACTCCATCCTAGCTGAGGCCGAACACTGCTTGGCTTGGCGGAAAGCAAACCAAACGTCCCTTGTTTGATTTCACTGCTGCCAAAAGTTCTTTTGAACCCTTAATTCGACAGAGCACGATCACAATACTACTATTTTTCTCTTCCCACCCCTATTCACGAAAGGAAAAAAAAAGCATGTCATCATCCACAACCCCTCTCCAGAAGAAAATCAGCCTCTCTGGCAAAGTGATAGCGATTACCGGCGCAAACCGTGGCATAGGGCTGGGCGTGGCAGATTGTTGTCTTGAAAATGATGCCGCAATGGTGTATTCGATCGACATTGGAGACCCAGGCGAAGAATTCGAATCCGTGGCAAAGCAACATCCTGGGAAGCTCCGGGCGATAAAAGCCGATGTCACCAATGAGGCCAACGTCACCGAAGTGGTGGAGCAAATTTTGAAAGAGGCTGGTGGACTCCATGGCTTCGTGGTCAATGCTGGTCGGACGAAGCATAAAGCTGCGCTGGATTTCACGACCGAAGAGATCGAGCAGTTATGGAATATCAATGTATGTGCAGGTGGCGATTTTTGCCTGTGGCGACTGACATTGATAGCTATTCGGGTCCTTCTATTGTGCTCGCGTTGCAGCCAGGGCCTTCATTAAACAAAATGTGAAAGGCTCGATTGTGTTCACGGCGTCCATGGCTTCGTACCGGCCCAACAAGAGGGTGCCTTCTGCGCCGTACGGCGCATCGAAGGCAGGTGTGCGGAACATGACGCACACTTTGGTCAGTGAAATTCTCGTTCCTGTGCAGCAGAGTTCTGATAATGCAATTCCAGGCGATGGAGTGGGCTGAGCACGGCATCCGTGTCAATAGCGTGAGCCCGGGTTTGGTTAAGACGGCGATGACATATTGGGTGCCACAACAACCCGACTGGGAGCAGCAACTCAAGTACTATGGAGGTATTGGTGCTCGACTTCTAATCCTGTTGGATGAAGACATTGCTGATCACGCTCCTTGTGTCTCGCAGGCATTCCCAGATTGGCAGAGGTGGAGGAGCTCGGCGGCGCATATGTGTATCTGCTGAGCGACGCGGCAAGCTACACAACCTCAATCGACATTCCAGTCAATGGTGTGATCGGAAGTGCGTTCTATATCTCCTGATTTCGACACGTAGAGTCTTGCTGACAAATTTGCAGTCTGTTGAGCCACTAGGCTCGCAGGTGGAGATCAAGTAATCCAGGCTTGCTGCTACGAAGCGTGGCGCGTCGCTATTTCGCATCTCAACTGTGCTCGGTCCAATTGCGAAAGACAGTGCTTCCGCGGTAGAAGTGGACAGCTGTCACCATTAGACCGAGCTGCGTGATCCATGAGGTCTATGTGGTATCGTAGTGCACAACATGATGCTGAGCGTCAGATGAAATGGATAGCACCCACTGCAAGGTCCGGGCAAGAGCGCTCTTCATCCCAGCGAGTCTCGAGTCCGGGTCTGCTAAGGCTTTGAAGAACCACAAGCACTTGGGCGTACAATACGCCGCGGAGTTGAACCCGGCGCTTTAACCCGATGGCTTTTGCTTGGACCATTCACTCCGCAGCTCTTCGGCCAGATCTGTATTGACTGGCCAGCCTGTATGTCCTTGGTGATCCCGAATGAGTTCTGCGATATGTTCTCGCTTATCATTGTCTGTGCAGAACAATCCAGCTGCATAGAGGCACTGCGTAGACATTAAGCGTGAAGCGTCGTCGGTCAGCTTCATCGCCGCTCCACCGATGGTGTCGATACACTCTGTGATGACTTTGTCACGTGCCAGGTATTCCATATAGCCTCCAGCGGATGGCTGATGAATGAGGAGCAGTATGCGAGCCATACAGTACATTTGAATTGAGACGCCAAATGCTGATGGGTGAATCCATAATGGTTTAAAGGGACGATTCGACGGTCCCTCAACAGGGAGCGGGCTGAAGTGAATGGAGACGCCGTCTCTCCATTCATCCAACATATTGAGCAAGGTGTTCGCCCTCAAGATGCGATTCGTCAAATCTGATTCGCCCAGATTCTTTTCCTCCTGCGAACTGTAGTTCACTGCTTGCGCAAGAATGTAGACAACCCTGGAGGCCATGTCCCAGATGTCCATATTCTGATAGGGTTTTGTTGGTTTGAAGAAACTGAAGCAGCGCCGATGTTCTCTGAACGCTGCCCACACATCCTGTCGTAACCAGGCCCACCAAATGGCTTGTTCAAACCCCCCAGATTCTCCATTGATCTCGCGACTACGTTGTATCCAGAAGACGCCTTTCAGATGGCGCTCCCAGCCGCTGCCAGCACCATCGATCATCTCATACGTACTTACAATCAGTACGGTCGCTAGCAGTTCCAGGCTGTTTTTATATGACGTGAAGCGCATAGCAGATTGCAGGTATTGTAAAGTCTCGTAGTAGTACTGGACTGCAGCTGTACGGTCAACACTGGCCTCGCCAGTGTGGAGCGGTTTGATCGACAAATGCCGAGCGCCCAGGGCCAGAAGCGCCTTCATGAGACCCTCATTATGGAGCGCAAGATGCGGCACCAAAGTTGAAAAGTGTTTCATGGGATCGAACAGGTCGACCTAGAAGCGCAGCCATACACGGTCAGCAAGAGTCTTGGAGAAAATTATGAACACTTCTGCAATTTTTGCCGGCTTTCTCACCACGTTTATCTGGAGCGCAGATACGGTTCTGGGCATGGTGCCTGCAAGAGGCAATGCACGGGATGCGACGAGGCACAGGAACGGCGAGGAACGGGTAAGAACTGCTGGCTTTACTTACCCACAGGCTTACTCCCGTCACGAAGCGTTGAAATATGTCGTATTCGTGGTCCTTCAGCTGGAGTGGTTCCGGTGACTGCCAGTACTGTCTTTCATCAACATTATTACCGTTCACTGGCATGGGCGATATAGCTGATATCTGCAATAGCTTCGAGGGATTTTGTAGGGCGACAGCCTCCGCAAAGCCAGCACGAGGCGAAATTGCGGCCCCTCCGCGCTCATGTCTAGAAAGGCCGTCGGGATGCATGTCGTAACGTGTAGCGAGGGCGGCATCGCTGAGTGTCTCAAGGGAAGGAAGATGTAGAGATGCCGTGGCAGCATCTCCAGCAAGCAGTCCGAACCAGCGTAGTGGAGCGACCTCGGCACCATAACCTGTTGAGTTGCTATAGGTGCTTTGTGGGCTCATAATCTGCGGGCCTAGGCCTTCATCCGTTGGAGTGGGCGGCCATTGCTTTGACTGTGGCCGTTCGGATACAGATGAAAAGCTATGTTGATGTTGTCTTGGGTGAGGGATGGCTTGAGTGGGTCCGGGGTCGGAAGAAATGCTCGGATGATGAGGCCGGTGTGCTACAGGTGAAGCGAGTCCTCCGCTGGTTATAGAAGGAGCACGAGTTTGATGCCGCTGCTCGTCTGGACTCGGTCGAGCGGGTTGGGTATCAATGTCTGGGGGCAGGTTGCCGTACACGCATGGGCGACTGCCTTTGGCACATGGTCCACAAATGGGCTTGACCTGCAAGGTTGAGGATGTAGCGGGTCAGCACGAGTGGACGGCAGCGAGAGGGCAGCAGCACCAGCACCAGCACCAGCACCAGCACCAGCACCAGCACCAGCACAAGCTCACCTCATCGCACTTCATATGGCGTCTGCGACAGATGGCACTGATTTCGAGATCAGCAGGAGCTCCAGCGATGGCGATGGCGATTCCCATGCTGTCGGGCACGTGCTTCAGGACCAGGATGTGCGTCCGGTATGATGAATGAAACATGGCCTCAGCTCAGCCTTGCGCGGGACTCATCGATGATCATGCAACCGAATCTTCGACGGCACGCGGCACGCTCCTGCCGTACGTCGTGCCTGAGGCGTAGGGCAAGGCGTAAAGTGACACGCGTGCACGCGTCGAAGACGGATGACGGGAGTCTTGTCTGCGGCACGTGTGTCCGAGACACACTTCGCTCCAGCCGGCCGTCGTGGGCTTGTGAGATAATGGTGCTCGACTTACCATCCTGTCGTCGTGCGCAGCCCGCGACCGCGAGACTTTCGGGGTTTCCGGATTGGGCCGGTGGGCGTTGGCGCAGGTGCTTGCTGAAGCTCGTGTTCCTGCATGCTGCACTCAGCTGCCGTCTTCCACCAGTTGGCCCATCACGAGAGTGCTCGTTTCGAGGTGGGAAAGAGAGAACTCCTCCGCCTGCTATCCTTTTTCCCCAGAATCCCCGGCCTCATCTTCCGACCCCACTCTTGGCGCCCCGGCGTCCGATCTGTCTTGGCGCTGTGCTGGTAGAACTAGACCTCGGGTCAGGAACATCGCGCTCACGCATGCCAGTAGTCAAGCATGTTGCACAGAGTCATCAAGGACCTCATCACAGTGTGCCCGGCGATATGGATACAGTAGCAAGATCAGCGAAAGTTATCATGCAAGCATTGCAGCTTTGAGCGTAGGCTTGGCCATTAGTCTGAAGAACCACCGAATTCCACAGTAGTCTCGCCAAACCCTCAAACACAGCGTCCCCCATCAACCGGAACATCCACGCCCGTCAAAAAATCCGCCTCATCACTACACAAAAAGCAACAAGTATTAGCCACATCCCGGGGAGTCGAGCCCCGTCCCAACGGCACAGTAGCGAGGAACGCAGCCTGATTCTCCGGCTTCCCCAAAAAGAAATCCGTCAGACCAGTACCCAACCCGACGACGGGGCACGCAGTATTAAACCGAATTTTGTCCTTGGCATACTCCACCGCCAGAGTCCTGGAAGCATTGATGACCGCCGCTTTGGAAGAATTGTACCACGTCAGACCCGGTCGAGGTCGGATTCCGGCCGTGGAAGCGATGGTGATGAAACAGCCGCCGTTGCCTTTGGATTGGATGTAGGGTACCAGCACGTTTGTGGAGAGGTAGACGGATTTGACGTTGACGGCGAAGACTTTGTCGTAGTCTTCGTCGGTGACTTCGGCGGTGGGCTGGCGGAAGCGTGTGTGTTAGCAACGGACGGAGACATTGAGCAAGTTGTGCACTGCGCTACGAACCTTGTTGCGATACGTCGTTCCAGCGTTATTGATGACCAAATCCAATTTCCCAAACTTCTCATCCACGAATTTCTTGATACATTCCCAGTCCTCTCGCTTCGTGACGTCTGTTCGGTGAAACTCGCATCCAACCTCTTCCGCGGTTTTTTTGCCAGCGTCCTCGACGAAATCAGCGATCACCACTTTGGCTCCTTCATCTTTAAACTTCTGTGCAATCCCCTTTCCAAATCCACCTGCACCTCCAGTTACGATGGCAACCTTTCCTTCAAGACGACCTGGCATGATCGGGATAGCAGAAAGTGTGGATTTCTGTTGTTTGTGGGAGGTTCTATGCTTTAATACATTATGAGCAGAGTTCCCCTCGACTATGATGGAATGAGCTCCCCGCAGCACCTGCTTTACAACATCCACCAAGCGGGGTATGGGTGAAGCGATACCGGCGGGAATTTGAACGAAAACTTCTTATTTCCGTAGGCTGAAGGTATCCCGATCACGAAAATGCACAATCGTCAGGAACAGGCTGCACAGTGCCAACAGTGCCACATCTGATAAGATCGAATTACTTCGTCAGGCCCTCCAACAAGCCGCGCAAGAAAACTGCTGCTGCCATCGCGCCTGGATCTGGGGGCGTATCTTGCTGCGCTTCGGCCTTCTCGCCGACATATGATGCTGATACTGGGTTAGTCGCGCGTCCAGCCTTTCGATCTGTGCATTCACTTACCTCTGCCAAATTTTGCCTTCATGCCAGATGTGCTTTTGGCTCCGCTTTCTGCCGCATCAACAGCCTTGCCGAGGTCACCGTCCTTCTCGAGCGTCTGGCAAAATGGTATCAATGTATCCATCACAGTCCTACCTCCCTCTCTTGCACCAGTATAGTTTTGCAAGTTCTTCAGTGCAGCTGCTGCTGCCTGGCCAGCAGTCTTCGTGTCAAGCGCGGAACCGTTCTCGTTCTGTGCATATATTTGTCGGAGGCTGGTCGTGAAAGACGCAAGAATAATGCTGATGATCGCAGCCAGACTTCCACCAATATCTTCAACAGTGTCGCATAGCTCGTCCAGGATGTGAAAGAACGATCCCGACTTGGCAACACCACCATCCAGCGCCTTCAGCACGTTTTGGCACATGTTGACCACAGCCTCGCCACAATCTCCATCACCCATTTGAATATCCCACTTTGTGATGTAAGGCTCCGCTTTGATAGCGGCATCGCAAGCAGTCCGGAGCGCCTTATCCAACACCGCGCCGTCAACAGAAGGACCCTTTTGCGCCTTTTGCTCTGAAGCGTTGGCAACCGCGATCTTCGCAGTCTCTTTCACGGGAACGATATATCTGTAACCATTTCTCGGCCACGCTGGAGCGGTGGTGTCCAAGTCGAGGAGATGCAGAAGTCCATGTACAGTCGCCTTTGTGTCTCGCTCTATTCCGGATACGTTCAAGAGTGATATCGACCAACCTGGCGCGTTCAACGACGTCTCGAAGCACTGGGCGTATATTCGCTTTGGCGTGATTGTCCACTCCTTCTCCAGAACCTTGCGAGTGACGCTCGTAAGAGCCTCCAATTCGAAGTTGCTCATTCCTCCAAAGTTGTTGATCAGAAGACAGACCACGTCATCGGGCTTGAATTCGACGAACGCGCGGTCCTTGTCATTCGGATCTAAGCAGTACTTGAGCATGTCGCTCACCAGATCTTCCACCTTGGGCATTGGTGCGATCTCATGAAGACCAGGCTCATTGTGAATGCCCATACCCAAGACGTACGCGTCTTCTGAGATCGATCGATGATGCTCGCGACCAGGAATATGGCAGTGGTCGAGGGATGAGCCAACCGTGACAGCGTTCGCGTTCACAGCATACCCAATTTCCATACACTTGTCGAAAGAATACCCTGACTCGGCAGCAGCGCCGCAGAGTTTGAGAACGAACATGTTGGCTGCTAGCCCTCGTCTGCCCGTATTCTCCGTCTGTTTCCTGCCCAGAGCAACGTCATCTGTCATGCGCAAGACGCCGACTTTGTATCCCATACCCGCAGCCTTCTCCCTCGCCAGTCCGAAGTGCAAGTTGTCTCCAGTGTAATTCGTGATGCACAGGATGACACCGGCATCTGAGGGTACATGCTTGATAGCAGCCATGATCTGCTTAGTGCTTGGACTAGCAAACACCTCTCCATTCACTGCAGCAGCCAGCAGACCATCTCCAACATAGCCACTCCATGCTGGCTCGTGGCCACTGCCTCCTCCTGATATTACTGTAACTTTGGACGGGTGATGGGTTTTGGAATATACGACTTTATTTGGAACATCGAGGGCTAGATGGTTATTTCTGGCGACCAGCGAATCGAGGCCTTGGACGACAACGCCCTCTGTGTGGTGAAAGAAGTGTTTGGTACTCATTGCTGCTGTTAATGATGAAGCCAAAGAACGCCAACCGGATTGCAGAATTGGGAGGAAGAGAGTTATGCGCTCTGTCGAGTGCAAAGGACTTACACAATGCAAATGCCACATTTTTCACCCAACCAGACCGACCCCACCTCGAGCTCTAAAAATGTGGTGCATAGCTGATGATACTGCTGACGACCGCGTCAAAGGCCGAGATCGATCGACGTGAGGTGGTGGAGAAATTACCTTCCTCAGGCTCCACTCAGGCCAGCAAGGCAGCCGGTCACGTGTAGAATACCAAGCGCCTAGCAAATTGCTGAGACGGCAAGCCCAATATGGGTTTCCGATCGAACCATTGATCGAAAGAACGAACCTGAAGAACGGAATCGCTCGGTGGCAGATCACGCGTAGAACGCATGGAAGGGACATGGGTCCCTGTTTGTGACTTCAGCCGAAGCCTCGTGGCGGGTCACATTCGAATGTGTACAGAGGTTGGAGCAAGCTCACACTGCTCTCGACAGTAAGTAAGCATTGAATTTCGCGAGACGAATCACTCAGCAAGCATGCCTGCAAAAGAACTACTCGCAACGAACAAGACCGTTCAAATTCTTGCCAAAGCAGAGAAAGAAGGCTATGGAGTTATAGCGGCCATCGCGTGAGAAACCCTCCAGGAATCCTATCATAAAAAACATCCTAAGAAGTCCCAGCTACAACATCGAACAAATCCTCGGTTTAATAAAAGCAGCAGAGAACGTTCGATCTCCTCTAATCCTCCAATTCTTCCCCTGGGCCATCAATTTCAGCAATGGCCTTCTCATCCACACCGCAGCCATCGCAGCCAAAGCCGCTAAAGTCCCCATCTCAGTCCACCTCGACCACTGTCAAGACAAAGACATGGTTCGATATGCGGCCGACAACCTTCCATTCGATTCCATCATGGTGGACATGTCGCATTATGAGAAAGAAGAGAATCTTCGCTTGACGAAAGAGCTTGTGGCGTATTGTCATGAACGCGGGATTTCGACGGAAGCGGAGCCTGGTCGGATTGAAGGGGGTGAGGATGGGATTGCGGATACGGCTGATTTGAGTGGACTTTTGACGACCCCGGAGGAGATTGAAGAGTTTGTGGATACGGGTGTGGATTTCCTTGCTCCGGCTTTTGGAAATGTGCATGGTGAGTATGGGAAGCGGGGGCCGGTGTTGGAATATGACAGGCTGGAGTCGATTTATCGAGACTGTAAAAAGAGGGATGTGCGGGTGGTTTTACATGGTACGAATGATTTCCCGGAGGATATCATGACGAAGTGTATCAAAGGGGGATGCTCGAAGATCAATGTTAACAAGCTGGTCTTGGAGGATTATAACAATTACTTGAAAGAGGCTGCGCCGACAACCGTGATTACGAAATTAATGGAGGAAGGTGTAAACAAAGTTGCCAAGCTTACGGAACTCTGGATGCACCGGTGTGGGAGCGCAGGGAAGGCGTAGTCAATGAGAGAGAACATGTTTCGATGCGTACACATTCTCGCATAAAATTGACGTGTGACAGAATCGAAAGAACCACAACTTCAGCATCTCACCTCCCTTTCTACGGAAGTGTATACCCCCCATCAATGACAATATTCGCCCCAGTCATATACGAAGAAGCCTGCGACGCAAGAAAAACATACGCCCCCTTGAGTTCCGCCGCCTCAGCATTCCTCCCGGCTGGCACCAAAAGACTCCAATGATCCCTCCACTCCTTCGGATGCACCGCCAACATCTCCGTCTCAATAAAACCCGGACTAATACAATTCACCCTCGCAAAATCCACCCACTCCACAGCGAGACACTTGGCCAAATGCACAACCGCAGCCTTCGAAGCATTATACGCAGCCTGTCGTTGCGGCACATTCACCAAAAGCGCCGAAACCGAAGCCGTAAAAATCATCGATCCCGCCCCGAACCCGGCCCCTTGCTTTTGCGTTTGAAAAATCTTGCCCGCAGCTTGCGCAGTAAACATCGCCCCATCAAGATTCACCCTCATGATTTCCCTCCATTGCTCAGCCGTATACTCCAACCCCTCAAAATGGCTCGCAATCCCCGCATTCGCAACACAAATATCCAAACCACCCCCGAAATCTTGGGCGATTTGGTTGATCGTTGCGGTAATGGTATCTTTATCCCGAACATCGGATTTGTAGGCCACGACTTTTTGGCCGGTTTCGGAAGAGATTTTTGATGCGGTTTCTACAGCGTTACTTGAGGCTGTGTAGATTAAGGCGACGGAGGCGCCGGCTTCTGCGAGGGCTCGGACGACTTCGAGGCCGATTCCTCGCGCTCCGCCGGTTACTGCGGCGGTTTTTCCGGTGAGGTTGAATTGGGAGAGGACGGGGGTGTTGATGTTTGAGGGCTTTGCGAGGGGCATTGTGGTAGGTTGATGGAGATATGGGACTGAGTTGAAGGGTTTCTAGAACTGAGGGAGGCCAACTACCAGATCGTTGTGTAAATGGTAGATTCGCTGTACGCAATTCTTTCGAGCTTGTGCCTGCCCTTTGAAAACTGGACGAACAAGAGCGTTCATGCAGCGTCCCCTGTATAGCAAGGGTACCCGGACCGCACTACGCTGTAGATAGTATAGTAAATAGTCGCTTACAGGGTACGCTTTTAGGATAGTGTATGTCCACTCTTCCGCCTCTTGTTCTGCCGCCGTATTCGGCCTGTTTCTAACTCGCTAGCGGTGCGATTAACTTTTAAGGCTCGAAGCCTATTCCTAGCTCTTTTATGTAATAATAGCTTCTTCTTAGTATTCTAATGCCGCCGTATTCGACGAGGACGATAGACACTAGTCTAATATTAATAACGATGCGGTATACGATATAGGTACGCTTAGCGTAGAACCGGAAGAGGAAATAGACGAGATTAAGTCGTAGGAGATAGTCGCAGGTTGTAAGAAGATTAGGGCCGCTTATAGTGTAAAATACGAGCCGAATAGACGAGACGATAAGCCGCTAGTTACTAGAGAGGTTATTAATAGTATATCGATATAGGAGACTAAATTGGACGTTAGTAGCCTTACTTAGGCACCTAATTAGTCGAGGTTTATAGATAGTGTAAGATACACGCCTTTAGAAGGGCCTTACTGCTTGCCGGAGGTATTATTGCTACCGAATAAGGTGTTCTTCGAAGGCGTAGATTATAGTAGCAAGGCCTTCGAGAAGCTAACTTCTAAGGACGTATTCGATATACCTATACGCTATTTCTAGCAGTTGTAGACTAACGAGGTCTATAAGAAGTTAGCAAGCTATACTAACGAGTATACGCGAGATCTACGCTTTAAGAAGATAAATAGCAGCGGCGTTATTAAGACCGTAGTATTAGGCGCGAAGTAGAAGAAGACGTACCTATACGAGATGCGGATCTTTATTAGAATCATCGTTTATATGTCCGCTATCTAAATAAGCGACAAATCGGACTTCTAGCGGACTAATAGATACTAGCCTTCGCATTCTATTACTAAGAATATATCCGATCGAAGGTTTAAGCAGTTAAAGAGTTGTTTATAGTATAGCGAGCCGGTCGAGTCGAATAAGGGCAACCCGCCGTAGATATAGGTTCAGTAGTTAGCTAACAAGCTAAGGAGCTAAATCGCGAAGATCTACGTACCTAGAACTAACGTTAGCCTCGATAAAGTCCTCGTACGTTTTACTAGACGCTCTTACTATATAATAATGATAAAGGGCAAGCCGTATCCGATTGGCTTCTATATACTAGCAGTATATTATACTAGCTTTATTGTAAACTAGCTATTCTTAAGCCTAACTAAGAAATAGGGGTTCGAGAAGGTAAGGGTGCCTAATAACTTCGAAGGACTAGTTTTCGTCTATAAAGAGCTCTCTAAGACTTAAAAAAAGCAGCGGAGTCAGCGCAACCGTCGTACTAGAAGATCTAATAGCGATAATAGTGGATTACGGCGTAGAAGGGCGAAGAATGTTAGTATAGATAAGAAGGTTAACCTACCGCCGAGCTTTTATAAGTACGCCAATCTCTACGCGAATGCACTAGCGGGTACCTCCGAGCTACTTATAGCGCAGTCTATTAACCTAAAGTCTCAGTTATCGAGGCTTTATAAGGTAGTACTATCTCTCTTGCTACAATTGCCCTTCTAACGCCGGTTCTACTATATATACTTAGACAATCTATTTAATAACATACCTCTCTTTGCGATACTGCGGCATTATAGTATTGCTGCGACTAGTACGGTACGTATAGGCTCTAAGAGTTAGCTATAGGCAGGCGCCGAGTTTTCTATACCCTCTAGTAAGACTATTAAGTTACATCGTAAGTCGACGCGTTTCCTATTCGATATACAGCTTTGCCGGGCAATTTATAACGTAGCTGCCCCTCTTTGGCAGGACAGAAATCTGGTTCAAATGCTAACTACCGGATACTAGCTAGTAGACCGAGAACTAAGGGAACGACGGAAGCCGAGAGACACTAATAGCTATATTCGCACCTACGTACGCCCCTACTAGCAAGAAGGCAAAGAAGCCAAATATATACCTAAATACGCCGCTTTCTATAACGACTATATAGGCGGTGTAGATATCTACGACTAGCTTAGGTACTATTGTAGTACTTAGCATAAGGCCTTTAAGCCGTAGTACTCGCTATTCTACTTCCTCTTAGACGCGGCTGTTATTAACTCCTATCTCCTTTGCCGCAACGCCGCAATAGCTAAGAATGTGAGGGATCTAGTACTTACTTAGCAACGCGACTTCCGTATAAGACTCGCGTAGAATTTAGTCTAACAAGGAGCGGCTATATTAGGTCCTATCCGAGACGCAGAACTAAGAGCCGCTATCGAGTTAAGGTCTACTTTGCTATAGTATAGAGGTCGCTTTATAGGCGGATATACATACGTTAATTATAACGCGGGCTTACCGAAGCTACGGCGCTATTAGTTTAAGAAAGACGACGATCTACCTGCTAAGGTGCCTCGCCTTAATAATAGCTATCTATACACTAAGAAACGTACGCTTGTTAGCCCTAAGAGGTGCTAGTTATGCCGTCTTACTCGTACGGCTTAGAAGCTTAAATAGTAGCCTCTTAAGAAGGGTAGATCTCGAGCGTTTAATGCTACTAAAACCTGCCTTGTTTGCGGACCGGAATACAACCTTTGTAAGGTGTGTTTCTACGACTAGTATAACGTTAAGGATATAAGGAGCTATCGACAGGCTTAAAGGCCTATATTTGCTAATAAACTATACTCAACTTCTACGAGTACTTTAGCTATTGCAACGCCGGTTTAAAGGCCTTCTACTAAGCCTAGAACAACGACAACAACAACGCCTTTATTGCCTTTACTTCCGTCGTTAAATCTACTAGATTAGCCTTTAACTGATTAAACTCGGAGGCTCTAATAACCTCTTCCTTACTTTAAGAGCCTTCTACGCTCTTAACCTCCTTACGTGCGGCCTACGCTTGCTACTACTGCTATACGTTCAAATCCACCCTTAAGTCCTTTACCTACGCTTCTACCTTATTAAGGCGCTTAAGAATTGCCTTAGACTAGTTACTAGCAGTCGACAATCGCTACTTTAATAGACTTCGTAGTAGTACGAGCTGCCGTACCTCTTCTACGCTTAATTTAATACCCTTCGAGCGGAGCCTGCGGCGCTAACGAGACTCTTCCCTAGTGCGGAAGTGCGTACGTAGCTATTATATGAGTTAGTATCTACATTCTATAGGTCTATAGTCTACAAACCTCTCGCTTTAGTGTGCTTAGCGGCATTGTATTCCTTTACTTGCTTAGGTTTAACTAGCAAAGTCAATCTCTAAGGGTGCGGCGGCCTATAAACCACCCTCCTTGCTAACCCTAATCGACACCCTGTCCGGAGCGAGGTCGGCTATAAAGGAAGGCCTAATCGGCGTTCGCCGCACCACCAAAATTAACATAGAAAGTGGAACCATTAGTGGGACTAGTTCGCCAAGAATCTCCGGTCTGGCCTTCAAAGGGATGCAGTGCAGGGACAGTCGACCGACAGCTACCCTAGCCAGTGGGGAACAAGGGTGACAGACGCCGCAGTGCTGCATACTGTATGTATGTAGCTTCGGCAAATGCTTTGAAGGTTGTCGATGAAGTGCAATGGACCATGATGGATAATAAAGAAGATATAATGTTGAGAGTACGACTTCCAGCTTGCGGAAAGGTTTTTTGTCAGTGTTTACCACTTCGTTCTTGGAAGTGAAGGTTCGTCGGATGGATCAACGTCGGCGTTTGAAGTGAATGACTCGAGCCGGAGGAAGGTCTGGCGAACAAGCTCTCAGGCTCCATGGACATCAGGTGTGGACCTGCCCTGCCGACAGATGGCAAAGGCTGTGTTAGTATGAGCATCCAGTCAGGTGGTCCCTTTCAACTCCTGTCGTCTGCTTCATTTGAAACATCTCAGTGATTTGCTTGCGAGGTACTCCCATCCCCAAGCCATGACCACCACAATCACAGAAAACGAGAAAAATCCCTCATTTGTGCTACGAGCAGTAAAAGACGTATTATTCGAAAATCGACCGATTCCGAAACTAAGAGATCCCTTCGATGTGCGCGTCCATATCCATCAAACAGGAATTTGCGGTTCTGATGTTCGAAGCCTCTATACATATACAAATCCAAATACCAAGCTAACCCGATTCGCCAGGTTCACTATTGGCAAAGAGGACGAATAGGAGATTTCGTGCTCACAAGTCCAATCATTCTCGGTCATGAGTCGTCCGGTACGGTAGTCGAGATCGGAAGCGCGGTCAAGAATGTCAAAGTGGGAGATCGAGTGGCGATAGAACCTGGGGTGCCATGTAGGCACTGCAATTACTGTCGAGAGGGCGCATACAATTTGTGTCCGGATACCGTATTTGCTGCGACACCGCCTTGGGATGGGACGCTTGCCAAGTACTACCTCGTCGCTTCGGACTACGTCTATCCCATTCCGGAGCATATGAGTATGGAGGAAGGGGCGCTCGTCGAGCCGACGGCTGTGGGAGTACAGATTTGTAAAGTGGGCGATGTGCGAGCGGGACAAACAGTGCTCGTCATGGGATGTGGGCCGATTGGAGTCATGTGTCAGGCAGTAGCAAAAGCTTGGGGCGCGAAGAAAGTCATTGGGATCGATGTCGTTCAGAGCCGGCTGGATTTCGCGAAAAGCTTTGGCGCTGATGGTGTTTACCTGCCGCCCAGACCGGATGCAGGTGCAGATCCAGTGGAGCATCAAGAAAAAGTTGCGGCATTGATCAAGAAAGAATTCGATCTGGGAGAAGGGCCAGATGTTGTACTAGAGTGTACCGGAGCCGAGCCATGCATCCAAACAGGCGTGTTCGTGTGTAAAAAGGGAGGCACCTACGTTCAAGCAGGTATGGGTAAGGAGAACGTTGTGTTTCCAATCACCACGGCTTGCATAAGAGCTTTAAACATCAAAGGGTCCATTCGGTACACAACAGGGTGCTACCCGCAAGCCGTCGATCTGGTGGCTTCTGGTAAGGTGGACGCAAAGCGACTGATCACGAATCGCTTCAAGTTTGAGGAGGCCGAGGATGCATTCGAGTTGGTCAAAGCAGCCAAGCCAGATGTCTTCAAGGTGATGATAGCTGGTGTTGAGTAATTGAGTGTCGAACTCATCAACTGTCACATGAAGCCACTTTATTCTGGCAAAGTTGTCTCAGCCCTTCATCATCACTATTCATCCAATCCCCTGAATGGAATAGCAACAGTTCAGGAATCTCCGAAACCGGCATTCCGTCTGCAGGTCGACAGTCGCCCTCGAATAGCGTGATGTGGAGCCCCATGCTTCATGCCTCCGCATCATGCTGGGGACAATCGCGTGGTTCTCCAGAAAAGTATGTACCATCCGAGAAATTGCCGCAGAGCCGGGTTGGGGTCGTTTCGCGCCAGAAAGACAACGGCAACTGTGGTAGTTTAATGATTTGCCCACTGCATCTCGATTCTCGCTTGATTTCATAAGGGTACATGTAGCAGACATCCCTCGACCTGTCGGTGAATGATCTGCCACTTTCGTGACAGTACAGCAGACAGACATCTATCATGAAGGACGAAAAGATTGTGGGAAGAGCACTTGCAGAAGTGCTGCCTCAAGATGGACTTTACTGGTTTCAGAAGCCACATTTGTTGAAATTGAATTTGATCTTGCTTGTACCCTTGCTCTCATCCAGTGTTGCAGGCTACGATGGATCTCTCATGAATGGTCTTCAGTCTCTGCCACAATGGAAAGAATACTTCGGCAAACCATCTGGAGCGCTCCTAGGATTGGTCAATGCCGCGCAGTCCATTGGATCCGTGCTGGCATTACCCATTGTCGGGACAATGGCTGACCGATTCGGGCGCAAAGCAGTCCTCTTGACGGGAATATTCGGAGTCATAGTCGCGACCATCATTCAAGCGACCTCTACAACTCTAGCCCAGTTTGTTGTGTCCAGGCTCGTAGTCGGAGCGGCTGGCATGTTTGCAGCACAGCCTAGCCCGTTGCTGCTCGCAGAATTGTCTTATCCGACTCACCGTGGCAAATACACTTCCGCATACTGGACACTGTACTACCTCGGCGCCATCTTAGCTTCCTGGACCACTTTTGGCACGCAAGACTACGCCTCGACGTGGGCGTGGCGCATCCCAGTAAGTCTAATGGGTTCGTGTCCGAGACATGTGCTGACCTTGTATCCTTCGCTTTTCGTAGACCATTTTGCAAGCCGGATACCCAAGCGTACAGCTTGCTTTCTTCTACTGGCTACCCGAGTCGCCGCGCTGGCTCATCTCAAAGGATCGCAATCAAGAGGCGGTGGCTATTCTCGCGAAATACCACGCTGGCGGCGATACGGGAAGCCCACTGGTCAGACGTGAGATGAGCGAGATAGTCGAGACCATCAAGTTGGAGCAGCAGGCGAAAGCAACGGGTTGGGGCACTCTAATCGCCACGCCGGGAAATCGCAAACGACTCTTCATCGCTGTAGCTCTTGGATCCATGGCCCAGTGGAATGGGATCGGAGTCGTTTCCTATTATCTGACGCTGGTACTGGACACTGTTGGGATTACGGATCCCTTCATACAAACACTCATCAATGGCCTGCTTCAAGTCTTTAACTTCGCAGTGGCGCTGTCTGCAGCCTTTTTGGTAGATCGTCTGGGTCGAAGGTTCTTGTTCAATTTCAGCGGCGTTGTAATGCTGATCTCATACATCATCTGGACGGCTTGCTCGGCGGTGAACAACGACACGGGCTCTCAGTCAGCTGGCATTGTTGTGATAGTGATGCTCTTCCTGTTCTATCTCGGCTACGATGTCAGCTACACGCCACTGCTGATGTCGTATCCCACAGAGATCTTTCCCTTTTCCATCAGGTATGTGCGGACTGCTGGCATGCTTCTGCTCAGAGCTGATGAATTGCAGATCCAAAGGCTTAACTTGCGAGCTGCTGTCGATTTATTGCTCGCTCGTAATAGCAGCATTCGTCAACCCGATCGGCCTTGAGAACATTGTGAGTACCGCCAAGGCTAAGCACTTCTTCGAGGCGATATGCAAGATTTGATGCATGTGCTGACGCTGGCATGTGCTGCCTTTAGGGATGGAAATATTACATCGTGTTTTGTTGCTTTCTGGTGGTATTCCTCGGAATCACATACTTCGTCTTCCCGGAAACTCGAGGATACTCGTTGGAAGAAATCGCGGAAGTGTTCGATGGTGCACAAGCGCACGTCGGTGGGTTCGAAGAGTGCGAGCGGAAATTGGGCAAGGTCGGCTACGAGGAGCACGTGGAGGAGCGGATAGACAATCTGTCAGTGTGATCGTTCATTTTTAGCCGTTGTCTGCAAATGTCGTGGTCGGATGCAGTGGTGACTCTGAGGCCATATCTGCGAGGAAGGTTGCCCAGCTATCATCGGAGGGCAGCAACACCACATCATTGTATGTCTTCTACCGGCTTCAAGGTGTCAAAGGTCAGCGGTGTGCCTGGCGGTAGTACCACGGCCTCTGACAAAGGCAATTGCTTTGCTGCCATCAAAATTTGACGGAAGGCGGTTTAGTAGTCTCAGCCACACACTGAGGCGGTGCAACTTCCACCTTCCACCTTCGAGCCTTCCAACATTATTATTCTGGCGGTGATTTCAGGAAGGCGCAGGCGCAGGCGCAGGCGCAGCGGTGTCTATTTGGGAACGTGAGTCAAGGTAAGGCAAGGCAATTGCGCGGGGCGCCTCTTGCCGATCCAAAACAAGGACGAGAAAAGCACAGCACACACAGCACACACAGCACACACAGCACAGCACTCGAAAGCACTGGACTCTCCTCCACCATGATGGCGTCGCTGTATGAAGGCGCGCCATACAAGGCGCAAGACTCGCATGAAGTGGCCGAAATGCTCCGCGCATTGGAGGCAAACAAGGGTCGAAGCAAAGGCAAAGCCGGCTTCTCCTGCAAGAAGAGCACCTTCGCCGTCGACGGCACCGACATCACCGTCGACTCGTGGAAAATGCACGACTGGGACTACAAGAAGCCCCATCTGCCAACCTACGCCCGAGGCCTCTTCACCACCACCACCCGAAAAGGCACGCCGGAGATCGCGGTCCGAGGCTACGACAAGTTCTTCAACCACGGCGAGACGCGCGAAACCGAATGGCCGAACGTCGAAGCCAACACCCGCGGTCCCTATGAGCTCAGCGTCAAGGAGAACGGGTGCATCATCTTCCTGGCGGGCCTCGAAGACGGAGCGCTTCTTGTCTGCAGCAAGCATTCCACCGGGGCCCGCGCTGACGTCGAAACCAGTCATGCTGCAGCTGGTGAGCGCTGGGTTGAGCGGCATCTTGCACGCGTGGGAAAGACCAAGCACGACCTCGCCATCACACTTCGACAGATGAACGCGACTGCCGTGGCCGAGCTGTGCGACGACGCCTTCGAGGAGCACGTGCTCGAATACACTCCCGACGCAGCCGGTCTCTATCTCCATGGAATCAACCTGAATCTTCCCGAATTCGCAACCTACCCTCATCACCTGGTCGACCGCTTCGCCGATGAGTGGGGCTTCAAGAAGACCACCTATCTCATCAAGCATGATATCAACGACGTCCATCACTTCTTGGAGCAAGTCGCCGAGACCGGCAACTTTGACGGCCGCGACACAGAGGGCTTCGTCATTCGATGCCAATCGAAAGCGAATACCAATGCGTGGCATGACTGGTTCTTCAAGTACAAGTTTGAAGAGCCTTACCTGATGTATCGTCAATGGCGCGAGTGCACCAAGGCTGTCATCGCCGGTCGACCTCCAAAATACAAGAAGCACAAGAAGATCACCGAGGACTATCTCCTCTTCGCGCGACGCCAACTGCACGCAAATAAAGAGCTTGCGAAAGCCTACAACAACAATCATGGCATTATCAAGATGCGTGACGATTTCCTCAAATCTCGTGGCCTTACCGGTGCGGATATCATTCGAGCGGAGGCAGCGGAAGGTGAAGTCTCAAGCGACGAAGTCACAAAGGATGTGATCCTGGTGCCGGTTGCCACCATTGGCTGCGGCAAGACAACTGTAGCGCTTGGTCTGGTCAAGCTGTTTGGATGGGGCCACATCCAGAACGATAACATCACTGTTAAGCGTGGAAAGCCTCAGGCTTTCGCGGCCGCATGCTGCAACGCACTTGCTGAAGAGAATGCCATGATCGCTGATCGCAACAACCACCAGCGTCGTGAGCGACAGCAGCTCATTGACGATGTCTCCAAGGTAGTACCGAATGCAAGATTCGTTGCACTGCACTTTGTACATGACCGTAGCAACTACGACCAGATCCGAACGGCGCTGCGAGATAGAGTCCTTTCGAGAGGTGACAATCACCAAACCATCCACACCAGCAAAGGTCCGGAAGAAATTATTGGCATCATGGAAGGCTTCCTACATCGATTCGAGCCAGTCAATCACGAAGCTCCTCCGGATGACGGCTTCGATATAGTCATCGATCTCGATCCTACACTATCCTCGAGACAGAATCTCGAAACGGTCGTCACGCGGTTGTACACAGAATATCCGAAGCTGTTCGGCGGCCAGGACATGCCAACCCCTGACGACATGGACCTTGCAATTGATGCAGCGCTGAACGATTACCAAGTCGACATCAAGCACGAAATCAAGGGCTTTGACAAGAAACACAACAAGCACAATGGTAATCGACCGCAGTCCAATGGCAATCAGCCCAAGCCAAAAGAGAAGAAGGTGGAGTACTTTGCCGTTCAAGTGCCAGCGGCACGTGTCAATGCCATCCTGAACGCCATGTTCGCCGACGCACCAGCAGAAGTCTCCAGAATGTTCACGCAGCTCAAGAACACTCGTCGCCTCCAGACCGAGTTTCACGTCACCCTGATCCATCGCGCCAGCGCGGCAGACCACCAGGACACCTGGGCACACCTGACGGACCTTCACGCAAAAGCTTCAGCACCCACCGAGGAGCGCGCATTCCCCATTCCAGATCCCAAGCTTGGTGCGTGTAGCGTGCGACTCGAGCGCCTCATTTGGGACAACAGGTGTATGGCATTCATCGTCCGTCTCCAGCCTCTCGACGGCAGCACAGAGCAGTTCCAGACCACCAACAAGACAGCACACATCACCATCGGCACGGCATCGCCAGATATCAAGCCGAAAGAGTCAAACGACATGCTTGCTCGTTGGCTCCAGGAGGGTAGCGGAGCAAACGGTATCAATGAGATGGCAGTTAAAGGCAACGTGGAATTGGAAGGCACAGTGAAAGGCATTCTGTCGCGGTAGAAAGGCGCTGGAAGGAGGAGACGTACTGGACCCGATCATAAAGCAAACAGTGCGCTCGCGGTGCATTGATGGCGGTTCGGATTCCTCGCGCATTTGAGGATCGATGCATAACACACTACAGTAGCGTGTAAAATTAAGATCATGCACTGTCGAGGATGAAATGATATACAGGGCGGCGACGAACACGTGCTAGCCTTAACTATCAATGAATTGATGAGCAACGTGCACATGTCCTCGAGCTCGCCGTCTTTTTCGCAAAGAGTCTCTCTTCGAGATTCTGACCCTTCCAAAGCTGTTCAGCATACCTGGCTGGTCCTCCCAGATTTACCTATTCAGACTTCTCCTTCTCCTGCCGAGCGTCATGCAAGAGGCGCAAAAGTATCATGAACTGATGCACTTCTGGGATGTAAGGGAAGTGACCCTTTGTGACAGCAGTAGAAAAGACATGTCCGCGCACATTCTCTCCGTCATCTCCGGGCCCAGGCACGCCCTCAGATTGGTTATCGTTCTCGGCCTCTTCTGGATCTTCGCTCTCACCGTCCATCGACCGCCGCCACATGGAGCAGCCACTCACTGAGAGATGGAAAGATCGCAGGGCAGCGTCGTCGTCCCACGGGAGCCGAGGCATCGTCATACCTCTGAACACCTTCGCCTTCCCGAGCTTCATGAGTTCGGGTGAAAAGTCTCTTCGCCGATGGGCCAGAGATATCGTGGCAAAGCTTGAAGAGCAATAGCCAGGGTATCATTCCTGGAGAATCGCTTGGGTTGGTCCGCTGTCAGCTCACGAATGAATTCCTCGAGAAGAGCGAATGCTTCAGGATCTGAGTCTTCGTCAGTCTGGTATGGGTCCTCGTCACTGTCGTCTGTTTCATCGAGCTCGCTTTCAGTCATTTGTGCAGTCGGATGCTGTCGAGTCGCATCGCAAAGTGGCCTCTTGTTGGACTTCGACGCATGCAGTTCGCCTTCTGGCGATGGGCGCTTGAGGCCTCCCGTTGGGTGTGCACTGTCTGCCGCAATGTAGTGACCGAACATTGTCAAGGTCGCAGTACAGCGACGAATGGAGTGCGATAGGAAGTCTTGTTGTAAGTAGATAGGTCTCACGAGTCAAACCGCGACGATGCGTGAATGAGACATGATAGCTTTGGTGTCGGGCATAGTCGTTGGTGGGAACTGAATGGGCCTGCGGGTACCAGCACTCAGCACTCCTCACTCTGAGTAATAGCTTCGTCTTGACCAGAGCATTTGCTATTTTCAAGTGCGGCCGATGTACTTATATGAGAAGGTTCCGAGTTGAGGAGTAAAGTAGTTGGCCAGAAGACCTGCGGCGCGAATAGGTATGCTTCAGTATAGCTATGCTACTATAAATATCATCGTTGATCATCGGTGGCTGTCCTGCAATCAATGCATTCCTACAGCCACAAGCTTGCGAGAAGGGTATCATTTCCGAAAGAATAAACCAGACCATCCCAAAACTCCAATCGAATGCACATCGATCCAGATCCGCTGAATGTAGATTGCCACATCAAATGCACCTCACAGTCCTGCCATCTTCTTCAGCCAGCTCCCGCCTTTGCTGGCCCTGCGTTCTGGCATTGCAGGTCTTGCATCGTAAGCTCTTCCCATGTCTCCATAGCCACTTGCGCCAGAGGCCAAGGTTCGCCGACGGTCGTGCGAGGATCCGTCGCTAGACTTGACACCTTCAGCCTCCCTTCTTTCCCTGCGTCTACGCCTTCTCATGTCATCTTCTTCATCCTCGACGTCTCGTCGCTTGCGATTTCGATACTCTCGCGCGGTGCCAGGAAGTTCATCTTCGTACCTATCTGGCGTCTGATCCGCTGCAAAGTGCATAGGTGCGTCCACAATCGTTCCCTCGACAGGAGGTGGTGGCGGCGGTTCATCGTTGATGCTATCGACCCACGAACGTGTCTTATCGCCGCCGGTCTTGATCGCGTGAGCAACAGGACTGAAAGGAGAACGCGCAGCCACACCAAAACCAGCAACATCATGAGGGTCAGCATGAGGAGAGGTAGGGTTTGGCTCACCTCTGGACGTAGTGCCAAAGTAGTCTTCCGCGACTGGATAGTCAGAACGACGACGCGATGGACGTGGCCGATCTTTGTCTCCTCCACCTGCGCCCACGTCTACCGAACGGCGCATACGGCGCTCTTCTCTTCGAATACGACGAGCTTCTTCATCGTCAGGATTGTCCATGTATGAGCGTCGGCGATCTGAAGCCACAGGTCGCGCAGCAGCGGCTTCCTTCTCCCTGCGACGTTCACGACGTTCTTCGCGCGCCCTTTCCTCGTCACGCAGCTGTCTTTCTTCTTCTTCCCTGCGAGCCCGTCGCTCATCGCGCCGTCGCTGTCGCCGCTCCTCGTCTTCCCTTGCAAGTCGATCTTCTTCTTCTCTAGCTTGAGCACGACGACGATCCTCCCTTTCTTTATGTCTGGCCGCTCGATCCGCTTCTTCAGCAGCCTCCCGCTCACGTCTCTCCCGACGTTCACGGCGACGCCGCTCGCGATCCTCATCAATATCAGTCTGGGGTGCAGCGTCAGTCAAGCCATCGCCATCTGATGCTTTGCGTGACGAGCGGCCGACTTTGTGGTCTTCTCGTCGCAGACGCTTCGAGTAGTCGTCGTCGTAGACGGAGTCTCTCTTACGTCGTGAGCCGGCAGCGTCAGGGTCATACTTGCTCTGCCTTCGTTCTGGCGTTGGCCTTGCAGAGCCGCCTCCGAAAGCGCCGAGTAGACCTCCCATGAGACCACGCTTTTTCGCGGTAGAAGTTCGTCTAGGTGGTGTAGGTTTCTCCACGAATTGTAGATCCTCTGGCCCAGAGAACAACTTGGCCTCGTCGGAACCTCTTGGTGCATCCACCATGTCCTCGTCAAAATCTCCAAGAGCACCAGACATCCGTGTACTTTGACGCTTCGACTTGCTAGATTTCTTGCGGTCTCTGCGGTCATCAATATCCTTGGCAGAATCTTCGGGAACATCGGCATCTACAACAATCATATCGTCGGAGTCGATTGGATAGGGATCTGGAATCTTGCGAGTGGCCTTCTCGCGAGTGGACTTGGAGCGACCAAGGACCTTAGCAGCCTTGTCTGAGATGTCCGGCGGGGGTGAGATGAGCCCGGAGTCCTCGACAGCCGTAGAATGACGCCTTGAACTAGACTTCACCCCGGACGATTTCTCCCGTGTAGACTTGGATCGCGACGGCGTTGGTGCTCCACCAAACAGCGAAAAGCCGCGTGAAGTGCTTGGCCTCGACTTTGATTCCTTGCGGTCCTTGTCCGAACCCGAAGACTTGCTCGACTTCTCCAAGGGATCCTTGTCACCAGCTTTGCGGGCCGATTTTGATCGTGACAACCCAGCAGGTCGTTCTGATGCCTTTGAAGGGGTACCGTCATCCTTCGAGCCAGACTTGTCTTTGGAAGAAGTCTTCTTCGCGGGAGTAGCGCCCCAAAAACCCCAAGAAGAAGATTGCTGATCCCGAACAACCTTTGGACGTTCCTTCTTGGTTGACTTGGGCTCCTTGTTGGGGACCTCTTCCGGCGGAGGAGTAGGAAGCTCAGGAGGATCCATCGAGTCATCAATATCCACTGGGGGAGGCGCTTCAACAACAGGCTCGGATTTCTTCTTCGACTCCTTGGTAGATTTGCTTGAAGTCTTCTTGTCTTTGCTCGACTTCTTCGCAGGCGGCGAGGCTGGCATCTCAGGTTCTGGCTGAATGTCTTCCGCGAATTCGTCAGTTGGAAACCCTCCAGGCAGCGGTGATATCGGCGGCGGCGGCGGTGATGCGATCTCTGGCTCCTTGGTTTTCTTCGCCTTCTTGTCACTCTTCTTCGATTTCTTCTCCTCAACAACGACGACTGGTTCTGGCTCGGGCTCTGGTTCCGGGATGATCTCCGGTTCTGGCGGGGCTGGCGCAACAGGTGTCCACAAGCTATCGATCTTCTTTGACTTCCCGCTCTTGGTGACAGCTGGACTTGGCGTTGGTTCTGCGTTCAAAGCCTTGATGCGATCTTGTATCGAGTTGCCTTTGGAACTCTTCAGTTTCGACGCGTCTTTGCCTGCCGCCTTCGAGGGAGGCGACATTGCCGTGATGCCAAATCCATCGTCGTCAAAGGAAATATCTGGCGTCTTCGAGAAACCAGTGTTTAGCGAAGCATCCTGATTGGCCCACGGGTTGGGAGCAATTTTACTACTCGTGTCCGCAACGGGTGTGGCTTTTTTGGAAGATTTGAGTGACGAACCCCAGAAACTCCAGCCGTCTGCCTTCTTTGGCTCGTCGAATGAGAGCGTTGGATCCTCTTCGGGCACGATGTCGACGATCGGAGGTTCCTCCTTCGGCTCCGATTTCTTGCTTGACTTGCTCTCGACTCTGGACAGTTTTGTATCTTTAGAGGACGACTTCTTGTCCGCCTTTGCGTCTTTGGAAGATTTCTTTTTGTCTGCGGGTTGAGGCGGCGGTGCTGGCTCCTCGAGCAACAGGTCGTCGAGGTCGTTTTCTTCGCCAAGTGCCGCAGCGAATGCTTCTTCATCTGCTTTGCGCTGTGCTTCGGCTGCTTCAGCAGCCTCTCGCTCCTCTTTCTCTTTCTTCTCCTTCGCTTCGCGAGCTCTCTTCTCTTTTGATGTCTCCTTTTTGGAACTGCTTCCCATTCCAGACTTTTCTTCCTTTTTAGCCTTCTGATCTTCTTTGATGGGTTCGGGTTCAGGCTCGGGTTCGATGTTCTCGACAATGTCAAGAATGTCGTCAACTGGTGCTTTCGCACTAGACTTGCTGTCCTTGGACTTGGTCTTGGTCAAAGAGATTGGTACTTCCACGATTGGTTCAGGTTCAGCCTTTGCACCCTTCTTGGCTTTTTTGTCCTTCTTCGACGTTGTTGAGAAGCTCCACGGATCTTCAGCAGGCGGCTCAGTTATGTCCAGCAAGTCCGCTCCGGCGTTTCCATCGAGACCAGCATCACCAGAGTCTGGCGCTGGAACAAATGCGGATTCTTTCTTAGCTCCCTTCTTCTTGGCTTTCGTTCCTGCGGGATTGGTTAGCATACATTCCTCAGAAGCTGCAAAACAAGCGGCACCTACCAGTCGTCCAGGGAGACCAGGGGTCCTCCTCAGCAGACTTCTCTTGAACAGATTCTGGAAGAAGGACCGACGCGCCAGGACTCGGGTCCACAACTTCAACGACGCCTTTTGTCTTGTCTTTCTTGCCGGCCTTTTTCTTAGTGCCCGTTGACCAGCTATTCGTCCAGTCGTCGTCTGCTTTCGGCTCAACAACAGCTTCAGGCTCGAGCTCTTCAGGAGCGGGCGGATTAGTCACAGCCTCGATCAAAGCAGTGGCACCCTTCTTGCTCTTCTTGTCCTTGCTAGCACCCCAACCAGAAAACCAATCGGTATCACCGGCGGGCGCATGTGCAACGGGCGGGGAAGGCGGCGCAGGCGGCGCAGGCTCTTCGACAACGCCCTTCTTGCCCTTCTTCTTTTTGCTCGTGCTCGTGTCGGCCCATCCACCACCAAGCCAGTCGTTGGCGGGGTGTTCCGGCTCCGGAGGCGGAGGTGGAGGCACATTGACAATGGCGGGCTCTGCGGGCTCTTCAGAACACTCGAAAGCGCCTTTTTTCTTCTTCTTATCCTTCTTCGTCGAAATCCCCCAGCCTGCGAATCCATCGTCCTCTTTTGGCGCTTCTACAACAGGCTCTGGTTTAGACTCCGGCTTAGGAGCAGGTGCTTCCTCTTTCACGACGCCCTTCGCAGCTTTCTTGCTCTTCATCCCAAATGAAGACCAGAGGTCATCTTCCTCTTTCTCCTCTTTCGGTGGTTCAGGCTCGGGCTCTGGGACGATCACGACTGGTTCAGGCTCAGGATCCCACATGCTGGTCTTCCCGGCTTTCTTCGCCTTCTTGCGGTCCTTCGCGCTCATATTCGTGCTCGTAAACCCGCCCCGAGGGTCTTCTGCAGGCGGCGGCGCAACAGGCTCGGGCGGTGGAGGCGCCGGAGCCTCAACAATGGCCTCTGGATCTGCAGTTGCGCTGATACCTTTCTTTTTGAGTTTCTTCTTATCTTTCGCACTCACTGACCATGGATCTTCGGCCTCTGCCTTGGGCTTCTCGGCGGTGGGTACGCCAAGGTCGAGGTTGTCCATGGCGTTATCGTCGTCGAAGCTGAAGTTCAACGCACTGGACGTGGTTTTTTTGTCGTCCTTCTTCGACTTGCTGCCCCCGAAGCGGCCGAAGCCCCAGCCAGTTGAGATCGAGGTGTCTACCTTTGGAGCTTCAGTAGTGGCGGTAGTGTCAGCCGCCCCAAAACCCCACGATGAACCGCCTCCAGAACCGCCTCCACCCCATCCCGTTCCCCAATTTCCAAAGCTGATGAAGCCGCTCGACTTTTCTGCACCTGCATCTTTTTTGCTGCTGCCGAAGTCCAGATCAAGTTTCGGTGCAGCCTTGTCATCATTGAGGCTGATGTCGTCAAATTTCATGTCGCTCTTCTCGTCCTTGGGTGGCTCCGGATCGTTCTGCCCAGCAGCAATGCGTTAGCATCATGCAGTAGTTATACTGGACACCTTTCACGAAAAATATGATCATGCGACCGTTTCGCGTTAGGGAGTCGTGTTTGTATCGATAGAATCGCGTGAGATTGCGGAGGTCCATGCTCACGAGCCACCGCGGCTGCTGCGCCCCGGAAGACTCGCATCGCATCGTTCTTCGCCCCTTTCTGGAGCGCTGCGGCATGCCTCACGCCATTCGCCGCGCTCGAGATCAGTGCTAGAATTCGACCGGCATTCCGCCAAATAATGAAGCAAATCATCAATAGAAGAAATTGGACAACACATACCTTGCCCTTGCCCTTCTTTTTCAATTTCTTGTCCTTCTTTCCCCAGGACTCCCAAACATCTTCTTCCTCTTTGGGTTCTTCTTTGGGTGGCTCTGGCTCTGGCTCTGGGATCACCTCAGGCTCAGGTTCCTTGCCCTTGGTTTGTTTCTTCTTTTTGCCTGCGCCAGTATCGTCAATGCCCGTCAAAGTGCCATACGCGATCCTCACTCACCACCAGTTGGATACGTGCCCCAGTCGTCGTTTGCGGGTGGCGGATTCGGGACAGGCTCAGGCTCAGGGTCTTTGGCGGGCTCTGGGTCAGCATTCCTGCCTGTTTTCTTCTTCGACTTCTTCGTTGTAAAGCCACCCGAGTCTTGATCGGCTGCTACATCCCCAGCCGGCACGGGTTCTGGTTCTGGCTGTTGGGGTGGTTCGGGTTCAGGCTCTGGTTCAAACGCAGCAGCCGCACCTTTTTTGTTTTTCCTACAAATTTAGGGAGTCAGTGTCAATATCTCACTTAGTCAGAGGGTGTCTGCATCGGCCATTGGCGAGAGTACCCGGACATATGCCCTTGCTACGCAGACGGTTTGCAGCATACCACTAAAATGGTATACTGTATCCAAGACACTAGAGCTTATGTTGAGAGGTAACCTCGACAACGTCGAAGTGCACTCCGCAGATTCAACTCACTTTTTCTTGCCTACAGTAGCAAAGGTTCCCCAGTCTATATCGAAGCCGTCAGTCGAATAGATGAAAATTTGTTCTGTAGGCCTCACCATCTAGAGGCTCTGCCTCGCCAGCGCCTGCACCGGCATCAGCATTAGCAGTACCCTCCTCTTCTTGCTTTCGCTTTTCTTCCTCTTCCTCAGCCTCCTGACCGCACTAGTTAGCAACCAATCATCCATACCTAGAATCGGTCCATGCTTACCTCCCAAGCGGGCTTCTTTTTCTTCTTTTTGTCGTTCTTGTTGCCGCTGTCGTTCCACCAGTCATCGTCGCCTCCACCTTCATCGCCTCCTCCTGGAGCGTCTCCGCCGGCAGAGTTTCCACCTCCGTCTCCGCCTCCGCCTCCGCCTCCGCCTCCGCCATTCTCCTCGCCTCCAGCTCCTTCATTTTTCTCGTCATCGCTATCTGCCCACTTAGCCTTTTGAGCAGCCACAGCAGCTTTCTTGGCCTAAAACACGATAAGTCGAGGGTCAGCAAACGTCCCAGACATTGAGGTGCTCTCAAGCTATAACTTTTCTCACCTTTTTCTTGGCGTGCTCGCGAAAGCCCTCTTCCACGTTGAAATTCACATCAAACTTGCTGTCAAAAAGATACGAAGGTCTTGTGGAACTTCGTTCGCGTGTCTCGCTGCTATTGGTCACAATCTCGACTGCTTGCAGTAGACATTGCTTATATGCGAGCGAATCGGTAGTCGTATAGTCTGGGGGTAGGTCCTGTACGCTATCTTCATAGCTCGGTGGAGGCGCTGTGGCATCTACTGCAAAGGCCTTATAGAAAGGTCTCCAAAGCTCTTTCGGCACAACATCTTGCTTCTCAACGTGACTGCTTTTTTGTGACCTATCTTCACATTTCAAACTCTCCCAAAAGCCAACCAAGGTTCTGATCCGCGTCTTCAATCCCTTACTGCGGTTTTCAGCCAACACTACTATCGGTGGCTGGGTGCCGGGTTTGGGCGATTCGCGGTGTTGGAGCTCTCCGCGAGTTGTTGCAGTTGCGACAGCAGAGGCTGCCATTGAGCGATCCAAGATTCAACACGAGCGATTGCGCGGAAATCATAGAAGGCGATGGTGTGTATTTCGTCGCCGTGATAGTGGCCGGGAGCTTCCTTGTCGCGTTTGATTACCGGTAAGGCTGGATGTTCGAATTTCGAGACACGCGACTCGCGACACACGAGTTGCAGTACAACAATTAAAAGGAGGTGTCCAAGTCCAAGAGGGAGAGAGAGAGGCAGATTCCTGGTAGGATTCAGGGAGCTTTGTTGCAATTGCACATCCAAGTCATGCGGAACCAAGCAGGCCGAATGGTGTGGTGGGAAGCGATTACGGCAGGGTCAGGGGTTTTGTTTGGTGTATCGCTGCCGAGAGTCTGTAGCGAACGAATCAAATCGGACCAAAGGCTCCCATTAACAACGCCCGCCCATGCTGCGATCGTGAAGTAGTAGCGTGGCGTGGCAAGTAGTACTGTAGCAAAGATATGGGCCAGTGAAAAGGAGAAAGCAGGCAGTGTAGGAACTTACTAGGAAGGGCATGCTATAGTAAGTTGGGTGTAACAGACAGACATGTCGTGCAGGGCTGATGCCGTCCGACATTGCGGGTATTGGCTGCCAGTGTCCGCTCACAAATTGTTGCTGATGCACCCGGGACGAATTGTTTCACCGCCAGATGAGAAGCTGTCGTGATTGCTCAAAGACTGCATCCGCCTGCAGACGAGCTGCATCGAGGGACAAGAAGTCGCATGGCTAGCTGCGTGAGATCCGACCCTCTTTTCGAGGCTTGAGCTTCTGAACTTGAGGAGAGGGGCTCGAGGCTTGTTCGTGAGTGGTGTGAGCTTGCGGGACGACCGCCATACTACTGTACTAGCAAACCACCAGGTCATACCGCTTTTGTGACGACATGCTTCAGAATGCCGTTGAGGATGCCAGCAATACTGTACATGCATGCCGAGGTTGAGTCCGTGGACTTTCCAAATGCCAGGAGCAGCCGAAGACAAGAAAGCCGCGTTCGATGTCCTTGAAAGTGTTGACGTGTATACCATTCCAAAGAACAGTATGCAAATATGTGGGACCAACGTGCAGATTGGACAGGAAGACGAGTTCTTCACCCTGCATTAACGCCTGATGCAAGACTGCAAGTCACGGTTCACGGCAAGTTTGGTAGGAGTCAAACATCGCGTGTGTTCTCAAGGTACGTGGGAAAGCAATAGAGTATAGATGGCATATACACCACCTTTTTGTCTGTAAGAAGGATAAAGGCACATTCTTGATAGCAATTGTATCCCCACGCTTGGATGTCCGAGGAACAAGACATGACAAGCAGCTTAGAATCGGTCTGAGGCTGGAGACATTGTAGGCCCGACGTAGGCTTGGTCTGGATGTGTACCATACACCATACTCTACACCTCCACAGAGCGAATACGAGCCCAGGCTTGGAAGCTCTCGCTGTCGAAAAGAGCAGATGAAATCTTCGTCAAATCCTAAGTGAATCCTTCACTTTTCCCCCTCTGCTCATTACTACACGGATCCTGAAGTGAACACGGACTCGTCGCGGATGAATGCATGAGGTATTTGTGCCTTTCCTCTCTCATTGAATCGAGCCAGTTCGGCGTGGGATCGGGGCGGATGAATAAGTGTTGATATGCAGGCATCATACACCTATCCAATCCACATACGAAAAAGGTACGCGATCATGTGCCCCAGAAAAGCTCACCAGTGGACCTTCGGTGCAGCGATATGTTGATTCAGCCTGTTATTTTCCAGATCCGGCAGCCTTTGATTTTTGCAATCTAGCCCAACGTCCAATAAGTGACGGTGCACTCCTAGTGGCATCTGATCCCATGGAATCGTGGATTTCCTTCCAAGACAATCCCCGTTGGCGAAGCCGACGAAGCTGCTCGTCCTCCTCCGGCGTGAAATATGGTTTCACCTTGGATCTGGGCTTCAACCGAGACATAATGATTTGTGGAGATCTTCCAAGCTTTTCAGCGATCGCGCCTGCAGTCAATCCCTCTTCGTGCATCTTCAACATTGAAAGCTTATCCTCAAAAGTCCACTAAAAGGATACGACCTATCAGCAAAGATCTCACAGACAAGAAGCGTCTGTGCTGTATGCTATACGTACAGGTTTTGCATTGTGAAACCTTTGATACTGGTTACCAACAACGTAGTAGCGCACAGTATTAGGTTTCCGATTCAATGCACTCGCAATTGAAGATATACTGCAGCCCTCAGAATGCATTTTGGAAGCAGTCTCGTGGTCCTTTTCGGTCCATTTTCTCACGGTCCTGCCAGGCCTGAGTATCCGGAATCGATTACTGATGCTTCCATCAGTTCGACCCATGATTCGCCCGATTTCGACAAAATTCTTCCCTTGATCATGGAGTTTGAGGAGTTCTTTATCCTGGTTTTCATCCCATTTCCCCACCACAGGCTTCCAATTCTGTGTTTCGCGCGTATATTTGATCTTTGCGCCAACAGATGTCAGGCTTCGCCCCAGGTTCTTCGCAATTTCTCGTCTTGGGCAGCCTTTCTCATACAGGTGTTTGAGCATTTCGAGATCTTCGGCGCTCCATGATTTCATTAGGCTAGGTTTTGCGCCTGGTCTCCCTTTGGACTTAGAAGACTCTGGCCGACGAAAGACCTTCGCCACCGCGTTGACGTTGAAAATAGCACATTGAGTGACTGCAGCCACACGAAGGTGACAGCATCCAGTGCCGAGAAGACGAAGCATGTGCTTGCCGTTCTGGTTCTGTTGAAGGCGAGAATATGCAGCAGTGTTGTTGTTTGTCATGACGGTTGCATCTCGCCAAGCCAAAGCATCACTGACTCGCGTTGGTTGTTGCTCCCCAGCGAAGCCTCGGTTCGCTTTTTCACAGCACGCATTGCACCTACCCGAGACCCGTAGCTTGCTCCACTCCATTATTTGCGAGTACGAGTTACGGAGATAGCTACAAGTGAGATCGTTTTATCATGCTTCCTCTGAATCACATATCACTCTTCTTGCTCTCTTGAGCTAATCCACCATGTCCAATACTGACAAGAAGGCCTTTGGGAACCTCGCACCTTGGAGTGAGCCAGCTTGGTCTCACGGCATACCATCTCCATACTATAACGAATCCCATAGAAGGTATCGCGATGAGCTCCGTCGGTATGTCGATGAAAACATCCTCCCTTATGCTCTAGATTGGGAAGAGGCAGGCGAAGCGCCTGAGGAAGCGAGGATGAAGTGGGCAAAGTCTGGATTCTCTTTTGCAGATGTGCCGCTCGAATATCGACCCAAAGACATTCCCTTTCCTGCTGGGATATCGACCACCGAGCTTGATGCTTTCCATACTTTGGTCTCCACAGACGAGACCTCTCGCGTGGAGGGTGGCGTGACAAGCTCACTGGGAGGCGGCAGTGTCATTGGTATCCCGCCTGTTATTCATCACGGCACGCCTGAGCAAAAGCGCAAATGGTTACCAGGCTTATTCTCATGGGAGACCAGCTTCTGTCTAGGTATCACTGAACCTAGCGGGGGCTCAGACGTAGCGAATCTGCAGACCACAGCCGAGAAAACTCCAGATGGCAAGTTCTACATTGTGAACGGATATAAGAAATGGATCACTGGGGCTCCATGGGCTACTCACATGACTACTGCCGTTAGAACTGGAGGCCCAGGAATGGGTGGGATTTCTGTGCTCGTGATTCCAACCAACTCGCCTGGTCTATCGATGCGAAGAATACCCAACAGTGGCCAGAAAGCCGGTGGAGCGTCAATGATCGAACTCGACGATGTCAAAGTACCCGTTGAGAATCTCTTGGGCAAAGAGAACGAGGGCTTCAAGGTCATCATGGTGAACTTCAATCGGGAACGCTATATCATGGCCGTAGGTTGCAATCGTAAGGCCAGGACATGCCTATCAGTTGCCTTTGACTACGCCAACAAACGAGAAACATTCGGCAAGCCTCTGATTGCCAATCAAATTATTGCCCACAAGTTTTCTACAATGGCCAGATACATCGAAAGCCACTGGGCTTGGCTGGAGCAGATTGCCTACGCAGTTCAGATGTCTCCGATGGGTTTTCAAGACCCTGATATCGCGGGAAGAATTGCTTTGGCAAAGGTACATGGTGGCAGGTGAGTCCGAGATACAAATCTCACATGTGCGCGAGAGTATTGCTCTTAGCACACATTATTGACATTAAGCAGAATCCAAGAAATGGCCAACAGGGAGGCGCAACAAGTGCTTGGCGGCGCCGGCTACCAGAAACAGGGCCCGGGTGCTGTTGTCGAGCAGATGTCGCGTGATTTGAGGATGATGGTTGTTGGAGGAGGCAGTGAAGAGATCATTTCAGATCTGGCTGTGCGTCAAGAGACGATGAGGGCAAGGAAACGAGGTTGGAAACTGTAACTATCCGATTTAACTGCTGTAATTTGATGTGCGGAAACAGTCTTGCGCATTGTATTTGCGCTTGAAGCTGAAGAAGCATTTGAACGTTTGAATGCTCTGGAACTATCTTTGAGAGCGTCCTGGAAGTGTTGAGTTGGGTCGAGCTCCATCTTGATGTCTTGTCGAACGTCTCTCCGGCTCGCAGCATCGGTGAGCAAACTAGCTGCCGTCACAACAATGTATGATGATGATATTCGAGATCGTGATGATGGAGGAGGGCCGAATGTGCATGTCAGCCGTGACAGAGGCAAGAACAGTAGCTAGTGCCCGCTCTAGCCGTGCCAATCGCAGCCGGCGACCCCAGTCGCTCTTGCTCTGCCAAGACATTCGAATTTGAACTCCACGAATTTGCGGTCTTCAGAAGTTCAGACGCCGTTGCACCGTCCACTCGCCATACACCCAGCGACCAGCACAACGCCGTCAAGATGCGCTACATCTTCTCCCAGGAGACGCTGGACATTCCAGAGGGCGGTTCGTACTCTGCAGCAGCATCGGCGCGCATTATGAACCGAACACTGACAATGCTTCTGCAACAGTCAAGGTCAACATCAAGACCCGCCAGGTCACCGTCGAGGGACCACGAGGCAAGCTCACCAAGGACTTGGGCCATCTCGCAGTCTCCTTCTCCCAGCCATCCAAGGGCCGCATCAACATCGAGCTCCACCACGGCTCGCGCAAGAATGTCGCTACGCTCCGTACCGTCCGCACTCTCATCAACAACTTGATCATCGGTGTCACCAAGGGCTACAAGTACAAGATGCGTTACGTCTACGCACATTTCCCAATCAACGTCAACTTGGAAAAAAACAAGGAGACTGGTCTGTGGAATGTCGAGATCCGGTATGATCACATCCCATAGCAAAGGAAATTGATAGCGATATACTGACATAATCATTTTTGGCAGAAACTTCTTGGGCGAGAAGCTTGTGCGCAACGTTACCATGCAGCCAGGTGTCGAAGTCGAAGCCTCCAAGAACGTCAAGGACGAGCTGCTGCTCAGCGGAAACTCGCTCGAAGCCGTCTCACAATCCGCCGCCGACATCCAGCAGACCTGCCGTGTACGAAACAAGGATATCCGTAAGTTCTTGGACGGTATCTACGTCTCTGAGCGCACCAACATCTCGGAGTAAGCTTCGGGAAATGGGGGAAAAGGTTGGCTGGCGCCTGGCGCATGCAAAATGGGATCATGCATGAAAGGACATTATGACGGCCTGCTCAGGGCTAGTGGCAGGTAGCCGTACTGAATGGAACGAATCAAGCACCCACATCAACCTCATTACTTAAGCTCTTATCCCAAGAGCGAGCGGGGAGAGGTATCCGCACTCACCAAGGTAATACGAACTTTCTTATGTCACAAACATGTTCACGGGTCAGGTCATGCCGCATGACCGTGCTGTATGCACTCGGCTGTGATGGCTCCAAACGGTGCTGCTACTGTTGGCATCAAGAACGGCGATTCGATATTGAGCCTCGCCGTGCTTGCCCACTATCAGCTCTTCAGCCCAATGGTTCTCAAAACTTGAACCGGTCGCAATGTAATGTGACATTTGAGATATACTCTTCGCGACTGAACGCAAAACCCTTCAATAAGTCTGTCCTGATCTCAGCCACCACGAGACAATGATGTCGAATTAGTTTTCATTTTCTCTGGTCTTCCTACAGCCACGTCGGATTCGTCTAGACAATCCAAACCATCTGATAAACAATAACTCCCTCTCTAGATTTGTTTTGACTCCCATATCCTGATGACGACAGCCTCTTGACCGAATCGGATCAAATTACCAATAAAACCACTGAGGGGTATCATGCCATCTCACATGTCCAGCCGTACTTCCGAAACGCCTTGAAGTCATGTAGTAATAAGGTGCTGCTCTTAAATTTGCCATCCACATTTCCCGGAACCGAACTGTAGTCCGCCCGACACGTCTTCTACGCTTTGAACTTGACCTCAGCTTTGGTCTCGTCCCTACGTCTCGAATTTGGGCTGTGCATTCTCGCGGATGGACATGATGCGCTTTCCACCCATGCTTGTCACCTTGTCGATGAGTTTGTGGGTTTCGTGTAGTGCCTCAATATCGTCGCCGCCTCCAATGCTCTTGCCGTTGATAAGCACGTTGGGTACTGTTCGACGTCCAGTGCTTCGCGCCAATGACCGCTGAAGACCTGGGCCAAGTTCATGTTGATCCAGCTCGACCACGTAAGGCGGAGGGTTTATGCTGTATAGGTCAAGGAGGATGTGCTGTTTCCGCAATGTTAGGAACGATCTATGAACGAGTTGACGAGCACTTATGCATACCTTTGCCTTCTTACTGAATGGGCAATAAGATTTCGAGAACACTATTATAGGTCCCTTTTTGAGTATGTTGTTCAGTTCCAGCTCCACTTTCCGTTCATGTTCCTTTTCTTCTGCAGTCGTGTCGTCAGCGACTGCTGTTGCTTTGGCCGCGACGTTGCCAACTTTGGCTACTCCATCATCGGTGTCATCTTTAGGCTTCTCTTGTACAATCTTGTCGTTGGACGCTCCCATCTTCTTTCGCCCAGCCACACTCTTCTCAGCAGGCGTATCGTCTTTAATCGGTTTCTGCTTCTGTGGTCCAATCGCAGGAGCATCGGTCGTCGTTGAATCTGCTGGGGAGGAGCTCGATGATGAAAGATCTTCTACTGCTACGTCGTGTTCTTTCCGTAATCGTTCGACCCGTTCACGCCGATCTTTCTCTTCCGACATTAGTTGTTCGCGCTGAGCGGCTGTCTTCTTCTTTTCGATTGCCGCTATGGTATTCTTGTAGAACGGCGAGTCGTATGTGCTCTTCGCTCCATTTGATACATAGTAGATGACGAGTAGAGCTAACACCGTGACCAGTCCAATCGCCCTTATCTGCCGCTGCGAAGGCATTGTACCAGTTCCGGCGGTCTTTCAGACTGGTACCAAATCACTTCAATGGTAGTTGATGCTACAGTATTGTTGCTCGGCTGTGCTGAGTCGAAGCCACCCCGTCCTCGAAGCTGAATAGAAGTTGTTCAGGTGGGCAGTAAGCCGGTCGAAGCACTGCTCGCGAGCTCGGTGGTTCGAAACGAAGAGGAAGGGGCCTGATGTCTTCAGTAGGTAGTTCTAAGTTGCAGCGAGGATGATCCTGCACGGTCGCTGGCTCCTGCGATCCTTGAAGAGCCGAGACCCGTTCCTTATGGAGAAGCATTCTGGGCTGATTCGGCCGCCCAGAAAGTCAAGTCAAAGCCTCAAAGGCAAATGTCAGCAGACTGGGCACCATGACACGCCAGAGACTCAGAGTGCATCCTCTGTATTATTGCTCTCCTTTTCCACGCGCTTCTCATCAAGAAGATGTGACACCAATCTTCCGATGAGGCTTCCCATCAAGAGTCAAGACATCGCCACATGGCGCTACGCTAGCCAGAAACCCCGCGACATCTTGAGCGCGTGGATGTTGCACAACCACACCCGCACTGTCGCCATGGCACGACTCGATTCTTGACACATCATGTCCAGCGTGATACAACACCGAATCATGTGAGATCGAGAAGATCTTGGCTCTGTCTGTCCTGTCGCCACGTCTCAACGCCGAGAAGATGCTGGGCTCGAACTATGCACGCAATATAACCTGCCACCAAACCTCATATCTTGCTATTGCTATGAACCGCTGCTTCAGCACGTGCGAGACACTCTTCCAACATCCGCCACAGCGCTTCCCATTCCAAGCTCCTTGGTATCCTGACACCTTCGCCAGCTGTCAACAGAGTCGCAACAGTCCGCCCACACTGCGACGCGCTCTTTCGAACGTGCCCGGATGAGCCGTGATCGCCATCCGTGACCACGTCTAATTGGTATCGCTCCCCGCCATTATCGTGGAATAGATCTGGCGCAATTACCGCCGCTACGGCAAGCGGGTCGTGCGTCGGTGGCCCTTCAGTCAAGCCAAATACATCGGCGTAGGTTTTAGCGAAGAATGTAAGGATCTCAAAGAAGAGTTTCCGCACAGTGGCAATGCTATCCAACGGCTTCTCAGTAGCATCGAATCCGCCATGTAGCATTGCGTGCTGCACGCGTTGCGTTGCAAGAAATTGATGCGTTAAATCCAGTGGTATCAGAGTGGTCTTTGCCGCGAGTACAGGATTTGAAAAGACGGACTTGGCTGCCTCTGGGTCGATGTAGATGTTGAATTCAGCCGTCTTAGTCCAATTGCCAAATCTCTCGCCTTCTCCTTTCACCGCACCCATCGGCGCAGTGCTGAAGCCTCCACCAATTGCCCCTCCCATGATTGACAGACCGGCAATGTGCGCAGCGAGATCCGGATATATCGCGAAGAGAAGTGCAGTATTGGTGAGAGCGCCGGTAGCAACCAAGTATGCCGAATGTGCTGGTTGAGACTTCAATGACCTGTACACCGCTTCGACAGCTGTAACGTCGTTCCGTGGCTCCACAGATGGCACTGGTAAGCACGTCGTTCCGTCCAAGCCAGATTCGCCATGGATGTCTGGAGCAGTAGCAGCTACTCTACAGAACGGCTTACCGGCACCGACATACACAGGAATGTCTTCGCGGCCGATTGCTTTGAGAATAGCGCGGGTGTTGTAAGTAGTCTTCGATAAAGGTGCGTTGCCATAAGTGGTGCTGATCCCAAGCAGATTGATCGAAGGATGTCTAGATGCAAGAAGGATAGCAAAGGCGTCGTCATGACCTGTAATTTATGAGCAATGGATTCGCAGCTGGCTGCATCTGCATATCAACCTGTATCGCAATCGAGCCAAAGGGAGAAAGATTTGGCGTCTTCGGACGTTCCCCGCGTCATTTTGGCGACCTGGTCGTGATTGTAGACTAGCAGTTCAGTCTGGCAGAAAAGGAGTCTTGTATGGCTGTTGTTGGATCTGTTTGATTGTATAAGTTTGTCAGTATGACAGTATCAAATCGAAACACAGGGCACAGGGTACGGGATGGAAGGTCTTCGGGCCGGAGAGCCGGGATTCAAAGTGGGTCGATTGCTTCAATTGATTGCTGCTCACTGAAGAGCCAGTTTGCCAGCTGATGTTTGCAAGTGAAGAACTCCTCCGCGTAATGGCAACGGCCCACTGTTGATCATAAATCCTGCACTGCAGAATGCAGAGGGCGATACATTTATGCGTCTCCTAGACGAGCACATAAAGCGCACAAAGCTGCTAAGTGTCAGCACAGTTTAATTCTCGAATGTGAGGCAACTCACCAAGCTCAATCCAAGAATCATGCTTATCCAAAACATGATATTGTTCAACAGAGATCGATCCCGCACCCAAGGCATTCGCTGAATCATGACAATGGGCATCTGCATCATCATTAGGACGAAGCCATATCCTCTAAACTTCCTCGTAATGCAGCCCATGATCAACTCATGGGCAAGCGCTGAAATGAGAAATGTTATCGCCGTTGCCGCTGGTTTCGACATTTTGGCGCTGCGACTGGCACTATAGACATGCCTTCGGAAGAAGTGGTGCACAGGAATGTTCCACTCTCTGCTGAACTCCAGCCAGTCCGAGCTGTTCCACCAGTCCGAGTAGAATTGTCGGTCAGCAAACCTGGTAATCTCTGCAAATGCTCCGCAGACGTATTCGAAAATGACCAAGAAGACCAGGAGGAAGGTGACCATGAACGGAAAGAGTAATCTGCTGACTGTTTCAGCGAAGATAAGAGACGAATCGACCCAGGTGCGAGAAAGGCGTAGGCGGAGGGAGGATTCATCAAGAACCGGGATGATAAATTCTTCGGCTGTCACAATCATGAGGAAGATGCAGCCAAAAACGGCGAGCATCTTGTAAAAGAGCTCCAGGTAGGATCGAGAAGGCGTTCGCGGGTACTCGATCTCATAACACAGGGTGGGACAGAGCAAGAACTCGAAATAATTCCAAACGGTTAGGTTTGCCGGATACGTGACGTTGCCCAAGGGAGAGGTGAGCTCGGTAGCCAAGTCCTCCCGAAGGATCATGACTGGAGATAGATTCTGATGTTCGTGCTCATCCTCAGTGGCGGCCGCCTTGAGCTCTGCTAGGCGTGTGGGGGCAGACGGATATCGCACAGCTGCGTTGGTTGGTGTCTGAGGCCCGATTGGCATGTCGAGCTCCTTCAATCGTTGCAATGTGACTGATAAGTGGCCGTTGTAGAATGCATACGAATGCATCTTCATAGCCAGGACCAAGGTATGAAGAGTGAAGAAGACCTGTGCTGTCCACCTAGAAGCATAGGGCACGGAGTTAGCAAATGTCTCGAGCGAAAAGTACCGCTCCACAAGCGCAAGACAACATCAGATCGCTACGTCTCGGCTGGGAGGCGCTGCGCCTTGCAGCGTTCAGTGTACTTACGTCCAATCTCTCATAAAAGGCCAGCTTATCCAGAAATATAGCCAGACTGCCTGAAAGATGCTCTGTATGATCATGCCAGCTCTGTTCCACCTTAGAATGCCTTTACTCCTAACAAACCCCAGATTGAAAATCAAGCTCAGTGCTGTGGTCACGCACATGCACAAATCGCTGATGGCAAGATCAACGATATCCTTGGTGAACAGAGGCCATTGCTTGAAGTTGAGAACCGTGCCCGTCTCTTTCAGATTGCGCAGCATAGAAGTGAAGACCATGATTGCCAACCCGATCCAGAAGAGGACGAAGAATCCACGAAAGTTGCCATAACTTGATCGCGGATCAAAGTACGACACTCTTTCCTGATATTCGACAGTTGGAAACATTCGCTGCTGTTTTGTCTTGCGCCTGAAATGCTTGCGCGCTGCCGCTGTGACTTTTACTGACTCTGGCGCGTCTTCCGGTGGCGCTGGAGTGTTACGCTCACTGGCGAGTCCAGCTGCTTGGGCACGTTGTACGGCGGCATTTGGCGTGAGCTCTTCGTTCAAGGCACGCGCAAGCCGAGCATCGATAGGTTTTCGCGCTCGCGGCTGGTGTATGGTGGACCCGCTGCCCCTATCGCTGGTCTCGTTGGCGAACTTGAAGTAGGACGAATTGTCGGCCATGGCGGAGGCGCTCGGTGGCTTCGAATTTGGAAATCGTTGCTGGGCGCGAGAGAGATGCGAAGCTGATCTTTATGCTTTGCTTCGCTAGTCTAAGTGGAAGGTAACTCGACTCTCAAGGCATGTTAGCCATCCACCCTTCTCCCGGTGCTAATCGTTCGAGCTGTATCCCCACGGAGAGGTGTTTGCTCTCTTTAGTAGCCATCGCGAAGCATAGACTAGGCGTTGCAGGTAGCAGGACGAGCACGCGCCAGATGATGTCAAGCGGATGGAGGTTCACCGAGGCCGAAGGGTGAAAGCGATCCGTCTCTATACGATGGCCCAGTTATATTCGAGACACGGAGAGCAATCCAATACATGCTTGTGCTGAGGAACACTCCTTTCCTGCTTGCTTGCTTATCAGGAGAATGCTCTTGTCAGAATTGTGGAAGTGGACTGCACGTGAATAAGACACATCGTAAAATTTTGCGGTTTGTTCTCAAGTGTATATGCAGCACAGCGTCATTTAAATCTTTAGCACGATGCTCGTAGCACTACTACCTTTCCATCAAGACTCAAGCGTCTATCACGGACGTTTCGTCTCGCCTTCGCTGGTTTTGAGAGCTTCGCATGAGCGGTGGAGACCAGTCTTCCTGACCGCCGTAGTCAATAGCTGGAGGTCCTGCTGATCGCCGAAAGCTTTCGCTCATTTTCTGATATGTATTCAGTCTTCTCATACAAAGACATGCGATAGCCTGTTGAATCCGTTGGTCGATAGCAATCCAAGACTGCTCAAAATTGTCGGCTTCGTTGTCTCTTTTCAATGCCGGTTCAGCTCTTCTTGGACCCATCACTTTCAAACAGGTCCTTGAGATTCACCTCGCCAGAACCACGCTCAAGTGGCCGCGGCGTGGTCTCACTCTCTTTCCAGCCAATCATATAGATCATCCTGAATGTTGCTGGAAGTGTTACGCTGCCGTCTTCTTGCTGCTCGCCGTACATTTCTCTGTAGATGGCCTCAGTTGCCAGTAGTACGTCCCTGCTAATACCGCTTGGACTTCTTCGTAAAGCAGCATTGGCTTCTCCCATAGATTGTAGGTCCGACATGAGTGCGAAGATGTTGGGGTAGTCCACAATGATGTCGTCCACGTCGACAGTCAATAGCTTGAATCCGGCACGATTCAGCAGATTGCCAACGTCCCTTACGTCTGCCAGAGGAGACATGTGAGTTCCAATACCACCAAGGCGCTCCTGTTCTGCTAACTGCAGTGAGCCTCTTAACTCGTATAGATTGTCTCCTCCGAACATAGCAGCCAAGACCGGTGCGTCTGGTTTTAAGCAGTTGTTCATCTGAGTGAGCACCGAAGGGAGATCGTTGACCCAATGTAAGGAAAGATTCGAGATTACCATATCAAAAGTTTCTGCTTCGTAGGGGATATACTCTGGATTCTTCAACACCTCTCGGGTAATGTTGATCTCCTTATTAAATGGTTCATTCCGATCTCTATCCAACATCTTTTGGCTTGTGTCCGTGCATATGATGCTCCCTATTCTCTTGCTAATGGGCTCGACGGATGGCTTCGCCGATTCTGGGTCGGGGTCAGGACGAGTCAAAGCGCGAGCGATGTTGCATGCATTCGCCCCAAAATCTAACACCTTGGGGAAAGTTCGGTTGATGTCGAGGATGCGATCGCAAAGCCGCATAGCCATCTCATCTCGGAGGTAGTCTACCTGACGGCTCTGCTCCGGGCTGGAGGCAGCACGCTCCTTGTGAAGCCATTTCGTTCTCTGGTCGAATACTTCCACTGTGGGTGCGCCGGGAGCTTGAACTGCATAGGAACGGCTGGAGAGAGCGGGCACTCTGCTATTACGCCACTGACATAGTCTGAGAGCCGTGCGTTGTAATATCGAGCGCATGCTCGATGGCAGAAAAGCGAAGTGATGAAATGGTCAAGAGAACAAAGTAGACATCCACAAGGTTATTGATCCAGGATGTGCCTCTAGCGCTTAAAGCACTGACCCAGCTCCTGCTCCTTTTTGGCGTTGGTAGATCATTCACGTCATCCACATTTCTAGCAAGAAACGCGACGTTGACAAATTTACTGCAAGAGAATCATGTTGATACCAGCAGCCGCCGATGTGGCATTGCCAGTCGTCAAGACACTTGCAGACTGTGCTGATTACAAGAAGACCTTCGAGCCCTTTCTTCCCCAGCTCTACGCGCTCCCAACCCAAGTCTACGAATCTCTCGGAGATGTAGAGGCTTTGAAACAGCTCTACGTATCGACGAACCCTGCCATCTCTGGACTTGCCTGGTGCATCGCTGCATTTCCGGTCTTCCTCCTTGTCGCTGAGATTAACAAAAACTACTCGCAAGTCGATCGCGTTTGGAGTATCCTGCCAGCTCTTTTCAACCTCCACTATGCACTCTGGGCACGACTCAATGGCCTGTCCACTCAACGTGTGGATCATGTACTCGCGTTCAGCGTTCTCTGGTCCATGAGGCTCACCTTTAACTATTGGCGAAAAGGCGGCTACCAGATAGGGAGCGAGGATTACCGATGGGAGCTGATCAAGAAGCGCATTGGCTCTGTTGGTTTCATTCTCTTGAACATCCTGTTCATCTCCTCTTTGCAATTGGTGAGTATCATAAGGACGACACTTCTTTCCCATGCTAATGAATGCGAGGTCATCTTATGGAGCGTAACACTGCCCACCTACGTCCTTCTTCTCACATCCCGGCTCCAACCTGAATTGAGCGGCTCTGACCAGCTGTTCAGCCGAACTCTCATGGGTCTCGTGGTATTTGAATATTTTGCAGACGGACAAATGTGGAACTACCAGCAAGCGAAGAAAGAGTATCAGAAGACTGCCAAAGTGCCGACTGGGTGGACACGTGCACAAATGGACCGCGGTTTCGTAACCACTGGACTGTGGAAGTACAGTCGTCACCCGAACTTCGCAGCTGAGCAAACAATTTGGATTTTGCTGTATCAATGGGCCTGCTACGAAAGTCACACTTTTTGGAACTGGACTTGTGTAGGCGTTATTGCTTACGTTGGTATCTTCCTTGGCAGCACTCCGATCACAGAAAGAATCAGTGCTGGGAAGTATCCTGAGTATCGAATCTATCAAGAGCGTGTGGGTAGGTTTGTACCAATGCTGATCGGAAAGGGCTGGGATGAGGAGGAAATGGAGAAATATGGAGCCCAAGAGGCCAAGAAGAAATAGACGAGTTGATGGCTAGTCGCCAAGCTGAGAAAGATGGACTAGAGCGTAGATGTCCAGGAACGAGTGGTGCTGCGATAGACTAGCAATCCGAAGTATGTTTGCGTATCGTGGTGCCACGGCATGAACTTGGTGTCCCACGAGGAAACATGGCAGAGCAAACCACTAATAAGCAGAAGAAAAACTGCTGAAAGCCGGAGGAAGGCCAGCCTTCGCAGTCCATAGAAGGTAAGCACATGGTGAGGTACATTGTAGCGCGTGGCGGCAAGGATGAGTTGCCCTGCAGAACGGAGGCATTTTGGAGAATGGATGATAGGCGGGTTGATTTGGGCAATCCGGAAGAACTTTGGGGGCTGGATGCCACGCGTGGCCTTTTCTCGGCAGCTAGCAGCTAGCCATACTGCTACAGCCTCCAGTTGCCGTTCAGAGCCATGCCGCTCAGGTCGAAAAGTAGCTGGCTGTGGTGACGAAGACTGGGAGGAGTGTTGCGTAAGAAGATGGTATCGAATTTCACGATCCAGAAAGCAAGCCCGGCCTCCTTGTTTGGTGAAAGCCGGACTGACTCTTCACCCGGCTGGGGCTGGCACCGCACTTTCTTTCGGCGACACAGCTCGCGTACTACTACTTGGAGTGTATGCCTAGGTGTTAGGGTCCATCACGTGCCTGATGCCTGAGGCTGCAACTGCTGCACTCTATCTTCGGACTTCTATATAGATTAGTCCTTCTTCTAATATATTAGTTACATTAAGTAGTTATAAGCCCCCTACGTTTCTAACGCATATAACACGTTTACTACGTATTCTAATAGTTACTCCGATAGCTGCGTAGCTAGCGCTCGTTACTAAAAATTGCGCCGATACTAATACCGTCGCCGCCGCCGCCCTCGAGTATTCTAGTAGGTACTAGACTCGAGTCGGTTACTAATAGTATTAGCTATCCGCTATACTAGAACATAGGCGCGCCTATCGGCCGCCCCTTAAGACAAGTCTAACGTCTCTTTCTATATTATCGCCGTCGCTGTCCGCAATAGCTCCCTCTATAACTTCTGCTAGCGCTTACATAAGCAATATCCCTAAGCTAAAGAATAAGGAGAATTATCTATTATAGTCTTATGCCGCTAAGGGTGCCCTTAAAGGCATATAGGTATAGCGCTATATCTAGGGGACCCGCCTAAAGCCTAATATTAAGTTGTCTTCTAAAACTTAGTTAGAGTTTAAAGACCGACAAGATAAATAGGAAGCAAAAGATTAATTAGCGCGTACGTAGATCTTTGCTAACTATGTCGCCGAGGTTTAGTAGTCGTTGCTTAGTCTCGCTATATCGTAGGAAGTGTAGACTTACCTATATAAGAAATACACTAGTAAAGGTAGGTCTACTAAATTCATACTCTACTAGGAATATATTACCCTTCGGTATAATAGCAAGGACATTAAGAAGTTCTATAATAAGTATAAGAAGAAGCTTAATACCTTAAAGGATACTAAATTAGCTATTAGCTAATACTAGGCTGTCTATATGTTTATTATATAGATCTCTCTATTCTACGAGGCTTTCGTATAGATACGCCGAAAGCAGATACGCGCCTCCGAATACACTATTAACGATAATACACTTAACAACATTATTAGCGCGTTACTTAATAAGAATGTAGCTTAATTGAACTAGGCCTAATATAATAGCTTCTTTAGTCTTTAGCGCTAACTATAACAGCAAGGTAGTAATAGTAATAATAACGGTCGAGGTAACTCGAACCGTAGCGGTCGTAGTAGCCGCGGAAACAGCAATAGTCGTAGTCGTAGTAGAAACAACTAGAATGGTTAGAATCGTAAGAAGTGCTTATACTACTAAGGCGCTTACCTATCCGATCGGTGCTATACTAAGTATCCTTATCTAAAGGAGGAAGACCGTCTTTATCGCGAGAAGCAGAAGGCTAAGAAGAAGCAACAATAGGCGTTAACTGCTTAACAGCAATAGCAGCCGTCTAGTTAGGGTAGTTAAAATAGTACTTAGGGGCTATATACGGCTAATGCTACCCCGGGGGTGTTATTAGACCTAAACTACAATTACGCCTTCACTGCAAGCGCTACTATAGTTACTATTAGCGACCAGGTTTCTACGGCTCTCACGGCTAGCACTCGTACTACTAATTAGGTTATCGACTTAGGTACTAGCATATATATAGTTAATAACCCCTTACTGCTTATTAAATATAAAGGCTGCTACATTCCTGTCCGGTTTAGTAGCAACACGAAGCACGCTACGATAGTAAGTATAGCTTAGACTAAGGTTATTAATAAGCGTAGTGTTAGCAATATAAAGCTGTCTAATACGCTGTATATTCTAGGTCTAGCAGCCAACCTTCTATCTACTAAGAAGCTTGCCGATAAGGGTTGTTTCTACCGAAATAATAAGCGTATCCTATTTACGATAGTAGAGGGCAATAAGGTTACTATCGCTTAGACATACCGTAAGAATGGACTTCCCTACCTCTATATACTAACCTCTAGTCTAGATAGTGAAGTGGTTGCCCTTCTATCGAAGAAGGGGGTACCTACAGGCACTATAGATGAGTAGCATCTACGATATAGCTATATTCATTACCGCAAGCTGCTAAGAATAGAATCTAAGGGTTAGATTGTTATTACTAGTACTAAGAAGGACTTCCGCAACTACATTGCCTATCGCATAGCTATGTTATATAAAGAATACAATCGGCTACTACGCGTACGACTATCTACGATCTATTACATTATCTATATAGATATAGTTACTATTACTAATCCTAGTCTGTTATAGGAGCGCTATTTTACACTGTTTATATACGCTAAGTTAGGCTATCGATACGAATATACTAGTACGCTTAAGTTAGGGGCTATAGTAGCTATTAAGGACTATCGTATACATGTTCGTACATAGACTAGTTGCTTAATCCTAATCTACTGCCTCGATAGAGGGGGTAAATACGGCGGAAATTAGCTATTAAGCTAGGCTCGTAATTAGGGCATTGTACTATAGGTTATAGCTCCTCATTCTTCTACTTAGAATAGTCTTACTAAGGTTAGCAATTATATCGTCTATACGACTGCGAGAAAGATAATGCTATAGGCTAACCTTCCTAAGTTCCTATAGCTATATACTGTTGCCTCCGCTACGCAGGTCCTTAATATTACGCTAACCGCTAACGGAGGAAGCCTATATACTATTATAGCTAAGGAGCTTAATTAGTTACGAACATAGCTACGCCTATAGCACCTTCGAGCTTATAGCTATACTGCTATTGTCTACGACTATAGTATAGCTTATAGCAAGAAGTTTGACGCTCGAGGAAAGCTTAGTAAGCTAGTTAGTTATACGAAGGACTTAGTAGACTCTAGCAAATACATAATCTACTTATCTAACGAATACAAGGTTATTGCCTCGAAGGATGTCTAGTTTATTAAGTTAGGGGACGATAAGTTGTCGCTTCTAGAGGGCATAAACCTATACGCCAATCCTAATAACCTAGCTAAGAACGAGTTTGTTACACTCGAGTCTATTATACCGGCTTTGTTTAATTCTATAAGCAACGAGGCTCCGTCGCCTACCGAGGCTGCTAGTATAGTCTAGCGGCTTCTAGCTTAGTAAGAAGAATAGCCTATATAAGGACCTACAGAAATAGCTAATAAGGTCGCTAATCCGTTACTAATCGATAACGACCTTCTAGACGTTCAACTACTAGCTTTAAGTAATAAAGATAGCTTTTAGTTAGCCGAGGAAGAACTAGCGTACGATCCTTACGCTAAGAAGGGCGAGCCTAGCTAGTTGCCGGAGTTTGAGCGACTAAATACTATAGGCGCTCGTTCAATACGTACTACTCGAAGCAATAAGTTAGTACGAGAGCTATTACGTAGATACCTAGCCGATGCTAGTATCAATCGATTAACTCGCCGTAGCCTAGCTAATATACTAATAGCCTATATAAAGGGCTTTATAGCTACTTGCTATATTGCTAAGTAGAGCGATATAGAAGACACTATTCCTATTCCGAAGAGCTATAAGGAGGCGACTTAGTTACTATATTAGCTATAATAGAAGGACGCCTATAAGGCTAAATATAAGTTACTAATAGACAACTATACGTAGGTATACGTTTCTCGACTAGAAGTACCTAAAGGTCGCAAGGTTGTCTGTAGCCGATAGGTATTCACTATTAAGCGTAACGCTAATAGTAAGGTAAGCCGGTTTAAGGCTCGTTAGGTCGTCCGTAGCTTTACATAGGTTAAAGGATAGGATTATAACGAGACTTATGCGGCTATTACTAAGCCTTGCACGCTTCGAGCCTTGTTTAGTCTAATTGCACACTATAACCTAGAGGCTAAGTAGTACGACATTCTAACTGCCTTCCTTAACGCGCTTATCGGGGATAAGTATAAGATCTACGTCGAGCAGCTATATAGCTTTAAAGACCGTAGTAGCAAGGGCATAGTTTGCCTGCTACTAAAGGCCCTATATAGTCTAAAGCAGTTACTAATGCTATAGTATAAAGAGCTTCGGAAGTACTTGAAGAGCCTAGACTTTATTCTAATAATGTCCGACGTCTATATATTTAAGCACGTTAGCGGCTCGATTATTGTTATCTACGTCGATAATATAATTATTATCGCCTACAGCCTATTAGCGCTAGAAGCCGTTGCTTAGATACTAAAGGACCGATTTAATATGCGAGAACTTAGTAACCTTTACTACTATCTCGGTATACGCATTATCCGCGACTGTAATAAGCGTACTATCTACGTTGTTTAGGACGCCTACTTAAATAGGCTCTACGAGAAGTATAGTATACGTAGCCGTATCGGTCTAGCTACTCTAATAGCACCTCGCTATATTAAGACGTCTATTTAACGCGTACCTAAGGGCTATATAGCTAGTACCGCCTTTAAGACTTAGTATTAAGAAGGTATTAGTAAAGCTCTCTAGCTAGCTATAATTATACGACCTAATGCTTGCTATACTATAGGCCTGTTGTTACGATTTATCTCTAACCCTACTAAAGAGCATTATACCGCACTCCTTTAGCTAATTAAGTACCTAGTTAGTACCCTTAGTCGTAGTATACGCTTCTAAGGCATACAGAACGATAAGCTTAACTTTGCTAGGTACTATAATACCTTATAGGCTAATAACCTAGTTACTCGTCGCTCTATAGGCGGCTTCTACTTTACTATTATAGGCAGACCTCTATTATATAAGTCCGGCCGCTAGACACTCGTTATACTGTTATTAACTAAAGCTAAGTATATTTAACTTACTATAGGGGCTAAGGAAGCAGTTGCCTTAGCTCGTTTATTAAAGGAAATTAGCTATAAGGGCTATATTCTTCTAGTTACGCTCTACGAGGACAATTAGTCCGCTATCGCTATTACTAAGTCTACTATTAATAGCCGCACGAAGTATATAGATACTCGTATCTACTACATTCGAGAGAAGATTGCTAATAGTACTATTGTCGTCTAATAGGTTAGTATATATAATTAGATAGCCGATGGCTTTACTAAGCCGCTTAATAAGACTAAGCACGGCCGCTTTATTAAACAACTAAACCTAGTAGATTGCAAGGCCGCTATTAAGAACGCTGCGAAGCTAGCTGCTAAATACTAAGGAGGGCCTTTGTTTGCTTTGTCTAACCTAAGAGTAGTCTAGTTAGTTTACCTGTTTCTGCTTACCTAATACCCCTTGTTTGCTTTGCTAATAGAATAGCTATTGTATTGTTTGTTTCATTCTATAGCGATATGCACGTACTAAGGGGGTGACTTAGAGTATATGCCTAGGTATTAGGGTCCATTACGTACCTAATGCCTGAGGCTGCAACTGCTGCACTCTATCTTCGGACTTCTATATAGATTAGTCCTTCTTCCAATACATCAGTTACATCAAGTCTACTCAGTCGTGGTGGCGTCGGAGTGCGCATGCAGGCCGATGAATGCGAGACGAAACTGCAGGCCCGCGGCGAAGCAGAAACGACATGGATGCTTGCTCTACGTCTCAAGAAGTGACTTTTCCCGGCAGGGGTTTTCTTGCTGCGTTACTCCCTCGACGTCCGCTGTTGTGTTGACTCTGCGCATCGCCATCGCCTCGACATTTGTTTCATGCCAAACCATCGTTGACAGCGCCCAAACCATCGCGTCTGATGATATTTCACTCGCTGCGACCGCACCCCGCTTCCAGCTTCGTCCACGGTCCATCCCACTCGACGATAAGACGCCGATAAGCCGCGTGGCTCGTGAACACCAAACCAGCCCGGCTGTCCATTGGTTTTGGAGAGGGCGACCGCGCTGGCGTGCTCTTGCGAAGATTTGCACGGAATCTGGATCTGGCTGTCAGCTGCATCTCTGTGCTTATCTCGACCGCAGAGCCCGCGAGTCGTGCCGGCGTGCAAGCAGCAGCAAGAGGTCATCCGGGCAGGAGCAACTGACTCTACGCGGGGCCAGCTTCAGCTCCTCACCTCCAGCGCATCACCATTCCACTCATTTTGCGTGCCTGGGTGACGACACCTTCGCATTGCTCGGATTCCCTACTAGAAGGCCCGGCCAGGCCAGTCGGTCTGGTCATCTCGCCTTGTTCGAGCGACATAGTGGAAGCGGGAGACCCCACTCGACGCATCAGCCATGGCAAGCCCATCGAGCGAGTCCATTACAGAAGCAATCACTCCGATCGTCGAGCCGCCAACGAGCAGCATTCTTGCCTCGCCTCCGTTTGAGGATGTGCCTCAATCGGCTCCCAAACCGAAAGGCCGACATCGATTGATTGCAGGTCTTCACCGCATTTCCTCCTCTCCATCCGTCGCAAGGCTGAACAGAAGCCGCGCTAAGAGCTATAATGGTACTGGCAGGGGCTCAATATCATGCATCTCTCTCAACTCCGCCTCGTCATATGGCAGTCCCTCGTTTGGTCCTTCTCTGACTCGTGACTTCTCCGCTGGATACGCCACGCCGCCAACCTCAGCTGCTGCGACTCCTGGTATTCAGATCCCTAGATTCGACGATGCTGCCCGCCTCAGATATGTCGCCCAGCAAGATGGTAAGCTTTCTGTTGGTCTCCCATCTGAGTTGCGACCCAAGCCGGCCATCACGCCTGGCATTACCGAAGTCGACGAGGACTACTTCTCGCGACCAGCCACGAAGCAAAAGCTGCAGCGGAAAGATTTCAATTTCTGGCGAGATCTGCCTTCGGAGCTGAAGATGGAGATCCTGACATACTTAACCCCGAAAGAGGTTGTGCGATGCTCCATACTCTCCAAGTCGTGGCACGAGATGTGTTTTGATGGTCAGCTTTGGGCAATACTGGATACTGCAGGCTTCTACCAGGACATTCCTGGGGATGCATTGGTCAGTATCATCACTTCCGCAGGTCCATTTGTGCGTGACCTCAACCTACGAGGCTGTGTCCAGCTCCGGGAAAGGTGGAACTATAAAGGTTTATCTGACGCCTGTACCAATTTGGAGAACTTTTCGCTGGAAGGATGTCGCATTGATCGAGCCTCGATTCATAACTTCCTGTGGTCAAACTGCAGGCTGGTTCACATCAACCTGTCAGGCCTCGCTGGAGCAACCAACGCTGGCATGAAGATTATTGCACAGAACTGTCCCAAATTGGAACATCTCAACATCTCTTGGTGCAACAATATTGATACCCGCGGGCTTCGTAAAGTTATAGAAGGCTGTCCGAACCTGAAGGATCTGCGAGCTGGAGAGGTTCGAGGTTGGGATGATCTCGACTTCATGCACGAGGTGTTCCTGCGCAACACACTGGAGCGCTTGATCCTGATGAATTGTGACACTCTAACAGACGAATCGCTAGCCGTGCTGATCGAGGGCAGGGAGAATGAGATTGATTATATCTCTGGAAGGCCCATTGTCCCTCCTAGGCGATTCAAGCATCTTGACTTCACAAGATGTCGAGGCATAACCGACAAAGGTGTGCGAACATTGGTCAACAACATCCCTGAAATTGAAGGCTTGCAGCTTTCGAAATGCCACGACATTCTCGATGCTACCATGGCAGAGCTGCTACCAACAACACCAATATTGACTCACCTGGACATCGAGGAGCTGGAAGACTTGAGCAATTCAACACTGCACGTTTTAGCCAATTCGCCATGTGCGAAGCGGCTCCGCCATCTCAGCATCTCGTACTGTGAGAACATGGGAGATACGGGAATGTTGTCTGTGCTGAAGAGCTGCACAAATCTTCGGTCTCTTGAAATGGACAATACGAGGATAGGCGATCTCGTCCTCGCGGAAGCTGCAGCGATGGTTCGTGAGCGAGTTGCGAGAACGATTATCCAGGGAGCTGCCAAGCCCGGCCACGTCCTCTACAAGCCGACTGTAGGCTTAAGACTTGTGGTCTATGATTGCCAGAACGTGACCTGGACTGGTGTCCGGGAGATCCTCTGCAGGAATGCCGATGTTTCTGTGCAAGCTCGTACGGTGCCTCTTCCACCCGTGGAGCTGTCGACCGACTCTTCTGCCAATTCGTCCGCGGAGAATGTGGGCTCGCCGTCACCATCGCGGGTTCATATCGTGCGGAGCACGACTTTCCCAACAGAAGTGATTCAGCTCAAATGTTTCTACACATATCAGCCAACCGTGGAAGAGCACTTCAAGCGCGTGATGCGGGGCGACTTTATTGCCGCACGTCGCCTCGAACGGAAGTGGGCTGAGTTTATGATTGCTTCCGAAGAGGCGAACACTCTGGGTGGAGGTCGCAGACGACGGGAGAGAAGGGCGCGTCAGGCTCAAATGCTGGCGGCAGATGAGGAAGATGTGCACACTCCGGGCTCGGGAGTAGGTGGCGGCAGGCGACGACGTGCTAGGAGTGGCGGGTGCGCTGTCATGTAAATGAACGAATGAATGTTGACATGAGCATATGAGGGTTTTTGGTATGGCGGTATTTGGATGGTCTGCGTGGCGTTTCTCTGGTGGCCTAGGTGTGTTTCTTGAGGCATACAGCGTGGGGTTTGGGACAGGACTCGTCGAGGAGGTGGGACGATTGTCAGCGCAGGATTGCGGACGCATCTCATCGCATTCAACCTGGTTCATTGTAGGAATCCTAGATACTGTAGTAGCAGAGCTACTCTACAGCACACTGATCCATTATGGTTATCCATGCACCGCCCGGTCACGCTCTATCCGAGGCTCAAGCTAGCTGTTGGAACGAGCAGGCCATCCCAGTCGCACGCAGGGGTGTCGTGACTCGTGAGTAGCACTTTGAGGTCGAATGGTAGCAACGTTAGCAACAACATAGCTACTACTACTCACTATTGCTGTTACTGTCTGGTATCTTGGACTTCATTCTCGATCTTTTTCTTAATAGCAGAATATAAGTAAATATTTTTAATATTATTATAAATCTTTAATAATATCTTTTAATATTATTTCTAAGTTTCAATAGATTTATCTTTTATAACTAGAATGAAGTCTAAGAGTAGTTTAGTACAAGATGCTAGAAAATAGTTCTTAGCTACTAGATATTTTTAATTTTTATAGCCTATATAAATAAATGTTTTAGTAACTATAGTTTAATAAAATAACTATTCTTTTTTATAACTGTTTTTATAGCATTTTATTTTATAGTTTTATATTATAAGTATAGTACTAATAGCTAGTTTAATATATTTAAACAGTTAAAATAAACTTTTAGGTTCTTTCGAAGATAAGAGTATCTCAGCCCTATTATAAATGTAAGTAATTGCTAGTTGCTCACTACTATCACTAATAGTATTGCTAATATTAGTAACAAAGTGCTCAAGCTACGCCCCGGTCAAAGCTTGCTGGTCCACTCCCGTCTGGCGAGGCGACGCCGTCCTTTTGCCTCCCGATCTCTTCTTCGTCGAACCAAAGATCGTCACTGTAAACGTCCCCACGCCAAATCGAAACACTGCTGGTCAGCACCGAGTCGCGTCATCCGACCAGACTTGTCTTTATCCTCCGCAAACCGAAACAAAAAGAAAAAACCGCGTTGCGCGCGAAGTCGCCTCGTGAAGCATAACGTCGACGTCTTGCGCTATTTGCGACCGGAGCCTCACATCCACACAGACTTTGACGACTGGAGATATGCGCATGCGTGAAAACCGGCATGAATGGTAGCGCCTCTCCAAGAACGTCCCAGAGCCCGAAAAATGCTGGAGACGCGACCAAACACGATCCAGCCGCAGTGAACGGCCATCGAAGTCCAAGCGCAAGGCCTAAATCTTCGCCTTCACGGTCGCAGACAGATGGCGTCCATAAGTCGCCTGAAGCGAGGGGCTCTGCGAAGCGATCAGAGCGTACAGTAGCAAATGGAGACAACAATGATGAGGATTCAGAAGCAGAGACGCTCATCGACAGCCCTGCGAAGAAAAGGGAGGCAGAGAAACAGAAGACGGCAGTCAAACTGGAACGACCCCCGAAACATCGCATCGGCAGCCTGCCTGTGCCTACCGATGGCGACGACGAGAACGACTCAACAGTGCCTTCCCCGGTCCCCAGCACTGTTATGAGCGTGGAAAAGACGACGTCCATGGATGAGGCCAAAGAGGAAGAGCATGATCCTGATCGTATGGACGTCGAAGCCGATAAACATGAGCACAGCGATTCATTGAGCTCGCCACGCTCTTCTGCGTCAAATCCACCTTCGCGTCGGTCTTCAATGTCGCGTGCTGTATCTGAGCTTCCGGACTTTTCCCGTAATGGCGCGCTCTCGCCCAACCCTCGAAAGCGTAAACACCGCGCATCTTCAGTCAGTCTACCAAACAAGCGGCCGAGTATCGAACCACCGAAGCGCAGGCTTCGTGGTCTGCATTCCGAAGACCCCAACGAGAGAAACGAGAAATCACTTTCACCCAAGCTTCGCAGCCACAGACGAGCAACTTCCACTCAGTCTGCGTTCACGGATGGTACTGCCGAGGTGCCCAACAGGAAACGTAGAGCTGCGACCCAGGGACCAATGAAGGAATCTAAGCCTTCGAAGCCTGCGTGGGAAGAATCAGACGCATCATCTGAAACGAATTCGTATGGCCAACCAGACTCAAGACGACCTCAGAGAGGTGTAGGACGATCAACTTCAACTCCAGGACGTCCTGTTGGCCGGGAGCATAAGCGGCATATCAACAAGTTCGGCTTTACTAAACTCGCAGAAGCATGTGAGGCAGGCGATCTGGATGCTGTCAAAGAGTGGCGCGAGAAAGACCCGGATCAACTGGAACTGGCCGAGTTTGCTGGCAACAAGCCTTTGCAAATCGCTGCGCTGCATGGTAATGTGGAGGTCGTCGATTATCTCATTGACCAAGGATGTCAAATTGATTGCGCCAATGTCGACAAGGACACACCTCTGATTGACGCTGCGGAGAATGGACACTTAGATGTGGTTAACAGCCTTCTCAGTGCAGGGGTAGATCCATTGCGACAAAACCTGAAAGGCCAGCAAGCCCTGGATGTTGTGACCGACGAGATTGACGATGCGGACGAAATTCGTGCAGCGCTCCGTAATGCCATTGAAGAGTGGAAGCGGAACGGATCGAAGGAGCGTCGCGAGGAAGAAGAGGAAATGCGCCACCGGGCTGGACCCAGCAAGGAGTTACAGTTCATGGCACGCTCATATGAGAATCTTGTCAGACTCGTGCAGATTAACGATCGCAATGGAGTGAGTGAGTTTCTGGATGCGCGTGTCCCAGTCGACAATGCGGTCATTGCCGTTGCTGCAAAGACTGGAGATCCGTACCTTGTAAATATGCTCTTGGCAGAGCTTCCAGAGAAGAAAGCGACGCAGAAAGCCGACAAGCCTATGCTCGCTGTGCTCGGTACCTCGCACTTGGATATGGTCAGATTCCTCTCTGAGCTTGATAGCTTCAATCCACTTTACCGGAATCGCGCAGGCAAGACCTGGCCAGAGATTGCAGAGGAACGACGCGGGCAAAACTGGCGAGAGGAGAAAGAGCTTCTGCAGAAATTATACGACCAAAAAGCGGCGTCGATAGATCGTCGTAGCTCCAGTCCTGTTCTTAAGAGGGACGGTGGCAAGCGGAGATTGAGCCGACGGACTCCCGAGGATGACAGCGAAGAAGAGGATGCTCCACGACGCAAGAATGGTCGACGATTAATGTCCAAACGTGATATGCGCGCTGCAAGCGGGAAAGCACTATCAGAGGACGAGTCGTCTGACGAGTCCAGCTCAGAAGTGGCGACCACAGCTGAGGAAAGCTCCATGAAGCCTCCTGAAAGTCCTGCAAAACGAACAACTCCCAGCCGAACGAGGAGAAAGAGCTTCTCTGCACAGGCACCAGACGCATCGCCCCAAACGCGCAGACGATCATCGTCTTTACGTAGTCACAGCGAGCAGGTCCTTCCAACGCTGGAGGAAAAGGTAGAAGATAGAGAAGCACTTGCAGAGAAACGCAAAGCCGAGGAAGCGCAAGCCGCTGAAGCAGAGGCCCAACGCAAGGAGCAGCAAGCCGCTGAAGCTGAGGCGGCCGCCAAACGTGCTGAAGAAGAGGCTCGAAGGGCGGAGGAGGAACGTAAAGCCGAGCAAGAGCGGCAGCAAGAAGAGAAACGTCTTGCAGAGGAGGCTCGAAGACAGGAAGAAGAGCGCAAGGCTGAAGAATCACGTCTGGCTGAACTGGAACGCATTCGAGCCGAGGAAGAAATGGCTGCGGCAAGGCAACACCGATCTGCCGTTCTTAAAGCTTTGCCAACGTCTGTTGCGTACGCGCTGGACGAATCCTCCGGGTTTCACTTTGACAGCGCCGGAGCGTTGGATTATCTCGTGGAGCATTGCACACCTCTTCAAGTGCTGAAGCAGGAAAATTCAGATCCCTACGGCAATCTCGAAACAGCTGCCGATGCTCCATTTTGGATTGCAAATGTGCAAGTTGCGTACCTCCTCGTCCCTCAAGGTATCGAATTGATGCTATCGGCAAACAAGCCTCACTTTGCCGGCACACTTGCGGAGAAGTGGGAAACCAAGAGCGTGTCGGAAAAAGACCAGGAGTGCTTCCTGTCAATTGTGACCAGCCTGCCGCCTTACATGCCTTCGCAGCCGCGGTTGAGTACGCAAAATTATCAACAATTGTCCTTCGACGAATTTGCGGAGCGGACAGCCAACAGTGCCAACGCGGCGGCGGAAGCCAAGCAACGGCTATGCAACGGCGATGTGACTCTTCGCTATGTGCGTCTGGATGATGTGCTCAACAACATGCATCCCATACTGAGAGGTGTTCCTATTGAGGTGAGATTTGACCATCTCAAGGTGCAAAAGCGACCAGGCAAAGATGGCGGCGACTTCTTCACAAAGCTCAAGAACGTTGTGGATATCAAGCCGCGGCCTCGGAGGTACGTCAATGGGCAAGCGATTGATGTCTTCGGAGAGTCCTTGGGCACGACTGAGGTCACAGTCTCGCATCAGAAGTGAGTTTGCACGGGTTACCTCAACGTATATAGCTCCCAAATTAGGCAACGGCCACTTTGTTCGAATGCGATATCAACGGCAACATCAAAAGCCACCAGTATGGCGTGGCGTGGTAGATAAAAGAATGCTAACTAGCTGCACGAGTGCCGAGAGCGTCTGCAGCCAGGCGAGTGAGGTCTCTGTGTGCAGTAGGTATGCGTGGTGGATGCCGGGTTTGTAGCACTGCCGGCTAAATGCAGCCTGCAAGTCACTGGGGTGCTATAGATGAGCCTCTCTGCAGGCGATTGTGCATATGATTATGGACATGTCATGTTCCATTGTAGCGTGAGACGATTGTGCATTACCTTATCATATTCATGCCCGATTGCCGACCCACAGCTTCGGATGGATCATGGCTTTGAGCTTAGACTTTACTGCTTACCGCGCTCTCGACAGCTCGCTATCGCTACTCGTCCCGCCCGCTTCTGGCTTGCTCTCTTCTTCCTACTTGAACGCACGATCGACGGGCTGTTGAGTGTGTGTCTGTGTGCAGCGCGGACTGACCTTGTCTCGGCTTGGGGCCTCTGGACGACCGCGGACTGCTGACAAGGTCCTCCCGGGGCGCTCCTTGCGTTCACGCGTGCACGTCGAGGAGCAGCTGGAGGTGGAGGTGGAGGAGGGCGGACCGTGGTTGTCCCATCCAAGCGTTGGGAGCATGTCGCCTGCTGGGGATAGTCATGATGGTATGCATGCACTCGACCTCCCGCCGCCGCCGTACTGCACATAGAAGGCTCCAGGTGCACGATATAGCTGCGGACTGGACATGCGGTACTAATAGCATTCATCGAGTTGTACTGACGAGTGAATGCCTGCAGGCCCGCCCAACACGACTCAGCCTGCTGCCGCCCAGCAGCAGCAGCCTGGCACTGGCACTGGCACTGGCACTGGCACCACTCAACACCGACCTGCCACCCTGCAAATCCCCAAGAATCGCTCGAGCAGCACATTGATATCGCAGAACAGCAGCAGTGCCAGTCTGCGAGCCGACCACGACCTACGCGCACGCCTCTCGATCGACGGAGGTAATTCTCAGGATGCTTACGACAGCCTGACCAGGTGTGTAACTACATACGACATCCCCGAACTCAATCTGCTGGCAAAGAGATAGTGTAGGCTGCAGGGAATTTGCGTGGCAGACAAACAAGCAAGCACGCGAGTGCATAGGCACCAATCATGCCGTACTACACTCAACACTGAGCATTGGCTGATGAGTCACTGCACACAGGTCACCGATACTGACAGCCGAACGAGACACAGGACTGCGCAGGATACGGCAGAATCCACAGCTGTCAATAAGCAGGAACCCTTCGTCTCCCAACTTGCTGGCTACGACCTCGCCCGCTCCATCTAGTCCTGTATCCCGCAAGTCCTCATTCGCCATTGACAAGTTTGGACCAACGTCACCATCGATAATATTTAGTGAAGATCTCACTCGATTCTCCTCCGAATCTCTCCACTCATTTTCCTTTGCTCACCAGAGCACCGAATCGCTGCACAATCGTCAGAATGTGCTGAAGCGCAGTATTGACTTTATCCGGGACAAGCTCGCCTGGGCTTCCACCTCACCGCGCATTGCAAGTGCTCAGGCCCGCCTTGCAGGCGACGAAGAGCTGCTCAGCATGATGGAGCTGTTGCAAAAGGCAAACATCATGGGCGTTTCTCAGCCCATGGATATCAATGGCCTAGGCGTAGATCCCGGTCCACTCACCGGACCCGCACATCTGACCAACGAGAATGTCTTCGAAAAGAGCTTCTTTACACCAGGCCACGAGGCAGAAAGTCCGGCCAGCATAAGTAGTCCAGATACGATCAGAACACCGCCGCACTCTGTAAGTTCAGAACGAGATCTGACGTCACCCGCAGCTGCGCTGCACATACCAGAGACAGTCGCAGAAAATGCAGTGGCGGAAGAGCCCGAATCGATAGACCTTGCTAGGACAACCACCACAGATGATGAGGATTTCTTACCGAGTCTACCCACAAGACGCCCATTCCGAACACTTAAGCGAACGTATACGGATGTTGCAGGTTATTCACTTCAGCACAAGCTCACGGAAGCTATGGCTCAGCCGTATCATGCCGATAAGCCGGCTGCCCCCATAGTGCCACAAGCGTCAATTCGAGCGAACACGACCATCACGCAGCCCGAGCGAGCACCGCATGGTCACCGGAATCAACAAGCTCAAGCTATATTCACCACCGATGCGAAAGCGCCTTGGACTATAACGGCGGCTAACGATCTTGCCTGTCTTGTCTTCGGTGTGACGCGCGCTGAGGTGCGCAAGTTGGGTATCATGGAAGTGATCAAGGAAGACCGGCGAGGATGGCTCGAGGAGAGACTAGCGAACCCTGAGAGTGGTACGGCACCAAAGCAGGCAAAGCTCCAGCCGCCACCTCCTTCAGGTAAGACCAATCCGAGTGGTAGTCTTGCTGCAATGGGTAATGGCATCACAGCCAAGCTCCTGTCCAAACCTCCAGCGAGGCAGACTCGAAGAGCGAAGACCGAGAGTGGCAGTGCAACACCTTCGAAACCGACCCATCACGTGGCCAACAAAAGTCGAGGGGTCTTACTGTGCGGCGATGTTGTGCCAATCCGCAAGATGAATGGCTCTACTGGAAGTGCTTCTCTTTGGGTCAAGGAGAAAGGCAACAACTTGATCTGGGTGCTCGAAGAGATCGCCGAAGATGTTGCCATGCTCACAGTCGACGAAATTGGTCTGGTCATAAGAGGCAGCGGAGATCTCGAAGCCATTTTCGGGCTGGAGCGCGTGAGGAACGGCATGGACGTGCAGAGGCTGATACCCGCCTGGCCAAAGATACCTGGCACGAATACTGGCGCCATTGACTATGATGCGATTGCCAGGATTAGGCGATTCACGGCACGAACGAGTAATTCAATCAACATACCAGTCACAATCGACCGAGAAGCAGAGCAGAGTGTTTTCAGAATATCAAGCTTCCCGCATATTGCGGGTATCATGGTAGTGAATCCAGCAACCATGCGTATCAGCAGCTCCAATAATGTCTTCGCGGGAGCCCTCTTTGGGCACGACAATCCTGACGGTCTGGAGATTACCGAACTAATACCGGGTTTCGACAAGATACTGCGAGTCATGACTGACGAAGACAACATCGGACTTGTGGATGGTATTGTGATACCCGAACACAGCTTCAGACGCGCAAGAGCACTGCTTGCGCTGCGAGAAGGCTCCGCCAACGCAGCAGCCATCTTCCTTCGACCTAGTGGACTACCTGCCAAGCACAGAGATGGCGCCGAAATCATGATTGACGTGCAGATGAGAGTGGTCAAATCTGATCGGGATCCCATCTACACTGAGACTGTGATTGACGAGGAAAACCTTACCAACTTTCAGCCGAGCGAGGTAGTGTATGCGCTGTGGATCACATACTCACGGCAACTTCACGCCGTTAACCATGGCATCGGTCCAGTCACTGCCATGCTGAGCAGACCCGGAACACCTCCTCAACAGCCGCCTCCTGCGCGAGAAACGCTGGAAGAGATCGAGTCAAGTCCGAAGATCGTTCCTGAGCCTGAGAGTACAGAAGAAGAGCCGGAAGACAGCAAAGATGGTGTGATGACTGGTGAAGCAGAACCGTTTGAGCATCCCTCGCCAGATCTGATTGCAGCTGGTGTCAAGACTATGAAGAAGAAGAAGATCGACGACTTCACAATCCTGGAAGAAATGGGCCAGGGCGCGTATGGACAAGTCAAGCTTGCGAGGTACAAGAAAGCAGGAGCCAAGAAGATGGTTATCAAATATGTTACGAAGCGACGTATCCTTGTCGACACATGGCATCGAGATCGACGATTGGGGACAGTGCCTTTGGAGATACATGTCTTGGACTACTTGCGACGAGACGGCCTACAACATCCAAACATCGTGGAAATGGCTGATTTCTTTGAGGACGACATTAATTACTATATCGAGATGGTTCCGCATGGTCTACCCGGTATGGATCTTTTCGACTACATCGAGCTGCGAGTGACGATGGAAGAACGAGAATGCCGCAAGATCTTCAAGCAGGTGGCTGAAGCACTTCGACATCTTCATATCACTGCCAAGGTGGTACATCGAGACATCAAGGACGAGAACGTGATCTTGGATGGCGAAGGGCGTGTTAAGCTGGTCGACTTCGGAAGTGCAGCGTACATCAAGTCTGGGCCATTTGATGTCTTTGTTGGCACGATAGGTATGTCTTCACAGCAAAGCGCTGTACCACCAAACACTGACACTTACTTCCAAACAGATTACGCTGCCCCCGAAGTCCTCCGAGGCCTCCCGTACCGCGGCAAAGAACAAGACGTCTGGGCACTCGGCATCCTCTTGTACACCATCGTCTACAAGGAAAACCCATTCTACAGCATCGACGAAATCATGGACCATGACCTCCGCGTCCCCTACATCATGAGCGAAGACTGTATTGACCTGATCCGAAAAATGTTGAATCGCGACGTCGAGCAGAGAATCGGCATCCAAGCTATTCTCGAACATCCTTGGTGTCTTGTCGAGGACGATGGTGAAGATGATGGTGGGAGTAGCACGCCTGCTGTTGCTACACCCGTGGCGGGATGAAGCGAAGCATCTCAAATCAATTATGCCTTTTTTTGCTTAACTCTTACCGACATGACGACCGAATGAATGATTTGAAATGCTTGCATGCATAGCGATGCGGATGGGGATGGCGATGAGGCTAGAGGAAGGAGTACGATGATGATGATGATGTCCTCTTAGGGAGAGATAGCGAGGGATGGATGCCATAAGTTGGTGACTTGTGAGACGCAACAAAAAGAAAAACTTCATTCGTGATATGATGAGATCTGCTAGATACCCCCCAAGGGAGAAAAGAAATGGGAGCCACAAATGGGAAAAATCGGAATGGCGATAGAGGTTCATGCTGTTGTGTGGGTATTGTTCTTTGAAGTAAAGCCATTCGACGATTGGGTGGAGAGGCATGGGCATAGGCTTAGGGCATAAGAAGCCTGTACATTCGTGACGATATAAAACAGACGGATTGGATTGGATGGAGTGGTAGCATTACGATCATTGAAAGTTTCATGCTACCGTGCTGTCGTCCGAGCTAGCGACATCGTCTTCCTCCCTTCAAACGCCAAGCATTTTATTCCATTCCCACGCTTTCATCGCCGATATTCGATCCCTAGGTAATTGTTCGCACGAACTAAGCAAAGTCGGCCTGCGAAGCTGGGAACTCGAAGTTGACACCCTTGCCAGTCAGACGCTTGTAGACCTCAGAGTAAGTGTCAAGACGGTAGTCGACACCACCACGCTCCTTCTCGTCGAGGATGACCTTGAGGATCTTGCTTCCATCCTCCTTGGTGCGCAGACGCTTACCGACGATCTCGACTGGGTAGACGAGGTCGGCGAGGATAGCGTCGTGGACGGCAGTGAGGGTACGGCTACGTGGACGCTTCTGGGTCTGAGAAGTGCGGGAGCGGTTGCTGCGCTTTGGACGAGGGAGAATGCGGCGCGAGGCGACGATGATGACGTGGCGGTCCGAGAACTTCTTCTCGAGCTCACGGGTGAGGCTGAATAGGGAGAGTTAGTCAAATTTCTTGCTTGTGATAGGTAAGATGAGGTTGTGGGGAAAACTTACCGCTGCTGCGAACGGTGCCAGCCCTGGAGGAGAGGAACTGGGACGAAGATGACAATTGCCTTGCGACCATGGCCGACCTCGATCTGTAAGAATCCTGGTGTCAGCGGGAAGCTGCCCAGTGCCCAACGCCTCTTCGCGATCAAGGTGTGTGTATATCCATCTATGAAGTATTCTCTTTTTTGTGGTCTCCTCTCAGTGGTGGATGTTTGCCGACAACATGTGTTCTTGCCAATCGCGTACCATTTCTCCCTTGCTCTTTCTTGTTTGATTCATCTAAAAATATTATTGCTTACCTCACGGGCAGAGACGAACTGCAATGGGCGGAGAGCGGCCTTCATGTCGGGAATGTTGGTCTCGAGCTCGTAGAGAGCGGTAGCAATGTTGCTCTCGATCTCATTTGGCTTGGCCCGCGATGGGCTGTTGGGCGCGATCTTGTTCAAGGCTGGCTGAGACATGCTGGGCGACTTGGGTGGCGGCGAAGAAATGTGGTTGTTGTCGCTGGGTGAGGAGCAAGTCGGCGTGTCTGCAGAACAGAATCTGAGATTGGAAGCCAAATCCAATTCTGAGGTGCGCAAATGCCGCCAAGCCCGACGCTAGTATGATAAGGCACCAATCTGGTCGTAAGGCACACATTTCTGCCAATATGGTTCAATGCATGACGGTAGTGGTATTTTGCTAGGTATCCTTTTAAGTCTCTGCCCAACCAATTGCTTGAATGCGTAAGGTGCACACCAATGGCCAGACGTCCCATGCCCTTCTAACGTCTAGCCATACATCAAGAGTCGTCTCGTCTCGCTAAAGCCCATCAACTGCGTGTCTAAGTGCCCCCTGTCCTGCCTTTTCCTACGCCTGGAGCAACCTTCTAAGACGAGTACGGCTCTGCCAGTGCCTATCTCATTAATGGATCCCACTGTCAACGGATACGACTTCCTAGGTCTCCATGGCGTTCTCAGTGTCCGTCCAGGCCTTGCTGGCTGTCGTCGCGAAGTATCGCACATCCACGTCATCATCAGACATAAGCTTCTCTAGAGGCGGCATGATCTCTTCTCGGATGATTTGCTGGCCACGTGCGCTGCCGGGGAAATCTATTACTCCTTGCTTCTCCATCTCCACAATGGTGGCAGAGTCAGAATCCGGCAGGCGCTTGAGGATATCGATGAGCACCGCATACGATTTGGCGACGTTGAAGCGGATGTTGGGGATGGGATCAGAGACCAAGGACTGCAGGATGGGGAGGATAGACCTGGCGATGACTGGAAGTGACAGGGCGGGTGCCAGGATCTGAACGGGAGTTAGCAATTTCACCATCCGTGACAATTTGGGTTTGACTTACAGATACTGCAAAGCAGGTGGTCATGCGGTAGAGGTAGTTGGGATGCTCAGCCATGGCAGCGACCTTGGGCACAATTGCCTCGCTAGCCCACTCAACGCCGAACACCTCAGTAAGCTTCTTGAGATTTTGTGTGCTGGCTTCACGTATGCTGAAGACAGTGTCTCCGAGCCAGGACATGCATAAACTGCTGAGCTTCTCGTCGAAGAACTTGACACCAAGTTGCGACGCAAGCAGTGGCACGTATTGGATGATTGCCAACCTGACTCGCCACTGCTTGTCTTCTGCCAATTGAACGATAGCCGGAAGAAGGGACTGCGATAGCAACTCAATGCCAATCACGTTGTTGACTTGCTCGAGCTTGGAGATGATGTTCAGTCGCACATCCGGGAAGTCGTCCTTGAGCATCTGGAGCAACATGGGTAGGAGATGCTCTGTTGTCTCCTGTTTGCCAAGTATAGGTGCCAAACCACTAATCTGGCTGCCGAAAGCTGCACGGACGTGCTGCGAAGAGTCCGAGACCAGCTCTTCGACAGCTGGGACAATGTCCCGAAGAAGTGCTTGGCGGTCAACGAGTTGGCAGAAGCCTGGAAAGTCAGCATACTATTCTGGCATCACATCATTTGACAATGCTCACCCGGAATTTGTCCAGCAATCGCACTCCTGACTTCCGCTTCGTTGTCCTTCAGAAGCTTCACAAATGCTGGGACAAGGTCTCTCGAGACGACCTCTTCGTCGACAGCCTTTGCGACCTTCTCGAATCTGTCTGCCACCATATATCTGACTCTCCAGCTCTTGTCATCAAACAGGCCACGAAGTGCGGTGAGCAATACTCCATGACTGCTCTGCTGCTCTTTCGGTACAGCTTCTGCGATTGCAATGAGAACATCGACAGTCAGCAGCCGCACACTGTCCTGGTCATCTCCCGCCAAATGCTGGAACAGTGGGATCATGTCCTCAATGACCACTGAAGCTGGCATGCTCTTTACGAATTTGGCAAGGTTGTTAGCCGCTTGTCTTCGTACCATCGGTGTGTCATCGTGCACGAGCTGAGAGAACTGTTGTCGAAGACCTTCCTGAGATTGCGGGGTGGCATGTTGATAAGGTGTGTTGTAGAGTCCGGTTGCTGAGATCTTCGAGGTGAACCAATCGGCCTTCGAAAGACGGATAGTGAGGGGGATGAAGTACTGCTCGACTTGCTGCTGAGATAGCTGCTCGCAGATTTTGTTCAGGGACTCAACGGCCTGCGATCGTCAGTGGCTAGAATCATCCCGTCGGCAATGCGAACATACCTTATCGCGCACGAGTGGCTCCTCGATGGTAGCCAGATTCTCGAGGGGCGAGAGGAGCACGTGCCCATACTCCGGACCGCCTACGTACTCGACGAAGTTGCCCAGCTCGTCGCCAAGTGCTGTGAGAACTTCGTCTTCGTCTTCTACAGATTCTTCGAGACTGTCAGTGGAATCTCCCTTTGCAGTATAGTTGAGATGCATCCATACCGTCCAGGAAGGGTATGAGCTCATCTCTTGTGCGCTCAGGACCAAGCGCGAGCGCAATGGTCGACAGTCTGCGGATGGCATTCAATCGTAGCAAGACATCGTCATGCTGTGTCACACGTCAATCTCATGTCTCTCCTCCCATACGACATTGCGAGGCGCTTGATGCGGTCTCGAGGCTGTGCCGTGCGTACCTTGAGCTCATCTATCAGGACAGCAATCGGGTACAGCTCGTCGTTCTGGCCCTGCTCGTCCATGTCTGCTCTATTATGCTGGTGTTGGTCGCGTAAAGGAGCGGATGGCCTGGTGCCAGGCCTTCACATGCAAATTGTCGGAGGATCTGTGTGCAATTGCGGGAGGTCGAATGTCGTCAAACGTCGGTCGCCGTGGGTATGGGTGGGAGGGTCGGAGTCGCACTCTGCGGGCGATACTCAGCACGCGTTGCTACTCAGCATGCGATATGTCTACAACAGAGTGCCAGACAAGCGCTGCGCATCGCGGTGATTGCTGTGGTTAGACCAAGACCTCTGACCGACAAGGTTCGTAGCAAGGTACCTGGCCAAGTGACGCAGGAACTCAAGCCCACTGCTGCCGCCCGCACCTATGCGGTGCCTGCCGTTGGGGAAGGAGGGGAGAAGACACTTACTGTGTGGTATAGAGTGGAATCGTCGTATGCGCTGCTGGGTGAGGGTTGATGGTGTTGGGTTGGTGTATGTGCGCGAGATTCCAGCAATGCTTCCGTGTTTTGACATCAGTCGTTGCTTGCTTGGAGCTGTGGCTGAAACTGTGGCGGCAAAAGTTCAAATTGAGCGTACACATTATTGAGTCAACTTCACCGCGAGCCTCCTCCCTCACCTCACGTTCTGCACGCACACTTGATCTCCCCAAGCAGACCAGTGCGCCTGACACGCCGCCGCCATGCCCACCATTGCGGTTGACAAGGCTGCCCTCTACAAGGCGCTGGGCCGCGAGTACACCAACAAGGAGTTCGACGAGCTCTGCTTCGACTTTGGCATTGAGCTCGATGAAGATACCACCGACGACCCGGAGCGGAAAGGACCACCCGAGCTCAAGATCGAGATTCCCGCCAACCGATATGACATGCTCTGCTTCGAGGGTATTGCATTGAATCTGAACGTGTTCCTGGGCCGCCAGTCCATGCCAAAATTCACTCTCTCCAAACCAGCCGACCTTCTTACCATCGACATCACAGAGGACACCGCTCGCATACGGCCCTACTTCTCCTGCGCTATCCTCCGCGGCATCAAGTTCGACCAAGCTCGGTATGACTCCTTCATCGCACTGCAGGACAAGCTGCACCAGAATTTGGCCCGGCAGAGAACACTGGTTTCCATCGGTACTCATGACCTGAGCACAATTGAGGCGCCATTCTCTTACGAGGCGCTGCCGCCTGAGCAGATCAAGTTCGCCCCCCTCAACCAGGAGAAGGTCATGGACGGCAAGGAGATGATGGAGTTCTTCGAGAGTGACAAGCACTTGTCTCGCTATCTGCACATCATTCGAGATTCGCCCGTCTACCCCATCATCTACGACAAGAATCGGAAAGTGCTCTCCATGCCGCCCATTATCAACTCCAACCACTCGAAGATCACGCTCAACACTACGGACGTCTTCATTGATATCACCGCCACCGACAAGACCAAGCTGGAAATCGTCAACCACATCATCTGCGCCATGTTCTCCATGTACTGCACCGAACCATTCACTATCGAGCCGGTCAATGTCGTCTCGAAACACAATGGCGAGTCGAGAGTGACCCCCGATCTGTCGCCACGGCCGTTTCAGGCGTCGCTGTCTTTCATCAACTCTGTCTGCGGCCTGACAGAGTCACCAGAATCATGGTCTAAATTGCTCGCGAAGATGGCCTATGATGTTCATCCTTCAAAGACCGACACGGACAAGTTGGACATCGACATTCCAATTACTCGCGCAGATGTACTTCATCAGGCCGACATCATGGAAGATGCTGCCATCGCATATGGCTTCAACAAGCTTCCACAGGAGTTCCCAACGAGCATTCCTGCTGGTGGCGCTGCACTGCCCATCAATACACTCTCAGATATTGTCAGACTTGAGGCGAAGAGCAGGTGGATAGAAGTTATGCCTCTTATCTTGTGCAGCCATGACGAGAACTATGCCTGGCTGAACCAGAAGGACGATGGCAAGGCTGTGCGACTGGCGAATCCAAAAACTGCAGAATATCAAATAGTCCGGACGTCGCTTGTGCCAGGTCTCCTCAAGACAATCAGAGAGAACAGGAAGCACGAAGTGCCGCTGAAGATCTTCGAAGTCGCCGATGTCTGCTACAAGGATGCATCACTTGAGCGGAGAAGTAGGAACGAGCGTCATTTTGCGGCAGCGTGGGCTGGTAGCACGTCAGGCTTCGAGCAAGTACAAGGCTTGCTAGACAGCATCATGCTGGCGCTCAGATATCCTTGGATTCCCGAAGGAAAGGATCGCACGAGCGAGAAGGTCAAGGGTTACTGGGTCGAGGGACACGATGACCCAACCTATCTTGCTGGCCATGCTGCTGCCATCTGTCTGAAGAACGCTGGCAAGCAAGTGCAACGTATCGGCATTTTCGGCATGCTCCACCCGAAGGTGCTGGAGAATTTCGAGATTCCATATGCAACCACGGCACTCGAACTCAACCTAGAGATCTTCCTTTAGCGATGGAGGCCATCGTTTGCAATCTCCCTGTTAAACCACTGTCCAGCTTCGAATTTTGAAGAGAACTGTAGAATACCCCAAAAATGATATGTGTCGACGAATGACTCGCTTCACAGTACCACGTTACACGGCCTCTTCGACAGCAACACTGGGCACCTTGCATGATCACAAAGCACCTAACTTTTTGTGATCTGGTCCACAGGCCTCGTGCATCGGACAACTGCGCTTGCAGCTGTCAAAACATCGGGTAGCCGTACATCGTGCTACGAAACGTTGCATTCTGAGGCGGAATGGTTCCACCAGACGGCCTCCAGTACTTCGCCGTCTTGGTGCATCAGCACAGATGATGTGCCCATCAACGGCTCGTTGCTGTAGCGATAATGTACAAAGATCTAGGCCGCATCGCGACCCATGTATTGAAGCATAGCTTGCACTTACAAGAAGACGAGTAGCTGATGGTGTTAAAGTAGTAAGAGGGACATTTCTTCTTTCTTCCACAAACCACCATCGATCACGCATCATCACGCCGGTGCAGTGCACCCAAAATACGACTTGACTTCGCTGGCAAGACATACACTGACACTTGACACCTTGTTCGAGCAAACCATATTGGTGCAGCACTGTTCCTTGGATTTTGGCAGTGATCCCTCCATCTGACCTGTTCGTGTCTACCCTGTGAGCATCTCAGACAAGGCTGGGAGCATATATGTACTGACATGCACTCGCATCAGAAAGAAACACTTCTCTCAACAACAACACGACAACCTCAATAAACCAAACCACTGCATCTGTTTAACGCCAACATGAATCAAATCCTCTTCACCATCTCCCTCCTCTTCTCCCTCACCACAGCCATCCCGGCCCCTCACCACAAAAAATTCCACATCGAAATCCAACTCCCAGAATCCCTCTCGCAACTCGAAACACGTCAGGAACAGTGTCAAGTCGACCGTTGTACCACAATGATCCGGAATTGTGTCAAGTCTTGCGATTCTTTGCAGAATTCGGATTGGTGAGTTTCTTGTTTCTTACGCTCGATATTGAAAATGAGAAGAGTGGGCTGATGAGAGGTTTTGTTATAGCTTTGCTGTTATTACTAGTCCGATTTGTGAGGCTTGTACGTTTAATCTTGTGGGTTGTTGAGGGGATTGAGGTAGGATGGGATGGGAGGTGAGGGAAGATGCTGAGAGGTGATGAAAGATGCTGAAAGATTATGAAACTTGTCGAGACTGCTTACGGAGGACATTATGGGAAAGAGAGAGAGAGAGAGAGACATATGTTGCACGAGCGACGACTCTATCCCCTACTTCTCCAATACCAACTCCCTCCCTTTCCCCCTAACCCAATCCTCATACCTCCTCGGCTCCCTCCCCAGAGCCTCAACCTGAACAGCATACTCCTCCTCGGTCATCCCAAATCCATCTTCCGCCCAAGTCTCATACATCAACCTCAAATCCCTCGGCCAAGCCCAACTCCCATGTAAAGGAAATTCCGCCTTGGCCTCATAATTCTCCAACCTAGCATTACCTCCAAGAATTCTCTTCATCTCCTTTCCATTAAGAACAGCCTCGCTCCAAAGCCCCGCAACTTCTGCACCGGAATATCGCTTAAGACTTCCAATCATAATCTTCTTACCTGCCCAACGTTTCGGATCGAGAAGGGAGTTTCTAGCGATAATGGCTATATCTTCACAAGAAACTTTACTCTGCCCCTTTCCCAGGAAATCCGAAATCGGTTCATCAAAAAATCCTTCTCGAATTCGTTCCTTCCTACGAATATCGTTATCAAAAAACATCGTGGGACCCAATCTCGTCGTCGTCCAAGAATACTCCGACAGAAGTAATTTATACTCGATCAGAGGTTTGACAAGAACATGAGCAGCAGAATTGCTTGTGAGGGTTTTCTTGAAGCCTTCGAACGTATCTGCGAAATCGCCGCAAGCTGACACATAGACGAGATTCTTTACGGTGCCGGCTCGCTGCATGGAGTCGAAGAAGTTGAGGGTTGTGAGGAGCTCGTCTGTGCCGATGAGGTTGAGGAAGACGGAGGTGACTTTGTGGGTTTTGAGGATGGATTCTACCCAGTGGGGATCGGTGATTGGGCCTTCTTCGATTGAGACATTGGAAGGTGTTGTGTTGCTGGAGGGGAAGTATTTTGTTTGTAGACGGCTGGCGTTTGATGTTGGGAGGACGAGGTTGACGTGTTCGTTAAGGAGAAGAGGGATCAATTCTGATCCAATGTGGCCACCAGCGGCTGTTATGAGGATTGTTGGTTTTGAGGACATTGTTTTCGAGCTGATCGTGGTAGTTGTACTTGACAGCCTGGTGTTGAAGGACGAGTATTTATATTCTTCTAAGCTCCATCCATGATGTAATCTATTGTACCAGGACGCGGCGTGAAACAGCATGACAGCCCCGAGACTCGTCCGCTATATTGCAGGCGGAGCTGCCATTTTTGGACAGACCAAAGTCCAAGGCCGATCCTATGCGTTGGGTCTTCATCAGTCTCACAGTTCTGACCTGCAGAATCCAGTGTGTGGGCACTAGTCATCGAGGCCAATCCCAAATGTGGCGGATGTACGAAGGTCTGTATGGTCATCGTGTGGAGTATGATCGTCGTTGCAAGCGCTTCAACTACAGCTCAGCTGAGCTACGTAATATCCGGCTTTGAAATCAGTAAATGAAGGGAATCATCCTGGCCCTACGATAAACTGCCTGGTCCCCGAACTTTTGCCTATACCAGCTTTTGGTTCCATGCGCGGTAACGCCCAGATTGATGGCCACAAATGTCAATGCGCTGACAAAGGTCCAATTTAGTAAAGAGCCTCGAGGCGCTGCTATGATAGCCAGCGACAGGTATATCAAGCATTCAGCGAAGTAATGGGGCGTGAGAGACAGGTTCCATGCTGGATGATCTGGTAAACGGTATTGTGACCCAGACGCGGCTTGCTCGCCTTTCTTGGATGCCTTCAGAGCTGCCAGGTAGCTATGGCAGTCGTGCTGAAGACCAGATGCGAGAATGAAGACCATCGTTCCAAGGAAAGTGCGAAGACTTGGGCCGGCGAACACAAGGTTCTTCAAACTGAAGTCAGGATTTTGAATGGCGGCTGCGAAGAGATGAGAGCTATGCGCAGCAAAGAGAAGCAATGAGGACTCACGGATGCCTTCAATCCATACTGCAATACTGGTGCAGATGTAGAAGAGAATGCCTAATGCCCAATGGCCGACCCACATGCTCGATTGTGAAGGCTTGGCCAATGCTATCGACTCGTATAGTCGCCTGCTGCCCTGGAGGAACATCATGAGCCATATCACTTGCACCTGACTGGTTGTCATTGACGGTTGTTGTAGCGACGCCCAACTGGCTATCGTTCGAAAGGCTGGTCGGCCAAAGGGCAGCTCGGACAGCCAATACAGCGAGCAAGCTACAGAGACAGCGTAGAAGGATGCGAACCAGCTGTGCGGTACAGTGATAGTGGCAGCGTAGTCGAGGACTGTAGAGAGGACGTCGTGCTGGTTCGCGTCTTCTTTGCCCTTCTCCTGGCCTGAGCTACGCGCACCGTAGTCCAGGAATCGTGAGCGTAGTGGAGGCAGAGCAAAGACAACAAATACCTACCTCGCATCAGCCATGTGCATGCGCTCGATGATACAGTGCATGGTAGCATGGAGCGCTCACCGCTGCCGCAGCTGCCAAATAGATTGCTCTCAGCAACGTGACCGCGTCCATGGTGACGAAGATGGTGGTGTGGTATCGCTTATCACCGTCTCTTGCGCAGCTTTTGCCTGCTCGCTCATGCACCCCCTCACCGTCGCCTATTCCATATTGGCGCCCACCCCTTCAACTCTGCACTCTACGCCTGGTAGTTGGTCGACCACGGAATTTGGATGCGCTGCATTGAGCACCTGTACACGTAGCGTATAACTCCGTCCACCCAGCACTGCTACGCGGCTGTGTGGTTTGGTGATGATGGAAGCGACCGTCAGTGGTGGGGCTCAAATTGTGCGCACGGACGCCTACTTCCCTGCCGTTTTGTTTGGCGAAGCCGCGAAGCGTGCCTTCCTCTGGCTGTGTCTCGAGTCTCCTCACTTTATTGTCCCAGCTCACGCTCACACTGTCGCATCACCTCTAATCGCTTCCGCGAGCATCGTTGACTCCTCGCGACGCCAACGACACATGGCAATGAGCCGATAGCAATCATGGCCAGCTTAGCCTCCCTACTCAATCCCTCGCCGGACTCGGACACTCGCCCATCGTCACCACCGCGAACAGACTCGCTACCACCGATACAGAACCTTCCTTCGCCTGAAGACCACGCCGACCGATCACCAGGTTCAACGCGATCCAATCCACAGCAATTCACATACCCGCTGGCCACTGCGCAAGAAGCTGCTCAAGCACTCGCCAAACTCTCGGCCAGTCCTGCTGCTCCGCCGGCACAGTGGAATGGATACAGCGCTGCCGACGGCAATCAGCTGGAGCGTCAGCAGTCGTGGGAGCGGCGCGCCAGCGGCTATGGCGATCTCATGCAGCTGCCTCCGCCAGATGTGAGCGCAACCAGGAAGATGAGCTCTCCGGCTCTCGATCAATATCATGTCGCCTCACGCTCGCCAGAACAAAGAAGGCCTTCGGCAGCGTCACCTCAGCAGTCTAATATTCAACTACCGCCTCTGCAAGGCTTCGCAGCGCCCCCATCAGACCAGAATCGACCTTTGCCGCATACCTCGAATCACGAGCCATCACATGCTAATTCCTTACATTTGGCCTCACTGGCACAGAGCGAGCAGCCTGGGCCCAGTAGCAATGTCGCTCGTCAGGAATCTTCACTTGCTGCTGAGCCTGCATCACTTCCTCATCTGAAGCCAACAGTCTCGAACATTTCTACAATTCAAGATGATACCGAATCATCCCCTGCACCGATCAAGCAAGAAGGTGTACCATCTCCACAGCCTTCCTCACCGACCGACGCTCGCCGCCCATCAGAAATTGACATGCAGACTTCGCGGGCAGTGGCTTCCTTGAAGAGTGAGAATACGAGGAACCAGTCGCCGCTCCGAGAATCTTCAGTTCCGGTGCCGACGACCGAGATACCTACGAAGGAGGAGCCGGCGCCTAGCAAGAAGCGCCCTGCACCTGCCAAGACGAAGAAGGGCACAGCATCTGCGGTAAGGAAGGACAAGGCTCCTCCAGGCAAAAAGCGGAAGGTAGAAACCAAGCGATCTGAAACTCCTTCGTCGCTTACCGCGAAGCCGGCTTTCAAGAAGGGCAACAGCACAAAAGGCACACCACTAAACTCTTCACCTGCTCCCTCGGCACGATCGAATTCTGCAGAAATGGTTGACGAAGAAGAGGAAGAAATTGACGAGGACGAGGCCGCTGGCTCCGATACGGATCTGTACTGCACTTGTCGCAAACCAGATAATGGCACCTTCATGATAGGATGCGACGGCACTTGCGACGACTGGTTCCATGGCAAGTGCGTCGGCATCGAGGAGAGGGACAAGAATCTGATCGACAAGTACATGTGTCCGAGCTGTACCACGGCTGGCATTGGCAGGACTACTTGGAAGAGGATTTGCAGGCGCAGTGGCTGCCGGCAGCCTGCGCGGACGTGTAAGACCAAAGCCGGCACTTCTGGAAGCAAGTACTGTTCTGAAGAGTGCGGTGTTTTGTACTTTCGAGAGATGGTTGCGCGGACAAGAGGAACCGAGGAGAAAGTCAAGGACCGAGCTGCGCGTAGAAAGGGTGGCTTGGATACCTTGCCTCAGCTGCAGCAGGAGGACGATATTGGTGCCAGAGGCGGAGCACTTGCAGCTGGAGAAGTGAAGGCTCTAATTGATGCTGCTAGGAATGCCGAAGAATTCAAGAAGCTGGGCAATGGCGTATTGAGCCCTCCAACTACACCTGACGGGAAGAGAGCGGACGAGTTCACTGAGGCTGAGGCAGAATCACTTCATCGCATTTCAGCTCGCAAAGACGTCGCCAGAAGTCGACATGCACTCTTGAAAGATCGCCTGACCTTTGTCACCATGGTGAAGCAAGCTGCCACTAGGATAGCAGCTGAGAAGGAGTTGAAACCAAAGGACTACTGCGGGTACGATCCGCGTCTTGAGTGGACGGAGGAACGCTTCGAACAGTTTCGTAACAGTAAGATTGGACAGCAAGCTTTCGAGCTGCAGACTCTTGCGACCGAGAAGAACGGCGTTAAGGACGACGGAATCGACGAGGATGAAGAGATGCCTACAATTTGCGATAAGAAGAAGTGCGCACGTCACCTTGACTGGGCGAAGTTGGCTGTTGATGATTTGCGATTCGAGATGGCCGACAACGGAGACAAGATGCGCGGTCTTGATAAAGAAGAGAAAGAATTGCGAGAACGCGCAGCCCTTCGTGCCAAAGCGGGAACCTTCAATGGTGAAGGCACAGTAGAGGTCCACGGGTTGGGTGTTTCTACGGAACCTGCTGTGGGGGGCTCAAGCATGGATGTCGACGAAGCTGCGCCAGCGACAAACGGCCACGCTGACACAACGAAGCAGCCCGAGCCGATGGCCGTTGACACAGCCTGAACTCGCTTTCATGTCTTGGCGCGACTTCTTACAGACTCAGACCGAAGACGCAGATAAACAAGTTCGGCATAAATTCCTTTGGCCTGCAGGCATCATTTACGAAATTCAGCATAATTTTGACGACGAGACGAAATCAATTCACAGCACCATAATCTGGGACTCCTTGAACCTCAAAAAAAGGGTTAGTCTGTTTAGATGGAGGATGATCTTGATATCTTTCCGTGCACTGGGTCTATAATCTGGTAATCTGGAAGATCGGATCTCACTCTAGCTCAATTCGGACACCAGCAGAACAGCGACCAGCTAGCTACGATATGTATATATGATCAGTTGAAATTGGTAGTGATGCCATCTTACTCCTTGATAATCTCTCCGACCGTCGGCACTATGCTCGCACTAGGTAGGTATCTTGGGATTTGCGCTGTTCTCGTCAAAGTAGATGGTCTGCAGAAAGGTGCTGAGTGTAATGAAAGAGTCATCTGTATTAGATAAAATTGATCTTTGCACCGTGAGCTTGATCAGAGCGACTAAGCTGTCGGAGCGTTGAGCTCTTGCGTGATTTGACCAACAGTGAATTCAGTGAAAGTGACCTGGTCGCGACTTCCTTCTCTGTGACACCTCGCATCCAGCAACAACCTCACCGCGACACCATATTCAACATGCCATCTTATCAAGGCATCCGCGTATCGCTTCAATCCCAATACGATGCTCTCGTGTTGCCCGAATACTCGCCACCAACTAGCGCTGCATCTCACCAGAGCAGCGAACAGACCGCCAAAGCCGTCGCCGACTCGAATCATGTCGCGGAAGTTTACGTTCCAATGTATGCCGGATCTCAATTCTGGATCCTGTACAGTTGCCCTCGACCAGATGTCACGTCGCCTCCCAAAGACAAAGACACGACCAGATTCTACTACTTCAAACTGGTGATCAATGGCAAGGTCGTGCTGAGCTGGGGATGTGGCGCGGAGAATGACTTCAGTGGAAGAGTGACTTTCGGCCTTTATGAAAGTGAGGTCGCAGGTTTCGGGGGCGTCACTGTGGAAAAGAGAGGGTTCTTCTTTCCTGCTGGCAAAGATGTTGATAGGAAAGGCATGCTTGCGGACTCGTTCGAAATTCGTGTCTATCGAGCAAAGGGGAGGAGGAGAGTGGAATCTAGGTGAGTTTATGCCTGTTCCTGTCGAGCCTTTAGCTATGTCAGAACTGTTAAGCCATGCGTTTGAAAAGCGATTGATGAGTTGCTGACGGATTCCAGCTATGAACTGTGCACCACCACCGACAGCAAGAGCGTCTACTTTCGACCTTCAGGTCCAGTCAAGAGATGCGACCCGAAGCGCTTCTATACCTACGCGCTCATTGACCCGGTAGATACGCCATATGCGACCTTCTCTTACAATTTCCGAACTGGCGGCCAGTTGAAAGCGATTCGGAATGGAGGCCTCGAAACTCCTGAAAAGGCTACGGATAAGGGAAGCAATATCGACATCTTGACAGCCAGTCCTTCCAGGCGCTCTATGAATTTGAGTAGCCCACTATCCCACAGCATGCTTTCGCCACCACCGAAGGAAAAGCCAGCACCTCCACCGAAAGATTTTACTGCAAAGGACTCGATTGCGCTTCGCAGACTCTCACAGCTGCACCAGGGATCGCCAGTCAAGAAGAGCCAAATTCAAAAGCCAGCAGCCACATTTGATGCTATGGAAGGCCTGAGTCTCACCCGTGGTGCATTTCATTCTCAGAGAACTCCAGCGACATCTGCGAGGAAGCTCCAAAAGAAAGAATCCTCGAGACGGACTCCAAGCCTCTTCACGTTCGGCCTGAGCAAGAAGGGTCAAGGAAGTTCCGAGGAGCATCTATCAGCTACAACGTATCATGCAAAGTGAGCGAAAAAAAAAAGTTCCATTGTATGTATGATATGTTATTGAAGCACCAAGACGTCCAAGGAAAGACGTCTTGAACCCCTTTGTATATTCTACCTAAAAATAAACCAATCAGCTTCAGCCTTCAGCTTCGGCAGATCCTCGTCCACGTCCACCCTCTATACCTACCCTACCACCTTGTCAAACTCTCTCCTCCATAAGGCCACCTGCACGTCAAGGCTCAAGCGATGAATTTTTCACTTGACACCTGGCATTAAACGGCCACAAAGTCCCAAAAAAACCCCTCCGAAAGAAAATATCAAACCCAAACATGTCTCATCTCCACCTCCGCCACGAAGACCACGACGAAACTCCAACTCCAGTCCTATCCTACTCACCCGCCACTGCCGGTGGTGCTGGTGTTGGTAGTGGAGGTTGGTATAAATTCGTCGACCTCACGGCGGAAGAACGGCATCACAGACGCACACTCCTCGACTACTATGGATTTTTCGCACAAGTTTCCGTCGTCGTTCCGATTCTGGTGCTTTTGGCTTATATCTGGACGTCGAAAATCTCGAGGAGATTCGCGAACGCGACGAGTGAGAGTCGTGGTGAGGGACCGCCTAGTTCGCCGTATGTTAAGGCCGCGAGATTGGGGCGGGGGTTGAAGGGTAGTGGGGGGTGGAGGAAGGTGGTTTGGTGGTTTGGGGAGGAGGTGAAAATTTTGAGGTTTTGTGTTGGGACGAGGGGGGAGGTGGTGGGTGGTGTTGCTTGGTTGGGGTGGTTGGTTGTGTTGTGCTTTTTGGAGACGGGGGATGGTAGGTTTTTGTTTTCTTTGCTTCATTTAGTATGTTGTTGATGTGAAGTGCTTACGTGAATGGGACAGATTATATGCATCTCACCAAGAGGTTTGGAATCGTGGGTGGATCTCAACTACCGTTCCATTACCTACTATCTCTGAAATCGCCATATTCGCCAATACAACTCCTCACGGGGGCTTCGCATGAGAGCTTGATCTCAATTCATCAGATTCTTGGGAAGATTATCACGATTCTGTTCTGGTGTCATGCTACGCTTTATGTGGCATTCTTTATCATCAAGAGCCTTTTGGCTGCGAAGATCCAAGAGTTCTACATCATGTGCGGCATCTTCGCGACCTTGGGATTCACAGCTATAGGCACGACTGCACTCAAGCCAGTCCGAGATTGGAGCTATAGGGTCTTCTACATCACGCATGTGAGCTTGGCCACGATCTTACTGCCGGCGTTGTACTTCCACGTTGAGCACATCCGACCTTATATTTACGAGACGGTCTTGGTGTATGTGGTAAACGTTGGACTGCGCTTTATCTCGACCAGGTCGCACGATGCATCGATCAAGCAAGTCTCGGAAAACCTGGTGGAGATTAGCATTCCTCTTGCCAAAGGAGCTGGACGATGGCAGCCTGGACAGCATGCTTATGTCTCGCTTCGCGGCAACCCGGCGCTGCGAACTTTCCGATCGAATCCATTTACTGTTGCGTCACTCCCGCCAATCGATGGCAAGCTGAGATTCCTGGCTCGGATTCTGGACGGCAACACTGCGAAGCTTGTGCGGAACTCACCTGGCTCAAAGGTGTCTGTCGAAGGACCTTATGGCGTGGCAACTCATGGTGCTGCGCTGCTGAGCTGCGACCGCGTACTGTTCGTGGCTGGAGGTGTTGGAGCGACTTTCATTGTGCCGTTGTACAGACAACTGTTGAGCGATCTCTCGCCAAGCAAAGGCAGTTATAGGAGACAGAAAGTCAGCTTTTTGTGGGTTGCGCGCTCAATGGCGGATGTTTCATGGGCTGTGCCGGCAGATTCGGAAAAAGAAGGCTTCACGGAAAGATTGACGGTTTTCCTCACCCAAGACAGCGAAGGACATGCAACGACGACATCCGATGGATTCGCTATTGGAGGTGATGAGGATGATGGTGCGCCTGGAGAGGAAGGCATCGAGCTTGAGGAGCGGAAGAATCTGCTCGCTGAAGGAGGCGATGAAAAAAAGGGTGGCGTCAATGCTGGTGGTGATAATGCGACCAATGGTCTCTCCTTACGGGTTGGCAGACCTGATGTAGCGCAGGCGGTGCAAGATGTGTTCACGCAGGGCAGGACAGAGCGGGTAGGTGTCGTCGTGTGTGGACCGAGAGGTTTGAGCAGGAATGTGCGAAAAGAGGTTGGTCGATGGGTCAAGCAAGGTAGAGACGTGTGGTTCTGGGAGGAAGTCTTCGGCTTGTAGCCCGAGTGCTATGGATGAAACACTCATAGCATTGCGCAATAATTGGAAGCAGGAGGCACAAACATCGTTGCTCTAATCGGAGCGAATGCTACAGCGTGGGAGGTCTTTCTGGGATGGAGTCTCGCCGCATGTGGGCCTATCCTCGGTAGAATAAGCGTTATCAGTAGTACAAGGTCGATGTCTCTTGCGGTAGACTTCGCGATGACGATGTGGAATGATCACGTATCACGTTTACCGTTTACCGCGGGTTCGCAGCGGAAGCAGGTATAATAGGAGCGCGCACGTGAATGTGTATGTGGCTTCTGACAGCACATCGAGCATTCGAGCTTGCCTGCAGTGGATTTGGATTTCCAATAGCCGCCGGCGCCGGGCCCTTGCTGTGGCGAATCGATCCGGATGCGCCCGTCTGCGGACCTTTCCAAGTTGCTCTCGCTGTGCGTTGCTGGCAGCTGCTGCGGTGCTTTAGCCTTTCCCCGCTCGCGCTCGCGCTCGCACCCACGGTGACCCACCAGCACGGAGCTGCCGCTCTGGAACGAACAGCTGCTTGCAGCGCAGAGCTCGAGCGTGGGCTGGCCGCGCAGATGACCATTGACCACTCGTCAGATGTCTTGGTGGTGTCGGAATGGGCGAGCACGGCGAACTCGGCAGGCGCTCTCTCCCGCGCACTCTCACTCTCACTCTGACTGTGTGTGTGTGTGATGCAACGCCCGGCCGACACTGAAAGCAGGATTTGGAGAGTGAGATGACGGAGAAACACCGTAACCTGCTCAGAGCCAGTGAAGACAGCCGCGTGCAGCCAGCGTGGAAGCGCATGGGCCAGCTGCCAACAGTGTTTTAAGCCCGTGGTCCGTGCGCTGACACCCATGCCCACTCGGCTTAGACACACTACTGCTCTCTTCTGACCCTCTCTTTGTTTCCTGCCACACCGTCCAAACGATCCAAGTAATAAGCACGCATCGCCGCCGCCTCTCGTTGATCACACACTGATCATTTCCCACCGCGCCGTCCCCGCCACCGCAGCCGACGACACCACAACAACAACACCCCCATACCACTCCCTCCCTCGACCAGCTATCAGCAACCGTCGCCCGACGCCCGACGCTCGACGCGCTGATACCATATCGCAGCTTTCTTGCCTCGTCAAGTGAGTCGCCAGCAGTCGCCTCGCCGTACCAGACACGTCGCCAGCGTCTTCTGACCTAGCCGCCGCCGTCGCCATCGTGACAGCGCTCCCGTCATCGAGCAGCCCCAACTGACTCACGGTGTTGCAGGAAAGCTTACGATACCGGCAAAAGCATCCATGGCCCACGCTCCATCCGCCGCGATTGCCATGGCATCGCACACCCCCTCTGTCGCTATTCCGAGCGTGCGCGACACCGCCGACCACTCTGGCACCGCGCACTTCGAGAAGCGCGGTGCAGCCCTGCTGATAACACCACCCCACTCCGTCAGCCCGGAATTGGCAGCTCACGCGGCCCGGTCAGGTGCCATGTCTCCGCCGCCCATCAACATCGAGCAGGACACCGACATGCAGGATGACACGTCCGATGTTTGCAAAATCCCGAGTGCTGGCGTGCCTCTCAGCAAAGGCGCACTGTCCAACCTCGATGGCGCAGCGGCAATTACCCCAAGCATGCTTGCCAAGCATCACCTGCCGGGCATCATGCTGGGTAATGGCCCGCGGCCAATACGCCATGTCATCGGCGAGCTTACGCAAACCGTGCCTGGCTTCTCTCGCATCCCTCCTGCCAAGGCCCGTCGCATTGTTGTTGCTGCTCTGGAAAGTCGCGAGGGTGGTGGCGTTGATGGTAGCATCGCCTTCAGCAAGACTGGCTGGGGACGCTGGGACGCTCACATCAAAGGCTCTTCCCGGGACTCCGGTATTGGCTCCTTCAACGAAGGCCATCTCTCCCCGCCACGAAGCGAACATGGCAGTTATGCTGTCTCGCATAGCGACTCGGCCATCAACATCCCTGCTCAACACATGCATTCCAGGTACCGAGAGCATTACTCTGGTGGCAGCTGGACCGCCTCTAGCTTGCGAGAGGAGGACGAGCTGGACATGGACATGGATCCCATCGAAGAGGCTGCCGACAACATGTCATTGGACGGCAGCACGAGCGAGAGCTCGGATTCGACAAACGATGAAACCGACGAGGAGGACTGGGCTGCTATCGGTGTCGATGCGTTGCGGAAGGCTTCATTGCCCACTTCCAACGTCAACCGCCCAGCCTATCGCAAAGTCAGCGTTCCTTACACCGGACGTTTTGTCTCAAAGAGCTGGACTCGTCCACCATCAGTGCCCGTTGACCGGACCTCTCAACAGGTATCGCAATCTTTTGGCGGCAACCATGGCATCCATCCCGCTATGCAATCGCCGGAGGAACGGGCTGCCGTGGCAGCCTTAATGAGCATGGGCAGCATGTGAGCTTAGTCTCATTGGAGTTTTTCTTTTTTGGAGTTTTTATGGGTCCCACGAGTCAAGTCGACGACCTCTTTTTCATGAACGACACTGGGCACCGGTCTTCGCAAGTCAAGTGCTGACGGAAGATTCTCGGATTGACACGGGTGGCGTTCTTTCTCTCTCACATCACATCTCTCATCGACCTTTTCCTCTTGGACAGATACCCAATTTGTTTTACTGGCATCACGAATTTCGGAATTCTCTGGGAACACTGGACCAGAGACCGACACTGGGCACCAGCCTTCGCCACGTCAAGTGCTGACGGAGCGAGGGTCCTGGATTGACATTGGGTGGCGGCATTTCGAAATGAACAACATCAACGACATTTACCACAACGACGAACACAAACACACACCACACTGGCCATTGGCGGCCCACAACATATTACGACTTCACTTCTCTCTGAAGAGCCTATCGCCCGCATGGACGAAAGTCGCGAATGAATGGCTTTTCAACACAGTTCACATTTATCAGCCTCAGCAAGATAACTCTGGATAAACGATGATAATCTTGAGCTCCCGCCGAATGGTTGAGCTCGATGGAGTGACTTCCAATCTGACTTGCTTGTTCCTGCATTGGAGTTGGCTCGGGCTTTGGTTGTAGGGAAACGGGGGATGATGCTGGATTGCTTTACCAAAAAGCAAAATGCGGATTTCAACACTACTCGGAGGCTGAACGACTGTTTTTCTTCTCGATTGAGAAACAGCTGGTCTCTCGCACGCCTGGCGCTGCGGCTGGTCTGTGTCCTCTTCAATGAAGGTACGCGCGGCTATTAGTCAGAGCAGAGACAGCAATTGTATGTATTTGACAGTACTGCTTTAATCAAATTTGGTTCTTGCAGGCCAAAAACACCTCGATCATACTTTCATCTGCACCTCACTTAGTCTCGATGAACCTCATAACGCCATCGTGATCTACATCATTAATGTGGCGTTCGAAGAACAACAATAAATACCACATCCCAACGCACACCCCATATACATCAAACACTCAAGACAACTTCTTCCCACTCCTCAACTCAATCCCCTCCTCCACCGCCTGCTCCCCCAACCCATAAACCAACGCCAGTACCCCCAAAACACTCAAACCCACATTCCCATACACCCCAATCTCCATCGCAACCGTCCAATGACTCGGCCTACTCCAATGCGAAAACGCCCCAATCCCTGTAGCGACATGATGTAACACCGTTATCAAAATTACAGCTTTCGCATAAGGTTTCTTTTGCTTTGTCGTCGTTGCTGGAAATTCCGAGAGTTGAGAACCCGTGAGATTTTGGGGCAGGGGGATTGCGTCGGCGAGGATGAGTAATGTTGCAGAGAGGGTGAGGAGACAAAAGGCGTCGGTGCGGAGGGTGTAGAGTTCGAGGTCTTGGGGTAAAAAAAAGATTAGAGATTGGAGGGAAGGGAAGGGAAGGGTAGGGTACCGTTTGGTTTGATGGGCATGTCGATTGGGGGGCGGAACCAATTGCAGACTGTGGCGGGATCGATTATTCGCACGATTCCGCGGAGGAAGTACCAGAAACTTGTTCCTGTGGAGATTCATTTGTGTTAGGATGAGGGTGGTGGTGGGGGTGGTGGTTGATGGGACGAACCGAAGATGTAGGCGTGGTAGGTCTGTTGTATGGTTAGAATTCAAGTTTTCGAAGCAAGATGATTGATATTGAGTACGTACATTCGCGTATTGAAGGAGGTTTGCCATGATTGCGGTTGTTGTCTTTGGGTATACTGCTGTTGCGAGTGAGAGAGTTACGATAGTGGAGGTGTGTTGTGTATCTATCTATATGAGATGAGGAGGTTGGTGATATTGGAGTTTCGACGTCATCTTACAGCTGCCTCCACCGCCAATGGTCGTAGCAAGAAGTATACGAAAGTCACTTGGTTCTTCTCAGGCTAATCTGTACCGGAATTGATGTTAGCAGGAGTTGTTCGGATTTGTAAGTGTTACATGGGTGTGATCGATTCTGCATTATCGAGGTGTCAACATTGAGCTCACAGCTCTGAGCAGGTTGATTGGCCAATGCTGGCTTCATGTGCAAGTATCCCAAAGTAAAGGACTATCAGGGCGCAAGTGCTCGTTCCGGATCTTGCTGTGCTAGCTGATTACGGTAGGTCTTGTTGCACAAGAGAGATGCAAGATCACAATACCCTGGTTCTTCCACGAACCTGGCGATCTAATCCGGATATCTGCATGCTACGCAAGTGTATTTGCATAGATACCTCCGTCGACTCTGCCAATGTATGCACAACCCTGTGTGGTCTGGAGCATATGCCGATACAGGTTGCCTATGCAATTCATGCGCAGATTCTGCTCGGTGAAACTGGGATCTGTAGCGATGCCTCAGGTATGGTCTCGTTGATCATCCTCCTTCGCCACGGCGTTCGTGTTTTGCGATGGTAGGATCGTGAATAGGCCGCCGAGGTCCTGAAACTTGGGCAGAATGAAGTCTATGCGTCTACCCATTTCCAGCAGCTCCATACGCAAGCTGTTGAAGAGCGCTGCCATCTCAGTGATGACCTTTCGAACCTCCTTTGCAGCTGCCACAGCATTCTCTTGACGCGCCTTGACCTCAGCGATCAGATAGTCGGGCGCACTGCTTGTGGTGGCAAATGAAGTGAGAATTTCGTGGATCGCGCTCGCTTCCTTGGCGGCAAATTCGCAATGAAGCTGGATGTCAAGGGCAGCTGCCGCGGCATCCTTTTCGGTATAGTCCCAATCGTCTGTCATGCTGTTGAGAGCTTCGAGCTCCTGGATTGAGTTGCTGCAGGCGATGCGCGCCTTTGCGAGGACGTAAGTCGGGTCTGCCATCTCTAATGCAGTATCGTTGACGCGAAGTGGGAGCTCGCGGTTGCTGAGGTCGGGTCAGACAGAATCAATTGGAATATCGGAGGTGTTTAGACTCACAGCAATCAACAGAAGGATGTCGTTTCGTCAGGAAGCTTGGCGGCTGGTTCTGCGCATGGAGAGATGGCGCCCAGACTCAAAAGCAGAAGATTGTCATGTGGTTGTTTTTGACGTGGTGTATGCGAGCAAGCCAACGGTCATGCATGAGCACTGCAACCGGCGAGGGCAAGTCCCTTTGCTCGACTTTCACAAATTTCTCGCTCATGGTGTTTGCCCAAGCCAAATTGTGTCCTGCTCTTGTCGACCTTTGCAAAGCCTCCATTTGTTCAGCGTTGTCGTCAAGAGCATGAACACATAGGCTTCTAGCCAGAAGTGCTGCTGCTCCCGTACGTTTCCAGCTCGATCTTCGTGATATACTGCCCAGGCACCACCACCAACCCGACGAAGCGTTTCTTCATGTCGACCTTGACATTGCCCACTTGTCCAGACTGCTCATGTCTTTGCGTCGCTCGCTTGATGTCGGCCTCCGAAGGCTCTCTGTACTCGTATGTCATGGCAAGGATGATGTTGCTCTCGTTGTCGGTACACTTCATCTGGCCTACGAACATGCGTCCATCGGAAGTGTGAAGATGCAGGGTCCGGTTGACCATGCTGCTGAGATAGGCACACGCAGCGTCCGGGTCAGCTGCCATGATGGCTGATGCGAAACCAACCCTCGAGGGTATGCTGGAGCTCTGGACAAGGTGAATATGGACTTTCCGGAACGCGCGCAACGAGCGCAACGAGCAAGCTCTTGACCCGACCCGATGGTGTGATGATGAGAAGTAGTCCTAAACTGGTGGAATCGCTGGCCACATTCTTGCCCAAAAGGAGCAATACGATCAACTCGGCTGGCAGTGCCCTATCAAGAGCCGCATTCACGCCCTCATGACACTACAATAGCGGGGCTGCAACCTTTGATCGGTCTACCGTGACCAGCAACACTGTTTACTGCCCTGCAGCTGCGCGCGATAGCTGCACGTTCGGCCTAGGCGGTAGGTCGATCGCGTCCAGCTCTGGTATTCATATATATGCCAGGTCACCGCCCATGTTCTCACGCTGCTCGAATCCCTTCTTCAAGGCGTTTCGGATATCATTAATCACAACTCCGAGCATAACTAGCAGGACCCTCCTACAAGTCCGCACAATGTCAGATCTCACAATCGAGCTTACCGCGCCCAACGGCAAGAAGTACACCCAGCCAACGGGGCTATTTATCAACAACGAATGGGTACCATCCAGCAAGGGCGACAAGATTACGAGTATCAATCCTACCGATGAGTCCGAAATCGCGTCAGTCCACGCAGCAGAACCGGAAGATGTCGATAAAGCTGTAGCAGCGGCCCGTGCAGCTTTCAATGGCCCATGGAGAGACATCTCACCTACAGAAAGAGGAGATTTGGTTCACAAGCTCAGCCAATTGGTGGAGCAGAACGCAGAGCTTTTGGCAACGATTGAGACTTGGGACAATGGCAAGCCATACTCTGTAGCTCTGAATGAGGATCTCGCAGAGGTGGCAGGATGCCTGAAGTATTACAGTGGTTGGGCAGACAAGATCCATGGTCAAGTCATCGACACTTCCCCTGCGAAGCTCGCGTATACGATTCGAGAACCCATTGGCGTTTGCGGACAAATCATCCCGTGGAACTATCCTTTAGCGATGGCCGCGTGGAAGCTCGGTCCTGCTCTTGCTTGTGGAAACACTGTTGTCATGAAGTCGGCAGAGCAGACACCACTTTCCATTTTGGTCTTCGCGAATCTGATCAAGGAGGCTGGTTTCCCTCCTGGTGTTGTCAATATTCTTAATGGACATGGTCGCGTGGCTGGTGCTGCCATTGCTCAGCATCCAGGCATTGACAAGATTGCCTTCACCGGGTCGACGGCAACAGGACGAGAGATTATGAAGATGGCAGCTGTCAATATGAAGAACATCGTGAGCTTTTCTTAGCCGTCCGTCCTTCCACGACAATGCTAACAGATTTCTACAGACCCTCGAAACAGGCGGCAAATCGCCCTTGCTGATCTTCGACGACGCAGACCTCGACCAAGCAATCAAGTGGTCGCACATCGGTATAATGTCCAACATGGGCCAGATCTGCACAGCGACGAGTCGTATCTTAGTGCAAGAAGGCATTCACGACAAGTTCGTGGAAGCGTTCAAGAAGCAGGTCACCGAAACCAGCAAAATAGGCGACCCATTCGCAGACGAAACTTTCCAAGGCCCTCAAGTCACCAAGGCCCAATACGAGCGCGTGCTCAGCTACATCGAGGCAGGAAAGACGGATGGCGCGAAGCTCGCATTGGGGGGCGAGGCATACAAGAACGTCGGCGATGGCAAAGGCTTCTTCGTGTCTCCAACTGTCTTCACAGATGTGAAGCCCAACCACCGCATCTTCAGGGAGGAAGTCTTCGGACCATTCGTGGCCATCGTGCCGTTCAAAGATGAAGCTGAGGCGCTTGCGTTGGCAAATGACACGACATATGGTTTAGGCTCTGCAGTTTTCACCAAAGATATCGTCAAAGCTCATCGAATCGCGAGAAAGATTGAGGCCGGTATGGTTTGGATCAATTCCAGCCAGGACAGTGATTTCAGAATACCGTTTGGCGGTGTGAAGCAGTCTGGGATTGGGAGGGAGCTTGGAGAAGCTGGATTGGAGGCTTATACCAATAAGAAGGCTGTACATGTGAATCTCGGGACTTGGCTGTAGAGCGGGAAAGTTCTTTGAGTCATATATCTATCTGTACAGTGCTGCAAACGAGCATAAAGGTTGTAATACCGTTACAATCAACTCTTCAACTGCAGATGATAAGTCTCAAGTTGCTCTTCCGTCATGCGCGTCGGGCTCTTGACCAGCATATCTTCTCCCCTGCCACTTTTCGGAAACGCAATAACATCTCTCACCGACTCTTTCCCAAGCATGACTGCAACCAATCTATCAAACCCCAAAGCCAACCCCGCATGAGGCGGACATCCTGCTCGAAGGATTTGGATCAGATGTGCGAAATCTTTCATCCGTTCTTCACTCATTTTGAGGACTTCTCGCATCACGTACTCCTGCATGGCCGCGCTGTGGATCCGTCGACTTCCTCCACCGAGTTCTACGCCGTTTACGACTAGGTCGTAGTGGTCTGCTTTCACGGCTAGGGGATCGGTGAGGAGGAGATCGACATCTGCTGGTGTTTTTGGCGCGGTGAAGGGGTGGTGGGTTGCTGAGATTCCTGCTGAGCCGCCTTGGCCTGGTTCGCTGGCGCTTTCGCTTGAGGCGGAGAAGAGTGGGAAGTCTGTAATCCAGGTGAAGGCGAAACCTGAAGGGGCTGGGATGTAGCCTAGTTTTACGGCTGCTTTGTTCATGGCTAGACGTAGGTTGCCGATTGGTGTTGAGCCGCCGGAGAAGGGTGCTTCTTTTCGGGCTTGAAGGACGACGACGTCTCCGTCTTGGAGCTCGAGGATTTCTTCTAGTTGCTCAGCGGCTTCGAAGCCGAACGGTTGGAGACCTTGGAGTGGTTTTCGAGAGTCGAAAATGAAGATTCCTGGTTGGCCTTCTGGGTTTTGGATGAAAGGCTGTGCTTCGGGTGAATCCATGAAGGTGCTGATGTATTTTCTTGTCTTGTTGGGGTCGTCTGATATTCGGAGCTTCATGACTTCTACGATTGGGAAATCGAGAGGTCCGATCTTTTTGATGAGGTCCACCGGCAGCATATATTCGATGCGTCTGATCTCTGAGCCGTAACGAAGATCGGGTTTGTCGGATCCATATCTGGACATGGCTTCCTCGTAAGTCATGCGATCGAATCGTTCCGGCAGAGTAATATCGACCAAGTCGTTCCACAACCGCTTCATCACTGCTTCGATTACTTTCATCACGTCCTCGCCAGTCGCAAAGGCCATTTCAAGATCAACCTGGGTAAACTCAGGCTGCCTATCTGCTCGCAAATCCTCGTCTCTGAAACATTTTGCCACCTGCATGTATCGCGGAATGCCGCTTGACATCAAGATCTGCTTGTACTGCTGCGGGCTCTGTGGTAAAGCATATGCCATTCCTGGAGCTCGGGTGGGCACTAGGAACTCTCTCGCTCCTTCTGGAGTGGACTTGAACAAAAGAGGTGTCTCAATGTCCGCAAAGTCGTGGTGCTCGCAAAGCTCGTCGCGAATGGTACGCGCAGCCTTGCTCCTGAACGCCAAAGCGTGGCGAATGCTGCTGTCGTTTCGGATGTGCAAATGACGTTGCTCTGGAGGAAAGACCGTGTCATCAGCCATGATGATGTCTTGCGGGAAGACGTTGAGGGGAGTGATTGTTTCAATCTTGATCTCTGCTCCAGTGACCAGAAGTCGTGCTCCATCTTTAGAGGCACTTGATTTGGGCGCTTTCCGTGCCTTGACTGTTCCAGATACAGCGACTGGTGTATGATTCTCGAGACTGCGTAGGAGTTGATGAGGATGATCACTGCCTTCCTCGCCTTTGGTGGGTGTTGATACAAGCTGCACCGTTGATCTCAAGTGCATATCATGCAGTTCGGCGAAGGTCAAGGATTTTGATGCATCTCTGCGAGTGCCCAAGTATCCGTGCAAGACGACTTGTTCATCGACCAAGGCATTGCTATCGTGAGCAAGTGCCTCAAAGGTGCAAGATGCGGCGGGGAAAGTCAATGTCTTCTTGAACTCCTGCAGAGTCGGAGGTATTGATGGTCCATCATGGATAGCTTTAGTTGAACTACAATGTCTGGCTGTGAGCAGTGCTCGGGGGGGATCATGACAAAGCTGCCATCTGATTCTTGACACGGGAGCCGCTGCAGTACAGCGAGTAATTCGCGACAGCATTAACTCGCGCGCAGAACGACTTGAAGCAGACGATTGATGGTGGAAATGGAGACATGATCGATGGGAGAGAAGCTGCGGCTGTCCGCGCTAGGGTATTTTGGGGAGCGTCAAATATTGATGGGCCGCGTTCCAATTGCTGTATAACTACGGCGGCCAGCGCATCTCCCGGCGTGATGTGAGAAGTTGCACGCGCGTTCCTTGCTTTTGCGCACTCCATCACTCACTACCTACTGCTAACACCTGGAGTAATCACTTGTAAGTGGACTGTTATCCTGTACTACCGAGTACTACACCTGCTATTCTATTTCAACAGCGCCCCGTCTCTCCTGTCACTCTTCTTCCGCATTACATATCATGAAACCGAAACACACACATCTCGCTGCTACCGCTACCAGCACCCATCCTAGGCCAGCCGCCAGCATAACATCCTGACCAGCTCACTTCTTCGCCGCGCCCTTTCACAACACTGCGCCGCGCCGCGCCGCACGTGTTGCTGCCTTGTTTAGTCTACAACACAAGCGACGCTGCTTCTGCAACAGCCTTTTCCGCGACAGCGACAGCCCTGCATGTGTTGGAGCCCGATTCACCAGCGTGGGACCCAGCAGATCGCGTCAACAACCAAGCAAGACACCTGAAACTGCTGTTTGAAAGGCCCGCCGACATTTATACTTTGCCTCCTGACGCACGACCACCTGTAACAGACAGGCATCATGGAGAAGCTCATTTTGCGAGGTACGTACATGGCGCTTTGATTGCGGCCTTGCTTGCCCTTTACCTAACCTGCATCTCCTCCTAGGTGTCATGTGGGGCGTAAGTACAATTCCACAAATGACATCGATCAACGTGTCGCCTGCAGAATACTGATCTAGCGAGCAAAGGCCGACAAAATACCTGACCCTTGGTTCGAGAAAATTCCTGGTGGTTTTTACAAGGCGAAGGAGCAGCAGCAAAGGATACGCAAAAGCCTCGATATGAAGAAGCACAGGAGTCGTCGTCACAGTGACGACGAGTATGACGATGAGCATAGCAGACCTGACAGAGACGACGGCTATCGCTCCGAGGGACACGGCAGACGTTCGACTCTCGGCAAGAGTTATGATGGAGGTGACGATTATGATTCGATCAACAACCGTCCGCGACGAAGCCGAAGCAAGCCACGACGATATAGGGACGACGACGATAGGTACGGACACGAAGATGCTTACAGTCGGCGAGATCGGCGGGATGGCGCAAATGGAGTAGAATATGGCACTGGTGTTGTACCGCCAGAGCAGCAGCTGCCCCAAGCACACCCAATTCCACCAGGAGTAGACCCTTATGTGGCCGGTGCTGCCGCTGCGGCGGGAGCTGCTGGAGTCCAGGCAGCACAAGCTGCACCATTTTCGCCAGTCTCAGACCCGCGATCTCCTCAACCTCCGCCATCCTTGAGCAACCACTCCGGAGGCACGAATCCATTTGTGAGATCGACTTCAACCCTTCGCGGTGGCATGGCTACTGGCTACGTTCCATACGCGCACATCTATGGCGGTCCTAAGCAAGCAAATGACTCTCCGAACTTTGCACCTCCACCATCTGACACAGCATCGGTTCAACCCAATTCCTTGAATCAAGTCGCAGCACCTGTGGCACAGCAACAAGGCTACGTACAGAATCCGTATGCCCAAGAAGCACCACCTGGTAGTCAGCCAGCCTACATGCCTGATCCATACTGGAATGAGCGGCAGTATCAGAAGAATCAGCATAGAGAGCACAACGGTCGCCGAGACAGACCCAGGAGGGACGATTATGAGTCGTCCGAGGACTCTTACTCGCCGCCCAGATCTAGGAGAAGCCGACGCTCTCGACGAGATCGGTCGTATTCGCGAGACAGATATTCAGACGACAGCCATCGTAGCAGACGAGCGCCCAGTGAGCGCCCACCTAAGGGCAATGCCGGTCCGCCAGCTCGCGGTAAGTCTCAGATGAAAGGGCCATTCGATACGTCCTCGAAAGGACTTGGCTCGTCGGTGGTCGGTGCGATAGCTGGAGGTCTCGTCGGCAGCGAGCTGGGCAAAGATTCCAAAATTCCTGGCGCAGTCGGTTCAATACTCGGTGCGCTCGCAGCTAACCATTTTCAGGCCCGCCAACGGTAAGACAACCGCACCCTCAACCTCCACCTGTATTCGTAGATCCACACAAGTCCCTCGCGCCACAGATGGCGTACCCATCATCATCACCACCACCACCACCACCACCACATTCGAGGTAAGAACAGTACTCGAAAATTTGGTGGCTGCAGAGGTTGGCGAGTTGTTCCTGGGTTCTGAAAGGCTGACACAATGATAGGATGAAGGAAGAAGCACGATCGCGTGCCAGGAGTGGCTACAGCTCGAACTAGCAGGTAAGGCTTGCGATACTCATGTTCGTCTCCCGATGCTGATGTCTTCCGTAGTCCGAACAGCCACTGCTGGACACTTCATCAACGACCATCCAATCGCCAAATACCTTCGATGCAGGAATGCAAGCGGCTTTTATGCCAATAATTTTCAGTCAGCAGCATTAAATCCCAGCGAGGCGCTTGGTGGAGTTCTGTTGCAGTTACCGGTTCTAAATACCTTTTTTCTCTTTCAATGCCCACTGCTGGGCTTCTTCAATAGCTTCTCTGCACGCTCAATCCAGTCTGCTGCCACGGCCGATATCGATCTCTTCAGCTCAGATTCCACAATTTCTATGACCTTGCTGCTCTTTCCCTCAATTGCATCCGAGGAAGTGATTCTTTTTCGTCCGATGATACAAGCATTCCTCGTGCTCGGAATGCGAAGAACATCCTGTTCAGGAAGAAATCCCACGTCTTCTGCCAAGCTTGTGACATATGAGCAGAGCGTAGAGTACGCTGATGGCATCTTCTTTTGTGCGTCCGTACGTGCTAGCGAGCCCGTTTCTGCTGCCTGACCTGGCTTGGATATGCTTCCTCGAGCAAGTTCGCCATTTTGGATGTTCTGCTGAGGGAGCCTAGTAGCAGCAGCTTCTTTCCCAGACTTGGTCTTCTGTGGAGCCCGAAACCTCGCCCCTGCCAAATCATGGCTACAGCACGGTATCGCGATGAAGCTCGAATCATTCAAGTACGCGAGCAGCGGTGTCCAAGCCGTGAGCTCATCGGCATGATTCGAAATCACGAACGTCCCGCGCTCGAACATGCCATCAGTCCAGAAGACCTCGTTGTTCGGCGCCTCCACAGCTTCCTGCAACACCTTCGGAACCAGAATTTTCTGGTGCAATCTCTCCTGTACATGATCCGGGAAAATCTCCCATGTTTTTCGATTCCTAGCATCGAAGCCATAGCCCGGATACCCTTCCATTAGCAGCAGGTATGTGAGAAGTCCATTCCCACATCCAATATCCACAAACCCTGGAAACCGCGGCAGCAGGGAAGAAGAAGTCGTGGTCATCTCATCATTACCCACACCTGTCATCGTCGTCGTCGTCGTCGTCGTCGTCGTTGTTGCTGGTCCTGGTACTTGATACAAATCCCCCCAAACCTCCATCAAAAACGCCGCAATCCCAATATCCTCAAAAACATGTTTCCCCGGATCCGTCACTTCCACCCATTTCTCCGAAATCTTTTTCCCGTACTTCGCTTTCAGACGCGCATATGTATCTTGGTAACGTTTTTGCGACAGAATTCTATCGAGGTGGACGCGTTTTTCGTAGCCTTGTAGACGGCCTTGGCCGTGTTTGTGGATTGTTTGGAGGAGTTTTAGGGCTGTTCGCGAAAGTTTTTTTGTGAGGGGGAGGGGTGAGGATGAGGTGGTAGTGGTGGTGGTGGTGGTGAAGGGGTGGTAGAGGAGGGTTAGAGTGCTATTGTTATTGTTTTCGGGATGCCAGGTGTGGAGGAAGGCGAGTTGGGAGACTGTTGGGTGGTAGAAGGGCATGTCTGAAGATTTTTCTACGTGGGGCGTGTATACGACGAGGGTGTATTGTTTCTTGTTGTCTTCTCTTCGTTCGAAATTTTGACATGTTTGGATGAGTGGTTCATCGAGCTGGAAGTTCCTTGGGATAAGTTTCCTCACGATCGTTCTTGTGGGCTCGAAATTTGGCCATTGGGTTTGGCGAGGTTGGTATTCTGGCTTGATGTGTTTGAGGAGGCTGTCTTTTGTGTGGTCTTGGTCGCTGTCGTAGAGAATGTCTGCGCGGAAGAGGTGGCTTGATGTGATGTTGGGGTTCTTTATGAGGTTCTGCATTACAGAGCTGAAGATTTCTGGTGGAAATGTGCATGGGCATTCCAGGATTGCGAGCCATAACTCGTCCGGCAGGTCGATGGTCTGCTTGATTTGTGTTTGATCTCGAGGCTCAAATTTTGTTGCGTCTTCCGCATTCTCGGTTCTTTCCACTGGCTCACAGACATCTTCGATTGAGCCCATAGCGATAGTGACTCCAGTCCTTGGCGGTTCGAGTGCAAAGGTAGATTTGCGTGGTTGTAGATCAGGAAGCTGCGACGGTAAGTAAAGTTGGGGATGCTGAAGTCTTGGCAGAAATATCTATTATGAGTGACTAAACGCCTTCAGAAACATTCAATCCCGCCAGCCTCCGTCATCTGAGTCTGAGAGGGCCGAGTTCATCTGATCTATTTGGATGCACATGCGTCTCTATCGCGCCACTCCAATGAAGCCAGCCAACAACGCTGTGCCGTTTCCGATAATCTTTCTGCGGTTCCGAGCCATGCGCTCCAAAGCACAGCACTAGCAATCAAACTAATGATATACATCTAACATCCTTCAGAAGCTGTCTCCTAACCCGCACCGATCATGATCGATTGTAGTAGTGAGCCATCTCGAGACCTGCTCTCTTATATCCACATTTTACGTAGAAGCCTTCATTTGCTTCCGAGCAGTCCAAAATCGTCTTGTAGCACCCGACTTTCTCTGCGAGATAATCCAATGCTTGGATGATTCTCAGCCCAAGCTTCTTTCCTTGCTGGTCTTTTGCGACCGCAATGTCCTCGATGTGGCCGACTAGACCAAGGTGGTGTATACTGCATTGCGATCAGCTAATCGGCCTTATACACTCTTCAGCAGTATTTGTACTCACAATTTCCGCTCCACGATGAGAGCACCTGTGCCGACAATCTTTTTCTCTCCATCCAAGATCACCAGGATATGGTATCCTCCTGCACCCGCCCTCATCTCGTCGAATCTCTTTTCAAACTCTTCCTTGGTCACGTCGCCGACTTGTGTAAGCACTCGCAATACGTCCAGGAAGCCACAGTCGAAATCGCTTCTTTGCAAGGGTCGTATCGAGTACCCTTCAGGCAATGCGGATGTGACTTGCGGCGAGATGAGGCCTGGGGAGAAGAGCGCGTCTACAAGTGGAGTTTTCGTGGTGCCGTTAGTGCCGTTGATTGCGGCCATGGTGCTGAAGAGTTTTCGAGAAATGCCTCGACCAGCGTGCGGATCTCAGCTCAACAGTCCTGTTCGCCGTTGTGCGTGGGACAGGTTTCCAGAGTTCGAGCTGTTCTCGCGATGGAATTGGGACTTCGCAGACAGTGTAAAGGCAATCCGGGACAGATGAAGACAAAGACAGATAAGAGACAGGTAGAGGAAGTGGAATGTCAGGTTTCAACGTATTTTATCAGCTATTTCTGAAACCACAGTGCTGAGTGATGCTGTTTTGTACAGTGTAATTCACATACCTGTACTGCGACTGCTATTCGATCTCGTTCCTGCAGCAATTGCAGGGTCTACGAGGCATACCCCTGCTTCGTCTCTCCCTAGCGCAACCCTATTGTTGGAAACATAGAATCGGGCTGCGTCACTGCATTGCCAGAACCTCATTCATGTACACTGCGATTTAGCGAGATGGCGGACGGCGGTGATCCCTGCTAGCGCGGCGCTAGCTAATTTCGGTTATAGCCGCAACGTGCTAGAAGCTTCTTAGCCGTTCCTGCCACTTCCTACTATTTCCAGGATTTGACTACTTAAGCACCGTTTTCCACCCGCATAACGGTTACCACTAGCGCCTCGCTTATCACTAAACCAGCTACTAATCCAACGAACTAACCAACCAAATTCGACTATTCAGCCAATCAAAATGCCGTACCTCGCTACGCTACGCACGCCACGACGTTACACTAACCACTTAGAACGCATAGCCGTTCATACTATAGCTAGATGTGGCTTAGATAACTAAACAATCCGCGCTAACACCGGGATCCGGACGCCAACCATTCGTCGAATTCTAGAAGGACCAATTATACCACCTCGCTTACGTAGCCGTAGTAACAGCGTACTCGGCACACTAGTCCGAAAACGGCTAGCCGAGGCTTGTTTAGCCAATCGCGATTAAAGAAGGAAGAAATAGTATGAGGTAGCACGTAAGCTTAGCATTCACGAGTCGTCCTACGTTATTAATCGCTTAATAACGTAGGAGGGGCTCGGCCGCTTCCGACCCCTGTATACCCTAGAAACGTCCCCCGCAATCCGAGAGAAGCGAGTTACGTAGTGTCGCCGATTCCTCGAGACTAATTAGCTAAGAACGATTCATACTAATAAGGTCGGTCTTCGGCTTATTTTTCCGAGAACGTAGGTTACGCGGCGAGCTAATAATATCGACGATCGAAGCTACCCTAACGCAATCGAGCCGCGGAAGCCGAAAGCCGTAACCCTGCATTTCTAAGGGTCTATCTCGGCTTTCGGCGTTAGACCCCTAATTGAGCTGCCTAAGGACGAAACATAGACTAGCCAATACTATCGCGAGAATATCCTGCCTTCGGTTATACTGTTTCGCTTAGCGCTCGAAATGGAACAGGGCGGCTCCTTCTTATTAGTCGAAGACAACGCGCTATATTATAGGGCGGGGCTAACCGTTGAAGCACATACAAATACAGGGACCAATCGTATAGCGCTACTATCCTATTCGCCGGAGCTAAACCTAATCGAGAACGTATAGAGCTATTGGAAGGATAGGATTAGTAAGCGGACACCGCAACTAGGTGCAGTTGCCGAGCTCCGAGATGCGGCTAAGGAAGAGTGGCGTAGAATTTCAAGGAGTTACCTTCAAAATTTGTTTAACTCTATGCGGAAGCGTTGTGAAATGAGTATCGCTCGCAACGGTTACCCAATCGAGTATTAGCTAGCTTTATTTCGCCTCTTAATCAAATTTGGTTAGCGCCGCGCTAGCAGGGATTACCGCCGTCCGCCATCTCGCTAAATCGCAGTGTACTTGACTCAACCATGTCTCGACTTCAGCAATAGAGATCCGTAAGAGATACAATTGTTATAATACTGACTGGTATTCGCTTCGGACATTGGCTACACATATGCCTGCCGAGCTAATTGTCCACATAAATTTCGTTCTCGTCGCTCGTGCCTCTCGCAACAACAAAAGAGTACTCCCCATGGTAGAGGCTATTGGCCCCCAGCTTGAAGCCTTGAACTCGGTAACCCCTTGCTATGATAGTCATCACATCGCATTGCGATCTTTCCTTGCCCCTGGATCTTTGCACCATGCCGTGCTTTCCTGTATCCCAACACATCGCTTTTTGCCTTTCACATGCTGATATACTATCTTCCTCGCGAGCTCGTTAGAACAGATTGCCGCGAGGCACCGCAAGAAAGATGCCAACGAAGATGCATGAGAGAACGAAAGAACCAAGAATTGCTTGCACAAAGATCGTGTCCTGGATTTGTCGCAGTGCAGGCTCCTGGATCCAAACTTCGCGGTCGAAAATCTTGCGGACAACGTTTCGCTTTTTGTAGCGCGGCACCCACGGCTCTTCCTCGAACGAGTTGCCCGAAATGGAGAGCAGGTCGTCGTGGGACGAAAACTTGTCATTTGCGACTTCCTCCGACTCGTCGGCAAACAGCTCCCAGGGCCTGACGTGTCTGTGATGCATGCCGTGCAGTACCACACACATTCCTTTCCATGCTGCGATTAGCGTCGAAATGCCAATCATCCATCCTATGATGGGGAGAACTCTCCAGCCGCGTCCGGCATGACTGAGTGTGATGAGTAGATCTGCAAGGAAACCTGCAAGGATACCAGCAACGCCAAGACCGCGAGCGAAGACGACGCGCGGTCGGTTGCCATTGCAGATGGTCCATCTGATGAAGTTTGGATGAGCTTGCTTGCGGAGCGAGTATTCAACGGTCGTCACTATGCTCCTGAATGCAGACGGATGCGTCGTGTGCTGTAACGCGTGGAGGACAGCCTGTCTCTCGCGAGAGGACAAGTTGAGTTCACGAGGACTTCCGTCGGCGATATATATGCTCACAATTCTGGAGACCTCGTCGCGATAGGGTTGAGTAGTAACTAGAGCATGTTAGCTTTTGACCCTGGACGGCTATTCATGCAAATGTGGGTCAGCTTACATGGCTTCCATTTCATTCCGGCCTCCTCAAATGCTTGTTCAGTCAGTGCACGGTGATTGCTATTTGCACTACCAAGGAGTGTCTTCTCATCACTGACGGATGAGGCGTTGTCAGAGGCTCCGTCTCGCTTGCTGTCGAAGGAAAGCGATGCGGGCGGTGTATTGAAGGGATCAGCTCGATCTACAGTAGGTTTGCGTGAGTCACCAAGGTCCGTCTTGTTGAGCACCTCTGCGATCTGTGGAGCTACTCGTTTGGGCCGAGACGGTGCGACTGTGTTGTCAGTCTCAGCAGAGACAGACCACTCTGGAGCGAGTGCTTTCTCGCTCTCCTTCAGCTTCTCCCACCGGGCGGTGTAGTCACGAAACCATAAGAAAAATTGTAGGTTCTCTGCTGAGTACTCAATGTACTTGAGGTAATTCATGAACTCTCGAAGGGTAACGGGCTATAAATGTCATTAGTCATCTTGCATGAGCTCGAGATGCAGAGAAAGCTACAGGGCAAGTGCCTCCCTCCACGATGCGATCGAAGCCAAGGGCTGCCGGAATTCCATGACTCAACGCAGAGGTGCCCGACTGGATCGAATCGTTGATGGACTTCTGCTTTTCGTCGCCGTTGAGCGAGTCGCGAGATGAAGCAGTGACGTGAGAAGGCCGTCGGTAGGTCAGAGAGTACACCATGGTGGTGACAGATCAGTCAGGTTGTCAGTGCAGGAGGGCAATGGAAACGTGAACCCAATCAGGGCCTCGGCGGCCGTGACGGTTGACTTAAGAAGCAAAAACGACTGTAGGGCCAAAGGGCGAGAGACGGATGGATCGTTTCGGTCGGGAGATAGGAGCGGCGTGAGGGAGATATAACTTTTATTAGACTTCTTCCTCTTCCTTCTTTCGAGGCAAGCGCGAATGAGGCGTGCCCGCGTGGAGCTCTCGTCTGAGCGCCCGGTGGCTTAAGAGCACAGGCAATGTAGACGAAGTTGATGATGCGGCGCGGAGGAGAGCAAGAAACAATGGCAAGCTGCAGCCTGCACCATGCCGGAGGACCTCGCTATATTCTCGAGAGCTGCATCGGGCTGGCCTGGCAAGCAGCGTTCCGGCGGGTCTGTTCGATCACCTGCGGGCTGGCGATCACTTCGTGGTTCGAGGTGCAGCCAGCAGTAGTGCCTGGGCCGAGCTGGAGTACGCATTCGTCGCATTGGCGAGCCGACAGCAGAACCTTCACGGCACGGTCCCAAGGTCCACCGCGTTCGCCATGATTCAATAATACCACATGGCAAACACGATGGGTTCCTTGCGTGCATGTCTCAGGAGCACAAAATATGGAGAGTTCCCCTCAAAGATGCCAAGAATGCTTGCTGGCCTGCGGTCTTCGAGTACAGTAACGTTATCTTGAGATGAAGATCGATGGCGTCGTTGCCGCCACTGTCTCAGTGCGCCAGCCACGGCGTGTCCAACACGTGGTGTGAGCACGCTCACTTCAGCACAGATGTTGTGTTAAGGATGAATGTGTCTCTCTCTGACGTTCTTGCTGTCTTCAATGGAAGCATGCTAGACTCCCCGTTATGCTGCCTGTACATTTCCAAGGCTTGAGCAAGTGCAACTTGACCGTAACAATCACCCAGAGCAGCAATAGGAGCTCCGATCTTGGAAGCAAGCGAAGCGACGGTACGCTTGATGTTCACCGTGTCTCCCGCCTCGCGGGTCAGCTTCCGCATCCCAACCGAGCTAGAGGACTGAAATGCATGTTCTTCCAGTACCTGCTGAACTGCTCCTTCTTGTTCCTGACATCTCCGAACCAGATCCACGCATTTTGAAGGTCGTGGCAAGCCAGCCGCTTCGCCTCACCGTCGTAATCATGCCATGCCATCCACATCCGATGTCTGATCTCGCCTGATGTTTGGACGACTTCACTACTTTGGCACATGCTCCCTGTAAGCCGCTCGAGCTCACCCTGGCCCCTGTGGAGCGCTTTTGGCATACTGCAGAGACCTCGCTAGAGAGAGTACACAAGTGGCTATCACAGAATCTACATCTGACTATCAAACTCCTTCTGGGCTATTAAAAGACCACTGTGGCCCTGGAGTCAAGACACGCACTGCATCCGTACAATGCGTAGGCTGACATGGACTGCGCGGACGAAATGCAGGGAGAGCTTCCTCGTAGGAAAATCGAACACGGCCTTCATCATGGCACGCTGCCACCAGCTGGATTTTGTTTGCCATTTCGCATCTATTGGTAATAAGCGCATGCACAGTGACTGACGCGTGCCTTTGACGCTCAGGAATATTCTGTGCTCATTCTCTTGGACACGAGACGCCGCAATTGGTGCAATTGGTCCATCGCTCTCCTTCGTGGATGGCTGATGGTGGCACTGCAAGCAGAAAATTTGGCATTCACGAACTCGTACACGAAGCCATGGCACTAAGTATACACGCCCGCTCTGTTGCTCTCATGCTCGCTGCTACATTGGCTTGCGTCGGAAATACCGAGAACTTCTTTGAGAATGCATGCGTTCTATGCCACGCATGCATTTGCAACGATACCTTGTATCATTATTCCTGGGCCGATATTGAACCGTGGTCTTGGCCTTCTCTCGTAATCACTACATACGGTTGATACGTGGCTCAGCTTGATGGGACTGATGATATGATTACGTGTGTGAGAGTCGCCCGCAGTAGCTCGGTGATGACGAAACCGGAGCGAGGAAGATTTCATTCTGGGTATCTCAAGTGGCGGAAAGTATGTGATACAATAGCATCACCGGTTGGCATCTACGAATCTTCGCCGGCTTCGTTCGCAAGCTCAGGCAGATTCTCCACGCGTTGCATCTCAGAAGACCGTTGCTGTTGTGCTCTCAGCGCACCCGCAGCAGCCATTCCCATGACAATGCCTCCTAGATGACCAGCATGGTCGATAGTGGTCGTCATTCGGCTCATCGCAGCAGAAAGTTCAAGACCTCCAAATAAGGCCAAGAACACCCATGCAGATATGGGAATATCGTAGCCGAATATATGCATTTTTGCGTTGGGGTGCAATGTGCATGCCGCCGCAGCGACTCCCAATACAGATCCGGATGCCCCGAACACATATGCCATCCATTGCTTGGTCGCAACGTTATATGCCAAGCTAGCATAAGCTCCCAGGACACCCGAGGAAAGGTAGATCGCTAGGAAGGTTCCACGCCCGACATCGTCGTGAAGCATCAGGCCAAAGAGCCAGAGCGATACGACGTTGGATAGCAAGTGTTTGAACGTGTCGTGTCTGAATGTCGCGCCAATAATGCTGAGAGCGTATGGGTAAGCAGGTACGACCGTCATGTATTTACTGTATGACCTCCAGAGAGGTGGGATCCGGCCCATTATGAAGGACGCGAACAATATTCCAGTGAGCGCGTAAAGTGTCGCTGCAGCAGGTGGTGTATCTGGAAACATACGAGCTGATTTCGGAGGGGGTGTGTAGTTCTCGCTCAGGTAGTAGCAACCAGCAAGTACAGCGAGGAGCATCAGGAATGATGGCGCTAGTCGTTTGAATGCGCTCATCTGCGGTACCACATTTTCCTTGATTATTGCTGCTTGCTCTTCGTAATATTTCACCCAGGGTTTACGCTCCACCGGTGCCAGCCAGGCTTTCGTCTGCGGTGCGCCAATGTTGACGGTCTTCGGCAGATTGAACTTCAGGCCGAAGGGTCCTTTGACCTGCGTCGTAACCTGAACGCTGTGCACGATCGGTTTGACACCACCAGCTAGGTCAAGCGGGCCGCGAGCCACGGCTATCGCATTCGCTGCTAGTTGTGCTTCCTTCCGCTCCTTCTCTGCTTTCCAAACCTCGAAGGCCGATTCGTTGGCTTTCCTGGTCTGTATTAGAACGCTCTCTCCGGACCTCGCTCTGCCTTCTGCAGTGCCTTGTTGCGATTCTTCCGGCACGTGCTCTAGCTCAGCTTCGGGTTCAGGCTCTTCGCCCTCTGGCGCTTTATATAGACCGAGCTCTACGGCACGTGCTTGTATATCTTCTCGCAGTCTTTGCTGCTCCTCTTCTGCCCATATTTGACCATTTGCGGATTCATCCACATTTGGCAGCACACTTCTGACATATTCCAGTCCTTTCAAAGCTTGATCCGAAGTCACGCCTGAGCTTTTGGGGAAGTCGAGCCCAACATCGATGAGGGCGCCAGACATACGTCGCCAATGCATGACACTCAATATGTAGTTTCCAGTATCCACATCTATCTCTTCGCCCTGAAATATGGCATTGATCTGGGGCTGGCTTCGCTCCCCATCCGGTAAAGGCATTCCACCCTCGGGTGCATAGTCTCGCCAGGAGAGCTGCTCTGACTCGGCCTCGACTGGTAAGCCTTCGCTATGAGTTGCCAGCGTCTGGGCAGGTTGCAGCTTTGCTTCATTTTCATTCGCTTTCCTGGCCTTCGCTGCGTGATTCTGAGGTGGTGGAGGCCTTGCCGCGTGATTCTGAGGTGGTGGAGGCCTCGCCGTCTTCTGTATTGAAGACCTTTGCCTGGACTTTGCAGCTAGGCATGAGGACGTCGAGAATGGAACCTCGTAGCGCGCTGGAGATAGCGCTTTGCTCGATCTTGACAGTCGACCCGGGCGCGCTGTCGACCACTCTGCGAAGCTACGCGTCGACGTGGACTTGGCATATCCATTGAAAAGTTTCAGGAGTGGTCTCGCTCGAGCTTGTGGGGCGGCGCTGTACGCCCGTATCGCTATCGATGTCCAGACATTGTTCATGATTGAAGCTAAATGCTCCGTTCACGATTCTCAGAGTCGATGTGAATGAAGTGATGATGATGAGCTAGACTGACTCTCACTGACGCGGAGACCGTTCGGAAGTGCCCCACTTAAACTTTCACATGCAACGGCCAAGGGTCCTACGTAACGCGCCCTCGTAGCCTGAATCCGGGGTGAGCTCTCTCTCTCTCTCACTTTCGTCCATTTCTCCTCAAGGCACATGTGACCCTTCATACTACAAACCATAGCTGATGCCTTCACCGCTCCCTCCGTGGCTCGAACTCTACCCAGCCGCCGCCAACAACACTGCTGCTCAGAACACCGCTCCAAATCCATCACAAACAGAGAATCTGTTGCCCTTCGACACCATGTCATCAAACTCGACACCGATCAGTCCCGAGATGTTCGCTCTCGCCATCAAGGACCTTCCTATCGACACACTTTACGCTAAAGCATCAGAGCTCCAAAACAGCATCTCCCATCTCCTCCACTCAAACGCACAAATGAAGGAATTCGCAGACGAAGGAGACGATGTGTGCAAGGAAGCAATTGCGGAAAACGATGTCGTGGTCAAGAGAATGGAGGAGCGTGTAGCGTTATGCCAGGTGGAGTTAGAAAGTAGAGGTCTGCTCTGGACGGGTCATGCTGAGAAGGATGAAGTCAAGGTCAATGGGCACGCTGAGACGAATGGCGAAGCTAGTGGCAGATCTGCTCCGACGCCAGCGGCGAGTGGGAGACTGAATGACGAAGAATTGAGACGGCAGCTGGAAGCACAGATGGAGGATGATGAAGATGGCGTGCATCTGTGAGCAAGAGAACAGGAATCTCAACGAAGGAAATTACTCACGAGAAGATGAGATGGTCGTGATATGACACGAAAGTCTGAACCCGACTTGCAGCTTTGCTATCAATGAGAGAGTGGGGATCGCATCCACATCTCGATATTCGAAGCGTGGCACGTGGGAATCGAATCATCAGTGGAAGTGCTGTGTGCGGAGATCTTCGTGACCATCTTTCAGAGACGCCATCTGAACCTCAAACCAGAGCATGACATGATAACTCGCATGGATCCAGCTCTTGTCACGAAGTCTAGAATGCCAACAAGGCCTAGTCGACCACCAACGATGACTTTCCCGAAAAGCTCCAGGAACTTGTAGACATCAAGAGGACTTTGTGCATGTCGTCTGGCACCTCAATGACTTCAATATCGGCTCATGTTCTTTGCACATCGCATCCACAATAGTACACAATCAGGTGTTAACAGATCCAATTCGCATCTGGCGCGAGGCCCACTGCGGCTTCTGATGCGCTCTTGCCTGTATACCTCGCTAAACTGCTGACTTGGAGAAGCGGAGCACGGTTACGAATATAATGGCTTTCTGCCAAGCGATCGATCATGATGGGTAGCCGAGGGCTTGGGCGGTCTCGTTCTATGCAGTGCCGAGTCGAGTTGGCTTGTCGTTTCGAATGCGATGATGCTGCCTCGGTGTGCAATTGCACGGCTGCGCCACGTCAAATGCGAATTGGAAAAATCTGGTTGATGGTGGTGTTGCCGACAGGGGTATAGGAGTGTCACTTAGCCAGCATGCCATGAAAGTTTGACCCTCGTTGCAAGTACGAAATCAATTCTCAGCCGGCTTGAGAGAAGTCCGACAAGTTCGGATATCGAAGGTCCGCATTCTCTTCAAGGTGTGCCATCCACGACTTTAGAAATTTGCTGCCGGAGCTGATGGTCTCAGAGTCGCCAATCACGCACAGCTGGCGTTTTGGACGTGTCATCGCAACTGTGAATCAACGGTCAGCAATGCTCTGAAAATCGCACTATCACAAGATTCTTACCATTCAAGCGTCGTTTCTCACTTAAAAAGCCGACTTCGTGCTCTGCATTGCTTCGCACAAGGCTCACAATCACCGCCTCTTTCTCGCGGCCTTGAAAGCCATCAACGCTGCCAAGCTCAAGTCCGGGAACTTGTTCCTTGAGCATCTGTGAGAGCAGAGCGAGTTGCCCATTGTATGGTGTTACAACTGCAATATCATCGGCCTTCACACCAGAATTGACGAGATTTATGATGTGTTCACGAACGATCAACGCCTCCGCTTCATTCACCTTGCTTTCGGCGAGCAGACTGGACTTGCCTTTGACAGTATCTTCTGCCTCAGTCTTCTCTGGGAAATCTCCTCCTTGTGTGTCGAAAAAGATTAGCGGTTCGATTGTATTGTCGTTTCCCGCGACACCATAGGGCAAGTCCTTTAGAAGACGAGATTTAACAGCATCCGCAGCAATCAGCTTGTCCCCATAAAGTGCATGTGAAGGAAATTGCATGATTTTCTCGTGCATGCGATATTGTGTGGTGAGCATTCGCTTAATCTTGTTGCCATGGAGCTTGAGCAGTCGATCAAAAAGTGTTGTTTCGAGATGGACATCATCGTCCTTGGCCTTGGCAGCGCCGCCCGTCGATTTTTGATCGGTAAGACTGGCCTTAGCAAGGGCTTTTGTTGTGTCCTCTAACTTAGTTGTCGGTTTCAAATGCTTCTTCTCGACTTTACTATTTGATGACTTGATCGTTGGTGGCAGCTGAAGATGGTCCCCTGCCAGCACAAGCTTTGAGGCTCCGCTCGTCAAGACAGGGATCCAGCATTGCGCTTCCAGGGCCTGAGATGCTTCATCCACTATCACGACATCGAATTCTTGATCTGTGGGATGTTTTAGCTATTGCTCAAGATCGTTGTCGTTGATAGCTGCTGTAAGACTGGATTGAAATACCTTTCAGCTGGAAACCTCCGGATCCGTGAAGAGTTGAGAGTACAACTTGGCTTTGCTGGAGTAGTTCTCTCACTACTCGGCCTTCTCGCTCGCGATACTCTTTTCGAAGGTCTTTGAGCTCTCCATAAATAGCTTTCCTTTCCCTGCCATTCCGTGTCTTACGGATTGAAGCTTGCTTGCTGTCCATTTCCGATCTGATATCTGTTACAATAGCAGCAGCGTCACTAGTGTTTGTAAGGACCTCCATGCTGTGATTGATGACGCTAGGCAAGAGACGAGCAGGGTGGCCAAGACGAACCATGCTGACTTTGTGAGGTGCCAGACGCTCAATAATGTTGTCAACACTGATATTACTTGGGCCGCACACCAGCAGCCGGAGCTTTTGCTTCAAGAGTTGCAGAATGAGCTCGATCAAAGTGTGAGTCTTTCCAGTTCCGGGAGGACCATGTATCAGTACAACCTCTTGCGAGGCGAGCGCAAATTGTATGGCTTCTTTCTGACTGTCGTTCAAAGTTGGATCGCTCCATTGGATCTCAGCCTTGAGGTCAGAATCAGAAACTGCAGTAGGTGATGATCGCCCAAACAGGACCTGCGTTAGCGTGCTATGCTCTGAAGGCTGCATTTTCTGGAGCCTTGACATAGTCTGATTGAGACGCTTATACGTGACATCGTTGGCCAATTTGACTCTAAGTGGAAAGGAGGGAATCAGTATGGACTCCTACTTACCGTGAGCTTCGCCGACTCACAGCCAAAGCTTGCCTGTAGGCAAATCTGCATCTTCCTTGTCCAATGCTACAGTGATAGTCGTTGTGTGCGTTTTCGTAACGACGCCCTCAACGCCCTTCTTTTCCAAATTCTCCCTCTCTTTCTTCTTCTCGGCGCCTTTTGGCTGCTCGGCCACCGCACAGATGTCGCCAACGCGAAGACCATGTTCAGGCAATTCGGGCGAACTTGATATGGCAGGATCTAGACTGAGCTCCAAAAGCGTCTTGCCGCCGAAACCCGTTCTCTGCGATGATACCGCCAGATTCAGCAGAGCAAGACCAGCGCGCTGCAGTGTTGTCGGCGCGTGAGTCGAAGTCAAGAGCTGCGTCTCGGCGACTTCAGCATCGCGCTCGTTGTCGAGCAGCGACAGCTGACTGGCTGCGAACGCCGCTATGTCTGTCTCCTTCATGCTGGCGACAAATCCTCGTCTGGTAAGATGGGTAGTTACTACACTGCCAATGCTGGAACTGCTTAGATTCATGCTTCTTTGGCCGAATTTCGGCCGAGATCCGAATGCATGCCTGCACTTCCCTGTCGTCATTCTCCCGCGAACCTCGTCTGATCATTTCCGCTGTTTTCGGTGTATGGAATGATCTTTCACCAACGTCGGCGGAACGAGGAGAACCGCCATATGATGGAAAGGTGAAAAGCAAGTTGGACCTCCAGGACATGTCGCTTTCCAGGCGGTCACTTTTCGTTTGGACGCTTTTCAGCAAGAGTGCTATGCTCCTGCCGTACAGCCGGCATTGACGCGTGTGAGTCGACAAGTACGTTCCGAGTCACTTCCTCTCTACTACGAATGCAATGACTTCGTGTTGCATACCGAGAGTCCAAAGGCAGGAGATGCGTGGAAGTGGCTGCGAACTAATCAGATCTACCTTCCCATCATGCGACGTCTGACGCTGTGGATACGATATGTGCCATTCGCGAGCCACAGGGCATCATCCCAAGGAGCAATCGGCATTTCGATATACCGTCCCACAAGAGCGGATAAATGGAAAATAGACGCGGGCTGGAAATGGATCACTGTCGTGCGCCGGCCTGCAGAGTTAAATGGCGATGTGAAGTATATCATGAAAAGGCTGGACGAAGCACTTGCTCCGATCTCAAAGGAAGGCGCAGGACCCGAAGACTATATTGGCATGATGTTAGGCTATTCTACGTTCATTCTACGTTCAGCAGAAGATGTCATGATCTGTCGTCAGGTCATCCGCCGTGGTAATATGGCTTTAACTTTACGAAATCGCCCAGCGCAAGAATACGGCAACACAATACCTTCAATGTCCTTCGCAAAAGTAAGGAACGAGGGATGTGCCATAAATCTGCAATCAATTAGCCGGCTTCCGTCATCAGCTTCGATCTTGTTGTGACACAGCTGTGTTACGAAAGAGCCACGCTAAAGAGCATGGTCAGCAGATATCTGGGACTCAAAGGCTATTGGGCTACTCGCCCAGCAGAATCCAGCAGTGCCGACCGGAAGATATTTAGCTTCGTTCTTCTTGAGGGCCTTCATAAAAGCCATAGACTCATGCTCCAGCCACAGCGGGTCTGGTGCACATCATGAAGGGAAGGAAATACCACATCATATACGCAAGATGGCGGACCTTTTAAGCTGAGCCCAGGAATCGATTTTACGGTCTAGTCAAATCTCGTAATACCTTGCATGAATTCGGGTAGATAAACCTGGAAACCCATTCTTCGCATAGTTGTCTGCCAAGATGCGTTTATTTGGCGAACTCCATGCAAATGCATAGGATTTGGAGAGACACTGCTCCAAGAACGAGTCCTGTAGCTCCCCAATAATGATATATTCAGGCTTCAAGCCTACGGTTATTGTTTTGGTATCTCCATATGTTGGCCACAGTATGCCGTGTGGACTAGCGACTCTTCTTGTGGATATGCAAGGAAATTTGTTGCCATCGCGAACAAGCATCATTTTATTTAGAAACACAACTCATCATTCACCTCATCTACATACGTCCTTGTACAATCCACGCTACTCATCATGGTGATCTTCACCCTCCCAAACCCGTGCCACCAAAAATTCTGATTCCGGAGAAAGGTGCACGCCGATTCTTCAAATTTCGCCCAAGGAGTGAGCAAAACGGCCGCATATGAGCAAATCATCGGAGAAGCAAAAGCTCTTTTCGATGGCCAACGAAACTGGGTAAATTCCTTGTACCTTTCACTCACAAAGCTCTTGACCACATTCTAAAACTCTCACAGGTCTGGTAAGAAGCAAGCACGATGAACAGCTCTTCTCTTCAGGCCAGCAATGCTAAACCCATATCCAGCAACACCGCAAACACAGCCTCTCTAATCTGGCACGCCCTCCACGCCCTCCCCTTCCCAAGCAACAAAGTGAACTGGGCAGGTTTCTACGTCCTCGACACATCTTCTTCCATCACCGACCAATTAATTCTAGGACCATTTCAAGGCAAAGTACGAAACACCTTTTTCAAATCCCCAAGCTATAATCTGCAAAAGGATAAAACCACTTGTCCTTCTTCTTCTTCTTCTGATACAGTCTACATGAAATCATAGGTCGCATGCCAAACCATACAATTCGGAAGAGGAGTCTGTGGAGCAGCAGCAGCGACAAAAACGACACAATTAGTCCCTGATGTGGAGAAGTTCGTCGGACATATTGCGTGTGACGGGGATTCGAGGAGTGAGATTGTTGTGCCGGTTCTGAAAGGGGGGGAGGTATGGGGTTGTTGCATGACGGATTGTGGTCCGTGAGACTGACGGTAGTTGCTCCAGGTCGTTGCGATTATCGATATTGATTGTGCTGTAGAGAATGGGTTTGATGAGGAGGATCAGAGGAAGCTTGAGGAGTTGGCGGAGATTCTTGCTGAGGCTTGTGATTGGTGAGGCAGGGCTAGAAATTTGATTGATGTGAACAAGCGCTTGGGAGGTGAGGTTGATATATGGATTTCGCTGGCACTCATAAGACGTGCTGCCTTCCATCATGATTTCGTGACAGTGGAGCACACCGGATGAAGCGAATCCTGCTCATGTCTTGGAAGCAAGCAGTAGTGGGAAGGAAGATTTGAGCATTGAGTAGCATAATTCACGATTCAGGAGTGCTGATTGTAATAGGGCTGAGGCAGACTGACAGCACCACCAAAATTATGGACGGGATTTACCCGCCCGAAGCTGACTATATCTGGAGTAGGAAGAGCAAGTGGACATTTCAATTGGCACGCACAATTGGTATCTTGATTTGAGACTCACAATTTGGCACAAGACTCGCTTTTACTCGCCAAACGCTAAGCGCCACAACCACGATTGAAGTATGTATCGTGGTATTCATCAAAAACACAATCGCTTGGGCACCTCTTTGGCTTATGCAATCGCTTCGTACCTCATGCAATCAGCTCATACTTGCTTCATGTCGACAACGCATCGGATGCAGTCTCCGGCGCGCATGTCCTGGAATGCTTGGTTGATGCCGCCAAGCTTCTGTCTGTGGGTGATGAACTCGTCGACCTTGAGCTTGCCGTCCATGTAGTCTTGCACGAGACCGCCCATTTGGCTGCGGCCCTTGACACCACCGAAAGCGCAGCCCTTCCATACACGGCCGGTAACAAGTTGGAATGCTATACAGAAGTCAGTTGGAAATATCGCAAATTAGAGATATGACGACACTCACGTCTTGTCGAGATCTCCTTTCCAGCAGCAGCGACACCAATAATGATGCTCTCTCCCCAACCCTTGTGGCAAGCCTCGAGGGCTGCTCTCATTACTTGCACGTTACCTGTGCAGTCGAAGGTGTAGTCGCAGCCGCCGTCGGTCATATCGATAAGTCTCTGCTGGATGGTCTCGCCCTCCTTGAGGTCCTTAGCTGGGTTCACGAAGTCAGTAGCGCCGAATTTCTTCGACCACTCCTTCTTCTTGTCGTTGACGTCAACCACAATGATCTTGCCAGCCTTGTTCTTCGCAGCACCCTGAATGACCGAGAGACCGACGCAGCCAGCACCAAAGACAGCCACGTTTGAGCCCTCCTCGACACCCTTCCCAGTCCGGCCAGCAGTGATGACTGCGGCGCCGTATCCGGTGGTAATACCACAACCAAGCAGACATGTTCGGTCCATCGGTGCCTTGTCCGTCACGGTAACAACAGAGATGTCAGCGACAACGGTGTATTGGGAGAATGTAGAGCAGCCCATGAAAGCGAGAATATCCTGGCCCTTGCACTTAAATCGAGAAGTGCCATCTGGGAGGACACCCTTTCCTTGAGTGGCACGAATCTTGCCACATAGGTTGGTCTTGCCGGATTTGCAGAACTTGCATTCGCCGCATTCTGGTGTGCTATTTCAATTGTTAGTCCCCAGTGTCTTATATGACATGTTGCCGAGTTTTGGGAGATAGTCCATCAAGGTCTTCCCAGAAGGTATACCCAGCAACCTTTTTCCCGCGTGTACTTACTAAAGTGCAACAACTGTGTCGCCCACCTTCACGTTGGTCACGCCTTCGCCAACGCTCTCAACGATACCAGCGCCCTCGTGTCCAGCAATGACAGGGAAAGCGCCCTCAGGATCTTGTCCACTCAACATGTATGCATCGGTATGGCAGACACCCGTGTAGTGGACCTGTATGCGGACCTCGTGGGCCTTGGGCGGAGCAACCTCAACATCCTCAATCACCAAGTCCTTGCCGGCCTCCCAGGCCACAGCAGCCTTGCAGGTGATGGTTTTGCCTTCAGTCGACATTTTGCAATCCTCAATTCTTCAAATCTGCCCAAATAGCTCGTGACGCAATCGTGGTGGTTCGGGTTGGGAAGCTGCAGAGACCTTGATGGGCAGTGCAGTACAGGTATTTGAAGGAGGAGAAAAGCTTTAGTAGTTCAGCGAAAGGGAGAAAGGTGGCAGGCTCATGGGAAAACCGCTTTTCGCCCAATTTGAGTTGATTCGTTCCCTCCTGCCAACCAGTACGATGATGTATTTTGCTATCTCCCCTGGTTCAATAATCGCGGGGCTTGGAGGGGCGCTCACACTCTTCCGTTGCCGCGAGAAAACCCGCACGCAGTGGCAAATGGCGAGCCGCAATCGTCCCGATGCATTTGGAAAGTCGTGGCGCCTTGCCGGATGTGGATTCATCTTCCTGTGCTTGAGTGAGGCTCTGTGATAAAGATGCGGCTCCTGTGCGGGAAGGCCGCATGGTGCAAAGTCACGGCAGCACAGTAACGGCAGTGCAATCCGGACAGCCACGGCGAACGCGAACACTTGGTCAGGCTGGCTGCCATTTTGCCGACGTATCTGTCAGGCTACGGTATTGCTTCCGGCGGGTGGTGTATTAGTACGCTGCGCGAGGCAGCACCCAACCGACCGCATCACGTCCATGGTTCTCCCAACATTGCCGCGAGCTCATTAAGGATAGGTTGATCATATCGCGATTGAGCGAAGCGTTTGGAATTGCGAAGAGCGAGACTTGATGCAGAGGACTGCGCGAAGGACGAGGTCGCTGTAGAAAAGGGGGCTGAACTTGCGATACGCATTGACCACGCACAAGATCAGTACGCGGTGCTTTGCTGATCACTGTAGTACGTGGAGGGAGGACGTCGTGGTCCAGATTGAAGAGATTACGCGGGTGAAGGCAGAAAGACTGGAGGCAGAGCTTCTGGGGAGGAGACGTGAAGGACAGACACTACAATGTTTCGAGATGCAAGGGCGATGATCGATTGAAGGACTCTTGAGATGCGGAGAGTGTATCCTGCGTGCTCGCATATCTGCGACAGCTTAATCACATTTGGGTGGTGATCTTATCATGCGCAGGGGTCCAGTGAAAATCCCTTACATACAGCGTCTACTATTTTGTCTTGAAAACGCCTGCTGTTGAATATACAACTACCGTTACATGCTAATCGGAAGATGCGTCCTGTTGCATCATTATTCAATCCTCCTGCAGGCGGCATGGCCAACCTATGCAATCAACTCGCACGGCCGGCCGGCCTTTCGTCGCGCCCACCACCAGATCGCCACTTGAATTCATTCCTGTCATCTGATGCGCGCTAGTGATCGAAAGTCTGGTCTGCGCATCGCATTCGCTACACTCGTCTAGCACTCAGCATCTTGGCTGGCGCGCGAGTTCATGAGCAGAGCAACGATAAGTCCGTAAAGACCTGGGAGACCGATTAGCGAATGCTTTGAAAGTCTGTTCTGTATCGGTGACTTGCCCAAGACTTCTGCGAAAATGAGGATAAGAATCATGCCGACGAACAATCTTGGTTGCTGCGCGGTACCACGCACACCAGCATCACCCACAATGCCAATGGCGAAACCTGCGGCAAGACCAGCAAGACCGACAGAGAGACCTGCACCGAGCTGAATGAATCCGGTGAACAGCGGCACCTTTTGAGTGAGCTCGTTTGAGATCAGGACGGACACGACTAGACCGTAGATAGCAATAATACCAGCCATAATGACTGGGATGATGTCTGTAGGAGCAGATCAGCTGGTGTTGGTGGATATCTCTCGCTCCAAAACCTCACGTACTCTTGACGATCAGATCGGGCCTGAGCACACCCATAGAAGAGATACCGACGCCAGCCTTTGCGGTTCCGTATGCAGCGCCGAAACATGTGAAGACAATGGCGCTAGTGCAGCCCATGGCACCGAAGAAGGGCTATCAAGCAGTTAGTATCAAGATAACATGAACTTCACATCTCTCTCGATCTTCCAGCATCTTGCACATCCAGCGCAACCATCTTCCATGCATTCCGTGTACCCAAAATATGGAAGCTTATTGATGGCGCGTACGGTGGCCAACGCAGCCAGGAGAGGAGCAGCGATTCGCGGTGGATCGGAAGGAACTTACGGCATACACGGGGCTACAAAGAACATTTTGTCAGTTGAGATCTATACCATGCATTGCATATGACAGCCGTGATGGCTTGAGGGCGCGCATGGAGCTCTTTGCCATGTTTCTGCGCCGTCTAGCATCGCGGCAGTGGTGCCGGGCGAAGTACATACCAGAGATCGGTGGCCATGTTGACGATGTTTCTCGGCGTGTGGTAAGGAGTTGTACGGGTGTTCGATATGGAGATGGAGGTGTGGTGTGGTGTCGCGGGCGAGGATGTCGATGCGTGAGAGCTTGTCGTTGTCGTCAGAAGACAGGTTCCCTCGAAAGCTGCAGGCCCGGAACTCGCCGCACGTGACAGCTCGCTTATGCAAAGTCTATCGCGGATTATGAAAACTTCGAGCTCCAGCTGCCACCGATTTTCTGTCCTCTTCTGTTCGAGCGCTTTGACAACTTTCCAAGGCAGTGAACTCAGACACGGGCGAGCCTTGCCAGACGCCCACATCACGGCCACTGCGACCTCCCACTATTCGCGCTCCACCCCAGACCACCAAAAAATGTCTGAATCCGCCGCCTGGCCAGTGGCCGACTCTGCTTTGACGCAGGAGATTCTCGATCTGGTGCAGCAGGCCTCGCACTACCGCCAGCTGAAGAAGGGTGCCAACGAGGCCACAAAGACCCTCAACCGCGGTATCAGCGAGATCGTGATCTTGGCAGCAGACACTGTGAGTGTTCTCCTACATACCTCTGGGGGGCAGATCGATGCTGATACTTTCCTCCAGACTCCTCTCGCTATCCTGCTCCACCTGCCACTGCTCTGTGAGGACAAGAACACGCCATATGTCTACGTTCCTTCCAAGATGGCGCTCGGTCGCGCCTGCGGTGTCTCCCGAGCTGTTATTTCCTGCAGCATCACGTCAAACGAGGCCAGTGACTTGAACAATCAGATTCGCGCGCTGAAAGACAAGGTGGAGCGTTTGATGATCTAAGAGAAGGCGAGTGCAATCTTGATACCAATGAAAAGTGGACGGGAAGCACGGTGCGATGCCTAATGAGCTGGCCGCGAGAATTGAGAGGGCGCCAGAGACTTTTTTTGGGAAGATGCGTGGATAGAAGAAATTCAAATGAGATCAGCTTGCAAAGGCTTGAAATTTGGGAGAATGCGCCATGTGCTTTTACTCAACGTTGTGCCAATGTACAGAGACTTCCGCTGCTTCATGGACGATATGGGCAAGGAGCGCCGTTTTCAAGGAGAGCTGACATCGATCTCAGGTTCGTGTCACCGCAACAGACTACCAAACCGGGCTCACTCAGAAAGGTTTTTGGCATCGCTGAACGCTCGAAACTCAAGACGAGGATCAAACCAGGAATTCTCTCCTTTTTTTCCCCTGCGGTGAGAGCGCTGATAGCGCAAGAGCTTGGAAGAATGTTTGCGTGACTACCTTCGCATACTCAGTCACCGACATGGACGAAAATTCGACCTTAAACCAAAGAGCAACAGTGTCAGACATGAAATCGAGTCCTTAGGCTCTTTCGCCTTTCGCCTCCAAGAGTAATCATCGAAGGAAGCTGGACAAATTCCAAAGTCAGAGAAAAGGTTGAGTTCAGACAGCCGTCCCGTTTCCATTAATGCTTATGTACAATCGAACACTCCCATTATCCAATGTCCAGCCCTTGCCCATGCTTCGTTATCGTTACAGCTCTGAATGACAGACAGCCTGACCTGTTGCGTCAATGTTTCCCGACAATGCTTGCTAATGTTACAAAAGTGCAGTAAATGGCAGCCAGCATGACCTGCTTGCGCCAAGGTTTCGCAATGCGTGATGGTGTCACTAAGTGTCGCTGATGATCGGTAAAGACTGGATGGCGAACGGGTTGCTGGTTTTTTGTGAAGGAGCCAAACCAAGTAGCTCAGACCTCCGACCTCAAAGCCAAAACATGATGTCGTCCATCTTCTGGTCCCACGGGTTCTTTCTGCCATTGTGCCAGTTAGGATCATCCGCAATCAGGTTTCGAATTCGCATTTGGTATTGCCTCACACCATCCCTGCCATTATCATTCTCTGCTTGAGTCTTCTGCGGCAGCGATGGCATGAATGCATTGAGGTAGACGTTGAGGTACTTGTGTGCACGGTCACAAAGGCGGTCGGCATAGTACGCTGGTGCACAGTACGACACACCCTTAGTTGCGCGCGCATAGTCGTAGCAGAATGCGTGAGTGATGTTTTGAATGTCGGACATGGGAATAGCATTGTCGTTGCAAATGACCACGTAGTGCGCAGACTTTGCCGTTCCTCGCAAGGCAGCATGGCTTTGCAAGAAGAAGTCTGGAAAGGCTCCTGCGATGCCTGTCTGTGTAATGACCTGATCCACAACCAGACCAGGCTTGATATTGCCGTTTATTGGGCCGCCAGGCTTGTCTCGATATGACATGGCATCGTTGCGACTGAAGAATCGGGTATGATGCCTCTTTCCAACAACAATTGCACTGACAGGGATTTCTGGAGAACGAGAACTCTTCGAACGTTCGCCGCGTTGAGGTTCCGAGTAACGGCAAATGAGCCATGTTAGGTAGGCTTGCCGAATTGAGGCGACTTCCTGTTCCAGAACCTGATGGTATTGATCTTCGCTGACACCATCTCGATAGTAGAGAATTCGCTGAGGTAATTGTTGGGTACCCTGACCAAACGCCATAAGGCATTCTAGAAACATCTCGGTAACATTGTTCACGGTCAATATTTCTTGTCGAGCTGGCTGTAGGCGTACAGAACCGGCGAAATTGACGTATTGCTTGTCAATGGAGCCGACCATAGAGGCGATTGAGGGCAGATCGCCGCCTGGATGAACAACATCTACTCCAATCACCAGTGTGCTCTCCCCAATCTTATGGAAGGCTGACTGCGCTGCCTTTCCCTTCCCAATTCGCACATGATGATTTTGACCGCCAGCCTTGATGTTTGCCTTGAGCACGAGATTGGAGAACAGAGCATCGTTGCCAGAGGCCTTTAACTTTTGATTTGTGCAGAAAATGGTTTTCAAACCAAGCGAGCAGTCGGCAATGCGCTTGAGGACCGGATAAAGCTCGTTGTCTTGCTTGTCCAGAAGAATTAGAACCAAGGTCTCCCGGTCCTTCGATCCACATTCTTTCGCGATGATGTCTTTGTACTGCTTGAAGGCTTCTAAATTGAAGCTGCCACGGACCGCTGGCAGCTGCGCGCTGATCACCTCGACGCCGCCCTTGTCGGTCGACTGCAGGACACCATGATCAATGCAACGTTGCAGGAAGCCATTGCCTACCTCCACTGCATTCAATTCTGTTTGGCCTTCCCTTAAGTCCAGCACACCTATTCGGACCTTGAATGTAGGCGCAGTCACCATGCGATCATTTCGGATGTCCCACGATGCATTGACAATCTTGTCCTTACTCGTTGCTCGATACTGGACGATCGGGGCAGGCAGGAGTTTTCCTGGAACTTCAAGTAGGGCTGTGCCAGTCTGGAGACCGAGATTGTTGCCCAGGTCATTCGCGATCGGAGCGTTGCCGTTTACGCCGAGGAATCTTAGACCTTCGTCATTGATGGCGATCTGATTGGCTGCAGGATGCCTGAGTGCAACTCCCAACATCCGATGCATATCGCCACTGTTCAGCTTCTTACTGAAAGGCTGATGCGGCTCGAGCTCCAGGTACTCAGGAGGGATCCAGAGCTGACCACCCGAAGAGCCTTCTGGCAGACCGACATTGACGCATGGTCGATGAACCTGAGTGATCTGCAAGCCTTGTGACTCGAACCACTCTTTGACAGTCCATTTACGAGTGCCATCATAAAATTCTTGCAGCTGCGGGATCTTGCCAAACCCTGTAATTCTCTTCTTGCGGTGGTCTGCCAGGTCTTTGTTCACGCCTCGTACAATGCCGCGGTCGTAAGTAATGCGTACCATCTTGCCTTTCAGTATATCTTGAGCGCAGCCATAGCTAGGGTGGTTAAGAAGTCTCAAGAATTCCGTAACCAGTATTGGTTTGATAAATGTGCTGTGAGTGATACTGACGTTGAGCAGCACCGACTGCTGCCCAGGACGAATTGAGCTGAAGTATCCCCGCTGAATAAGCAACGCTCCGAGGTCTGTCGAGTTGTGTTTCAGATAAAACTTGTTGGCTGTGGCTTCAAACAGAGCATTTGCTTGTCCTTGAGTGATACGCTGAGTGACCATACCATTGAGGGCCTTGATGAGCAAGTTTGGATCACGTCCCTCGGTGGTCTTTCCGACCAAGTCTGCAGAGCCATTGGCGAAAGTCAAAGTCCTCAAGAAGTGAAACTCGACGAACTGCACAGTTGCTTGCTCTCCGCTCTGCTTGGTGTACTGAACGTTGACCTGACGAAGCTGTGTCGTAGTCAATGGTGTCAAGGACCACAAGGTCTCGTAGTCGGTCGCGTAGTCTGAGTGACCCTGGAGTGGTGGCATAGTCGCGAGGGCATTGAATACGCGCTTACGCTCGCTGCGCTGAGAAATTGTTCGATGAGCGGCTTGAACATTGCTGTTAGCCGCCAGAGGAATTCTCGCTAGCTCCACTCGATATTCATGAACCTGGTCAGGCGTGCGATGAAGTCTGACGTAGTTGGTGATGACGGTTGGTCCGTTGTAATTTGACAATAGACTCTTGTCCGCCTGATATTTGGGCAGTGTGGGGAATGTCGTGGTAGGAACAGGTTGAGTCTGCCGATGGTAGTTGTCATGGACCGTAGTCGGATTTGGGTTCTGGACATTGCTGGGCCCCCTTAGCGCAGCCTGGCGACCGCGAATAGAAGTTCTGGCTGCAACGCTCAACGCGCTTGTGTTGTGTGGATGAAGCCAGGAGCTCTCTTGTGAGGTGCAGCCTGGCTCCTGGCAACCCCTACACCCGCATTGCCTACGACTAATTTCACGCGTGCCACAATTGCTGCAACAATATGATCGGTTGTTCAAGACATAGGGACAGTCCTGCACAGTATGCCCAGTGCGATCGCATTGACTGCAGACGATGCCTTGACCCTGGCCATGAATTGGCAAATTTTGCATGTTCGACATTTGGTTGATCTCTATTCCAGCTCTTTCTGTAGATAAATCTCACTCAATTCAAGCTCTTTCTGGTAGACTTCGGTTCAGCCGTGATCGTTCTTCGCGGAGGCTCAAGCAACAAGAAGGGGGGGATTTTCTGTGAAGGTATCTGTTTCAAAAGAGGTTATCGCAGTGGATGACGAGAAAAAGTCCATTGCTGGGTTAACAGCTGGATCTATATTGCCCTGCACACACAAAGCATCTTTGACATAATGGGAGCAAATACTTCCCTCGCAAGCGGTCCCCAATTGACGAGTCTCCAATTTACAGTGGCTGCAGCAAGCTGGCAAATATTGGCTGTATGTTGCTATCCCGAGCCGCCATTGTTCTCAGCTGCATGTCTTGAAAGTTCTAGGGACCGTGATTGCTTCTCTTTATAGACTGAGCAGAATGTCCTGTGCATGTCGGTTGGCAATATGCATACGGCAAACATTGTAGGATCATAGGCGTCCAGACGCGCAGCTTCTGCACGCACTGAAACGGTCGCGCCACGGAGAGATGTGTTGCATCTCGATGGACGCATGGATAGTTGGCTCGCCATGTTGTTGTTGTTGTAAAGAGCGGTGATGTACGCGTTGGAAGAGCGTGCAATGTGAGTCGAGTGAAGTCAGAGGGCTTGGCAAGTGCATGGGACGGAAAGTCAAGCGAGCGAAGAGAGCATGTGCAGGTGGCGTTCTGATCCCGAAGCCAAGTGCAAGTGAAGAAGTGCTATTTATTTATTCTATGGATCTAAGAAGACTTGCTATGCCGTGCCATACGCCACTGTCTTAACACTCTCGAGATCAATGTAACCATATCCCACTTTCTCAGTGTCCTTGGCCGCCTTTTCTGCCCACGCACCCATATCCTTCATGAAAGCGTCGACATTTTCCTGAACCGACAGGTCAACAGGCTCTTGATCCTTTCCAACCTGTCTTATTTGTGTTCCTGCAGCGATGCTCGTGATTCCGAAATTGCTCTGGTCCAGCTTCTGCTCGATAGCGCCTTTGACTTTGCCTTCAAGAATGTCTCTGCAGAGTCGGGGTTCTTGGCAGACTGGTCGCGCAAGTCCAACGCCATCTACTGTCTGAAGTGCGTTTACCATGGCACCCACTGTCTTCAGACCACCTGTGATGTAGGTCTTGGTCTTGGATAGTGCCGGGGCGATAAGTTCCGCAAATTCCAAGAAGAATGCTTCACGCTTTTTGGTGGATTCGCGCTGATGTTGGAAGGCCAGCTTCTCGTAGGTGCCACCCGAGAGCTCGATGAAATCGAATTTGTTCTGCTCGAGCAGTGCACACAGCTGCTTGGCTTCTTCTGGCGAGAAGCCCTTGTCCTGGAATTCTACGGAGTTCAATTTGATCCCGAGAACGAAGTCCGGCTTCGTGCGCTTGCGAATCTCCTGCGCGATTTCGAGGATGAGGCGTGCTCGGTTTTCAAGAGAGCCGCCATATTTGTCGGTTCTACGATTGGTGGTGGGTGACAGGAACTGTGCGAGCAGGTAGCCGTGAGCACCATGCAGCTGAATGCCATCCCATCCACCTTTCTCGAGATATTCTGCAGCGTGTGCCCACCCCTCGATAAAGTTTTTGATATCCTGTTCTGTGGCAGCACGCGGCTTTGCAAAGGTCATGCCCATGATGTTGCCCTCAAGCTGCACGTCAGATGCTGAAATTGGATTCGGTTGGATGTCTTCTGTCACTTGTCGGCCTGGATGCGAGACCTGTCCAACCATGAGGCTGCCATGAGCCTTTCCATTGGTTGCCATCTCTTTGAATCTCTCAAATCTCTCGCCCTCGTACGCTGCACCTCTTGGAATGATCGGGTTTCCACGAGCTTCAAGATGATCATATTCGATCATGATATTTCCACTGAGGATGAGACCTAGACCACCTTCTCCCCACCTCTTGTACACATTGACCAAGTTCTTTGATGGGATGCCGCGAGCTTCGAGGTTCTTCGGGTCCCATGATGAGATGCGTTCTGTCATCGCACCCTTCAGGAAGCGATTTGGGGCCGTTCTGCCGCTGAACTCGAATTTGAGCGGCTTGCCCAAAGGTGCTGCGTCGACATCGTCGGACGTGTATCTGGCTGATGTTGATCCGGTCATGATCGCGGCTATCGTGAGTAGACAATGAGAACTGCAGGGAAAACACTCGCTTGCAATGCAAAAGGTTTCTATATGGTGCAAGTTTGTGAGGAGACTAACCTGCTGCTGCTAGGTTGTATTTGAATTGATTTCTCAGCGCAATGCTTAGAAATGCATCGAAAGAGTACGTTTCACACTAGAGACGCGAGATCTCGGTAGTTGACCTTCGTCACTGGTGTTGACGGTGTCCGTGGCAATATCCAATGACGTGAAGTGTGGTGGTCCAAGATCGGTACTCCATGTTGCCGGGACCAGTCCAGAAGAAAATCTGCAAAGATCATGAGTCGAAGTGTAACCTATTTAGGCCATCTCCCCGAAGCACGTATCTTTGGATCTGGCACGAGCCGAAAGAACAATCCAGATGTCGAATCTAACTTTAAGATGGACCTGGGATGAAAATGGAGTGAGCGAAGTGTGCCTGTTGTGTTAGAATGATCAAGGGCCGCGCTCGAGACGAGGCATGCCGAGGTATTGTATCAGAGCGCTCCAAGGCAAGATCTGAGGCAATATGGCACCGTTTTCAGCGAAACATTCAGGCGGCTGGGAGTAATAATCTAGATTTTCTGGCACACACGCTCGATTGATCGTGGTCGGACACTAGATCTAAGTCCAATCAAGTCCTCTCACGAGCGACTTCGCAAAGACAGCCATCTTGAGACACAGCGGCACTTCTTTCTGCTTCGAATGCGCATCCGTGACCTCTCCGTTCTCCTCATTACCAGTCCTGGTGTGCCCTCCAACCAGATTGCCATTCTCATCCTTTGGAAAGTCTGGCGGACAGGGACGCTTATGCCAATTCGCCTGTCTGTCCTCCATCTGTTTGATGATCCCCAAAAAGTAAGGGCAGCACTCATCCCCGTCCTCTGGACCATAAACTTCAGCTCTGACCACTTTCTTGCACATGTTCCCCCATTCTTGAGGCGACAGATTGATGCTAAAAGCCGCCACGCACCCGAGTCCGTTGGTGTGGAGGTGTGATGTTGGGGTGTTGAGGTCTGCTAGACGAAACTTTTTGGTCTCGCCCGCAAGATCGGCGCGAATAGATTCCTGGGTGATGTGTTCAAGAATCTTGCCGAAACGCTCAGCTATGCTCATGAACAATGTACCTAGAAGCTGTGTGTTCTGAAGTGCTGTTATAAATTTCGTAGGGCATTGTTCGCATTCCAGTACTTGGGAAGCAGACTGCATGGCTTCACGCAGAGGATGAAGGCTGAAGGGAAAGGCCTGATCCGTACTCGTGGCTTGCAAGTTATTGAGGGTAAGATACATCGTGCTCAGACATGCACAGCCAGGCGAAGGCCCAGGTAAGCAGGAAGACACATCTCCAGCTGCAAGTGCAGGGTCGAGCAGTACAGCGGTGGAGTAGTCACGCTGGCTCTGGTGGGTCTGTCGAAGCTCAGTGGGCAGGTTGAGCACAGGTGGTGAATTGCTTAAAGAATCCGGTGTGAGGCCGGGCACGCTTTCGCCACTATTGCTCTGTCTCCCTTCGTTTCCGTGAAAGTCGGTCGGCCAGTCAATTGCGCTTTGCAGCCACGGCTGGAGACCGCCTCCCGGTGTGAACGCGCTCTCGTAAGGTCCGACGTCAAGCCCATCATCATTGGTAGCAGCGCCGGCATTTGACTCCCACAATGAAGGTTCGTAAGAGAGATTCTTGGTAGCACTCGTAGTTGTTTCGTCGTCCGTGCGCTGTCGCTTCTTCGGCCTTCCCATCTGCTTCTGTGCGGAATAGACACAGTCTATGTTCTCTCTAGCACACCGCAAACATTTCGGCTTCTCGCCTGTGCACTTGAGTTTCTTTGTCCCTGTTGAGCGTAGTGTCAGCAAGAAAGCCGGCAGTCTTGATAGTCTTGGAAGAGCGGCATACTACACTCATCGCAAGCTGCACGAGTCTTGGTGGCTTTGCTGGGGGTCTCTGCTGGTACCTGCGTTGCCACATTGAGTGCAGGTTGCGCCATGTCTAGTCGTGGGCCAGACAAGGACAGCCACTGAGAGATCAACCTGTATGTTACTCTCCGAAGCGAGAATCTAAGAGGTGACGTCCGGACAAATGTCTCCGAGCTTTATAGAGCTTCCTGTAGCGGGCGATCCCAAGTCTTTTGCTAGCTACAGATAGAAAGGAAGTAGACCAACAATATGCTGTTGTATGACTGTGAGCCAAGTGCAAGTGTATTGGCCGAGGGAGATGCTAGCGACCTCGCTGCATGATGATTCAGCTCCAGTTTCTACAGGATCCGACGTGCAGTTCGGCACGCTTCAGCTGGCCGTGAGCGAGCCGGATCGCTTTGCGTCCAAAGTACTTGGGCAATATCAACAATAGCGGGATGCTTGTTTATTGCGCCGGATAGCACAGCTTGGATGCCAAATGCGCTCATTCGAAGCATGATGTAGTAGCTGAGAAGTCTACTGAGCTCTGCACGGTAATAATGATGCAGCTGGCGTGCGGGAAGGATGCTAGGGCTGGGAGAGGACGAAGTGTGAAGTGGTGTGGTCGCAAGGTTGCAAGGTTTCGAGTTGCGAGCGGCCCTGGTATTATCCCGACTATCGATAAGAACCATGCATGCCAAGACTCGCGCTAAGGAAGGTAGCTGAGATTTTTTGGGCTTGTCTTCGAAGAGCTCCGTTCAAGCAAAGTTATTGAAGGTGCTGCATTTCCCAATGGCGCAAAGAGCTGGACAGAAGCGTAAAGTCGTGGAAGTGCCGCGGCTAGAGAGCGAAAGTGATGGAGAAGAGGAAGTCTTGGGCGATGGAGAGCTAAATGGCGCATTCGACGAGGACAGCGAAGATGACAGCGAGGACGAGTTTGACAGCGAAGAAGAGCTGGATGATGGTGAAGAAGAGGAGCTTGACAGCGACGAAATACCGTCTTCGGAAGATGAGGACGATGTGCGACAACAACTGCGAAATCTGAAGACAAGTGAGGACGCGGCACAGGATGGCAAGGAGAAACCGAACTACCGTGTGGAAACTGATGCAAATGGCAACGAGCGATACGTGTACGGCGAGATCGATCCAGTGTACGACTCAGACGACTCCGATGCGCAAGCGACGACAAATACCATTGGCGATATCCCACTTTCATACTACGATGCTTACCCGCATATTGGATATGATATCAATGGCAAGAAGATCGCGAGACCTGCCAAGGGTGAAGCGCTCGACTCATTGCTGGATAGCATTGATATACCGGAAGGCTGGACAGGCTTAACGGACCCGGCTACTGGCAAGCCTTTGCAGCTCAGCAAGGAGGAACTGCAGACTTTGAAGCAGCTCACACGGAACGAAACTCCTGGAGATGGGTACGATCCGTATCCAGATTACGTTGAATGGTTCACTGGAAAGCACCGAGAAGAGATAATGCCATTGTCTGCTGCGCCCGAACCAAAACGAAGATTTGTCCCATCGATGCATGAACACAAGCGCGTGATGCAAATGGTCAAGGCGATCAAGGACGGCCGTATCAAGCCGTTCAAGGAGCTTACGGACGAGGAGCGCGAGCGAGAGGATGAGGAGAACTTTGCAACGTACGACATATGGTCTAACGAAGCTCCAAGGCCAGATCACCCAATGAATGTGCCTGCACCGAAATTGCCACCTCCAGGATACGCAGAAAGCTACCACCCGCCTCCAGAGTATCTTCCCGACAAGCAGGAACGAGAGGCTTGGGAGAAGGCAGATCCGGAAGATCGCGATCGTGACTTTCTACCTCAAGATCATTCAGCGCTGCGTAAAGTTCCTGGATATGCTACACTTGTCAAGGAGAAATTTGAACGCTGTCTGGACCTGTATCTCGCGCCACGTGTACGGCGAAGCAAGCTTAATATCGACCCAGAATCGCTTCTTCCTAAACTTCCTGACCCCTCTGAGCTCAAACCTTTCCCAACAAATTGCACCAGGAATTTTGTAGGGCACGAAGGCCGGGTTCGGACAGTGGCTGTTAGCCCAACAGGGAGCTACATTGCGTCAGGTGGTGACGATGGCACTCTGCGTATTTGGCGTCCTGAAGATAGCAGACAGGCACTCCGAATCAGACTTTCCTCCTCAGATCCTGTCAACGTGGTGGCTTGGAGGCCAGGTCAGAGTAGCTGCATCTTAGCAGCATGCTGCGGGGATACAGTATACCTGATTGTGCCACGGATCGAGGAATTTCCCGAGGAGCAAATTGAAGCAGCGACCGAAGTGCTCGACGCTGGATTCGGTTACGCAGCTGCCAACACAGCTAAGACAGCAGATGGCACCAGCAAGCCTACCACAGCAACCTGGGCACGACCTTCCAAGGCGCTCCAAGAAAAGGGGATCATGCTCACGTTGACACTCCGATCTACCCCAAAAACTCTCGTTTGGCACCGGCGAGGCGAATACTTCTCCACGGTCTGCCCCTCAACATCGTCCACATCCACAGCAGTAGCAATCCACACGCTCAGCAAGCATCAAACCCAACACCCATTCCGTCGAGTCAAAGGCCTCGCGCAAACAGTCTGCTTCCACCCATCTCGACCACTTTTCTTCGTCGCCACGCGCCAGAGAATCCGAGTCTACGACCTTCAGCAACAGAAAATGGAGAAGGAGCTCCAGCCCGGTGCTCGCTGGATCTCAGATATCCATCTCCATCCTCTCGGCTCCAATCTTCTCGTCTCGTCATACGATAAGCGACTTCTGTGGCACGATCTCGATCTTGGCAGCACGCCATATAAGACTTTACGCTACCACAGCAAAGCTGTTCGGAGCGTCAAATTCCATTCTAGCTATCCTCTCTTTGCCGATGCTTCGGATGATGGTACTTTGCAGATCTTCCATGGAAAGGTCACGGCGGACAGTATGGAGAACGCTACGATCGTGCCTTTGAAGGTTCTTAAGGGTCACAAAGTCAAGAGCGATCTTGGGGTGTTGGCGCTTGATTGGCATCCTACCGAGCCGTGGATTGTAAGTGGTGGTGCCGATGGGACTGTTAAGCTGTGGGTATAGATGTGCAGAGGAGAGCATGTGTATAGTAGCACTCAAACCGCATGCTGAGGCTCAATCGTTAGGCCGTGGGACTGTAAGCTACCTAGGTATGGCGCTGTGCCCTCTCCCTCTGCTGGAGTTTAACCGCAACTCTGCAATCTCTCGAAGCCTGAAGCTTAGTCTCTCAGTCCTGTCGTTCCCATTGCACGAGATCGAGCTCTCTCAAGAAACGTCCTGTGCATTCTGTTCTTCTGCGTGCATCACAAGGCAAACGTCTCTTTTCGGCTTTGATTCTCTACGATGGCTCGGTGCCGAACGTCACTGTCTGGGCAGTTCACGCTCATCGTATTGCTCAGCTTTCGATAATGTCTCGGGCAATGTCGGACTCCTTCTTCAGCCCGCTTTACGCAGCTTGCTCAGCGCGGCCATCACACCATCGCTTAGAGGATCATCGTCCTGTTTGCGCTTCTTTGGCTCTTGAGGAGGTGCTGTGTTGCTGCTCTGTGCTGTGCTCCTCTTGGCAGGGACTTGAGCAGCTGTCAGAGCATCAGCCAAAGCTTCTTCTTCACCTCCATGACCGTCATTTGTGTGGACGTTTTCTGCGATCTTGGCCGCTGGTCTTTGATCTGCATCCGAATTCGAGGCTGCAGTAGCGGGTCTAATCGCATCAAACGTCTCTGCTGGCGATGCATTTTCTTCCCTGGTAACATCTCTCGAAATCGTTGGTGCTCTCGACCCAGGTTGACTTCCCACCAAGGCGGTCATGTCAAGTCCTCGTTTGGCGGCACGTTTTATTCTGAACGGCTCTCGCACGCTGTTGCACCACTGTTGCACCTTCTTCTCGCCCCAGCCAGCGATCATGGCAACTTCCTCATGCCTCGCGTTTACAGCTGTCCGGATTGTGCCAAATTGAGAGACAATGGAGACAGCATCGGTCTTATTGACCGCCCTCGGAGTGGTTACGAAGTCGATCATGCGGTCGCTGTAGGTGGTGGACTGATGCTGCCTGATCGAGGTCGGGGCAGCATTTTCGTAGGTCTTGTACAACTCTAAGTACCGCGCACCTTCGGCGGCCGACCAGCAAAGGATGATAGTGACGTTGTTGATCACGCTCGTTTTGCTGAGTTCTTTCAAGCTCTCCTCGTGGTTCTGGATGTCGACCATGCAAAGAACGATTCGCAGGGCATACTTGTGTTGCAAATTCTTGATTCGAGTGTAGATGTACTCTGGATGCAATCGATGATACTTCAGTGAAAGGAAGAGCGCACAAGTCGTCAGTCCAAGAAGGTAGTCGGCCGGGATATCGCCATACTCCCATGGCATCGATTTGATCTTGTCCAAGACTGGATTCCCCTTTTGGCGCGGCGACACGATGATTGACGCCGGAGCTGATCTGTTGGGCAGCGCTTGCGGCTTTGGCTGTTGCACTCCGGTCTTGGTGCTTGATGAGGCTCCATTCTGACGATCCAGGCCAGGCTGAACACGCGAGCCTGACGCATGTGAAGCCTTCGAGCCCGGGCCATCATCTTCGATATCGTCAGCCATGTATATCGCCGTCGTTTTCACATCGACGACCTCGAGGAATCTTTCTGTCTCTGACTTTGATGTTGCATGTCGCGCGTCATTGGGTATTGCTGAAAGGCGCCAAGGATCGACGCATCGGATCCGCGGCTCGCGAGACAGACGGCTGGGCTGGGCTGGGCTGGGCTTGCTTTCCGCGCTGGGGCTTCGCTCTTTGCTGCAGACCTCATCGCCGCTGCGCTCAACGCTCCACTCCACCCCACGCCGCCCACCGACCCAGCGCGACGTCGAGAAATATCCACTGCGATCGAGTCGAAGCGAGACGACCACCGCGCCACATGATAGAGTGATTGTGAGCTGGTCGCAAGGCGTCGGGAGCGGTCTTCCGCCCGTGCATTCACGACCGCCGGGCCTCAGCCCATCAGTATTCTTCCAGGAAGCATTAACCACCACCACGCCCACAGCTTCGCTTACCTCCGACACACTCCGACCTACGACTCGATGTCGAACAGCGATTCAGAGCGATCTCCGAAGCGCCAACGACTGAACTCCTACAGTCCCGCCAGCACCGGTTACCCTTCGCCGAAACGTCAAAGAGCGGAGCAGCCCTTTATTCAAACGCCGCCACCGAGCGTCCGGATGAGTCCTTCATGGCAATCGCAGAGCCAGCATATTCCACATCAGAGCGGCGGCAGCAATTTTCCATCTCCCCCGAGCACGGCCGGCTATCAGAACCGTATGGCCGAGGGCGGCGGAGACAGCGGGCGCCAGACGCCAGCATCGCAAGACGACGGCGAATTGCGCCGAGATGGTGACGGGGATGCAGTGATGAGAGACCAGCGAGAGGGCACGGCAGCAGACATCAATATGACGGATCCAGAACACAGAAGGAGTGACCATGAGCGATTAGGTGGCAGCACCGACGTCGACCCTTTACCGCGCTTCAAAGTCTTCGCTGCCCGTAAGTATATACTTAGACGGCACGTTGATGATGTGCGCCATGCTAAACATGTTCCACACTACAGCTATTCCGCCGTCACGACCACATCCGTCGCAGGATCTGATCGAGCTATACGGTCTGAAGTGTATCCAAGCAAATGTTCGAAGAAGGGATCCTGTAACAGGGGCAAAGATCAATACTATGCGCAAATCTTATGCTAACAAGCTGAAGACCCTAGGTCTTGAAGGGCGCAACAAAGCCGTACCCAATCAAGGCGAGCTCAGCGGTCTTCTCGATCCTGGCTGGAGCCAGGAAGTTCAGCCAGGCTCAGGTGTAACTCTATGGGACAACAACTGGTCTGAACGCGGCAAATTGGGCGATTCCAACGCGGAGGCCGACGTGATTAGCAAGCTGGACGCTGCGCTCAAAATGGAGCCCGGCCAATTGCCAAGTAAAGAGCGCGAGAGCTGGAACAATGTTCTCGGTCTAGATGATTTTTCCGTACCTTCAAAAGGTTCCGCAGCAGCAACGGCGAAGACACCATTAGCCAGCAACCCGGCTCTTGCGAAAACTTCTGCAGCACATGCCATGTCCAGCTCGGCGCCAGCCTCACCCAGAAACCAGATTCGTCCAGACCGGAAAGGCAAAAAGCGCAGCTACGATGATAGCAGTTTTGAGGGCTACAACCAAGGCTACGAAGACGACGGCTATAGTACGGGCGGTCTTGATGACACAGGCAGGAGACGCGATTCGAGCAAGCGTCAAAAGCGAAAGGTTAGTAGCACTTTGAAATCTACGTAGAAAGGAAGCGCGGAAGATGTGCGCGGCTGTCCGGGTTGTCTGAGAAAGAAAGCTCGTGGACCATCGGAGAAGCTTACTTTGCATTGTCACTCGCGGTAGACTGGCTTTCAAACCAAGTATTCCCAGTGGTCCAGCTCGAGCTCGGCAGGCAGACGGCAAGTACAGCAGATCAACAATGCTCCCGTCGTGGTACATGGTGACCGTCTCGAACTAGAAAGGCTTACGTCTCGCAGGATATACCTTCGCAAGCAAACTCGCCTGCATTCAACCCTCCTGGAGCGGTCGGTGTACGAAGTTCTTAGAACGACTGTCTTCCACAAACCAGTCGCTATCCACTTCCAGGCGAGACACCTCGCTCACTTAACTATGGTATTCCTTCGAACGTAGACGGGCATCACTTGTCCGCCTATCTGCGACTGATTTCCGCCGCCAATACCTCGAACTGGCTCCGCCCAACAGGCGATCGCATGTCTTGTAATACAGATCCGAAGAGTTCCAGTGTGGTCAAGGAGGGCTGATTCTGGTGCTGATGCTAATGCTAATGCTAACAACTATACCCTTGCTGTTTCTGGCGCAACTTGGTTCGGGCGCCCGCACGAGCGTCTGCGAAAATGGGGGTGCTTCGTTTATTGATTTGGAGTTTGGGACGGCACGGAGTGCCAATTTGGCTGGTACCAGCTTCTTATGATGTGTTGATGATGCCCTCTCATGCTGGGGGCTTTGGCGTGGATTCGCGTAGTGCGATGTTGTATACCATGAGTTCGGCGATCGAATCAGAGAAGGAACTTGCTAGCATTGCGCAGAGAACCTACGTATCTACGTACAGATCGAATGTTTACATGATAACATCATCGTGCTTTCAAGTTGGAGCATGTCTGCCCGTTACCCACATCCGTTATATATCATGTCTCGTCTCCCAAAACCCGACTATCACGCTTAACAGCTGGATTCGCCGGCGCAATCCTTGGTTTGCTCCTTGCAACACGTCTACGTATCGTTAACAACTTGTCCTTAGACCAGTGGCGAGAGCTTACATACGCATGTCTTATAATCGGTGTGACAGCATTTGTCCTTGGGCTTCGAGCACATTTTATTCCATTTTTCCCACCCTGCAAGCAACTAAGAGTAAGCAGATATCCCAGTAGTCTTCGAAGCTCTCGGACTTACCTCCAGGAGGTTTGCCTTCGTTCGGATTCAATGTGTCTTTACCACGTCGACCTATTTTGGCCAGGGTGTAAAAGTCCTCGTTCCACAGCGCCCGGTGCAAGCCTGGGGATTGGGCAGCGGTAGCGAGGGCAACTAAGGCGAGAGGGAGGCAAAAAATTGTAGCAAGTTGCATCGTGGCTGTTGAGTAGTCTTTGTTTGATAAGTAGAGTCAAGGACAGTAGTCGGAACGAACGATGTAGAGACGGCAATGCGACGTTTCTTAAGTGGGCATTTTAGAGTCCCTTGTATCTTGTATGCGAGTCTCCTTTCATCAAGGCTTTCATCTCTTGCTGGACGGGATGTTTTGCTGGGTAGCCCGAAAGAAACAATGGCCAAAAGTCAATGCCTTGAAGAACTGCTCATTATACAAATGTAAGTTAGACTTGCCTCGCGAACTCCTAATAAAACTGTACTGTCCTCCGTAGTCTTTTGTTGGCTTTGTCGGACTGCCGAAGTGCGTGTGGATTGATCGTATTAAATCTTAATCCGTTTTAATCTCTCTTGAGTCTTAGGTACCAGCATCCTTGGCTAGGGTTAACAACTCAATGCCACAACCGATTATCTAAGATCTCCTATCCGTTATTTAAAGTTTAAAGTGTCTTTTAAGATCCAATTTCGAGAGTGTCTGCGGGAAGGCTGTGAACAGACTAGAAACCTATACGTAAGCGTTCTAGAAACATGTGCTATAGATCGCTATGCAAGCAATCCAAGTATCCCGAAGCGGCCGTCGTAGGTTATAATATGTACGTAGTTGGAGAGTTTGACAATGTAACATCGGCAAATACTGCTTTGCAGGTATTCTAACGTTACCTCTGTGCTAAAATTTGCAGGTGCTCCTGTGCGAATGTGTTGGTGCGCAGGGGACTGTCCAGATCCGGAGGCTCGAAGGGATTTTGAGCACTTTGCCCTCGCTGCTGTTAACTATACACTTTGTTATAACTCGAATATCGAGATGGTAAAAAGTGCAAGTTGAGGGCTAAGGTATCCTATCGAGATGCCCGCTTTTCTGATGAGTCTCTTCTGACCAAAAATGATAGAAAGTTTAGAAACCTCGAATTTGGCTTTGGCATCCAGGTATATCCGTGTTTTGATTTCTACCCAACTAGCAAGTACCAACAAGGTGTCATGTGGCGCTGCCGTTCGGGAGTGCCGAGATTGAGCAGAACGCGATCTGTTCCTGACTCCGCTGGGCCCATACCGGCCAGAACCTCGCAGGCTCGGCGGGCGGCGCATTGCTACACCATCAACCAGGTGTTGAGAGGTCTGAAGGTAGGCAAAGCCTGAGGCAACAAGTCTTTACTTTAGCCAATCAGAGCTTGGCTTGGCAAAGTGTCAGTCGCTGATTTCCTTTGATTACCTAAGCTACGAGGGTGACCCTTTGTCGCGCGCAACTTCGACTTCGATGTTGCCTACCCTCAATGCACCCTCGACTTCTCTTTGTTCGACACACTCGCAACAGTGCGCGATGGCGGCCGTCAAACCCGAGATCAAGGTCGATTCCGACGAGAACAAGCCGTTGATGGACATTGACGAATTCGAGGAGGATACAGATCTGCAGATACCGAATGAGAAAGGGCAAACATGGCTGATCAAGGTGTCCGAAGACTTGTGGAAGGCATGGGCTAAGATCTATCAAGAGGCGCCTGGCGACACAGATCAAATCGAAATTGGAAAACTGCGCGTCTTCAATCCCAAACCAGGCCAGGATCCCAACAAGCAGGAGATCCAGATTCGCCTGAACGATACTCTCGAGGAACACCAGCCGCTGCCAAAGACCTATAATTTGGACATCAAATCTAACGGATACAACAACACTGTGGTATTTTCAGAGAAGGATCAATCTGGTCAATCGAAAGGATACAGCAGCGGTCAGAACAGACACCTGGGACCCGGCGCGAAGCCGACCGGCATCAATAAGTTCGACCGCTACAACAACTCACAGCCGCGCAAGCCAGGCTCATATCGAAGCGCGATCCCTCGGCAAACCGCGCTTGCGCCTCCCATACATCACGAAGCGGTCGCGAATCCGGTCGATGATGACAGCACGTTCCAATACTTCACCCAAAACTACCAGAAAGCTCTGATTGGCAGCACCAAGACTAGATTTAACGACTCTACCAAATTGCGCCACCCAGGCATGGACAACGATAGCTTCAACATTGGCAGTCTCACGAGCAAGCCAAGAAAGGGTAAAAAGAAGGTGCCCAAGGAGAAGGCTGTGCGCATGGACAAGGACAAATTGCTCGATGCGCTGAAGAACTGCTTCAAGGAGTACCAATACTGGAGCTTGCGTGCGCTACGGCAAAGGCTCCAGCAGCCCGAAGTTTACATTAAAGAGACTTTGGATGATATTGCTGTGCTAATGAGAAGTGGAGATTTCGTCCAGAACTACAAGCTCAAGCCAGAGTACGAGAGAATGCTCAGAGAAGACTTGGGTAGTGTGGCAGAGGTGAAGGAGGAACTTGCGCCGGTCAAGATGGAAGAGACAGATGACGGTACGGGTGATGAGATGGACAGCAGCGAGGAATTCGAGGACGTCGATATGAAGTTGGATGGATGATCTCCTTCCTTGTGGTGAACAGCACTCTTGATTATAACGACAGTCGCGCCATGATGCGATACATTTGGTCTGCATTTCCTGGCGCTGGAGCATAACATACCTGGAACACCACCATCTCTTCGAACTGCTGGACATCTCCCACTCTGGCTTGGATGGCCAAGCCAAGGTTATTGAAGAGGGCCCACTTCCTCGCGCTGCCTTGACTTCTTTCAGGTCGCGACAGGGAGGGTGACGGAAGAAGGGTAGCGCTGCAGGACTGCGAGAAGGCTGATTTTGAGTCTCGTGCTGGGCTGTGCTGCTGCATGTCATGGTTTCCGGCGACTGCTTGATATTTCTGCGTGCTTTGCATGAGCTGTAAAGTATCTTTTGGCGTTCCAAACGGCTGTGTGGTCCCGGAGAGGCAATTATTTTGGGCTGAAAGGGCTCGCCTACCCATTCCATCAGCTATGTGGGTACAGGACGCCGTGGCGCGCTTCCTGGTCGTATTAATGGCCGAGAACGATTAGCAACAACGACCTGAATTTCAAGCCGCAAAGGGAGTCCTCCTTCTGCTGGACTTGGTATGGGGTTAAGCGATTTGAGCAGGTACAAGGGGTCGCGATGAAAAGGCGAGCTGCCGCTTTTATTAATGGTTACAGTCTTGCAGACAGCACACGAACCTCGTTAGACCAGCATCACAATCCTACATGTAGTCCCGATCGCGCTGCTGGATGCAAGTCTGATTGGCCATACCATCTTCAGAGCTAACGGAAGCCACCGAGAGTGACAGTTTCTCCTCCAAGCATTCCTGTTTCTCCTCCGCCCGTCTCTCCAGCAGCAATGCCAGCAGAGAGCCTCGGCCTGCTTCGATGTGGCTGCGGCGCCTCAAAACTTCTTCTCAAGCGGTGACACTCTCTTGTCAGCTCAGCCAAAGTCGACAACAACCCCAGAAAGATCGTCGCATGATGCCGGTCTACAGTATTCTACCGAAATTACATCAATTCGCCCATGATCACGGCTCCCCCACGCAATCTCAACGTCTGGATGGAGAGGCTTAAAATGATGCTTAATGTCGGGAGCTGGCGAGGCGAGGCGAGATAGCTCACACGACAGCCAGACCTCCCCTCCAAAGCCATCGCGGTGCGTCCCGGTGATGGCAATGATGGTATTGATGGCAGCAGCATCTTTTATGTATGCCCACCCCACCCCCGCGCGCACGAGGACGCCCAGGCCCCACACGACTACTCCGGACTACTGATAATATTAAATTGCGGAGCGCAGTAGCTTAAGCAACGCTTGTGTAGCCGGACAAGGTGCCTTGGTATGCGAGAGGCGTCTGATTGGTGACATCGGTTCACACCTTCTGGACTTCATTCTCCTTTGGGTCTCGGAGCGCCGCGCTTGACGACACTTCAGCAGCACTACGTGCAGACTACTTGGCCACTACCATCCACACTTCATCCTACCGACCTGCATCGACGCCGATCTACCAACCAGTACCTGCATGTCATCGCAGACGGTCTTGAAGCATGTGATTGAATTCGGCGAAGACCATCGTGGAACCGAGGCAGCGATGGCAATCACGACGACTGATTCGCTCCATCGCTCTTCTGGCAACGTGATGAACGAGTGTTCTGCCATGCTGGCTGCACACCTATTACTTCGCTAGACCTCCAAGCTGCAGCTCCAGCTTTTTCGCATCCGTCCTCTGGACAAAATCATCACGCTGGACTCACTGTCGTTACGAACTCGATCACAATGCAGCTCCTAGCACCGCTGTTCTACGCATCAACTGTCCTTGCGTTCAGCTTGGACCTGCGAGATCCAAAGCTCATCAGCCGTCAGGCGTCGCAGGACATTGCGGCCGACATCAAGGCGATCACATCTGCGACAGACGGCTTGACGGCAGCTCTTCGCAACTTCAACGATGCCAGCACAGCTTTGGCCGTAAACGCGGCAACGGGAAAGGTGTCAGATGCGATCAAGAAGGGAACTTCAGACGCCAATGCCCTCTCGTCAATCTCTCAAGCCGATGCTCTCACCCTTTCTGGCCCAATCGGCGACTTGAACGATGCGACGAAGCGATCGATCGACCAGTTGATTGCAAAGAAGCCACTGTTCGTTTCGCTTGGATTTGCTGGAATTGTTCTCGACACGCTCAAGTCGCAACAGGCTCAATCGTCAGCCTTCTCGGAAGCAGTGATTTCCAAGATTCCAGAAGGTCTTCGCACCATCGCCAGCAACATTTCCAAGCCGGCTGCTGACGCGATCGCTGCTGGTATCGCGGCTTTCTCGAACACGTCCTCTGGCATGTCCACTTCAACCGCAGCAGCTATGGGCGGTGCTAAACCGACGACCACTAGCCCCATGGCAGCTCCTGCTCCAACCACGACCATGGCCTACGGCGGAGGTGCTTCGCCAACCACCCCAGTTGGCAGCATGGTCAGCAACATCGGCAGCATGGGTAGCCAAATTCCAGGTAGCACTCCAATTACAGCGGCTTACACTCCAACCGGATGCGCAGTTACACAAATAGGGTACTTTTTGTCTGCTCCCAAGAACAATTTCTTTTACTGACACACTCGCAGGGATGGGCAGCTTCAATGCACATCAACACCTGAGGCTTATACCGGAGCAGCTATGCCCACAGCGGCCGCCGGCTTTGGCGCTTTCGCCGCCGCCGCCATGGCTGTTGCTGCTGCTGCTCTTTAAGATGCTTTCTACCCATTCACGATGAACGAGTTGCGAACCACCATGATGATACCCTTCGGCGAAGGCAGCGCAGTGAGGGCTCAAGCCTATTTCTTGAATAGGAGAGCTGCGCGCTGCCCGAGCTCCTGCAAAGATTTCCTGCCGCCTTTTGCAGCAGACTAATGTGTTAATGAGAGATGTGTACATAGCACAACGACAGATGACCAATCTAGAGTCTGATAGAGCATACTTGCTTGCGACGACAAGCAACAACACCACGCGGCTTCTTGCAACATCTCACTGATGCATTTCTCAATTTGGGCAACGCCGAGCCGTATGCAAGATCGCTTGAGGATTTCTCTGGAAGATGATTCATTCGCGCAGATAGACCAATCGAGCACGCGACAAAACATTGACGCAACAGCTCTGCAGAAGGATGCGTGTTCGAGATCGACAGAACGTGAGGAGAAAAAACGCCTCAGATCTAAGAAACCGAGGCTTCCTTCAGGCTGTCGCCGATTGGTGTAGAATGGCCACGCGCTCATGGATGTCTTCAAGAGGGCGACGCTAGCAGGACAGGACAGGATGGCGCTCTTGGCTTTTGGATAACCTCGAAGCCTTCCGCAAGTCTTGTCGACGCCCACTCCCACTGCACTGCAACAGCAGGCAAAGCTCCCAAATCGCTTGCATCCAGGACGCCGCCGACGCTCATCATCAAGCATGCGATTCTGCTGGATTTCTGCCGAACCGCTCCGCCACTTCCCTTGATTCAGCGTCAGCGGCCTGAGGAAATATCCAGATAGGGAAGTTGACTTACCATTCCGCCAAGAACATGCACTCGGGCGGTCTGCCATGCAAGGTGTTGTATTCTGGTTTTCTACCGTGGTCAGACTGTTGTCCACTGGTGACGCTCATTCTTTCACTTACTCAGTCATTCCAGGTATCAGCATCGATCTCCCGCTCCGTCAAGTATCTCGTCTTGGGCGGGTTGGAAGGCCATGAATATCCAATCACACATTTATTTGATCTTATTTTCGCCATTAAGCTGTCTTGAAGGATGCTTGGAAGAGTTCCACCTAACAGATTGAAGCTGGCGGTAAAACTTCATGGCCGGCTCCTCTCCTTCTTCGATTGAGTGCTCGAATGCGGTCTGAGCACAGAAATCTCGTTGCTCTCTTACCTTCGTTCCAAAGAAGGATACTGTGAGTTGATGAGTTGCATGATGGCTTGGTTTATTATATCTTTATATCGAGGATGCAGATGTGGACAAGATGCATGGTAGGCGAATGATGGGCCATGGTGTGCAGGATTGCTAATTTTACAGGTCATTGGGGTTGTACTGAAGCCGGAATAGCAGTATAAGGCCGTCGCAGCCATCTCGTGAAGGTGAGGCACATGCATTAATGCATCTTGTGACAGCCTGCAGCAGAGTGAGGCCCACAAATCATATGCAACAGGCTCACTGCGCCCTTTCACCGACCATACACGTGCAATTCATTGCAACGAGCTTCTTATTCGTGATCACACTTCTTGCAATCAAGACACAACCACTACATCACGCTTTTGTCACCACAAGCTGCATATCGGACACAGCCTTATCAAGGCGAAGCCCAACATGGTCCGTCTCGCTATGGTATTGTTGCCAGTGGCAATGCTCATCCATGCCACGATTGCGAACCCACCAATTAATCCAAAGCCACTTTCGAATATCTTCCAGGTCGACTTGCGAGACCCAAGTGTGCACACCAGCTCCTGTCTTCGGAACCATTGGGCGCCACCCAACAAGGAATCCGACTTCGTTGGAAAGCCGATTTTTGACCGTTCCAAGGAGTTTGAAGACAGGGATGATAACATCCTCAACAACATCTGGTATCAAACGTGGTATATGGTCTGGTTTGCTCGGGCAATGCTCGAACAATATAACACTGACCACGACATTGCGCAACTCGTCTACAGCTTTTGGGGCATCAAGTCTGGCCGCCGCTCTGGTTCTCAACTCGTTGGTACGCCGCAGGGTGTTTATCTACACAAATACGAATTGGTTAAGGGTACGTCTCGGCTTTTGGAATCGAAGGCTGGCCATTCTTGCTGACTAGTTGCGCCAGGTCGATTGGAAGTGGTGCAGGATTACATGGAGACGGACAGAGCTGATGGCCCAGACAAGTACAAGATCTTTTGCGGTGGCGAGTATTTCGAGAAACAAGAAGCAGATGACTGGTACAAAGACAACTGGGGGCGTACGGTCGACAATCCGAGTACAGGCACCCCATGGAAACTGGCTGAGTGGGAAAGAGCTCATGGTCGAGACTTTGGTCAGTACTCGGTCTTTCAGACTCAATGACTCGACTTCAATCTGACTTGTTGCGCAGACGCACACTGGTACTTCTGGTACGATATCGAGACCATGGCCGATGTAAGACCAAACACCGCATTTTGACTGACAATGCTTGAAAGCCTTGAAAACGATACTGACCACGTTCACAGCGAGGTTACTACGTGATGAAGAACGATGAGTTCGATTGGGCCCTGAATCCCTCAACCAATAAGTACACTACTTGCACCAATAGGGTCCATGCAGTAGGGCTTCTTCCTTACGATCTTCCAGCCGCTCAAAGTGGAGGCACGGAAAGTTGGTTCAAAGGCGGCCATCTCATCCTCTGCCCCTCTGGTAAGGCCGCGAACAGCAGAATGAAATCGAAGATCCACACTGACGTTGAGAAATTTTGAAGGCTTCTATGAGGACAGTCCCTACGACAATCTCGAGCAGTACCCTCTGGGTACGAAACTTGAGACGGTGGGAATTGCTGCGATCACCTTCCTACATGAGATGATCCACGTCGTGTTTCCGGACGATTCTTGGGATCAGATTCCGTGGCTTCCAATGAAGAATCCGAATGTGCCTTCAGGGACGGTTTCCGCAGAGTAAGCAATCCAACATCGAGATCGATCGATGCAAGAAAATTTTCGCTAACGAGACACAGCTGGCCGTACAAGAAGTCGGCTTTCACACAAGCTCGGTACCCCTTCGATGCCTTCGGACCTCTACACGCATGGTCTCTCGCCATGTATGAAGTGGCGGAACCCGAGACCATGGACATCAACCACATGGTATCTTGGCGTACGCCTGAAGTCTATGCCTGGTTCGCTCGTACGGCACATCTGATGGCAATTGGACGCCAGGATTGGTCTACAGGCGTCGCGAGAGATTTGGAGGGTGACTTCGAGGGCCCAATAGCACTTCCACCGCACGCGAAACGCACGGCTATCCCTGGAGCCGCAAGAATCTCAATGCGGGACTTCTGGACTACTCTTGCGCGCCGTTTCGAGGCTGGCAATACGACTACTACAGCACATTCCCGCTGAGCATCCGGAACTGGGGGATCACGGATGGCGGGCATGTATTCTTACATCTGATGGAATTGCCCTTTCGTTCTTCAGGGATCTGCACCACGGGAGGAGAATTAGCAGAGTTTTCCAATTCGGCATCAATCGACTTCTGCTTCTGCATCTGCATGAGATATCAGCAGCATTGTTTTCTCCTCAAGGACTCAGTCCCCGCTCCGGCATTTTTACTACATCTTGCTTCGATGCATCTCTGGATATGATATTCTGGCATAACATGAATCTGCTTTTGCTGATAATGCCTCGAACGCGAGACCGATGGGCTTGAGCGCGTCGCTATTAGCAGTTGTCATTAGTTATAGCTTTTGCGAGATACGAGACTTGGGTCGAGCCGCTCGACACTGCTCGTCAGCCTGGGCGATAGAACAGTTTCGACCAAACCAAAACAGCACTTCCTCCGTGTCAAGTCGAGGGGGCTTTTCTCTATGACACTCCTCTTCCCACCACTCAAGCGATGTATCGTAGGTGTCCTGGAATCGGCTATCTTCATCGATTCCAAAGATATGTGTATCTTGCTGGAAGGCAGAGGAACGCAACCTTACTACTGCCAGGATATTGGTCAACGGGGTGCAAGGCCCGTGACAACTGTAGAGCAAAAGAAGGCAAAAAGCAATGGTCAATGAGGGGGTCGAACCCGCGACCTTGGCGTTTCAATACCAGAGGTATTAGCACCACGCTCTAACCAACTGAGCTAATCGACCGTGGAGGCTTCCTATTGGATGAGCGAAGACAATCTTTGTCTGTATATAGCCCTTAGCAATTTGAAGGCAATCGATCCACTCTGGAAAGAGCCAGCAGAAAGGGCCGAGAAGAAAGCGCTGAGTCATGCGGGGATTTGTGCGTGGGAGTTTGAAGTTTAAGGGTACGGTATCAAGTCGTGCTTGGAGAATGAGATGTCTTGCCTGATCCTGGCCACTACATTCGCATTGTACGCATGCGAACTGCAAGGATAGGACATCGAAAAGGTAGTACTACAATGACAGCATAGAAGAAGTAGGACTCGAGTTGGGGAGTGCCAAGACCCCGCTCCGTCGATGCAGCGGTGCTGGCCTTGGCTTGCCGCCGAGTGCATCAGGCGAGCGATCATCACTCATCACCATAGACACGGCGGCAATTATTATTGACACGGCGCGCGCGCACAAGCTCGATGGCGCCAAGATCACGCACAGGCTGGTAAGTGAACAGAGTGGGAAGCAGCGACCGACGCAGCGCGTGCCGCTTTCTAGATGAAGTAGAAGAGTCGCTAAACCTGCCTTCTGTTACAGCCTGACTTGTCGCCAGAGGAAGGTAAGCAGCAGCATCACTCCCTCCATCGCTTGAGACGCCCTCGGCCGCCGCCTGCCCTGCCCTGCCCTGCCCTGCCCTGCGTACCGCCAATGTTACATGACCTGTGCTGATATTGATACATCGACTGCCACAGCTGAAGTGCGACGAGCAAAAGCCGGTAAGCTCAGCGCTGCGACGACGCGACTCCATCCGCTCACATACCACAGGTCTGCGGGCAATGCGTCAAGGCGCAGCGAGAATGCGTGCCCAGCTCGGGCATCACCTTCCGACACCAGCAAAACCCGTCGATGAATGGCGAGGACACGGACAGCCTGAAGAGCTTCTATGGATACAAAGAGACGTTCGCCAAAAGCACAACGTGGGTGGGAGTGCCCAAGGACCTCACCTTTGTGCACACCAGCAACCCATACGAAGACGAAGATGCCGACGAATTCGGACCAGGACCGGCGCTGGCACACCAAAGCTTCGGGCATGCGCAGAGAGATCATGAGTATGCTCTGGATCAGGCCGCATATCCTGCCTATGCCACGCATGGCCTTGAGGCTTTGAGCCACGTCGCCACGCAAGACCAGTACGGATATGCGCCCCAGCCAGCCCTGACCCATCATCGTTCGGCCTCCCAGCATTCCCATTCTCAGCTTGGCGCATCCCCACAAATGCAGCATACCACGCCCAGTCAAGGCCTCGACTTCATCCTCAACCCTGCCTCGAATCTGTCGCCTGCCGAGACTGCTAGCAATATCGACCCCCGCTTACATTCACATACCCCGACTGGTCCGCCTTCTCAACACCAGTCTCCCACTCACGTACGTACACAATCTATGACCTCAATTGGAGGACTGGCGAGCTCACGTTCCAAAGGACTTTTTCCAAGAGGAGCACTTGAGGATCCAGAGCTAGCATACTTGCTCCGAGATGCGCGAAACCATGCCTTGGCCTGGATGGACTTGTATGATTCCAACTCTTTCTTCGCGGCAAGAGTGCCAGTGCTGGCTGTCGATTGCCCTCTGCTTCTCTACTCGTGCGCGTGCTTGAGCGCGAAGAGCCTGGCTCGTGTGGATGGAAGGAGACCGATTATGGACGGCCAAGTAGCCAAATCGCGGCAGAGCAAGGTGAGCGCTCATTGCAAGAATCCTCTGCACGACTCCTATACTTATTTGTTGTAGATGGAGTTCTGGCCCGGCCCACCAATGGATACAGAATCCTGGATGAGGAAAGGTAGAGAATACTATGATATCGCAGTATCACTTTTGCGACAGTCGCTGGCTGGCGCGTCTCGGCCGCGGACGTCTTCGCTGCCAGCCACGGCAGCGACTCTGATGAATGTTCAAGGCGCGCCGCTGCCGACCACAGATTCGGATGAATTGGTTGCCGCTACCGCTATTCTGTGTGTGTATGAATTCTTAGATGCATCTGGCCCGGAATGGAGTAGGCACCTTGATGGCGCCAAAACCCTATTCGACATTGCAAAAGACCAAGCAGTGCCTCTAACACTTCCTCCATCCCCTGTCTCGATAGCACAGCAGATTACACAGCAGCTCGCAAGCCGAGCGAGTCCCGGATATTCTGTCCCACGTGTGAAGGCATTGAGCCCAGGTCGAAAGGCTGTGTTCTGGAACTTTGCTCGACAGGACATGCTCTCGGCTTTCATCAACAATACTTCAACAAGACTGGATACGGGAGATCTCTCAATGTGGCGGAGTGCTGGTCTCCAACTGACCCTTGATGGTTACGTATGTCCTTCTCATCCGCAATGCTCGGGGTATGTCGCTGAGCAGGCAATGGGAGATGACATGATAGGAAATGCATTAGTGTGGCTTGTGATGAAGCTGGTAAACTTTATTGCGGCGGGTAATGAGGTCCAGGAGGATATATCGCCCTTAGGCTTGGATGTTCGACAAAGAGAGCTGCTCGAGCACTGGGAGAGCCTAGAGCAGCAGCTTCACGTATGGCATGAAGGCTTGCCTGATGGTTTCCGTCCTGTCGCTATTCGGAGATCTGCTTTGGAGTGCGAGACCGAGTACTGGATACCACGGCCTATGTGCGCAAGTACCATGCAATGGTACAACTTTGCCAAGATTCAGCTCTTGCACAATAAACCACATTTGTCTACAGCGACGCCTCTGACGGGTGTGTTGGGGTCATCAGCACCGGGGACACCAGGAACCTCGCTTGCCGCGCGACATGCTAGTGACGCATCTATCCTGCAACAATCTAGGGCTCATGCGAAAGCAATCATTGCTATCTCGAATGGGAGGTCAGACGAGGGAACAAGAATCCACTCCGTTCAGCCCATGTGGACTGCGGGTTTGGTCTTGGGGAATGACCAGCATGGTGGAGAGAACGGCGAGGTCAGTCACGAAGCCGAGACTTGGCGGAAAGCTATCGTGGATCTGCTCCGTGGACTTGAGCGGGATATGGGATGGGCCAGCGAGTATCGTGTGCAGAGTCTGCTCCAGCTGTGGGGTTTAGATCCAAGCTGGCCGGCGGACGGCTTTAACGAAGATATGAAATGCATATGAGGAGAGGATCAGGATATACAGGCATTGGCATTATTGTGTATAGCAACTGGCAGAAATGCCATGCCATGATATCTGACATGTTGGCCAAAAGTCGGCATTGTTCCGATTCTTTAAAGACGATGTGTAACTCGTCATGTTTCTACTTCTTTGGGAACATGCTCTTATCATGCCTCCGCCGACGGCAATACCAGACTTTGAGCATTATTGCGAGTCAAGGTCAAGGTCCTTGAGACCGAGCTCGAAAGTCTTGTAAGCCGACCCCTCAGAGAGCTCCTCACTGCGGCACGAAGAGAGCGGGCCAACAAGATCACGGCGTAGTGATATCGTAGGCCTATCAAGATGTTCGCTTGCACGACATGCATAAACTGTGTTTGTACTGGGTTGGTGCCTGTTTCACGGTCGACTTCACTTGACCACATTTTCCATACCACTTCACTCAACACACCAACCAAAATGACAGACTGGCAGAAAATCGGCCAAGAAAAGGCGCAGTCGGTGCTGAATCTAATACCTCCAGAATGGCGACTTCCAAGCGTTCCGACTCCAGAGCAACAGAAAGACGTAACTGGCGGCTTCATCGCACAATTTTTGGATGCCCAAGAGCTCATAATCACCGAGACCGACGCCGTGGGAATCGTCAAGAATACAAGCACTGGAGTATGGAGCGCCGTAGACGTTGCGAAAGCCTTTTGCCATCGAGCTGCCATCGCCCACCAAGTCCTGAATTGTTTACACGAGATATTTTTCGATGCGGCCATCGCAGATGCCGAGCAGCTGGACGCGTATTTCGCACAACATAAGAAACCGGTTGGGATGCTTCACGGATTGCCGGTTTCTCTCAAAGATCAGTTTCACGTTAAAGGCGTGGAGACTTCGATGGGGTATATTGGGTGGTTGAATACCTTTCAGGGTAAGAAGGGTACGGGGAAGGAGAGGAAGTTTGAAAGTGAGATGGTGAGGGAATTGAGGAGTCTTGGTGCTGTTTTGTACGTCAAGACTAGTGTTCCGCATACGCTGATGTGTCCGGAGACGATCAACAATATTATTGGATATACGCAGAATCCGAAGAATCGACTCCTTTCGTCGGGTGGAAGCTCCGGTGGCGAAGGAGCCTTGATTGGAGCGAGAGGAAGTGTCGTGGGCTTTGGGACAGATATTGGAGGTTCCATTCGAATCCCGGCTGCTTTTAATGGACTGTACGGCCTACGACCAAGCGCTGGCCGACTTCCTTACGAAGGCATGGCGAACAGTATTGATGGGCAGAATTCGATCCTGTCGGTTGTTGGGCCTCTATCAACCACACCGGATGGCCTCAAGCTCGTCACACAAGCGTTGCTGAGCACGAAACCTTGGCTTCACGATCCTCTAGTCCACGATATCCCATGGCGAGAAAGCGCAGATCTCGCGATCTCAGACCCTATTCAGCGCTTGACGAAGAAGCTCACATTCGCCGTGATGCGCCACGACGGATCGTGTGCACCAACCCCTCCCGTCGCTCGAGCGATCGAAATCGCAGTGCAAGCAATGCAAAAACTCGGGCACCAAGTCATCGACTGGCAACCTACAGTCCCCCACGCAGACATCATCGACCTTGCTAGCAAATGCTGGGATTTCGACGGAGGAGCAGATTGCAGACGGGACTTCGAGCTCAGTGGCGAAGAAATGGCTCCACAGGTCCTCATCAACAACAAGCCTCAGGCCAATGCCATGCATATCATGGCGACGAATATTGCGAAGCGAGATGTCCAGAAAGCTTATATGGAATACTGGAATAGCACCGCTCAGCTCACTGTCACTGGAGAACCTGTTGACGCCATCATATGCCCTTTGGCTCCATTCCCGTCTGCTAGGCCAGGGCTGTATACTTACCTGGGTTACTCGGTTTTCGTGAACGTGCTGGATTATACGAGTGTTGTGGTGCCGATCACGCAGGTTGATAAGGACGTTGATCTCGTAGCTACGGATTTCCAGGGCGGCGTGAATGAACTGGATGTGAAGACGCAGGAGACTTGTAAGTTTTTCTTCACTGCCCGAAGATCGAAGGCTGACTGACAACTTCCAGATGATCCTGAGATCTATGACGGTGCACATGTTAGTATTCAACTCGTGGGACGAAGACTACAAGAGGAGAAGATGATTGCACTGGCGAAGTATATGGGCAAAGCTGTGCATGGTCGAGCATAGTCCATCACCATAACGAATTGCTCGTCATCTCTATACTCCATTAATCCCATCCCTCCCCCTCCCCCTCCCCCTCTTCCTCATGAAACCTTCAAAAAACCCCATCAAACTCCCTTCCGCATCCTCAGACAACGGAAACACAGCACTAACATACTGATCCGGCCTCACAACCACAACGCCCCCTCTTTCCCTATCAACCCCTCTCCTCTCAAAAATTTCCCCACACCCCCACCCATAACTCTCCTCATCCGTAAACACCTTCTCATAATCCCGAATTCCCAACCTCCCCTTTCGCGGAAACAACAAAGCCGGAACTTCCTCAAGCCCAAACGTCTGCCTCGACTGCTGCAGCACGGCACGTACATCAAACACCGAATCCACATCTCGACCTTCCGGCGTGAATGCGGGTATAAACGTAAATTCCAGGAATTCGCAGAATTTCGCCAGAGGGGAGTCTGGCGATGTCGAGGAATGTTGGTTATCGCCAAAGATGACGATTCTCCACCTCCCATCCGCGTCCATGACATGACCGAGATGAACCGGTTTCGCATCCGCGACTCGCAAGACTTGGTCGGAAGGGAATCGAGTTCCGATTTTATATCCCGTAGCCAGACTTTGGTATTTGTGTTTCGATTCCGCGCTGATGATGAGTTTTCCTTCGGGATATTCCGTCTCCAAACCAGCCATGAATCTCCCTTGTCTGGTGAAATATTTCTGAAAAACTTCGGGATCCACGACGCCTTCTTCGTGGCTTTTGGCGCCTTTTTTGGGTTTTGCGGCGAAGATGCGGGCGATTTCGCGGTCGAAGGTTATGAGTTGTTGCGCGATGGTTTGCCGTTCTTCCGAGTAGGTGTGGAGGAGTTCTGGGGGTGAGAGGTTTCGTAGGACGTGCATGAGTTTCCAGCCGAGGTTGAAGGTGTCGTTCATGGAGACGTTCATGCCTTGGCCGGCTTTGGCGGAGTGGGTATGGCACGCGTCGCCGGCGATGAAGATTCTTGGACAGCGGGAGGATTTTTGTTCGGATGGGATGTTGTCGAAGTGGTCTGTTAAGCGCTGGCCGACTTCGTAAACGGACCAGTATGCGATTTCCTTTACGTCGAAAGTGTAGGGATGGAAGATACGTTTTGCTCGCTCCACCAGCATTTCTGCTGTGACGTTCTTTCGATATTCTACGCGAGAGTCTGGGGAGACTTTGTCGAGTTCGATATAGAATCTCGCTAAGTATCCTCCTTCCCGGGGGATGATTTGGATGCTGCCGTCGTTCGCGCTGTGGATGACCGTCTTGAGCCTGACATCTGGGAAGTCTGTGACGAGAAGCGCGTCCATCACGCCCCAAGCTTGATTCGCCCAGTCTCCTCGCATCTCAAGACCAAGAGACTGGCGCACGAGACTCCGCGCTCCATCACATCCGACGACATACTTCGCCCGTACGCTTTCCCGCTGACCTTTCTGCGCATCGTCTGTACGTTCCAGTGTGACTTCTACGAGCTCGTCTCCTATAGGACGCTTAAGCTCCACCAGCCTCCTACTATACGAAGGCTCTAGTCGTGTGGGCGACCACTTCATAGCATCAAGCCATAAATCCTGCATCCGGGCTTGGTTGAGAATCACATGAGGAAACTCACTCAACCCTTCCTCCGTATCCCTTATCCTCCCCGTCCTCACCAACCCCGATCCATCTTCACCAGGCGACCAAAACGTCGTCTCATTCACCCAATACGCCTCTTTCAAAACCCTCTCACTGAAGCCAAACGCCTCAAAGATCTCGATCGTCCGACACTGCAACCCATCCGCTTGCCCCCATTCCAGACGTCCCGGTCTGGCTTCGATGATGCGTGTAGTTATATCTGGAAATTGTGCGAGCTGGGCGCCGAGTAAGTGGCCTGCTGGACCTGCTCCTATAATCAAAACGTCTACTTCTGCGGGTATTTTCTGGAAGTCTGGTTCTTCGCCCGAGAATTGGAGGATTTTGGGGTCTCCGGATCCAATGTAGCCATTGAAGTGGAATTGAATGCCGCCAGGTAATGACATTGTGGTACGGGGATAGATGTGGTGAGATGAGGAAGAGTGAGATGAGGAAGAGTGAGATGAGGAAGAGTGAGATGCAGAGGAGGGGGGCCGATCAGCTGCTGGAGTCGATGAGGATGCGAAGCTCACAAGCTGCCGCCATTTGGGTGTTGATTCACTCTATATTGTGACTTACTGATCAGCTATCGCGTGCCGTTCGCGTCTGACACACGTTACGGCAGAATGCATGTCGATGTACTTCTGAAGCGCGAGCTCAAGCATGTCCGCTCGGCATCGAGAGGCTTGGCTTGGCTTGGCTTGGCTGCTTTCCGACGCATACCCTATTCCTCACTTCACTACCCTATTCCTCACTTCACTTACTAAAAAGCCACATTAATCTGTAAGTGGCAAGAGCAATGCTATTAATCATATCACAATAGCGGATACGAGAGCAAATTGGATGCAAAAAATGTCTGTTTCAGTACAATAATGCAGCGGTTGATGCCGTCTATTCTCATGCTTGTTTACCGTTGAAAGTACTGTTGGCCTGCATACGTTCCGTTGATGGGTCTTCGTGAGATGCCCATTGATTCGACGCTCCGCGAGCGCTCGGCCTTCTTCCCAACATTCCCGAAGAGATCTTCGAGACGGTCTGCTGCAGGGCGGAACTGATGCCGTCAGCAATAAATCCCGTTGGCCGGGAAAAGACGAGCAGCGTCGACCTCTTCGGCTTTCCTGGCTCGCGCAGCAATAGCTTCCAGATTAGACACAGTACAGCTGTACGACGGATTTGCCGGATCACCCAATGGCGGCGCAGAGCCCCCGGGGGGCTCGATGGGAATGCGACGCATGCTTGCGAGGAGCTCACACATGAATTTGTTTCGCCGGTGAGAGCGAAGACTCTCGTTGGCGAAGTTTGATTTGTGTCTAATCTCGACTCTCAGGTCAAGCTGCTTAAGGTCTCCGACGCTGATCAGCTCAATCTCAAACTCTGGCTGGAAGTCTCGCTTGTGGTCTGGCGAAGTGACGAATTTGTAAAGCTCGCCACGAAGTGCCAGAATATCTTCTGTGCTTGTCGTGGCGGCCACCGAGATCGTCAGACGTTCCTTCATGGCCTTGCTGCGACTGAGATTCTCGATCCAGAGTGTGTTGGCGATGTTGTGTGGGATCTGAACGACGCTGTTCGTATCAATGCGGCGGAAGACAGAGTACATCAACGAGATCCGCTCGACCACCAATTGTACGCCGCTTATATCGACCCGATCGCCAACATCGTCTTGATGCGAGAAGTCAGTGGGGTTTACATGGAAGATGACTTGAAAGGGTATACTCACAAGGATGCTTGACAAACAAGAAGATGCAGGCGCCTAGGAACTCGGTAACTGTTCCTCCAATGGCAAAGGCCAATCCCGTAAACGTCGTCCAGAGCTGTGTAGTTTTTGCGGCGAACGTCTTACTGAAGAAGGTAGCATAGATAAACGCGATGGCAATCAGAACGACCAGTCCCAGGAGGCGGTCGAGGACAGCGATTGCCTGGCCGATGTCCTGCATGGATCTGGCCCGATTCTTACGGTCTTGTCCGGCTTGCACGACAAGCATTTCCATCTCATCAAGACTGACATCTCCGTTGCCGTCTCGATCCAGAAGGCCAAAGATTTCCTCGACGTCGCTTCCGCGGGACGCACCCACGACCTCAAGAAGATCGGATCTGTAGAGCACGTCTCTGCACTCGCCAGCAAATGACAACCAGAGTCTGCGAGCCAGCGCCTTTGAAGCTCGTTCTGTTTCGAGTGCTTCGATAACAATCGCGTGCGCGGAGGAGGTTGCGAAGACTTGTTTGCCGGCAATGTCTGAAGCCATGGCTCCGAAGGCCCTGTTCAAATTAGTCTCATCTCGTTCGTGTCACTCCTATCACCCAACTTACGCAGTCGCTTTGTCGCGGACACGTCCCATCGTGCTGAAGACTTTCTGATTGACACCAGCTTTGCCCAGAGCTTCTCTGACTTCTGCAAGAGCATTGCCCTGAATTTCAGCATCTTCTTCCTCGAATTCTTTGCAGCACTCGGGGAAGAGAGTGCGTGAGGCATCATAAAGCCAGTCCAATAGCTTGATAAGACTCTTGCTTTCTTTTATCTTATCGGCATATTGCTTATGATGATAGTTGATCGCGATGAGTTGAATGAATGTTTTCTGAATGACCCAGATGGCTGCGACGATAATTCCAGCTTTGAAGACAGTTCCGAGAGTGTCAAGCCAGGCAGCTCCTGTCGCAGTTGTCTTGACACGGAAGTGTTTGATCCGAGCGAAGCGAAGTAAACAGGCATAAGCCGGAGCATTCGAGGAGCTTGCGACGAGGATGCGGAGGTGTTGTCTGTTTACGAGCTAAGTGGAAGAACAGTCAGAAGTTATGCACTGTATAGCGTATATCGTGTACGGGCCGTTCGCCGGGGGTTCAGTTTCAAGATGCGCTTATACAAATCCTGCTCGGCCTCTGATTGGAAGAAATCAAAAAGAAGTATTGGCCTTAGGTGCCTAATATTAGAATAAGAAGGGTCGATAGTCGAGAGCAGGAAGCCGGAAGGAAGGGGATAGGCAGGAGGCGACTAAGACTAGGGTTAATGCTAATAGATAACAGTCATTTAAGCTAAGCCTAATCCGGATATTTTATACACCTACAGGAAGTCCTATAACAGCAGCTACTGTAAGTAAATATATAGGGGCGATATTTTAGGGACCCTAAGGGTTAGGCGCTATCTCGGCGTTCTGCCCCTATACTTTACCGAATTAATATATACTATATAGCGATGCAAATGTATTAATTCTTACACTAAAAAAATCGCAGTATCGAGTTCTATAATTCTAAAATTAGCCGTAATATATTATAATAGAATGTAGTAATGAAATATCGTATTGTTTAGTAGTAACTAATTAGCTTTATACTACTAAGCCTACCTCGGCAAAGCCCGTCTAACCTCCGAAGCTCCGCCGAGAGGACGGAATTAGGAAAGCTAATAGCCCTCTATACGTATAACACACTAACCACACTATATATAGATATACTAAATAGCGCAAATAAAAGGTCTTAATGCATATAATAAGCGTGTAAAGTATAAAGATAAAGTATAATAAAATAGTAGTAGTATAATATCCTAAATATATACTAAAAAGCCCGCTTCCTAAATCCGCATTCTAACTAAACCCTAACTCGCGAGTACACTTAATCGACCGAGATACGTCGATTAGATACACTTTCAACTATTAATAGGTGTTTCTCGGCTTCTAATTAGCTAGTTAGATTATAGCTGCAATCGATATACGCTCGTTAGATAGCAGGTTCTCGTTTAGCTATTTATATAGACCGATAGCAACGAGTGCTTCTTCGAGCGCTTTAATAGCCTCTTCTAGTATCTCTTCCTTACGCAGGTAGTATAGTATACGCTTATTAATATAGATATACTATAGCTTGTTCACTTTAGCGGGTACTAGTCGGTTACGGGTATCCGTATAAATAAGATTTAGTACCGAGAATAAGCGCTCGGAAGGCACTAAAGACGCTACTATACGAGCGAGGCGGATAGCTATTAGTGCGAGTGTTGTAGCCTTACTCTAAATGAATTGCTAGAAGGTTGCTAGATCGTTTATATACATCTAGCACTTAGCATCCTTATAGAAGGGCCCTTCGCGGTTATAGAAGGCATTAAACTCGCTTATAGCTCGCTAGAGCCTACCCTCTTACACCCTACGTTAAATGAACTTATATAGGGTAATACGCTATTGTAACTCGGTCTAGTATAGAATAGGGTCCTTCGTAACCGATAAGCCTAGATCTAGTAGATAAGCAACAACGTAATAGTTAGCAACCTACTAGTTAATCCGTACCTTTAGTTTAGTCTCTAAGTGGAAGAAGTGCTCCTTTATAAAGTTACTAGCTTTAGTAGCGGCCTTCTAGGCGGCCTTAATCTTCTGCTAGTAAGGAATAATATACCGAATAAAGCACTAGTTAGACTCGGCTATTTTGATACACTCGCTAACCGGTTAAATAACCTCTTCAACTATATTAAGCTTAGTCTAGAAGCTTAGATTCTATACAATATCTCTAACCTTCTTTATTAGCTTACTAGTCTTATCCTTCTTACCCTTAATAGTAGGAGGGTTGAAATTCATAAGGGTAGGCTTAGCCTTACGGACGCTCTTTAATAAGGCTAGTTAAGTGCCCTAACGAGTAATTACTAACAAGACAAAGGCGACTGTCTTACTAATAGTCTCTCGCATATACTAGCGAAGAACACTAAGCTATAGAGGCGACCGTAAGAAGGCAGATATAATAAGCTACGCTATACCGAGGACCTTCGTAAAGAAGGGGATTCTCTCGAAGATATCTTTAAGGGATAACTAGAGAGAGTGTGCTTAATAAGGCACGTAGAATAGGTATAAATACGGCTCGTACGCAGCAATATTGCTCTAAGTTGCCCGCATTGTCGCATAGGTGTCCGTTACAATAGCATTTAGTCGCTTATAGAAGTCCGGATAGCGTAGCTTAATCTTGTCTACTTGTCGCCTAAACTAGTAAGCGCACTATATTATAGTAAGGTTGTCGTTCCTAATAACCTCCGAGGATAAGAAGAAGGCGCTATAATGTAGTACGTAAGTATAGAGGTTGATAATACGTTCTTTATTAACGTTAGCGCTCTTATTAAAGATGAGGTTAATGTATCGCTAGTTAAAGATAATTAGGTCTACCTTTAACTATATATCCTTATAAACCTTATTTAAAAGGTAGTCTATAACGTTCTGTCTGCTAGGTACGGTATAGGCGTTGTTAAGTAAGTTAAAGGCGTCCTTAAACTATAGTGAATTGAACACTCTAAAGGATAGGCTACTTATAACAATACCCTTCGAGAACTTCCGTTATATAAGCTTTATGCCTTCTAGACCGATTGCTAGCATTTAAATCTCGCGTTGCTTAATCCGCTGCTTAATCTTATAGTAGTTAAGGCTAAGACTAAGCAGATAGGCCTTATAGACCTCTAGGTAGTGTTGCTAACGTGTTGTATACGCTGCCCTCTCTTTCCCGTAGTAGTTATAGCGGCTCTATTCGGTGTTCTTGCTAGCAGGCTTCTAGTGCTTAAAATGGACCGAAACATCGAGGTTTTCGGGGCGTCCGCGCTTAAGGGAGGAAGACATAATATAATAGAGTAGATTGCGCGTATAGAAGTATATATAATCGCGTTATAGTAGTAGTTATAGACGCGTAAAGAGATTAGAAAGGAATCGTAGAAGTTGGGTTAGGAATGCTTAGTCATATTTCCTGCAGTTATTTATACATCACGTGATGAATAAATAACATGTCATAATATGGAATGCCGTCATTTAATCATCCCTAACTAAGACAGGCAAGAAGCGACCAACGATTAGAGGCAAGAGACAACAAGCACATAGCAACGACTTCTAGCGGTTCTTCCACTTAGCTCTCGCTTCGCTCGGCAACCTTCAGGCAGTACCTGCCTGTACGGTACTTTATAACATTTGTTGTAGAAAAGGTCACAATTGTCCAGAAGAACAGGCTGATGGGGATCTCAAGCTTTACGAGCACCAGGGAGTATTTTCGAACACCACCAGATACAAGACCTGCTGTAGCTTCAAAGATGCAAGGCAGACTGTATGCAATCACCTTGCAGATCCACAGCGCAACCCATCTTCACTTCACTCGCTCGGCCACCATTCAGTCCGCCGGCTATATAACCAAATTCAGCCGTCCCGAGACCCCGGATCAATATCGCGCCGCCACATACATACAGGAACGGAACGAAACGAAAGAAGCATGTGAGGCTGAAGCCATACATTAAAATAATAACGCAGACCTGGTCTGGTCTTCGTCAAACACAAAATGACACCATCATGGCCAAACCCTCCCCCCCCCCAGCTCTACAAGCAGCCACCAAGATCCTAGCCGCAAGAAATCTGCATCAATGCCTCTGGCTCTCACACTTAGAAACACACGAAAGGCTGCGAGTGACATTCTCCACAACAAGCAACTTCCAAGACCAAAAACTCCCAGTCGCTCTATTCTGCGGTCCAATGTTCGGAACGCGCTATCTCGTGCTTCAATTCGACAAACTTGCAAACGAGAGCGGCGTACGAATGCTATGCGTCGACCGGCCGGGTTTTGGAGGGAGTACGCAGGTAGCATTAGAGAGAAGAATGGAAATTTGGCTTGAGATGGTGCCTGCGCTACTTCAGCGCACGTTTCGGTAGAACATGTGTCTCTTGTGTCGCATTCTGCGGGGACGATCTATCTGCTGAACACGATCTATCATCACCGGGAAGTTCTGGATCCAAAAGCTCCGTATGCGGCTATGCTTGGGCCCTGGGTTAGTCAAAGATGTTCGAATGTTACGATGTTGAGTGCTGTTGCAAAGCTTCCGAATAGTGTGCTATCGGCTTGGAGTCCTCTTGTGAACTTCGTCAATAATACCATCAGTCCCATGACATCTTGGTCCGGAGGAGCACTGTCTTCTGTCTCTGGCGGTTTCCAGCCTGACGCCGATAGAGTTCTGGGCGAAGCGTCCGCTGAAGAGAAATATGGTGTTAATGCAGCCACTGCAAAAGAGCTGGAACGACTGGTGAGCAGATGGTCTTCGGAGGAACAGGCGATGGTTGGCGGTAATGACGAGGCCCGACTCTTGCTTGGCAAAGGTCCGATTGGAGTCTGTGAGGACTATATGGAGTATGTAAAACTGCTGGTGGCTGGAGAGGAAGCGCAACATTCATCAATTTTGAGACTGCAATTATGTTTCGCTCAAGATGACATGATGATTGGCAGGACTGGAAAGGAGTATTTCGAACAGTGCTGGAAGCAGGAGGCTTTATACGACGGAATCCGTGTCGAGAGCAGAGAATTTCCAGGCACCAACCATGAGACTGTGCTTGTCGATATCCAGAAAGGTGCTATGAAGATGGTGTTCGATCAGATCGCAGCGCGGCGGGATGGATAAAAGCTTCATATCATCGAGGCAAGTGCGGATGGCTGAGCTCCTCCGAGTGCGTCGAGAGCTTTCGGACGAGATCTCTTACATGCAAATACGGAGACCTTACTCTCGGGGCGAATCGATTCAGACGAAGTGTTGTGAACAACCGAGCTTTATTGGTTCCCGGTGCAGAGGCTATTGAGTGTATTTGGCTGCGAAAAACTTCGTCGACATTTCTCGGCGGCTGATTCCCAGGCCTTAGTCAGCCAATGATGGCTCATGGATCTGCTGAAGGGGTTAACTCGTCAGCACAATGGTATCGCCATCAAAACCTTGCCACCACCTTACCGAGTTGCATATCTTCGGCGGAAGCGATATGAGGTGGAATGCCCAGATCTCTATGAGGAGTGGGACGTCTTGTTCGAGCGCTGGGCTCTCAGTGGATCGTTTCGCAGTTCGTGGTGGTGGATAAACGCATGGACGTGAAGTACACCCCTCCCAAATTCCAATGTATCGCAGTGAAACATGCATGCAAGAAGCAGCTTCACTCGGAGCAACTCGTGATTTCCATGGACTTGTTCAGATCATCCAGGCCCATCCGATCATCTTTCTCTATCCAGTCAAAGTCTGCCATATCGTGGAGTCTAGTACGCCAGTGCTGAGAAAGTCGGGTCTTGGGGTTGTGTGAGGTCCAAGTTGCTCGTTCACCGGTCTGAAATTACCCTCGTCAGCCTGGCTTGGGGTACCTTTGAATAGAATTTGCCTCTTGATGCTCTCGCTTGCGTTCTTCAGCAGTCGTATGAGCGTCTCGCTGCGAGGAGAGAGAGGATCATTGAATGGGGCAGCAGCCATGTGAGACACAAGGGAGTCCAAGAAAGCTCCAGGTTTGAGCATCTCAGTGATGGCGCCCGACTCCCAGCCAGTGGCTGTAGGTAAAGGCTTAGATACTCGAGCCATCAGGATCAGAATCTCGAGGAGGCTACTCCAGTCCACGATCGAAAAGCGGTGCAATGTGACAGGGGGACGCGCCAGAACATCATCCACGTATTCCTTGATAGCGCACGCACATTGGATTAGCGTGCCGTGGTCCGGGGCTTCGCCAACTCGTATGCGCCTCTGGTGTATGTGAATGGTTGCTGCTGTGAAAACAAGAGATCCACTCAGCGACTGATGTTCTCGCTTCAGCGCTTTCAGACGTTGAGTGGCAGCTTTGATCTGGAAATCGACGAAGGCGACAGGAATCGGGCGTTGCTGTTCCGAAATCTCTCGCAGACTGTCTTCCGTATCGTCTATGGCATGAGCAAGCTCCAGCAAAGCTACCAAGCCGCGATCTGATGGTAATGATCCTGAATTTGCAACCATTTCTGCGCAGCGGCGGAAGTTGCTGGTCCAACGAAGTGGACTTGGTTTATCGAAGCCAGTGGCCGATACGCAGCAGCAGAGATAGTAGCACCCGACGAACGCGCGATTCCGCTCCAATGCGCTTGCCAAATCCGGTGGCTCTGGCCACAGATTGTACAGTCCGAGGTCGGCAGCCATGCCTGCGAGAAGAGAAAGTTGCTGATAGATGTGGTGCTGCGACATGTATTGGTGATGAAAGCCAAGGAGCACCAGGAGGCCAGTGAGAAGGTCGAGGCTGCGCTCGCTTCCCAGAATGACTTTAGAGGACAGCGTATAGCGGAAAGCTTGAGCCAGGCGACCCTGAACTTCGGGTGCAGCTGCTGAGGCTACGGTACACACCGCCAGGGTGAGCACCGGTCGACTGGTCACCATAGCAATCACATCTGCAGCTGGCACGATTTCGACGAAGGGAAAGGAGGGTGTGAGCTGGCGAAAGACGGTGAAGGAGGTGGCGACGAAGTTGTAATCTACCCCACGCAGTAATTCTTCATTGGCCTAGGTAAGCGGTGTTAGGAGCATAGTTAAGTGTAATGTATCCCACGTCAAGGCGCAGTACAGAAGCAGATATTGAAATGAGGAGAGAGGTTCGCCGTTGGTGTACTTACGGAAACGTTGCCAAGGCCTCGTGTGAAAAGCGCGGTGAATGAGGTGCTGTGGGTATGCGAGAGATCGTGTCGAGCGAGGAGTGCTCCTCTCTCGGCCTGGTGGGCTGGTTGTTGCAGGTCGGGAGGATCGAAGGTGGGCGGAGGGCCAGCTGGTGATGATGAGGGCGCTGCAAACTCGAGGAGCGGTATGCCGTCTGACTCGCCTACGTTGCTCTGCGTACGTCGTTTGCGCGGTTTGGGGACAGCAGGCACGCATTCCCTGTCCATGCGATTGCATCTGCACGCCTGTGATCAGCCATGTTCGAATGCTGACTTGCGATCAGACTATAAAAGTAACTGGACGGGCAGCAGCAAAGATTGCCAAACTTTGATGAGGCCGAGCGCGGTGAGGGGAGTGGGATTGGGCGTTGAGAGATGGAACTCAATATATGCATGCAATGCGTAACGCCGCACGCGCTCACCTTTCGCATTTGCCATTTGGGGTTTGGATACACTGTTGACCGTTGACGTTAGCCACTGGCACGTCGTCTGCTCACTGGCGGTCCCGGCACCTTCATCTTCAGCTGCGCGCAGCCCATGCAGGCGCTGTTTCGTGGTTGCCGTCGCCGTTTTGACTTTTCGCCATCGTTACCTTTACCTTGCGACATGGCCGCCGCGACGGGCGACATGGGCGTGCTGGGCGCTTCCATGATCTAGAATAATCGTAGAGAAGGCGTTTCGCAGAGCGCGACCCTTTTCGCAGAGCGCCGTGTCGTCGGACTCCAAGTCTCCAACGATTGCAACGGAACTCTACCCGGCAGGTGCGCACGCATGCACTGGCACGGTGAGGGTCCGCGCGCCACCCAGAACGGAGTCGCGACCGGAGCGGCTGCACCGGGCACGCGTATTGCTGAGACCGCCGCCACGCTCAGTCGAGGGAAATAATAATGCAGCGCGCTTCGAGAAGGAGAGACGAATGGACTAATAAGTGATTCTGCCGTGCCGTGCGTGAGCCGCCCTCGCCTCGCCCACTGCAAGCACAGTAGCATCGAGCGTGAACCTTGTTCCGAGCCTGGAGCCAAGAGGCGTAAATTTCGGCCCACACCTAGCTCCATTAGGCAAAACTGCGAGCAAGACGCCTTCAAATTTTCAAAAGCCTTGCTAACCACCGGTCTCAGCCGACCTTCTTGCCCGGTTGTGCTTCCGGTTAGCACTCTCTGCAAGGGGGAATCTTTCTGTCGGCCTGGTCAGACGTGAGTGCTTTAGTCATCCCAGGCGTTAGTGGCAAATCACTGCAAAGACCAAGACTGTATCATATGCTGATCAGGTCATCGGGTATTGAAAAGCCTGCAACATCTCAGTTTCATTCATGCTAAGCTACGTGCTGTCGCTTCCGTTCTACATAAGAAATCATGCCGGAATCCTCGTGGCCATCATAAAGTCGTCACGGGCGAGTGGGGATATCAATTTGACCCGAAAAGTAGCCAATAACGCTTCGCTCGAGCTGACAGAGCTCATCTCCTTGCAGAATCCAGCTCTTCGATGAATCGATAGATGCCCTCGAAGCCTTGGTATTCAAGCGGGCTATGACCCGAGCCGTAACTCTCGCTAGGTGTGCGGACAGATTGGTAGAGAGAGGGCGACGCGAGCCACGGGTTTTGCGTGTCTTCGATTGCTAGGACATCTTCAAAGCCAGTATCGGATTGCGTAGAGTATCTTGCACTCTCGTCATCAGAGAGCATATCATCCAAGCTTATCACGTAGGGATCGTAAGGCTTCACAGCCTTCTTGGTCTCGAAGAACTCGGCGCCGTCGGATTCGCTAGTCAGTGACGATTCGTTGCTCGGTGCGAAAGGGAATAAAAGAGCTATCTCGGTTCCGGCAAAGGCGTCAAATGCCTCATCCTGAACTACGGTGCCGCGCTGAACGTTGAGCTCTTCGCACAACCGTTCAACGACCTCTGCTGGACAGCCTGGAAAGTGAACACGCAGATTCTGACCTTCGTAGGTGATCGGCAGATCTCCCAATGCGGATAGCCGCTTGAGATCGTTCAATACTGCTGCAAGATCCTTCAAGGAGCGAGAGAAGTCAACTGAGAGCACATTCAAGAGTCCATCAGTATTCAGATGATCGGCTTGATCAGTCGAGCTCGAGAGGTCGTAGCCAGCCATCGCGTTCAGAGAAGTGAGAGCCGTGATAGTTGGGTTGATGCGGAAGTCAATCCAAGAACCTGGTGTAGCCTTGGGCACAGAGCGCATCTTGCGACCGGTCTCATCCTGTAAGGCCGAGACAGCTTTGAAGCGCTTGTTACCGTGACCGTCAACACCATCGAATTGTGCCTTTTGACCAGATATGAAGAACGCGCGAACGGCCTGGGAAACGTTCTGAACCACTTGTGCCTGGACGGCCGGTCCATGAGAAAAGAACCTCTTGCCTCCATGTCCAGCACCATACGCGTATCCACCTGCCGATCTACCGAGAGTTCCTCCAGTCAAGTTCGGTCGGAGGGTCGAGGCGAATGGTGCGCGGCCGCTTGAGGATTGGACAAAAGAACCGATCTGGGACTTTGGGAACGAAGATCGGTCGAATCTCAAGCCAGTCTTGCCTCCAGAGACTGAAGAAAATTGGCGGATCGAGCTGTTGAGCCATCGTCGTGCGGTCGAGTAGTTTCGAGACTGGCTTTGACGAATGCGTGCGAGCGGGTGGAGAGGTTGTTTCGGAGTGTTGCGAACAAGTTCGAGGGCTGGCGCACGCTGCCCGCCTAGCTGAACGTCCAAGGCTCGGATTGCCTTGGACGCCGCAGCCTTGAGGCTTTTGGCATGCCGCGCCAGCAATGAATGCCAGTGCATGGCTATGGGCGGCATATTGGTTGACCACCCACGCCGAAAGAGGTGTTGCGCACAGAGGGAGAGGAGTGTCGATGTTGATGTCTGATGTCAAGTGAGTGGCTGCGCCGACTTGCGGAGAAGTCGCCACTTGAAGCTACGTCCGAATGAGCCTAGCGTCGGATAGACTCCCAGGACCCTGCAGCTTTCGCCTTGGCAAGCGAGATCTCCAACCTTCAGAAACGTGATCAAACATCACCACCAGCGACTTGGAAATCCGTCTTGACCTGGACCGCGCCGGCGTCGCGGGATCTCAAGACAACATGACTTCGCTCAAGCGCTCGCTCGCTGCGACGAGCTCGACCACTACCTTGAGCAGCAAAACTTATCTCAGGACTTTGAAGTCTGGCAAAGTGCAAAAGGTTGTTCGCGAGCTGTATCTGCGACAGGATATTCCGTGCTCCTCCAACCTCTGCACAGCATGCATCGACCTGGCGCCAGCTGGCTTCCATGGAAAGACTGAGCCCGTTGTGCTATCCGCCACTCCTGCCGGCACGAAGCAGTTTCCTGCAGGACATTACCTAGTTCCAGACACGAATGCTTTCCTCAATGCCATGGACCTTTTCGAAGCAGAGGGCACTGTGCAGGATGTCATTGTGTTGCAAACCGTGCTAGAGGAGGTCAAGAATCGATCTCTGCCGCTCTACCACAGGTTGATCGCGCTTACCAAGAACGAAGGCAAACGCTTCTATGTCTTCTTCAACGACTTTCGTCTTGAAACATACGTGCAGCGTGAGACTGGCGAGACCATCAATGATCGTAACGATCGCGCCATTCGGAAAGCGTGCGCTTGGTATCACGAGCACCTCCAGAGTGCAGTCCAAGCGCGGAAGAGCGAACGCTGCCCAGTGGTGGTGATGTTGTCGGATGACAGAGAATGTCTGAGAAAAGCAAAGGAGGACACGATATCGTCGCTGAATCTGCATGGCTACGTATCTGAGCTTCCAGATGCTGATCGACTTCTTGATATGTTAGCTTCCAGCCGTGATCAGCGTGCTGCGCGAGATGCCAAGGCAGAGAATCTTTATCCGGAATATATATCGATGTCGGCAATGCTCACCGGGGTGAAGAATGGCACTTTGCACCAAGGCAATTTTAGTGTCTCTCCATACAACTATTTGGAGGGCTCCGTGCACGTTCCAGCTTTCGATAGGCCTCTCATCATACAAGGACGAGAGAACAGCAATCGCGCGGTATCTGGCGACGTTGTTGTATTGGAGGTCTTACCCAGAGAACAGTGGAAAGCTCCATCCAGCAAAGTCATTGAGGAGGAGGATATAAACAAGAACGACAACGCCGAGAATGAGGATGAGTCCGCCGAACCGATCGTTACCGAGCAGGAGCGCAAGGCACTGTTGGAGGAGGCGAGACGTGCACAGGGCAAGGTCAGCGAAGGGAGACCGCAACCAACAGCAAAGGTTGTTGGCATAATCAAACGAAACTGGAGGCAATATGTCGGGCATATTGATAAAGACTCTGTCAAGTCTGGCGCTAAGCAGAGTCGAGCGCAACAGACTGTCTTCCTCATTCCCATGGACAAGAGAATTCCTAAAATAAGGGTCCGCACACGACAAGCCGGTGATCTTCTGGGCAAGCGTGTACTTGTGACCATTGATTCATGGGACCGAGAGTCGCGCTATCCTGTGGGACACTTCATTCGTAGTCTGGGTGAACTGGAAACCAAAGGAGCCGAGACCGAGGCACTACTTCTGGAGTGGGATGTGCAATACCGTCCGTTCCCAAAGTCTGTTCTAGACTGCTTGCCGGCTGAAGGACACGACTGGAAAGTACCACAAGACCTCTCCCACCCCGGCTGGAAGGGGAGGAAAGACCTCAGAGATCTCCTCATTTGCTCTATCGATCCTCCTGGATGTGTGGATATCGACGATGCATTACATGCTCGGGTCTTGCCGAATGGCAATTTCGAGGTTGGGGTGCATATTGCTGATGTCTCGCATTTTGTCAAGCCGAACAATGCAATGGACAAGGAAGCCTCTCTGCGCGGTACGACAGTCTACCTCGTGGACAAGCGTATAGACATGTTACCAATGCTTCTTGGCACCGATCTATGTTCTCTGAAGCCTTATGTCGAGCGCTACGCTTTCAGCGTGATTTGGGAGCTCAATGCGAACGCCGACATCATAAACGCTTCTTTCACCAAGAGCGTAATTCGCAGTCGAGAGGCTTTTAGCTACGAGCGCGCACAATTGCGCATCGATGATCGATCCCAGCAAGACGACCTCACCAAAGGCATGCGGCACCTTATGATGCTCTCCAAGAAGCTTCGAGCAAAGCGAATGGCTGCAGGGGCCCTCAATCTAGCCAGTCCCGAGGTTCGTGTCGAGACGGAAAGCGAGACTTCCGATCCTGTGGATGTGAAGACCAAGCAATTGCTGGACACTAATCAGCTTGTGGAGGAATTCATGCTACTCGCCAACATTTCCGTGGCTGGAAAGAATTATGAGGCATTCCCACAGACGGCACTCCTCCGTCGTCATGCCGCACCCCCCAAGAACAACTTTGAAGAGCTCAGTAATCAGCTCAAAGTCAAGAAGGGTATGGAATTGCGGACTGACTCCTCCAAAGCTCTCGCAGATACTTTGGACACGTGTGTGGATTCAGACAACCCGTTTTTCAACACCCTTGTCCGCATCCTAGCAACTCGATGCATGATGAGTGCAGAGTATTTCTGCTCCGGTACGCAGGCATACCCTGAATTTCGGCATTACGGACTCGCTTCTGAGATCTATACGCATTTCACTTCGCCCATTCGTCGATATGCCGACCTGGAAGCACATCGTCAACTTGCTGCAGCGATCGAGTACGAGCCTCTGGATCCCAGCTTGCAGAGCAGGAGCAAGCTAGAAGGGGTCTGCAAGAACATCAACGTTCGGCATCGCAACGCACAGATGGCTGGCCGCGCGAGTGTAGAGTACTACGTTGGCCAGGCACTAAAAGGCCGTGTGATTGAGGAAGATGGATTTGTGATGCGAATATTCAGCAATGGCTTCGTCGTCTTCGTCCCCCGCTTTGGCATTGAAGGTCTTATTCGGCTCAAAGACATGGGCAAAGGTGATGTCGAGCCTGAGAGCGTCTTCGATGCGGAACAGTATTCGCTGGAGATCCACAGTGGTCAGAAGTCTGGAACCAAGGTGGACCTGTTTGAGAAAGTCAAAGTGAAGATTACTGATGAAGCAGAGGAGTCGACGGGCAAGCGAAAGATCAAGTTGCACTTGGCGTAACTCGTGCACGCAATAGTTAGACAGCATAGAACAAGCAAGGCTGCAACCCCGCCAACAATGTTTATCCATAGACCATGATCACGTGCCTTTCTTTACCAATCAATCAGCAATGACTTGTATGTTTTGCCTCTGACGCAATTACGTTTGATCTTTCAACACCCACGAATTGCAACTCTTTGCGCTTGCATAACGACGTACACAATATCAGCCATGTCTACGAAAGGAGCGGTACGGGCTCTTATGAAGACGATCCATCGACCAGGCGTGGCTAGCACAATCAAGGCTGCCAGTCGGTCTGGCGGCGTGGGATGCAACAGTGGCAGAGCATCAAACACGCAAACCCAGCATCAGCGGCAGTGTGTCCGCAGCTTCAGCAATGCGCCGCGTACGACTCCGCTGTCTGCCTCGAGCGGACGACAACGACCGACAGTGCAGAGGTATGGCCAGCGCGCTGCGAGAGCGACAGCACCGGCCGCACAAGCGAAAAGAAGCATATTCATTCAGACCGAGGACACACCCAACGCCGATGCGCTCAAATTCATTCCTAATCACCAGGTTCTACCCGAAGACTTCCCCTCATCCTTCGTAGAGTACCTCTCCCCGCGATCCACGTTGGCACCTCCGAATCCGTCGCCGCTTGCCTCTTCGCTCATGAACGTCGATGGTGTGACTGGCGTGTTCTACGGCAGAGACTACATCACCGTCACCAAAGACAGCTCCACGCCCTGGGTGCATGTGAAGCCGGAGGTCTTCAGCCTCATCACCGAGGCGGTCACGAATGGCCAGCCCATCGTGAATGTAGTGGAGGGCAAGACAGGCGAGGAGGGACAGTCATCTGGCGAAGCAGCGACATACGATCCCGAGGACGAAGAAGTCGTCGGCATGATCCAGGAGCTGCTAGAGACACGCATTCGACCTGCAATTCAGGAAGATGGTGGAGACATAGAGTTCAGAGGCTTTCACGATGGTCAGGTCATGTTGAAGCTGCGTGGCGCTTGCAGGACTTGCGACAGCAGCACTGTAACGCTCAAGAATGGCATTGAAAGTATGCTCATGCACTACATCGAAGAGGTCAAAGGTGTGCAACAAGTCATGGACCCGGAAGAGGAAATTGCAATGCAAGAGTTTGCCAAGTTCGAGGAGAAACTACGGTCACAGAAGGGAGAGGCGCCTCCGACTGGAACAATCGACAATGTCGCTGGTTGAGGCAGGAATGAGTCATTCCAAGTTCTGTACAGCGTCCAGCCTCGCACCAAGGGTAGGTGGTATATATCGCCTCCTCGGCCTACAGATCTGCACTCTGCCACGCACGGCAATGCTCTAGACGACCATCGCGTGAGGCATCAATCTGGACATCATCATGCTCCGTGGGTAGATGGCACGAGCATAGCGTTGTACAGAGTACAGTAATAAGAGTAGTGCTAGCCGTAAGACTTGGTTAGAATAGGCGGTGTGTTCGCAGCTAAACGACCACCACCTCCGTGCCGAGGATAAAAATGTCTTCGGCTATGATACGAGCGAGAGAAGTGAAAACGACCGGTCCGAAGCGCGACAAAGCTGTTGGGCCTCCTGCAAACCGTGCCGTGGCTGCTTGCATTGAGATTGTCGCCAAAAGTCCGCAGCTTCACACACCTGCTCAACGCCAATTGATGCAACCCCCACCCGTGTGCAACCATGAACACTGGTTGGAAGTTGCAAGTGTCCTTCGAATGGAACCTCAATACATACTACCAACCTCGGCACCGCCAACGTGCAGTAAATTGCGCGACGGATCGGCGTGCGCCTTCGACTCGCGCGTAAGGACGATCAACTAGCCGATTCACTATCAGCACGAAGCACTCCACATACTCCTGATGGTGCGATCCATCAGTCTTGAACGCCTTGAAGCCATAATAAGGGCATCTGAATGCAAAGGGCACTGTGTTCGACGGACAACTTCTTGGTCAGACACGTGATTCCTTGCCCGTCTCGCTGGCGCATTTGTTGTCGCTGTAGATATGTATATCACACGATACAGCTTGTGTACCCTCGAAGCGGACATCGACCTATTGTCCGGTTTACTCGACCAGCCTGGCTTCTCGGTTCCAAAGCTGGAAACGCCGATTTGCGTGTCCGAGTTATATCTGTCGCCGCTGTATACTTTGAAAAAATGGGCGTACGCTGTTGTTGGAAGAAGGGCGGTAAAGATTATGACTACGAAATGCATCTTTGTCGCGAGAGTCGAGACTTAGGTCCCTATGTGTGGCACCATTTTTGACTGAAGAGACCCTCTGCGGCTTGCTGGCAAGCGTGTCGCGGCCACACGAGATCGTCCACAGAAGCGGCAGCCTCCATTGGACTTCTTCTTGCTGTTGTTCTGTGTCCTCATCTTCTTCAGCGCCTTCTATATGTCTTCCTCCTCGGCCGCAACAGTGTCCTCATCACTGTCGCTTCCAGCAGCGGCATTGCGTAGAATATCGTCTTCTGTAGAAGGCACCGGCTCTGCGGAAGTCTACTTGCGGCGGCGGCGGCGACGAAATCATTCATCTGACTGAGACTGACTCAGCTTCTCGATATTGTGCTTAGGCGGCTCTCGGTTGCGGTGCGGAGGCTTCATTGAAGACGGCGTACAGTAGAGACCAATAGACACTAGATTTCAACGACAGACTCGAGATTGGCCTCCTTCTTAACCCTGATCGACACCACGGACGACACTAGTCTGGAAGGAGCACTAGCCCACCCAGTATGCAGCAAAGTTCACAGCACAGCGATCCCAAACTTGAAACTTCCGCCACGCCATACAGTCGTAGAGCTTAAGGAATCAAGACAAGCAAGCATTGTTTGAGCAACGCAAACTTGCACGTGTGGCGCACCCTACCGATTCAGGTCGTGCGTCGACATGTTCAGGACAGGGTGCAGGAGTGTTGCACCGTGAGCCGCTTTTCAACATCAGGATTCAGGAGCGGCGATGAGCACGACACGAGCAGCAATGCATGCAGGAACCCGTAGCACTGAGCTTTTCTGAAATAATAGCGTCGAGAGCTCAAGCACAAATAATAATAATAATAATGGCAGAAGCTAAATAGAGTCTGGCGCTGGTAAAAGCCGCTGGCCCGCTGGATGTGATTTAATAAACGACGATGATCCTGCATCGTTCTGATAAATGTGACTGGCGCCGCCCAAGAAGGCACGAGCTTACACTCCTCACGCCAAAGGGAGAGGGGTGCCGCTACATATTCCTAGGGTCTCGCATTTACGAAGCCACCGACTTACTCTTTCCTCGGTGTCTTTGAACGTGATTGTGAAACCAGAGTGCGCTAGTTGTGCACAACATTCTTTCTCTGAGCAAGGAAACCGTACTGGAACAAACGAGAAACATGGCGGCCGACGCAACGGTAAGATGATCGGTAGCAGTGTCCAATCCTTCTTTCACTGACCCGTCGTAGGTCAACGCTGTTAAGATGGGTCTGGTCCATAGTGAAGCTTGTACGAAACAGAGGATGCACAAAGACACTCTTGATACATCGCTGCTGTGCAGTAAACTTCAAGAATTCAAGCGCGAACAAGACGCCTATCGGCTCCGGAAAGAAAAGAGAAACGCTGTCCGGAACGGCTATTATGTTCCACGAAGCGCTGCTACACAGTTCGTAGCCACTGCAACGTCTATGGAACCCGAACCTGGGAAGCGAAGACACTATGGAAAACATTTGCAACCGATTCAAGAACCCCAACATGCGACAGAGACCTCCCGACAAGGATCGATATCGACAGCACATGACGAAAGCCAGAAGGGTGATGCCTACGACGAGCAACCGAAGCGGGATTCGATGTTTACAGGCGAAGACAAGCCAAAAGAGGGCCACCCTGTACGCAAAAACAAAGTGATACCCAGGGGATCCAGACCGATTGCAGTCATCATCCCCGAACGAAGATCCAGTTCAACACAGCAAGAAAGTTCACCCGACAGCATCATAAAAATCGCAGCAGAGAAGGACGGAGAAGATGAAGAGGAGGAAGAAGAAGAAGAAGAGCGCGGCCGATCACGATCCCGCTACACACCAGGAGACGCAACAAAAAGAGGACAACAAACCACAATCGAAATCTTCCAACCCCCACCACCACGCCACAATACCACCACAACCACCACCACCTTCCCAATTCCAGAAACCGAACCACCCCATCGCCCAATTTCCTTCTACGCGATCCAAGACCTTCGAGCCGCGCGAAGTATTCTCGACAATGAACTCCTCCATCACCCCCACCGTTCCGACGACTCTATTACCACCACCAGCAACAACCCCGACATCACGACCCACTTTCAAAACCCGAAATTCCAATTCTCATCATCATCACCACATGATCGACCGAATTGGTCGCAGAAATCTGAAGCCGGATCGAGTGTGCGTCGTACTCTCTTCTCATCATCATCAGATCGAAGACCAGTGAAGAAAGATTCGCGATCGAATTTGGAGAAAGATGCTGCTGCTACACGCCAGCGCAGCAAGTTTTCGGGAGGAGGAGGAGGAGGAGGGGGAGGAGAGCATTTGATTGCTGATGCTGTGAAGATTATTCAGAGGCAGGAGAGGTTGAAGAAGAGGCAGAGTGTGATGGGGTTTTTTAAGAGGTTATAGAGAAGGTGGGGCATGGAGATTTGAAAGAATCTGGAACTTTTTTTTTTTTTTTGAGGAAAATGTTAATTGTATTGATAATTTCTTTCGGTACCTAGGCAGGATGATGGATCGGGCTGTTAGGAACCAGAACTGGCAAATCGTGCATTCTCGAGGATGAAAAGTCAATATGTGGAAAGAAAGTGAGGAGAAGCCTGGAAATGGATTGATGGAAGGGTAGGTATCATCATGTCCCCCCAGCCTTCGTTTCTAATCTCTATAAGCGCTTCCCTGTGCAAAAGCAGTAGCATCAAGTCCGCTACTCCCCTCAGCACCTTTCACTCCCTGCTGTTCCGTAGAGACCTCATCATCATTCGTTTCCATTTGAGCTGATGAACCTTCACTGGAATCTGCCTTCTGATTCGCACCAGCGTACTGAGCAAGAACCTCGACATCAGTTTCCCGTTGTTCTAGTATCGGTCTAGGAGGGGCCGAGCTGCTGACTTCTGGCATCTGGAATGAGGTGAATGCCGAGGTGATAGCGTTTCGCATAGTATCAAAGCTGGGAACACTTCGGGTCTCTTGGATCTGCCGCTCATCTGCTGTGGAGTCATCACTTGGAAGCGACAGCTCAGAAGGCTGCACAGCAAAGCTTGGGAGATATGCATCGGCGTCTGGCGGAGCGAGGGAGCGAGGTGTGTTCATTTCTTCATCTTTCCGCCCGAAAAGGTTGCTCCACCACCGAATCTCGACGCTCTGGCCTGGGAATAGGAGAGGATCGTCGACCTTGGGAACATAATCTGGATTGATGAACTCCCGCCTTCTTGAAAAGAAGTGTGGCCACACTGATGCAAAGCGATCTTCATTTTCAGACCTGTCCCGTTCGTTATTGAACAGGAACTCGCCATACTGGCTGGCGTAAGTCTGATAGAATAGTCGTACGAGGAAGCGCTCGTTGAATTCGAAGGCGTTGGGAAACTGGTGTTGAAGTTGAAAAATGGCGTCCAGGAATTGGTGGAAAATCGGTGCAATCTCGTCTTCCTTGATCTTGTGTTCGCGATCTTTCGCTGTACTTGTACTCGCCGGCGCGTGGAGGACTGGATTGGCAGGCGGTGAAGGTGGTCGAGAACCAGCGCCATCAAGACTGCTTCGACTATCATTTGCTTGGCCAAAGATACTGTCTCGACTTTTCTCAAACCAGTTCTTGGCCCCAGAAATCGCCTTTGACCCAAAGGTATTGATGCCTTTGGGATCCGCGCTAGTGTTTTCTTTCGATCGTGGAGGCACCACCCTTTCATTCTCAATGTCGAACCATTTTTCGCTTCCTAGAATTCCGTTTCGATGTTCGAACTTGTGGCCGAAGGAAAGGAAGTCCTTTTGAACAAGAGTCACAAAGCCCTGGAGAGTTCGATAATAGGGGTCAAGCATTACTTCTGCGATCGCGGCGACTTGCGAAGTGCGGTCCCAGCCATCCGAACAGTGCAGTAGAACGTGACTGCCGCCTAAGCCTACAGCTCTGGCGACCATCTTTGCTCCATCAAGAAGGGCTGCGATGTAACGTAGCCAACCAGATTTGCGCAAGGCCTCTTGATCTGGTCTGAGATCCGTTATGTCCGAGGTAGCGAAACTCTCCACCACCTTTTCTAGAGACTTTCTCATGACATGAATGTTTGGGATGTCAAGAAATATACGCTCCGGAAGAGAGCCGTCCGACGCGCGGTAATTGGCAACGTCCTCCATGCCACCACCTCCCGCACGATTTGCCAGAGCATTAATCTTTGGCCGGGCGTCTACTATCATGTTTCGCCTTGTGCTCCCGTATACCTTTGGTCTGGGTAGAGACTCGTGCTCGACGAATTTCTCGTCAAGTGCACTCTCACTTTGACTAAGCGACAGGCCCGCAGTGTCTTTCTCGAGTCTTCCTGTGTTTGAATCATCGACCTCGAAGGATGATTCTGGCACGTCCCTGGAAAGTCGTGGCGGTGAATCTGTGTGCGACTGATGCGATCCTGTGTGACTTGCAAAGATGGCCGAGACCAGTCTCTCATCCTGCGGATTACGTTTCCCCGTAAACCCGGGCATTGGCTGCGAGGAACGGGTTATACTGCCACCATTTGAGTGCAGGTAGGTGAGTGCGGGTATCCTGGCTTTCGATCGGAATGGGCCTCCGTACTTGAGCATATTATCGCTCACTGAGTGTGGAACGCACAGGACTTTGGGATATGTTGGGGAGAAAGAGTAGTCGGCATTGATCTCAGTAATACGCCATGCACTCCCAGGTCCCTCGACTGCTTTGCTGCCGATGCCCATGCGGGAAAATTCTCGTCGAGCTTCGTAGGCAAACTCGCCGACTGCGATTTCTTCTTGCGGTGCTTTGAAATGGAATGCGTGCAAGTCCTGCACTCGTTCCACACAGCATCGATCGCGGAGTGCATAGAAGACTTCACGTGCCATGTCATCAGCGGAGCGTTGGGCGTCATCGTAGAATATAAAAGCAAACATTTTGAAGTCCCGGCACCGTATCCGTAAACGTGTCTCCCGACTTCTGGCGTTACTCGATGCCGCGTTTCCATTGTTGGGATTTGGAGACACTGATCTTTGGGGGGAGGAATAGGGCGCCAGTCGTGCCGAGTCCGTGGAAGGTCTTGCATATGAACTGGTGCCGTACACGGGAGGAAAATCACCCCCATCGGAGCCACGGTCGTCGAGATGATTGCTTCTCTCCCGAGCTACGTTGCTCTGCGAATGGCTTGGCGAGAGCAGACAGCTGTTGATGAGCGGATAGGAGATCCATATTGTCTTTTCCCTGGGTCTGTGGTCTGGCGCCCCATGCTTGGAGGTTGAGTCACTTGACTCTCGAGCACTGGTCGCTCGTTTCGAGCTTTGAAGGGAGTCTGCTGATTCTGTCTTCTTCTCACCAGCTCCTGGCGAAGAGGCTGTGTTGTGCGCCGCTCTCTGGGCAGAAAGCTCGACCCTCTGGGCTGGAACGTAGCTGAAAGTGAGGTGGTACGCTTCAAGGCGCAACGTGCCCTGCTGCCGCTGTCCCTTCTGGATGACCGTCACGTTGCGGATTTTGAGGTGCTTTGATGCCTTGACGTCCATTGTTCCTTGCAGTTCTGTGGCGCGGTTTCGATGCTGCGTTGAAGTGCCTTGCTCAAGCGGCAGACCAACCCGATATCAATCGCAATTTCCGTTCTGCACTTAGGTGACCTGGGAGTGTGCGCTTAAGTAGAAAGACCATGGCTTCGACAGAAGCTCTAATTCAGTTGTGACTATAGTGAGCGCACGTGAATATGGAATGCCGCACCTCAGTTTTGGTGAAGCCAAGATCGACTCGGTGGCGAAAGTCGAGGCAACTGTCTTCAACTCATAGCATTCGAGGGCAAATGTAATGGTGCATTGAATAGTGCGCAGACAGATATACAGTGGACAAGGAAAGCAGTATATACTACATAATGGTTTCGCCCTCGAGTGCGGCACAGCAACAATAGAAAACATTTGCGTTTGCTATCCGATTGAGTGGGCGGGCACAGGAATTGCTGACTATAACAGGAGCAATCTTCTCGGAACCATCCTGTCGATTTGCAGCGATACGAGAACGGGCAAACCATATTCAAGCTATTTTTCATTAATCATGCATATCTGGGTGCACATATGCACTCGCAGCACGTCGCCTGTTTGCGATCCTAGGCCCTCCAAAACGCCGCGCTTTGCATTCCACCAAACCATCTTCGTTTAAAATCATGCTTCATTATTGTTCCATCAACTCAACCGGCGGTCGCGCAGTGTGTGGGAACTTCTTTTCAACTCCTTCCATCGGGCTGATAGGCATCGGGCTATCTGTAGTGTCTTCGACAGCGATGGCAGGTAGATCTGGTGAACGACCGTGCTCTTGCGGATCAAAGACCAAGGTGGAACTTCTCGACCTTCCGTTGGTGTTTGGCGATATGGGCGACTTGCCTTGCGTGTCCTCATACAGAGCCTCGTCCGCAGTTGGCTGAGCGCGAAGATTGGCAAGTGCGACAGCTAGATCCTCTGCGTGCACCTGTTTGTTTGGCGGGTCTTCATTGCGTGACTCCCAACCGACCGGAGGACTTGGGGGCGGAGAAATGAAGAACAGCTTGCCACTCTCTGGAGCTTGCAGATGTTGATCCTCAACGTTGATCTTGGTGTCCTTGCCGAAGTAGACTCGCACTCTATGTCCCAGTACTGTTTCGCCATCGAGGACTTGTCTGATATTGACGGCATCTTCAGTCGTATAGAAGCTCACTATTATGCGGCGGAAACTCTTCAAGGGCGAGAAGGTATGGATCTGTGCATGCTGGTTGATCGCTGCTCGTATGCTTTCGAGATTCGATGCCGCAAAGATTTCGAGCGACTCGAGATTGGTGATGAGAAGGGTATTGCTGGGCGGCGATGGCTTTGACAGCGGTGGTAGATCTGAAAGGTCGATGGAGAGATTTGGGGAATGTCGCCTTCCAGACGATGAAGGCGATGGTGTCGGAGATGGATGCACAGCCATAGTGGCCATCTGTTCGTTGTTGGAGACGTTGCTGGCGGGTGCTGTCGAGGGTTGTGATTGTGATGAGACTTGCTCGGGTGAATCTGCGTTGTCTGGCTGACACATAAGGAAAGTTGCGGCCTACCGCTTGCTTTTGAAGAGATTGACAGGCGCTGCGCCTCTGGGAATGTGCCCACGGATGTCGCGGCGAAGGCACCGCAGCAAGACAGATGGTCAGGATGTCTTGGCGAGAAGAGGTGCTCTGGACTCAACATCGTCGACACAGCCTCAAAGCAAAGACGCCAAGCCAAGCTTGATCTTGGACAAGCGCGGACCCCATTCCGCTCGGCTCACGCCGCGTGACCCCGCTCTGGCCGAAACATGCACGTATACGCGTTGACAGAGTCCACCTCCGACCGAACTACGACCAAGATTCTCCTCGGGCGTGTGTATGCCATGGCGGAGCTTGGACGGGCGCCGCTCTCGGCATTTCCAGTGCAGTCCCACACGAGAGTAGAGTACGATCATGTAATACGCCGTTCCCATCTTCTTGAGCACTGTCAAACCACGGTCCATGGTCACTATCTGGTGCAAAGAGGGTCGTGCCAAACATCCTGGTTTCCAATTGTTCCACAAGCAGGATTCAAGTCCACCGGCCCATATTGGATGGGGTTGCAACATTGACGCAAAATGGAACAGATACACGCCTTGCGCCACATGAAAAGATGTGTGATTGTCAGTACGAGGACCGTAATTTCCAGGCACCTTTCATTGCATTGCATTGCCGCCCGTATTCCGCCACTCTGACTGCGGCATCGTCAAACAAACGAGCAAGTGTGCCCGATCGCCCCCTTCTAACGCCCGAGGTATCTCCAAGACATGACAACTGTCTACCCAGACGTACCAAACCATGAACACCGAATGGTATCTCAAGAAGTATTTGCGAGAAAGTTCCAAGTGCCAGCTCGTATGCAGAAACGTCTTCGCCTGAAGACAGAACAGACCCCCCAGCGCCATGCAAAAAGTCCCAAAATGCAAAACCCAGCTTATACTGGCTCCACGCCTCCGAATGGTCCACTCTCGTGCAGATCTTGTACCAGCTCTTCAACATTGCTAAGATACTGCCCCAGCATCATTTGCTTGTCTTCAGTCGATCTGGCATCCATGTCCTCGTCATCGTCCATGTCCATAGCATCTCCTGAATGTGTTCGAGCATGACATGCGAGAGCAGTGAAACTCTTGATCTCCGTTCCCCGCTGCAAGACGGCAGTATTGGGTGCACTCGCGCTCGTGAACGCCTGTGAGAGTGCCGCTTCCGGCATGAGATAGAAGTACAAAAACTCGAGGGAGCGCATCTTCACCTCCTTCGTGGTGGACCGACTCTTGAAGAGGCTCGTCACGGTGAGCAAGCCATCGATCGATTCAAAGGTTCGAGTGTTTCGGGGCATGTCGAGCAGAGCGGCGACCAGAACGAGGAGCGTTTGAGACTGGATTTTGGGAGGATTCATCGAGTCGAGCAGATCGAGGAGGAGGTTCATGTGGCTCTCGCGGCTGAAGAGACACTTCGATGGTGGATGCAGCATGAGGATGCCTTGCAACAGGTCTAGTGCTTGCAGAATGAGGAGGTCGGTCTCTGATGGGTTTCCCATGCCCATGAGTGTTTCAAGTGTCTGAACGAGCCTGGAAGCCACTGCGTCGCATTAGAGTCGTCTCTGAGGATGGTGCTGGGCTGGGCTTACCATTCCACTGAAAGCCTTCCTGTAATCGAAAGAACTCTCGAAACGCCGGATCGTGTCGCAGCTCGCCCAACTGCTTTGTGACATTTGGTTTGCGGTCAAGCTCCAACGCGGAGGATTTCCTCTTATGCGGCGACCGCGAGCTGGCTTTCGATAGGCATATCTGTGCTAGAAGACCCTCGATCTGTCGGAGGCCTTTGCGAATCTTGTGGCCGTCTCTTGATGATATGTTATCGAACGAGAGCGAGAGCAGCGACTCCATCCTGCTGTACGTCGGCTAGGTTCATGGAGTGGATTCGTAGGGACAGTGAGGCTCTGCAATTCATGCAGCTAAGTGTTTAGACATGGTCGATCGCGGTTGTCACTGCAGCAACGCCCGCACTGCGACGATGAAAGGGATCAATCTGATGCCGAGCGCGCTGCCTTCCCCAAATGGGAGTGGCGTGGCAACCGCTGGTATGGCCACTTCTCCAATGCCACACAAGTCGAGGCTCGAGTCTGGCATCAGCCGCACCATGAAAGGCATTAGAATATCAGGATCGGTCGCGCTGTGTTTGCCCGAACCAGCACTGCGAATTCTCTATGACTTAGTGGCTCATCACTGGCAGGCCATCATGATCAACAAAAGTATTCGGCAGCCTGCGCTTCAGCTGTGCACATACTGTCAGGGGCCAGCGTGCTGATTTCCAAGGTGGGCGACAGGCGGTGCTTGAGGTTGCTGTGCCGATGCCGTGATGCGTGGACGCTGCGTCGAAGTTCAGCACAAATGAGACGCCGCCTTCAGGGCTAGAATAAGCAAGACACGAGTACATGTGCGAACATGTTTCGTCGCCAGTACAGATCATGAATCTTCAACAACAAACAACTCACGACGACGCGAGTCTGACAAGGAATCGACCAAACGCACTTCCATCATGCGGCAGATGCGTTCGTCTAAGCAAAACATGTGGTGGGTATCGTGATATACAGTGTAGCTCTTCACTTCAGCGATTATTGAGAATCTCAAGCTTAGTTATGCGACTCTTTAAGCTCTCGGGATACCTTTCAAGGTGACATATACGCCTGACGCAGTAGAGCCAAAGCCACCAACTCCCTATCTATCGCAGTCGCCAGCGCAATTACTATAGCTTCCTCAAGCCGTGGCCGCGACTGTGGCGTGTTGGACCTTGAAGTAGTCATTCGCAGGATCCATAGAATCTACGCGACAAGGCACCGCCGAAGCTTTTTCCGACTCCGTTGCTTTGGAGATGAAGGCGGCGCGCGCGGTCCTGTCTTCAAGGTCGGTTTTCTTCCAGTTCTGAAGGATCTCGTCTCGTCGGCTGTCGCTTCGTGGTTCGAAAGCCATTTCGAAAGGGTCGGGTTTGACGATGAGGAGCGAATTGCTCTTGTCGAGCGGAGGGTTTATTTCAATGCCGTTGCTGTCGAGTTTCTTCTTGAGATTGTAGCCCCAAAGAAGACCTCCGCATGCAACCAAAGTCTCATCGCGCGTCACGGATTGACCAAGACATTGTCTTTGACCGTATCCAAAAGAGCTCATGCCCATGATTGTGGGGTATTGGGTCAACGGTTCTTTAAATGTGGGCCAGCCAGCTTCGAGCCATCGCTCTGGTCTGTAGGCTTCTGGATCTGGGTATTTCTCGGGGTTGCGCATGAATGCGCTGGATCATGATGTCAGTGAACTAATTTCGCAGATCTGTGGGCGCCTACTCACAAATCAAGAGGCAGGATACGGGCGCCCTTGGGAATTAGCCAACCCTCATAGAAGTCGTCCGCCTCTGCTTCGTGCGCAACGCCAGTTGGGACGTTCGGTCGCCAGCGCATTGTCTCCTTGATGCAAGCGCGAAGGACTGGCAGATTTGGCATATCCGAGATGTCGGGCATCTGTCCTTTGCAAACCTCGTCGATCTCTCTCTGGCACTTTCGCTGCCATTCGGGGTGGTAGACCATAGCAAGCAAAAAGTAGTACAACGGTCCTGCGACAGTGAAGACGCCGACGAGTGCCATCATGCCAATCGCAGAAGATGCTTCGTAGTCGCCGGACAGGCCTCCAGTCTTTCCATTCTGAAGACCTTCGAGGTACGTTCGCGTGAAGGACGGGCGAGCAAGACCTTTGGCAAGCTTCGTTCGGACGTTAACAAGGTTGTCCATCCACCATCGCTGCTGCTCATCGTGTCTCTTGCGTTCCGTTCTCTTCCAAGGATTGATTGTTTCTGGTAGGTAGTCCCAGAGAGGTGTGATGACGTTGGTGATCGGTCCTGCTGGGCTCATCTGCGTGAGCAAGCCCCAAGCGCTGGGAGTCATGGCCTCTGAAAGACTGTCATCGTCCCATGTCAGTTGGCACATGACCTTAGAAGCCATGTCTTCGAGTTGAAAGCCGAAGTTGTCCGGGTCGTCTAGGAGTCGCTTGAGCCAGCGCTTGGTCTCGTGATTCATGATTCCGTAATAACGAGCGTTAGTTGCTTCGGTCAAGTAAGAATGTGTGAACTTCCGCTGGCGAGCCCAGTACTCTAACAAGTGATATTAGTGGACGAGCCGATCGAGGCGTTGTCGTTTTGCGCACCATTCTTGCCCATCAAGGGTAAATACTCCATCGTTCCAGTTGTGCTTTTTGAATCGAAGAGTGACTTCATCTCAGGCCGATCGGAGAAGACCTTTGCGCGTTTGACGAGAAGGTCTTCTGCGATCTTCTCGTCGCTGATGATAATGAAGGTCGCGCCTGTCATACCTTAGCGACCTGGCAGAGGAAAGGGATCGGTATTCTAGATATTGTACCTAACATCTTCGTGCGGTAGATAGGTCCATATTGGTCAGCCCATTCTTTGAACTTGAGCCACATCAGTTGGATGGGCAGATCGTGAATTCGGCCAATCCATGGCACAAGAGCAGGTCCAGGTGGCTCAGATGCCTTTGTCTTCCAAGGATGTGATGACCGGGCTGCATTCAGCAGACTGAAGAACGCAAAGCCTATAAAAGCAACGAGTGCAGCAACAATCGTTAGAGTCTGCATCTCTGCGGACGATGTAAGAAAGAAAAACGAGACGGCTCTCGAGAGTTGATAAGAAAGCAGGAAACCTGAGTGGTGTATTCGAGTACGCAGACTGGATTCAGGCAGACCTATCGCGAGGCACCAATAATTTCAGTGATGTCCTCGAGGTTTCCTCCCTCACAGTAGATAACCCGCACAAATGGCGCATCAGAGGCCGTGTGACTGGTTCCTGGGCATCGGATCATGCCCATCGTTTGCGAGCCGCGCTCTTCAACTCGTTCATGCACATACTTCGGGATGCTTAGTGGATTGCACGTCCATATCCAAGGCAAGGCGTCGTTGAGGCGACAATGAGGACTGCAGATCCTAAGTCGATGCGTAATCGATGTGCAAGTCTGCTGTGAACCATTGGCGTTTCAACCTTAGCTTGGCAGCGGACAGTTGGAGACCCGTTGCGATATGTTCTTGACTCAAGAGCGATGGTCAAGCTTTAAGGGAGGCAGTAGTGAATACTGGTCTCTTGACCAGCGTGTGCTTGACCTCGAGAAGCATTGGCTTGCCTGGCAGATTTCTCAAGATAGAGTGTAATTGATCACTGCCATAATTGCCACTATGTCCTCTGTTGACGGTAGGGAGAGACTTCAGAGCAAAGCATTGTAGGAGAATAATAGATTCTCCACGCCTCGTTGGGCTAGCGTGCTGCCCGCGAGATCTAACCTGCAGCAAAGACAGAGCGTTTCAGGTTAGCATGATCATCACATAGCCACAACGATGTCTTGGGGAAACGGGCCAAGCAGCCCAGATTGCAGGCCTGAGACTTCAACACGCTGTGTGAGTCGCCAACCAGGGCGTCGGCCTGCCCCTTGCATCTTGGTAATGGGCAGGATCCGCCGCTGCTAATAGTCCATGTAGTAGTGTGAGCCTCTTGCGGCGACGGTAGAGTTCTATGACGAATAGACTTCCTACCGCGGGCCGCAAGTCCTGGTCGATGCGGCAGAGAGCCGAACAGGACTGACCGAGGCGGCGGAATGCATGCGAGAGGGGTGTGATAGGTGACGCCCGGGAGCATTTGATATCTGTTGAGGTCATAGATCCATCGCCGTGTGACAAGACGATGCAGTGGTGTGGTCGCAATAGGCTTGTCTTGCCCTGGAGGCGATATCAAACTCAGAAATGTGGAGAAGCGGACCTGGTCCCGACGTCGTGTAACGCGCGATCCTATTGGCGTGAGATCTCGCAGATCTCGTAGTCCTGCTTGGCCTTGCTCGGCGCGGCCCCATTTTAGCCTGTGCCAATGATGTACGACCTGCTGTTAGATGAAATGGCTGACACAAGAACCGTGGAAGTCAAGCTCCCACAGCCTCTTCGGACATCGATGCTCGAGTCGACGAGCAGAAGCGCCTTTCCTGCTTGATCGTCATGACGCGATGAAGAGGAGACCCGGACGTCATAGTATATACCCAAAACCCACAACTTGCTGATAACAGCATTCCCATCGACAACACCTCAACATGGCAGTACTACAGGAAGGACTGGAGCCAAGACCAGTCGGTTCATACCCTAAGACAGGTATTGATGTTCTTATCGTTGGTACTGGTCTGGCTGGATTGACAGCTGCGATTGAATGCATTCGGAAAGGCCACAATGTCCGAGTGCTGGAGAGAAATGCAACAATCAATACTCAAGGAGGCACGTAATCCGTCTTATCACATTGCAGATGCATTTGAGAACTGACATGTAGATTTAGATATGTATTTCATGGGACTTTCGGCAACCAAATTCTTCAAGCACTGGCCTGAGATGAAGGCCGAGTACGATTCGATAGGCATCCACAATGCCTGGATTGAGACCTTCAAGCACAGCGGCGAGCGCATGATCCCACCTCTCTCAGTTGCTGAACGACTAAGAGATGCTGGCCTTGACCCAAAGACGCCTCCAGGAACGTTCCAGATGCGACCACTAATCTACCGCATGTTCGTTCGACAAGTGGAGAAGCTTGGAATTGACATCGAGTTCAATCGACGAGTGGTTGACTATTTCGAGGATGAAAAGACTGGCAAGGGAGGCTGTGTTACAGATGATGGCAAACGATACGAAGCCGATGTGGTGATTGCTGCAGATGGAGTTGGGTCCAAGAGCCAGAAGCTTGTTGGTGGTCAAGTGCGTGCGAGGTCATCTGGTCGAGCGATGTGGAGAGCAGCATTTCCCATCGAGGTTGGTACAGCATAATGCCAGGGAGTGTCTCCATGCTGACTATTTCTAGAATCTTGAAAAGAACCCCGAAGTCAAGGACTTCTTCAAGATGGTTGGACCAGATGGTGACTGCCCATGTGTTCGCACTTTCCTGGGACCAGGTACATATGCTCTGACTTTGACAAGGCCAGACACCATGATCTGGATCATCAATCATAATGTCAGTAGATTAGAGCCATCTCATACCTCGCCTCAAAACCCAAACCAACTGATAATCTCCAGGCCACCGGCTCATCAGCCGAGAACTGGAACAACACAATCGACTACCAAGAAGTGCTCGACGAAATGGACAAGGGAGTCGGCTCCAAGCCCTGGGCAAATATCTTCAAAGAACTCATCAAAACCACGCCTCCCAAAACAATCGTCAACTTCGAATTATTATGGCGCGATCCTCAACCCAGCTGGACATCTCCCCACGCCCGCGTAATCCAAATCGGCGACAGCGCCCACTCCTACCTCCCCGCAA